AACCTTAAGTTATTTACCATAAAGTATTTAAATAAGATTTATATTTAAAGTATAAAAAAAAAGGTTTACTTTCCGTTTATATTTATATTAAAGCTTATTTTTATAAGGCTAAAGCTTATTAATTAATTATAATAAATAAAGCTTAAATTATAACAATTTTTATTAATAATATTTAAAAGTTTTTTTTTAAATATAAAATATTTATATAAAATATAATAATTAATTTATAATATTATAATTAATTATTATAATTTAAGTTAAGAAAAAATTAAAATAAATTAATAATAAGCTTTATAATATTTTATTAATCTTAAAATTAAATATAAATAAATATTATATATAATTTTAAAAATAATAATTATAAATATAATCTTTATAAAAATTATAAATAAATTTTAAATAATAATAATTATTAAAAGAATAATTTTTAAAATAATTTTTATTATTATTATTAACTTTAAATATATAATTATAAAACTTAAATTTAATAATATAATTTATTAAAAATTAATATAATTAATAAAGTTTATTATTATTAATAAAAAAATAAAAATAAAGCTTATATTAAATATATATATTATATTTAATATAATTTTAAGTTATTTTAAAAATATCTTTATTAAATAAAAAGTATAATTTATATAAAATTTTTTTTTATAATATATTTTTAATAAATATTTAAATTTAATAAAATTAATATAATTTATAAAAATTTTTAATAATTTTTATAAATATATTAAAAATTTATATAATTTATTAAATAATAAAATAAAAATATTTTTTAATATTTATTATTATATTAAAATTTAATTAAATTAATTTTTTATAATTTTTTTTTTAAATATTTAAAAATTAAATTAAAATTTATTATTTTTATTTTATAAATTAAATTTAATATATTTATAATAATATATTTTAAAATTAAAATATATTTTAATATAAATTTTAATTATTAATATTATTATATAAATTAAATAATAATAATATTTATAAAAATAAAAATATAAAATTTAAATAAAAATTTATATAAAATTTTATATTTAATATTTAATAAATTATAATTTTATTAATAAATATTAAATTAAAATTATATTTAAAAAATAATATAAAAATAATAATAATTAAAGCTTATAAAAAAAATTTTAAATTAAAAATAACTTTTTTTAAGTTAGCTTAATTATATAAAAAATTATTTTTAAACTTAAAACTTATAATAAAAATATAATTTAATTATATAATTATAATTTATATTATAAATAAAGTTTTAAATTAATATTATATTAATTATAAATATAATAAATAAAAGTTAAAAAAAAAATAATAATTATAATCTTAAGTATTTTAAGGAAATTAAAGATTTAATTAATTAAATTTAAGCTATTTAAGCTTTAAATAATTAAAATTTTATAGCATTAATTATAAAGCTTAAAGTAATAATGCTTATAAAAAAAGAAAAAAAAGATAATTTTTAAAAAAATATATTATATTTATAAAAAGAAAAAATATTAATAATTAAATATTTAATTAATAAGCAATATTTAATAAAAAAAAAGCTATTTAATATAATATAAATATAAAGGTTATAATAATAACTTTATATTTTTTTAAGTAAGTTTAAGGAATAATATAATAATAAAAATTATAAGTTTAAAAAATAATATAATAATAAAAATTATTAAAACTTACTTTAAAACTTATAAATTATAATTTTAAGCTTTTTTAATAATATTTTCTTATAATAAAATTATATATATATAATATATAATAAATTATAATTTTAAATTAATTATAATAAAGATTATATATATTTATTAAAAAAAGAGAAAAATTATAAATATTAATAAATATAATTTTTATACTTAAAAAGTTACTTTAATTATCTCTTTTAAAGTATATAACCTTTTAAAACTTAAATAAAAAAATATTAATATATAATTATATTTATAATTAATATAATATTAATTTAAAATTTTATTTATAATATAAATTATAATTATATAATTAAGTTATATTTTTATTATAAATTTTAAGTATAAAAATAATTTTTTATATAATTAAATTAATTTAAAAAAAGTTATTTTTAATTTAAAAACTTTTTTATAAGCTTTAATTATTATTATTTTTAAATTATTTTTTTAATATAATTTTAATTTAATATTTATTAATAAAATTATAATTTATTAAATATTAAATATAAAATTTTATATAAAATTTTATTTAAATTTTATATTTTTATTTTTATAAATATTATTATTATTTAATTTATATAATAATATTAATAATTAAAATTTATATTAAAATATATTTTAATTTTAAAATATATTATTATAAATATATTAATTTAATTTATAAAATAAAAATAATAAGCCTTAATTTAATCTTTAAATATTTAAAAAAAATTATATAAAATTAACTTAATTAAATTTTAATATAATAATAAATATTAAAAATATTTTTATTTTATTATTTAATAAATTATATAAATTTTTAATATATTTATAAAAATTATTAAAAGTTTTTATAAATTATATTAACTTTATTAAATTTAAATATTTATTAAAAATATATTATAAAAAAAAATTTTATATAAATTATACTTTTTATTTAATAAAAATATTTTTAAAATAACTTAAAATTATATTAAATATAATATATATTTTTAATATAAGCTTTATTTTTATTTTTTTATTAATAATAATAAATTTTATTAATTATATTAATTTTTAATAAATTATATTATTAAATTTAAATTTTATAATTATATATTTAAAGTTAATAATAATAATAAAAATTATTTTAAGAATTATTTTTTTAATAATTATTATTATTTAAAGCTTATTTATAATTTTTATAAAAATTATATTTATAATTATTATTTTTAAAATTATATATAATATTTATTTATATTTAATTTTAAAATTAATAAAATATTATAAAGCTTATTATTAATTTATTTTAATTTTTCTTTAATTTAAATTATAATAATTAATTATAATATTATAAATTAATTATTATATTTTATATAAATACTTTATATTTAAAGAAAAACTTTTAAGTATTATTAATAAAAATTTAATAATATTTTAAATATTATTTATATTTATATTATATAATTTTTATAATAATAATAAAAAATTATTATTATTATAAAAATTTTATTATATATAATTTATTAAAATATTTATTAAATAAATAATTAAGTATTTTATTAATATTTTTTATATAAGAATTATAAATTATAATTTTAAGTTAATATATTTATAATAAATTAAGTTAATTAAAGTTTAAGTAAGCATTTTATTAATTATATATTTTTTAATAAAAATTAATAACTTTTTAATATTATTAATTATATTTATAAATTTTTATAATAAATATTATAAGAAATAAAATTAATAAAATAAAGAAATATTAATAAAATAAATAATGCTTAAAAGTAAATTAATAATAATAATTTAATAATAAGTAAGTTATAATTATTAAAAAAAAAAGTTATTAATTTTTTTAAGCTTTAAAAGTTAAGGCTTTCTTTTATTATTAAGTCTTTTTATATTAGCTAAAAGTATAATGCATAACTTATATTTACTTATAATATAGCATTATATTAACTTTAATAATTATAATAATTATAAGCTTTATTTATTAATAAAATAAAGCTTTATTAAGTTTTATTAAGTTTTAAAAAAGAATTAAAAATAAGTTTATAATAAGTTTATTTTTAATAAAGTTTTATATATAATAAATATATATTTCTTAAATAATAATAAATATATATATAAATATTATAAGGAATATTATTTAATTTATTTAATTTTTATAATATTTACTTAAGGAATTTAATAATATAAGGAGGCTTAAAGAAGCAATTATTATTATATAATGCTTATTAATAAAAAGAATATAATTTTTAAGTTAAGGAAATCTTTATAAAGTTGCCTTTTTTACTTTATTAATTTATAATGCTTATAATTATTAATTAATATTAATAAGTTTCTTATATATATAATAATTATATGGGAAGTAATTATATATTAATATTATTTTATTTAAATTCTAAGAGGCTATATGCCCCGGAGGGGATAACTAAAGTAGCCTTTTAAGTGCGAGGGTCGTACTTGCCAACACTAACCCCCTCGTGCTTGCTCTGTCGATCATTGAGGTGTGAGCCATCATCGCTCATGCCTGCTGTAATGACTACCAAAAGATGTATGCAGTGAGTAGGTTCCAAAGCAAAAGCAGATATAAAAAGTGTATCGTAATTGGACATCTGCTAATTCTGAGGGTTGTAGAGATTACCTGGTTCCCCTCGATCCAGACGAAACCCCATCCGAAATGATGAGAATAACATGTGATAATGCATTGTATTTGGAGATGCCTATAAAAGAGTAACAGAGAGCCACGAGGGCTTCGCTGAAGACATGAGGGACGAAGATGCAGGAACTACCGAGTGATACGCCCTGATCCATAAGTCAAGTGGAGACCATGACCAGAGGTAAGTTCTACTCGAGTGTGATGAGTGAGAAGAGAAGATGGTCATAGACCGCAGAGGCATCATGTGCCAACTCAACGCTTAAGGTGCTACCCATTTTGGATAACAGTTCTTTGCTTTCTGAATACTGTCTCACCAAAAGCAGAATCGATGATATACTAATATGTATCTTGTGACACTGTCGTTGGTGTGCATCACTGCTGTTCTTGAGACATGCTCTGGACGTTGCTCACACACTGCTCATGTGTCCTGAACCATGGTCCGTCCCTCTCGAGGCGACATGAAATCCCCACGAGGACATTCAACCATATCCACTCCTGCGTCCCTTAGAATTGAACAGACAAATCTTCCATTATCGGTTGAGCTCACGACATAGCAACCTGAAAGCCTCACATCTCGAAGTGTTGCGGTTTGATAGGGGTTCCAATGATGCAAGCGCATGAGCGTTGAAGATTTCAAACACTGACTTGATGGTTCCTGTAGTTCGACCGTATGCGATGTCTACGAAACCATGGCTGCAGACTCACCGAGTATCAGTCCGACGGTACACTCAGAAGACGGACACCGCGGCGACGACCGGCCATTGATGCCACACGGTACCGAGTGGAACGGGAAGGACCTTCTTGGGCTGGTCCGTGATGACAGCAGCCCCTTTGCCAACATCTGGGACGTCAGGATTCTGCTTGAAGAGGTTGAGACACAAGTCCAAGCTCAAGTAGTTGACATCCCAGAAGTCCACGCTGGCGCGAACAACTACGTGCGTGCTGTAACGACTGACCTGGCCAGCGGCACTCCTGTGCGATCTGCTGCTTGATGCTAACCATGAGAATGGGGACAGGGTTTCCACCTCGGGCTCTCTGATGATAGAGATGTGATGGCGCGTGTCGCGAGGGCTGATGTGCTCGTGAACATGCCGAACTATGACGGCTTTCCTCTGACCTGGCTACACAACTGAGTGGCTGCGAGATTTGAAACGTTGCTGACTTAGAACTTTGGCAAAGAGGTCACTCCTCACCCAAGCAGCCAGGAGTCGCTCAGCCTTGTTGAACAAGCCATTGCCGGCCGCCTTCGTCGCCACATGGCTTTTCTGGGCGAACTTCCAGCCCGTGGAGTGGATGCCCAAGATGTTCCCGCTGCACCCTGCTGGCAACCGAGACTTCTGCATCGCCATGCTTGAGGCAAAATTTGAAGGCTTGATCGGCAATCAAGGTGACAGGATCGGGTGGGAGGAAGATAAGCTGACTGTCGGCCCACTAGCATCCGCTGCAAAACAATCACTTCTCCGCCTCATACCCCTGATCCTCCCAGAGGGCGACGACGAGGTCCTGTACCGGCTTGTGCTCCAGCACGACGACTTTGGCCTCCACAGTATTTCGGTCGACGTGGACGAGGCAGGGGAGCTCAGCCTGACTTCAGTGTATGACTGGGAGACGGGCTGTATCATCCCAGTCATCCTTAGCGAAATCGAGTTCTCGATCGCTGGGTGCCGCCTGATCGTCGACGAGAAGGGCGAGCCGTCGGTCCATCTACGGTCGGACCAGGAGCGTGAGCCGGAGCGGAGCGCCCAGAATCAACGATACTCTGCTGATTTCCTGAACGTGAGTCCAGCCCCCTTTCTCTGGTCCTGTGTCATAACCCATCTGCTCCTACCACACCTTCCTTCGTAAGCTGACATGTGTGCGGGAGGATCACAGGCAATCTACGAGTGCTCACCTTACCTCAAGAGGGTCCTGCGCGCCGGCAACGATGCTCGGCGGCTGTGGTCCACTCTGAAGCGGTGGAAAGGAGACAGCCCTGAAGAATTCTTTGGCCAGCTTGGGTCATGGGCTGAGGCACGGATGGGCGAGATGGGAGCAGAGATCCCTGCCGCTCACCAACCGGACCTGACTGAACAAGCAGGACCCAAAGTAGAAAAGAATGCATTGTATGTGTAATGTACAGAACTCGCAGTCAGTAGACAGGCGTCTGATACACTATGGCAGCCAGAATTCAAGATTTGAGTGTACCAGCTCGCTACAGGACATGACTCTCGGGTTCAGAGCGTTGGCAACCTATGTGCTTGTTTTGACCTTCCACCTGCTGAATATCATCACCGCCGAGAATTTTTCTCCTTGAGTTGACAGCGACCTTCTAGGTGTAAGAGAAGAGGCTGTTCCCATGGCGTTGCCCGTCGTCGAAGCGTGTGAGGCTGGAACCGACGGCTCAGCAACCCACTGTCCGTGCCCCGGATGAGCGAGTGATGCGCAGTAGATCGCCTTGCCCGTCCGATATCACGTGGTGAGAAGTGATGAATCAGACACAAAATTCTCACAGGTCCATGAAAGTATACTGTATACCAGGGGTGCATCGCCTTCAGAGTGGAGTGAGGGCTGTTCTGGTTTGTGGGGGCTTACACCAGGCGGTCTGTCCATCATCGGATCCCAATACCACGGCCCTTTGTCATGAGAGCAGACCCCTGTTCAATCGAAGCCGCCATGCCGTTCTCCGGGAAATAGGGCGTCTACCCGAGAGCAGCCCCTGAATATCTCTCCGAAATAAGGCGCACCCTCTTGTCTGTCAGTAAACAGGTCTACCCGTCCTCACCTCGCCTCCGAGGAGGGGCAGACCTGGGGCCATGATTGAATGATGATGGTGTTTCGAAATGAACAAATTAGATTTCGCCCTTCGCGCATGCCGAAACCCAATCGCTCTGAATCAGGTCACAGGGCGGGATGGATGGGATGTGCGGTGCGGTGCAGTGCAGTGCAGACACCTGCGATCATCGGACCCGAGAGCCAAAATGCCACCCACCCCTATGCGAGCATACGTGTAGGTACGTATTAACAGTAGTCTGTTCTAATAGTGTATACTAGGGAACGGGAAGGAGACATCTAGATCGAATTCCCATGTGCGATTGCGGTACGGTGGACATGGGCCCAGGAACCGCTCACGGACGGCTTTTTCTGGCTGGGCCAAGCCAAAAAAATAGATAAAAAAGTTGGTTTGATCTACGGTGCATGCACAACACAACTCCTCCAGATTGCAACATGGCGGCTGCCGCGATACCACCGATACCACAGTACCGGCCCCGCCCAGCCGTACGCGAAACACGATTCGCAGGGACGAGCTGGACCCAGTGCTCGATCGATTACCGAGCAGGACTCCCAAGGACTCAAGGAGCGCGCCCGTCCGGGCTACGAAAGAGCATCTTGTTGTCGTGGACGGCAGCAAGATTAGGAGCCGTCTGTGCAATAGATCTATCACACCTATAGTACACAAAACCAGTGGACTAAGGCAGCCTCATCGTGTGCTATGCTAGACCACATGCGAGTAACAATAATACTCGAGGCGTCGGTGGCTTGCAGAATGCTGCTGGGTGCATGTCCCACCAGCAGGCGGACAGCACAGTAAGAAAATCCCGGCGGATCCAAAGTCGTCCCAGGCTCCCCCTTGTCACTCCCTTTGCCATCTTTTTTCACTTGGTATTCCTCGCCTCGCTGTGGATGGAAATAGAACAGAAGAGGAGGAACCCCCGGCGAACAATCTACGCGACAAACTTGAAGTCCCCAATTTTATTTTAGCACATGCAAATTTACCCGTATTCCGGTCCACCAGATGTTACAGTAGCTGCCGGTCCTCCTTTTCAATTTTTTTGACAAGCGGAAAAGGCTCTCTGACAGGGCGCCTATCGCGTGCTACTGTCACGGCTTTACAACGTGCCCGTTGCCCGTGCCCTATTCCCGCCTGACCGCCTGTCTCTTTTCCTCACAGCCAAAGTGGGCGAGTGGTGAGTCCATGTTGAACCTAGGACAGACGGACGGACGGACAGACAAGCACGAGACCAAACACACGAGCGACACGGGCACAGGCACAACACGCGCGCACAACCACACCACAGCCCGTGTGCGCTCTGTGTGGCGCGCGCTCCCGTGGTGTGCGGTGATGCCCGTGCCACAGTCATTCAACAACATGGCCCGTCCGGGCCATTCTCGAGAGTTGCAGGCAGACAATGAATGAATGCTACAGTAGCCCACCGACAACCCCCCTCCTCATCCCAAGAGAACAAACGACATTAGGGGGCAATGTATGTATGTGTGTGCTCGAATAATAGTCTGGGAATATCCGTGCTGCATCAGAAACCCTCGCCAAGGCCACAAGGCGCCCAGCCTACTGCCGTACACACACAATTTGTCGCCCGGTGGACGTCGGGGGCCCTGGGCGCTGCTGTTGGTCTAGTTCAGGTCAATGATCGTCGAGGCCAAATCCCCGCGCCGGATCGGGACACTCTCTCGAAGGAAGAGACGGCGGACAGGGCGACCGCGAATGACTGGACAGCCAGCAGCGGCACAGAGGCAGGCGGGCTCGTGTCGGTCGTCGATCAGCTGCAAATAGCCCAGCTGGGCCACCACCACCACCTCCTCCTCAGCTGAGTCCTTCGTTGGCAGAGCAAGGCACAGCGGCAAGGCAACGCTGCAGCATATTGGGGGCTTGCATTGCGTTCCCGCGTAGAACTATTCACTCCCGTGCGAGCGACTCACTCACTCTACATACACGCACATGCAAGGCCAGCAGGCCGTATTGACTGACTAAATGACAAAATGATTGAGTGCTTGACTGACCGACCGACCGTTCTGTTCATTTCCTCTGCGTCCGGACGGCCCGCTAATCACCCATCGATACTCGGCTCCGCACAACCCCTCCCCCTTCTCTCCTCTCGTCTCCTCTCCCCGTTGTGCGTGCGTTGCGACTGACCCCTGTGCCGCTTTGTTGTTGCTGTTGGAACTTGTACCAGAATTTCAAGTTTTCGATCGACTCCCTGGCCCTATCCTATCGCGCGAGGCGGATTTCTGCAATAGCCCTCTCGTCTTATACCCCAAGAAATCCATGTCCACGCTGCCTGTTAGACTTTCCCTGCTTACCCCAAAAACCACAATCAACAACCCCCCCCCCAATTGCCACTCAAGTTGTAGACTACCTACATACCTAGTCTCCCCCGTCACCCGTCACCCACTCAGCCACTACGTCAACCCATCTCTCTATCCGGCACTTGGGTGATCGCATGGGGGAAGCATGCCTGGCTAGCACGGCCTCATAAGTTGAATTTGCAACCCTTCCCTGCAGAGCCGAGAGAGCCACTGCCCGCACTCCCTGCGCGGTGAAGTCACATCATACCACCGACAGTCGAAACGCCAATCTCCAGCAGTCCGGTTTGTTTCGTGACAGAGACCCCCCTGGGCCCTGGACTGGGGGGGCCTGGCTGTGGCGTGTCCGTGTCTTGGATCCACCCACCAAGCGCTTCCGAGCGACTGAGCGAGACATAGAGAGATAGAGAGGGACGGTGTTCGTTTTCGGGCTGTCGGGGCAAACCAATCAATCCCACCTCAGAACTTCCACACTACCTAGCCTACTCCTTCCAAGCCTCCACCCGCACAACGCACATCGTATTCCCTCGTCCCTCAACCGCCGCCCCCCGAAGTCTTTGATCAGACCTCTCGAACAGCCTCCTCCCCCGCCACCAAGCACCGTTTGCCAGCTACTCCGGAACGAGCCACCAAGATCGCTGCTCGGACAGCCTGCCACTCTCCTGCGGCGGCGCCATTGTACAACTAGCGTACCGCTTGATCGGAGACGAGATTACACTGTGTTCGCCTCGCCCGCCCTCTGCCGGCCAGAGCCCGAACAGACTCACTGCGACGCTCCGGTACGAGGCCACGAGGTGAACGGGCGGTGGCCTCTCTTGTACCCTTTTTTTTCGACGGCGGCAAACAAGACCAATCCTATCCCATCATCACTACAGCCGCGGGCCTGTCTCCATCAGCTCCTCTTATCCCCCCCCCCCCCTCCAGCCTCGGCTGTTGAACCGAGACCCCGACCTGCTTCGTTCGAGGAGAGCTGTCCTGTCAGTTGATCCAGTGCGCGAGTGTCTTGCGTTTTGATTAAGATCCACCCGGCTGCTTGACAGCTTCCATGACTTTGGCAATGAGATGAACGGATCAACGCTGACGACGGCCGCTCCGGCTGTCAAGCCCAGCGCGATCCACCGCTCTCATTCCTCGCCAGACCTCTTTCTCGATGCAGCCCCGCTGACAAAGTCCTCGCTGAGTATCAGCTCCCCAAACGAGTTCGACCACGGTTTCAGCGAAGCCGCCACCGCCCAGGGTGACTCCCAGTCCGAGCCGGCCACTCGAAGCTTCGAGGTGCCTTCTTTCGATTTCGGCTCAGACGTCGAGACACATCTGCCTTTCGAGTCGAAACTGTCTAAACCGCAGGTCGTCAAGCCGGATGACAAGGCAGTAAGCCCGCGCTGGCCAAGCAAGCTTCTGGAGCCTATGGCTGTTCCGAAGGCCGCCACGACCAAGTCGAGCCGGTCCAAGTCGATCGCCGACCGCCCACGGTCATGGTTACCCAGCAAGTCAGCAGACGGAACCGAGAAGGCCTCGGTGCTGAAGAAGGCGAGGAAGCCGGACGATAATGAGAGGGCAAAGGACGACAAAGACGCTGGCAAAACCACCGAAAAGACCGAGAAACCCGAGAAAACCGAGACGCCAAAGTTTCTTACAACTAGGGACAGGTCGTCCTCGTTCGCCGATTTCGCCCGCAAATCCTGGATCGCATCATCCAGATCGCCGTCGCCCAAAGCAGATGGAGAAAGAAAGGCATCGTCGAGGGGTGATGATGCGGCAGTGGAAGCCGAGGCGCCAAAGAAAGACGCGTCACTCTTATCGCCCAACAAGCTCGGCCGACGCCGTCTCACAGCCAGCAGCCCCAGCGGCAGCGAGAGGAGCAAGTCGTCAGATTCGCTGAGTGGCACCAGCCGAGCCCTGAATAGGGCCAGCGTTTACTTTGGGAAAATAAAGCAGAAACCACCACAGGACATACCGAAAGACGGTACCCACCTAGTAGTGCCCTCCCAAGGGTCACCATCGAAGAATGAGGCCGTTTCTCCAGCGACATCTTTAGGGACACCCGAAAAATTAAATCCGCGGCTCTCGTCGCAGACCGCTCTGTCCTCGACATCGGATACCAGCAGCGGTGGTACGGGCAGCACCGGCATAACGGAACCCTCGCAAAATTCGGAGACGATGGCACAGAGGTCACAACCGCCGCGCGATCCTTTGTGGGCGGCCTTCCGGCGGCTCGACTCGGAATTCTCCATATTCCTGGGCAAGTCGTCTACGGCTCAGAGGGTCCTTGTTGCCAGGAACACGCTGATACCATTCTTACGGAACCACGGCAACCACACCTCCAATAAGGACAATAACTTGCTGTCCCCCGAAGACATCGACAGGCGGGCGACGATCTTGCACAAGTGGTGGAACGGCTTGCTCGACCTGCTTGACGGCTCTGCTATCAAGAATGCTGGTGCTCCTGCCATGAGCTTCGCGGCCATCCAGGCGAATAGCTCAAGTGCCGCCATGCAGCCCGTGGCGGGGGTCGACCGGCCCGGACTGCTCGAACTCATAACTTTAATCATGATGCGCCCTGAGTGGAGGCTGAGTACGCCCGGCTTCCGCCCTCTCAAGGATCGCTCTCCGCGCGAGGTTGTACGCGGCCGCGCCGACACCAAGGACTCGATTGATTTCATTGCCGAGTCTGCTGAGCACAACGTCCGGACCATGTTCGTCAACAATCTGCTGACGCAAATGTCAATCGTCGTTGAGAAGATGTCCAGCAGGCATGCTCCCGTCTCGCTGGTAACTTTCTGTGGCAAGGCTTGTGCATATGCGTTTTTCTTCATCCCTGGGATTGCCGAGGTGCTTGTCCGCCTGTGGGGCCTAACGCCAGATTTATTGAGACGAGTCGCGGACGAGTTCAGTTTGCCCAGGAGGAGCAAAGGTGAAAGCGAAGACATTGTCTCTCTGTTTCCTTCGACGTTACACAAGCTGGGCTGGACCTCCGTCAAGACAATGACGGATAATTTGCGATTGACGACCAAGCTGTCTTTGGTAGCCGCCAAAATCCCTTGGCATGGTCCATGGATCTCCAGATGGCGCGGCGGCGACACGGATCTCTTCTTCATCTTCTGCAAGTACTATTACATTCTTGCAGAGGACTTTATGCCGATGGATTTGCCGTTGTTTGAGAAGGCACGCGCGCCGGCGTACGCGCTCATACACGCACAGCTCCTGAGCGTGCTGGATACGACCATCCACCACCGCCAGGCGGCATTCGACAACATGATGGCACCGAACGTGCTGGACTCGGCGAATGGCGCGGACGCCATGGCCGCCGCTCTGGCTCAGTTGCCACCCAGCAACCTCCTAAGGGGCATGGACGAGAACCGGCTGATCGTCCTGCTAAAGGACATGCTTGGAGACAACTCGGTCGGGGGCCTGGAATCCGGCGCCAGGCAGACTTTTGCCACGGCGTTCATGGGCATCCTGAAAGCGGCGACTAAGAAGACACCGGTCTTCAAGCAGGCCCCAGTCCTCGTGCTTGTCGACTTTTTACAAGAAGTTCTGCAGGCATTCGACACATATGCTGGGTATAGCGATCCCAGTATCAAAGGCCGGCCAGAGGAGGCGGCCGTCGCCATGGACCATATAGATTGGAATTTCTGGCTCGACGTCTTCCACAAAATCCTCTTTGAATCCAACAGCACCATGTCGGAGATCCGGATCCTGTCGTTTTTGTACTCGGCATGGGATGTCCTTGCCGCCGACCCCTCCAGGAAAGAGAAGCTGTGCACTGGTTGGTTACTTACCGAGGAAGTTTTTGACAAATTCTTCAACAACTACACGCCTATGGTGCGCGCTTACTTTATGCGCCTGCTATGTTGGAGGATATGTCGCGACCAAGGCAGCGCTAATGAGTTGGATATGTGAGTTGATCTCGTGCCCATCCTGCGAAAGAGTACCGAACTAATGACCCTTGTGCAGGAAAATATTTATGCTTGTTTCTGAGCGGCTCAAGAAAGTATGGTCGCACTATCTCTGGCTGAAGCAGGACGCCGAATCGTCGAATAAGTTGCTCCCTTCGACAGCGCCAGCCCACCCACAGCCTGGCAAACGGTTTATGATCATCCGCATGGAAATGACACCTCCTCAGACTGGCTTGTTGCAGGCTGGTTTCGACACAATGAATGGCACTTTAGGCTTCGGAGGCGTCGACTACAGCAGCCCCGGGTCGGGTGACAGCGGCGACAACTCGAACGAGCCAGGCGAGGGGACGTACAAGAAGAGGTGGTCCATTTTCGGCAAGATGTTGAGCTTCGCCTCGACAAGTGCTCCTGGAGGCTCTGCGACTGCGAATGCGCCCAGGCGAAACAACTCAGCGGACGAACTCGAAATCGCACGGCGTGCCACAGCAACAGCACGGTCCGGCCCTCCAACTCCGCCCAAGGGCTCGCTGCCTGAATCTGATGCGTCTTCGACTGGATCCAGCCCGGTGTATGAATCGACGCAGTTTGTCTTCAAGTTCACTCTAGGCGCTCTCCCGTGGAATCCTGCGCCAGACATGATGGGGCATGCCGGCAGCTTACTGTCGATGCTCCCGCGCGAGCGCGTGCTGACGAGGCCGCGCCTTCCAGCCCCAGCTCAGGCAAGAGTCAGCGCACGAGCGGCGTCGACTGGCGGGCGAAGCGACAGCCCGCCACCGCCAGCTGCGGGCATGCCCCGTCCCGAGAGGATGCACTCGGGGCTTTCTCAGGGGGGCTTGGTAAACGAGGCCCGCAATGCTGCGACCCTCAATGCGGAGAACGAAGCTGCGGATACGAAAGACAGCAGCAGCTTTTCCGTCGCTCCCAACCTGCCACCGATCGAGCGGGTGACGAGCGTCGAATCCAATCATGACGGGTCAATGAAGAGCGCGACATCCGATGAGAGCAACCGACTCGAGATCCCGCGCGGCAGATCCGAGGTCGAACGACAGGTCGTGCAGCCTGTGGAACCCACTGGATTCTTGCGCCAGCGAGCGACATACACTGGGCGTGCGCTGGCGGAGTGGGGCATCGTCGTGAACGAGTGCAACTCGTTCGTGGAGAGGCGCCGCGACGAGGGCGTGTGTGGGCTGCAAGAGGTCGAGGTGCCCAGTCTGGGGGTCGAAAACCTGCGGCGCATGGGTTAGAAGCCCTCTGCGCATGACGGGTCTCGACACCAGGGGCCCTCACGGCCCGAGAATGAAGACGACATCTACGATAAGCTTCGGAGCTGGATTGCGAAGAAGCGGTCCATAAGCATATATGTTCGACCTTCTGAGAAAGCGAACAGGCAACTGAGTTGGCCAGGCTTGCCACGGCCTGGGGCCAGAAGGAGGAGCGACGCGTGACGTTTGCACCTGCAGCTTTTTACCTTGCATTGCACCACACATTGGCTCCTTCCGACATCCACAAAAGGGAGCGACGAATGGGTATTAATGTGTAGCGGCCAAAGCTCGATCTGCGACTTGGTATTTTGCATTCATCCCTTCCTTTGGGAGCAAACACCGCATTGTATTTTGGAAGATATCATTGCTGTTGGGTTGGAGTTCTTCCCTGCATTATCTGGCGTTCCATGGATCTGTTTTTATGGGGTGTCTACGAACACGGCATTTTAGAAGGGTCGGGGGCGGGGACGGTGGAGGCCTTTCTCTTTTTGTGCGCAGAGCAGCGAAGTCCTGAAATTGGCATTGTCACGTCTTTGGAAGGCTGTCGGGTCTCTTTCTGTCTACGAAGGGATTCGTGTATCAAATAAACACCTGTGTGGGACAGGCATTCTGCGGCACATCCGAACTCAAGTGAAATCATGAGCTACCCACCCACTGGTACTTACATGCACCTACCTTCTCGTGCTACCTAGGCTGTCACAGCAATTTTGCCTCTGCCCTCTTTACCATCCACATGATTTCGTCCTGGGCGACATCGTGCAGCGGGACCTACCAAAACGAGTAACGCTCGAAGACGGATTCCACGAGGAGTTACCAGAGTGGCCCCAGACGCAAGAGAACACACAAGCACTCGCTTGTCGAGGTCCACGGGGACGGACTCATACTCGCTCGGTAGGTAGGCATTGACCACGAAGATGACACCTGAGCATTCTGGCAGGTCATACATCGTCGAACATATTGTCCGAGCACGATGTGCTGCCTGGCCTGAGGATACTGCCGAGGTCTCAGCCCTGTGACCTGGATAGCGCGGGCTCCCAGCACCACGATCATGGCCCAAAACCTGCACTTGCAGAGCTCCTGCTCCTCGTCCCACACCCAAATCGACAAGCCAAACCAGTCTGGCCAGCCGGTCAGCGCGGCAAGTCAATCGTCGAACCGAACGCTCACGATCTCTGACACTGACTCGTTACCGTGCGCGGAGATCAGAAGCAGATGAGGTCGATCGTACGACGCTTGGATCAGACCCGCGGTGGCACGGTGGCACGAGACAGTAGCCGCACAGCTCCTTTGTGGTCGAACGACGACCTGATAGCGCCTCGCCCACGCCGCACAGGGTGCGGGGGCAGCCGTGGACGATGCAAGGCATGTGGCTCTCGAGTCCCCCAGGACGCTGCACCGCAGGGTCCAAGAACCGGACGGCACGCCCATATAGAAAAGCCTCGCCCTCCGCACTCTTCCACTCAAGCCTCTCCACACGAATGCCGGGCGGGCGGCGGGATGGCGATCGCAGGAGGGCGATCGCAGGGCGAGACAGGCGGCATTCCAGCATATGCGTCTCGAAGCTGCACCGCCATGTTTCTAGTCGTGGCCCATTCCAGAGCTAGACATAGTCTGGCCCGGGCGAGAGGTCCATGTGGCATCGCCGGGGGTGCCAGGCTGTGCACACGCGTCACTGGCATTCTTTTGCGCCGGGGTGGCCACATTCCGGGGGCCGGCCATGCAGTAGCCCCAGGCTCTGCCCTTCCGTGCGGGTGGTCCGGCGGGATGGGTGTTTCGAGGCCGCGGCGGGAGACGGCAACTACGTGCCAAGCGCAATTGGATTCTCCGGGGGTGCCGCCGCCGCTGAGAGGAGTCTGGGGGAAATGGAGCTAGCAGCCCAGGAGCTGATTTCTCGACGCCATGAGACTCTGAATTTCCCTATCTGCTCGGTGCCGTCGCACAGAATGGCAATGAGGCGTCATCTTGGCGCTGGTCATGTTCGGCTTCACACTTGGAAAACGTAGGTAGTCGTTTCTCAGCAGGTTTCTAGAAGTGCGCACGTACGGTATTATTAGCCCCCAGCGTTGCATCTCGTGTGGTTGGTTGCTGGGTACCTCCCGTATGCTCAGCTCCTCGGCAGCGTATTCACACACACTCCAGGGCCGGGCGAGGCGAGGATAGCCATGCTTGTTGAGATGAACCCCGATCGGTCTCAGCCGAGGGCGGAAACAGATTGTGACTGATACCGGAGGTCGAGATGGCCAAATGGTAATAAGTAATACACAATACCTAGGCAGGTATGAAAGACCGCGCGTACATTGCTTACGGCTGCCAGCCAGATCCAGCTATCTGCTTCGGTTGTTGCGTTGCTGGGGAGGAGGAATCGATTGCGACTGCTTGAGAGGGGAGAAAAGTGAATGCCCTAAAAGAGAAGGAAGCCGACCCGGCGGGTCCACATCGCCGGGCTCATCACGGTAGCAGAAGTCTAACGGTTGGCAACGCAAATGAAAGCCTTGGGTGAACATACGACCAGAGCCGATGATCAGCATCAGTTATTGCCTGTTTCATAATTGAGGGCATTTCTTGTTTGGGAATCATGCGCTGTTGATGCAGCCAGGACGAGACTCGCCAACGTCGCCTCGGTGGTCGAGGTGGACACTCAATATTGGGAATTGCGAGCAGCGGAAATGAGGACCAGGAGGCTTGCTGAATCCTGGGGCCGCGGATATCAACTCTCCACCTCCGTGACGACGGCAGAGAGCATCAGCCAGCGGCCAACGCCCAAAAGAGATGGTGCGATACTCGCGCGGCCTTGGGCCATCGCAATGAGTTGGCAGATTAGGGACGTCAACTAGGAGAATTATTGGCCTTCATTTCGTCGATCAGATCGCGGGGAGGGCCTATGGATGGATGGCCTGTCAGGCCTGCCCCCCTCCTCTCCCCCCCCAAGAGGGGCGGCGGTCCTCGGTTGTGTCCCCAGAGTCTGTGCATACACAAAAACCTTGATGTGGTACATTGCATGGCTTTACGTACGTACATAGATAGACAGATAGATAGATTGGGCGCAGGTAACCGTGCGGCCGGACCAGGGCCAGGGCACTGAGAGAATAATGATACGGCAACGGCAGAACGGGTGATGTCTTTCTGTCATGACCAGGACAAGATCCGAACCAAGCTGCAGGGTTGCCACTCGACAGAAGCCAATTAGAACCAGTCCTTGATGCTCCAAGTGTTCTAAAGCCTTATGACGTTGCTGAGGAACTTTGCATCAATGGGAATTTTAAAATTGGGTTTCTTTTCTTGGATGCCCAGGCGAGCTGGCGGTTGTGAACAGGGCTGAGCCGGTTCGGCAACAGCCTGTGATGTGCTGTTTGGGAGGTCGGCACGGCGGCTGGACGGCCAGCGCAGATGAAGAGATGCAAATTGCGCCTCCCCCGTGGCTGCGAGTCCAACCTGTCAGCCTGCCAACCAGGACGCCAAGAGGCACGACATCAACAACTGGGCCGCCGGTGCTGCGGCGTGGTCTCCTTCCAGATGCAGGCTACGATGGTAGCCAATGTTTAGGACCACGAAATCGAGCATCCAGCCCCTCCACGATGGCACTGGCCGGCCGGGTCAGGTGCAGCCCGACCAATACCAGCCGCCCTTCCAAATGCTTGGCTTAGCCTGGGAAATTTGGGGTTCCCAAAGGGGACTAAGTCAGGTACAGGGCCAGAAGCCGGGGTCGAGGTGGTGTGGCCCCATGGAAAGGTTTGTGTCGATCTGAGCAAGGGAGGGGTCAGCCGACATCAATCTCAACCAAGGGAGAGAGATGACAACACACGACCAACCACCATCAACACCCGCGATATGGCGAGATGGCAGAGGCGGCTGAGATTGACGATGGGTCAAAAGGACAAAGCACTGTTGCCCACTGGCTCCAGCCATCGCGGCAGCCGTAGGCACGTCCTTCAACGCGGCAACTGATCGTCCAACAAAGAACATCTGCCACCGTGGAGATCCTCATCATGGCTGCCACCGCCGCCCTGTATGCTCGCTCTCGCTTTATCCCTTCCTCCTCACTCTCTAGCCAAAGTGTGCAACGACCGCATAACGACCGAGTGTCTATGATCGTCTGTCAGTCCCCGCATTTTTATTAAGAGTAGAACCGAGCATCATCAGTGCTCCACGTCGTCCTCCTTGAGTCCCCGAAGTATACAGAGAGCCCCCTTTCGCAACATCACAGTCTAGCTGCGCCTCCTTCCAGGAGTCCTCTCTGCGACCATACCCAAGCCCTTTTTAGGTCTCTGAGCCGGTGAGTCCCATCCTGATTGCGCTGGTGCAGGCCGGATCTGCACTCTGGCCCTCGCCGGCATCCTGGGCTCGACGGCACCGTCACATTCGTATGGCCGTGTCGCCGGGCAGAGGGGGGTTTGCCCGCAGAGGCTTGGCCCTCGTGTCGTGCGTCTGTTCTCGTGCGTTGCAGTCGTTGCAGCCGGGCCCTGCTGCTAAAAGTCAATCGGCGTCGCCCATCTCCTAGTCTGGTCTGACCCTCCCCTGGGCTAATTTAATCTCGCGTGCAACAGGGCCCACCCCATATCCCATCCCGTTGACAGCCACGAGACCCCTGGCCGTCGAGCTCTGGATAATCTCCCGTCCTGGCTCCATCTCTCATTTCCAGCTTTGCTCCTTCGCCCACACGCACCACGCGCCCGCACGCCCTCACGCCCACACGGCACCCCAGGCCACGCTGCCGCTCCCTCTTTTGCGCCTCTCCCCTTTCCCGACCCCTGTCCCTCCCACAGGTTCCGCTCATAATCCTCGCCGGTCCCTCTCGTTCAAGTGCCCACTGTCCTCCTCGCGAGACTCCTCACCCTTCTGGTCCCACGGCATCGCGTCGCTTCCTCCGTCCAACAGAGAGTCGTTGCTCTCTACCACATTCTTTTGGAACTCGCGAACAACCTCGACACTACGTCTAGTCTCGTCGTCCGTTCGTTCGTTAATTCCCAGCATCTCGTCCTGCTCGATCCATCTCGAACAGGTACCCGGATTCGCAACCTCATTAAACGTCGTTCATCTAAACAAAAAAAAATGTGAGCCAGTCCCTGCCCATTTTGTGTGTATCTCGAGAGAGCGATACATGGTCGAGACTGGAAGGCCCTCGCTACTGTGCTCTGGAGTGACTTTGCCGGGGCCCGCAATCCTCGTCTATCATTTTGGCACTATCCCACAGTGCAATTGCGGTCCTGTCGCAGGGACCATGTCGATGTTCAGGACGCATACTGACATGGCTGTTTAGCTCTCACACACCAAAGTAGTATCAGACATCTTCAGGAAAATCTGACCCAGAACTCAAAATGAAGGGAGCTCTTAACATTGCCATTGCAGCATCTCTGGCTGCCGGTGTTACCGCCCAGCCTCACGCGCACCATCACCGACACCAGCACGCCAAGAAGCACGACCAGGCCCCTCATGTGGTCCAGCTTAAGCAGCGCGGACCCTCCCCCGTCCTGAACGAGCGGGATGTGGTCGTGGTCTACGAGACCCCCCTCGAGACGGCTTACGTGCTGGGCGGCGAGTCAATCACTCCCGAGGAGGCGGAGGATTGTCTGAGGGACAAGCTGTGCGAAATCGTTGGAGAGTCGGAGCCCACCTTTGTCACCCCAACGCCGACGCCGACACCGACCCCGAGCCAGCCGTCCACCTCGGCTGCCAAGTCAACTTCCGCGGCCGCTGGCGAATTCTTCGAGGCCAAGGTCAACAAGGTCGCCACTCCCTCGAGCAGCTCCGCCGAGCCCGCCTCGTCTTCGCCTGCTCCCAAGGCCACTTCGAGCTCGTCCTCCTCGGGCGCATCCGGCATCGACGCGGACTTCCCCGACGGAGAGATCGACTGCAGCACGCTGCCCACCGAGTACGGCGCCGTTGCTGTCACCCAGGTTAATCACTCTGGATGGGGTGGTCTTCTGAACGTTGGCACTGGTGCCTTCACCGTGGGCTCCACCAAGGCCATCTCCAGCTACTCGGCCCCTGACGGTGGTCTGGAGCCCGGCATGTTCGGCACCTACCAGTGCCCTGAGGGCTACGACATGGCTCAGTGGCCTGAGGGCGCCCAGGGCGCCACCGGCCAGTCCATTGGTGGCCTCTGGTGCGGCCTCGACAACAAGCTCTACCTCACCCGCCCTGACAGCACCAAGAAGCTCTGCCAGAAAGGTGCAGGCAACGTCAAGGTCGTCAACAAGCTGAGCGACAAGGTGTCCCTGTGCAAGACCTCTTACCCCGGTAAGGAGGATATGATCCTGTCAAACGTTGTCGAGGGTGGTGCCACCTACAACCTCTACAACCCCTACCAGAACCAGTCGTACGTGTGGGGTGGAGCTTCTACCTCTGCTCAGTACTACGTCAACCTGAAGGGCCTCGACAAGGACATTGCTTGCCAGTGGACCAGCCCCAAACCTTACTCCAACAATGCTGGCAACTGGGCCGGTGTCAACCTGGGCACCAGCGTGAACGACGATGGCACGACCTTCCTGTCCATCTTCCACAACACGCCCACCAGCAACACTCCCCTGGACTTCAACATCGAGCTGAGCGGCGACGTCAGCCAGAAGTGCACGTACTCGTACTCGTCCAACTCCTTCAGCCCTAGCAACGGCAACGGCTGCACGGTATGTCACTTTTCCCTCTGACCGTGGTTACGCCGGACTTGACTAACTCTGTGACAGGTCGCTGCGCAAGCCGGTGGCACCATCTTCGTGACTCTTTCCAACTAAGCGCCATGTCATGATGATACGCCTTCTCGCGATTTCCTGTTCAGCGTCATTTTCTACTTGATACCTCGAGAGACGGCGGATTCCGCAGTCTCAGTCCCGGCCTGATTCCCCACCACTGGGGGGTTCTTGGCTAGCACCTGAGGCCCGGAACGCCTACTATACTTATATGTGCACATAATTGCTATTGTATTATTTCTAAAAGGAAACGGTGTCGACAGCCCTGCCGTCCAGTCGCACTCGGGACAAAACTCGCGTCTCGACCAACAGGGTTGGAAATCCTGTGCGGATCCAACCCTTTGAAGCAACCCTGCATACGACTGGACGACGAGCGGCAGTGCAACATGTCGATTGGGGCTCCGCAGATCATTTCGACCAATCCACTGTGGCCATCTCGTCAGACAACATGGGTATATGTGGAGGGCTTTATTTATTCAAATTCTTTGGCGATCTGGTTGTCATGTTTGGATACATTGATGATGATGGGCGGAGCGAGTCTGGCCTGCCAGGCCTTTCAAAACCGGGCAGGAACAGCCTCAAGTCGTCGACCTCGGGGGGATTGGGGTTGGCAGGAGTTGGGGAGAAGGGTGTGTCTGATTGATGGCAGGATATGTCGGATGCAAAGAGAAGATGAAAGGCGCCAAGGGGCTGAACTTGCATCTGCGAAGGAGGCCGTTCTCTCCGGGGGGCCAGATTCTGATCTTGACCAAGCCCACTTAGCCTACATTGCCAGAGCGGAAATCAAGATGTCAATTCTTTCTTTTTCCTTTGTACAGCTTTGGGGCCAAGACGCCTGCCTGCCGGTCCAATTCACCGCTGTCGACGCCGTTTCTTGAGGGAGAACAAAACTACCTTAAATGCGTCTCATTATATACACACAACATTTGGATCGGAACTTTGACCAAGGCGTTTGTGATCAGTGAGATGTGTTGTGTCTACAAGCTGTCCTATGTCAGATTCTCTCCTGTGCCATGAGCTACCTGGCTATGTAGTTGTACCACTCATTGTAGATCTCCATCCGATGTCATACATGCTTGCGTAGACAAGGTGTCGTCGAAGGCGTTGTTAAATGTGAGGTGAGGCTCAAAGTCCCTGATGGCGTGGGGGAGCCGGGTTCTCTGCTCCGGAGACTCGGGACATTTCCAGGGTGTGACATCAGGAAACTCCACCGCACAGGGAAAGGCGCCGTTGAAACTTGATGCTCGCGGTTGAAACAAACTCGCACTGCGGCCTACCAACGTGGGCCTAAAACCTTTGGCTCTGGCTCTCGCAGTGCTGCTTGCTGCCCACCACCTCGCTCTCCCGAGCTTATCCACGCGTCAGGCAGCCAGTTGCATGAAGCTTGGAAGTCGTCCACTGAGCCTGGCCGGAAGAACTGGTCACACGTGCCTGCATCTAGCTGTAATCGACTTTGGAGTACACAGTTGTCAATATGTGAAGGTTGGAGTTAGTTTCCCGCCCGCTCATGGAGAATGCCCCCAAAGGCCCCTACCCTGCCTGACGCAGCTACGGTGGAGCCAGCGTGGCTCTAGTGACGAGGAGTGTTTCAAGCTCCTGAGGTCTGGAAGCTTGTGCGCCGAATCAGGCTGGAGCCACTCGGAGCTGTGAGCGAGGGCTATCTCACGCTAGGCCTACACCGTCGTGTTGAGGGGACGCCCTCTCCTGGTGCAGCAGAGCGCGGGAGGACCCACACTGTCTGACTGGGCGAGGCAGGCTGGCAGGCACAGGCAGGCACAGGGCAGGGCCAAGGCCAAGGCGCCTACGGCCCACGGCCCACGGCTAGGGGAGCTGTGCTGTCAGTTGCGTACCTCTCTATTCTTAGCTTGGTTTGCACAGTACCTAGGTACCAGGCACGGACAACATACGCCTGCGGTTTGCCCGTACCTATGCCGTATGCCTCAGAACTCGGGCGCCCTGAGACGAGACGACGCCACCCATGCCATCCATCGCCTGGGTTAGCATAAGCAGACCCATCCTTTGACAGGACCTGACCTGCCTTCGACGACGACGACGACACTTCATCGTTTTCCCACTATTCGTACAGAACCATTATCGCAAAGCCCCTCCCGCATCGCCATTTGTACTGCTTGCCTTTCTGACCGCGCATCGTGTCCACTCAGCGCCCTCCTCTCATCGACCCGCGACTTAGCCAGCTCGAAGCACCAGCTCGGACCCTCCTCCTCCCCGATCGACACGCAGACAGACAGACACACACCTCTCTCCCCAATCCCCTCCTTCATGATTACCACAACGCTCCGGCCGACACGATGAAGGCCTGGGGAGCTTACAAGGCTGTCGCCTTGCTGCTGACTGCCCTCTGTACGACGCCACTGGCTGTCCAAGCCAAGGACGACCCAAACATCGCCGTCAAGGAATTCCCACACTACCCTCAGAACCTCAACTACTTCGACCAGTCCGATATAATCCTCTTCCAAGACATCAGCGACCAGAATGTATACCAGTCCAATGACGGCGGCAAGACATGGGACCGCGTGTCCGATGTCCCCGAGGGCAAGGCCTTTGCCCTCGTCATGCACGAGTTCAGCAAAGAGCGGGCCTACATCCTGACCGAGGGCGTGACACACTACATGACCCTCGACCGTGGCAAGACCTGGAAGACATTCTTCACCGATGCCGAGATGAGCATATTCCGAGGCGAGATCTTCAACTTCCACGCCAGCGACCCCGACCGCATTATATTCAATGGCATGGACTGCCAGAGCATCTTCTGTGACGAGATAGCAATGTACACGACAGATGGCTTCAGGAGCGACGCCAAGTTCCTCCGCGGCAATACCGCAGGGTGCTGGTGGGCAAAGTCCTCGGATCTGTTCACAACAGGCCAGGAGGATCTGGACAAGCAGCGCATCCTGTGCGCCGTGAGGGACTCCTTCTCCCCGCTGAGATCAGATACCCGCCTGCTCATCTCGGACAACTTCTTCTCTGCCAAGGACTCCAAGGGCGCGATACAGGAATTCGAGCCGAACCTGGACACCAACAGGCCCGTACAGGGCATTGTGAATGTCGCTGCCGTCAAGAAGTTCCTCCTGGTCGCCACAACTTCCCTCAACACGGACGAGATGGCATTGTTTGTCACCGACGACACGCTCAAGTGGCACCGGGCCATGTTCCCTACAGACCACCGCATCGATCAAGAGGCGTATACCGTGTTGGAGAGCACAAATTACAGCATCCAGGTTGATGTCATGACCACGCGCCCGTCCAACCCCATGGGTGTCATGTTCACGAGCAACTCCAACGGCACGTTCTTCACTCGCAACATTGAGCACACAAATCGTAACATGATGGGCCATGTCGACTTTGAGAAGATCGCCGGTATACAGGGAATATTCTTGGTCAACAAGGTGGACAACTACGATGAGGTGGAGAAGAGCTTCTTGGCCGAGAAGAAGATCATTTCGGAGATTACCCATGACGATGGGCGAACCTTTGATTACGTCCAGACGCACGACGCTGGCGACAGGATCCATCTGCACTCCGTAACGCAGCTGATCAACGTTGGCAGGGTCTTCTCAAGTCCGGCCCCTGGGTTGATCATGGCCAATGGCAATCCCGGAGACTACCTGAAGCCTTATTCCGAAGCAAAGCTGTACATCTCCGACGATGCCGGCATGCATTGGTTGGAGGGACCTTTCGGGCCACACAAGTACGAGTTCGGTGATCAGGGTAACATTTTGGTGGCAATCCACGACTCTAACAAGGATGACGTCGGTGAATTCAAGTACTCGCTTAACCACGGAAAGGACTGGAAGACCGTCGACCTACCGAACGGTCTCAAGATCAAGCCCTGGGTTCTGACAACGACCCCTGATTCCACGAGTCTCAAATTCATCCTCACTGGTCAGACTGGCGACGATGATAATCCCAAGTTCCACGTTATTTCCATCGACTTTGAGGGTCTGCACGAGCGTACCTGTGAGAAAGGGGATATGGAGGACTGGTGGGCTAGGGTGGATAAAGATGGCAAGCCTACGTGTCTCATGGGCCACACGCAGAAGTACACGCGCAGAAAGAAGGACGCCGACTGCTTTATGAAACAGGAATTCCACCTGGTCACGGTCGAGACGACCGACTGTGACTGCACCGATGACGACTTTGAATGCGACTACAACTTCCGCAGGAAGGATGGGCAGTGTGAGGCCGCCGGCCCGGTCATCGCACCAGATGGCGCTTGCAAGAATGCAGGCCCGGACGATACCTTCAAGGGCTCGTCGGGGTGGCGTTTGATCCCCGGAAATACGTGCAAGAGGACGTCTGGCAAGCAGAAGGACGACCCGGTGGAGCGCAAGTGTGGCGAATCGCAGTCTCCGCCCAAGGCTCCCGGCAGCGGCAAGGTCGAGGCGTCACAGTACGTCTTCAAGAACTCCAGAGATGTCGAGAAGCTTTATCTTGAGCGCGGCGAGTCGAGCTCTTCGGACGACGAGACCATCATCGCAAGAGCTGACGGAAAGATCATGATTACTCATGACGCCGGCAAGACCTGGAAGGAGCCCGATGCCTTGAAAAGCCAGTACTGGAGGATCGTTCCGCATACATTCTTCAAGGATATGGCCTTTTTCATCAAGACAGATGGAAAGGTTACCTACACGATTAACAGAGGTAGTACCTTCGATGAATTCGAGGCGCCCACGAAGCCCAACCCGAAGTCTCGGTACTCGCCACTTTCGTTCCACCCCGACAAGAGAGACTGGATCATCTGGGTCGGCCAAAAGTGCACATCCGACGGCGACAACTGCTACGATGAGGCCTCGCTCTCCAAGGATCGTGGTGATAACTGGAAGACCATCATGCGCTATGTTAACCGGTGCGAGTTCACCGGATCCAGCGCTTTCAGATTCCGCAAGAACGACCAGATCATCTGCAGGGCCAGGCAGCGGGAAGACAGCGACGTTAACGACAATCCCTGGGTCCTTGTTGGCAGCAACGACTTCTTCGATACCAAGAAGGTGCTCCAAGATGATGTCAAGGACTTCGCGACCATGTCGGAGTTTATCGTTGTGGCAACCCAGAACACCACCAAGAACACCCTCCGGGCTCTCACCAGTCTCGACGGCGAAACATATGCCGAGGCACACTTCCCCTACAACTTCGAGGTCCCTCACCAGCACGCATACACCGTTCTCGACAGCTCCACTCACGCCATCAACCTGTTTGTGGCCACCGAGACGTCAGATGACGTACAACACGGAGACATCATGAAGAGTAACTCGAACGGCACCTCTTACGTCATGTCCATCTCGGGTGTCAATTGTGACAAGAATTACTTTGTGGACTTTGAGAAGATGCTGGGCCTCGAGGGCGTCACGATGGTCAACATCTACGCAAATCGGGACAAGAAGAATGAGCCAAAGAAGCTTCGCACTCAGATCAGTCATAACGATGGCGCTGAGTGGGCTTACCTGCCGCCTCCTGACAGGGATTCTGAGGACAAGAAGTTTGACTGCAGTGGTAAGGGCGATGAGAAGTGTGCTCTGCACATCCATGGCTACACCGAACGCAGGGACCACCGCAAGACATTCTCATCCGCTGGAGCCGTTGGCCTCATGTTTGGCTGGGGCAATGTTGGTCCGTACCTGGGCAAGCTCGAGGAGTCCGACACGTACATGACCACCGACGCCGGCATCAGCTGGAAACAAGTCAGGAAAGGCCGCTGGCTTTGGCAGTATGGAGACCAGGGCTCTACTATTGTAATAGTGCCACTGGAGAAGAAGACGAAAACTGCATCGTACACCATGGACGAGGGTAAGACGTGGACCGACTTCGAGTTTGCTCAAGATGAGAGGAAGGTCATCGATTTCACCACACAAGCATCTGGCGTCTCGCGGAAGTTCGTTGTGTGGACAGAGGACGGCGACGACACCCAAGCTACGACCCTCGACTTCACGGGATTGGCTGATCGGCCGTGCGAGCAAAAGGACGACCCTGCAGAGTCCGACTACCGCATCTGGTCGCCCAACCACCCACTCCAGGGCGACGACTGCCTCTTCGGGCATGTGACGCAGTACATGCGCAAGAAAGTAGACAAGCAGTGTTACAACGGGTACAGGATACAGCACGTCTACAACGTCCAGAACTGCACCTGCAGTCGACGGGACTACGAATGGTCAGTCGCTAGCATCCTCCACCCTGCCGCCGCATGCGTGACCCACTTACTAACGTCACCAACAGCGACTACAATTACGAGCTTGACAACCACGGCTCGTGCCAACTGGTCAAGGGCCTCCAGCCAGTTGACCATATCCAGTGGTGCAAGGATGACCCGTCCCGAGAAGTATACTATGAACCAACAGGCTATCGCAAGATCCCCCTGTCGACGTGCCAAGACGGCATGGAATTTGACAAGCAGGCCCCCCAGCACATCTGCCCAGGAAAAGAGGACGAGTATGCAAAGAAGCACCGCATCTCAGGCGTGGGGCTGTTCTTCGCCATCACGGTCCCCTTCGCGGTGGCCGCGGCGGCCGGGTGGTACGTGTACACCAACTATAGCCACAAATTCGGCCAGATCAGGCTGGGCGAGCCGTCCAACGCTTCCCCGGCGGGGTTCGGCGGCGGGGCATTCGACTCGGACTCGCCCTGGGTGCGGTACCCAGTCGTTGCGGTCAGCGCGGCGGCTGCTGTGGCAGGCGCGGTGCCGCTGGTCGTCGTGGCGGTGTGGAGGGCCGGCGTCGCGGCCTTCGACAGGTGGCGTTATGGAAGCGGCGTCGGCGGTGGCTGGAGCAGTCTCAACGGCGGCGGCGGCGGTAGGAACAGGCCATTCACGACCCGGGACAGCTTCGCGCGCGGGAGGGGCGACTACGCCCACGTCGACGACGACGAGGGGGAGTTACTTGGGGAGGACAGTGATGAGGAGGTATAGATGGTGTGTCGTTGCAGGCGGCTAGGGCTTGTCGCCAGCAGGGAAGGTTGGTGGGCAGAGGGAAGGGCAAGAGGAGGGAGAGTCTTGGGTGGTGGTGTTGGGTAAACTGGGCCGGCCGGTGTGAGTGATGGGTGTGGGGGCTGGCTGGGTGGAACGGATGGTTCAAGCGGTGTGGGGGGCACATTGTCTAGGCATAAGGCGCTGGGGAAATCGATTATTATTCTTGTTTGTTGTCGTGTCTGCTACAGGTTGGAACAGTGAATGGACGTCCGTCGTCTGTCTTGTGCCTCACTTTATGTCGAGAAGAATACGGTGAGGTGTCTGTGCAACGTCCAAGGCCCGCTTGATGTTTGAGAATGGGATGGAAAAGACTGAGGGAAGAGACAACAACGCTACTGGCCCGAAAGGATGGTCACCCTCAGAAACATGAGAGAGTGAACCGTGGCCTGCGGGCAGAGGAGGCAGAGCAAGTCTCCATACAGACTCCTGGGGCTAGCGCGCGTCTGCTCGTGATGACTGACGGGGACAAGGCATCGAAGAAGGCTGTCTATGTGGGTACAAGTCGTGTGCGCGGCTCGTGGGCACAGCCTGGACACTCTGTGGGCCGAGTTTGTGAGCACCCAGGGAACAGTGGACGCCAGATGCAAGTGCATTATATGTTGCTCTGTGGGCTATGCTGCCGCTGTGCCTCGCCTGGCAAGCACGATGAGTCCGCCGTACTGTCGTCTCGGTCCCGCAAGCTCCCGCCAACGAATCCACCCCTCCCCCTTTTCTTTTTCTTTTCTTTTCTCTGTCTCTCTTCCCCCCTCCCCTCTCCCCACCTCTCTCTTTCCAGTCAAAGCTTCTTCTGGGCGGGAACGTGAAGAGAGTATGCGAGACTGTGATGATGGAGGGGGGGAGTGGTCTGTGACATCACGCTCGAGGGAGGGTGTTTTGTCTCATTGTGCCTGCAAAGGACAGCGTCTAGCTTGGACTGGATTCCTGGTCCCATTGATGTTGTCTGTGGATGGGTGAGGACCTGTGTGGGCGGGCTGGCTGGCCTGCCCATCCATGTGAAGCTCACCTTGACTCCCTCTGGCTTTCTGACCGGATCTCCTGACTGGATACCTGACCGACTGGCTGACTGATCTACTACAGCTGGAACCTGAAGAACGTCTGGGTTGGTTGAGGTCATGTTTAACCGGCGTCTCTGAGTTCATCATTGGTGTTGACCGGTCCAGAAGTTCCAAGGACTGACATCGCCGCAGGGGTGGAAGATCGCTCTTCCTGCCGCCGCTCGTTTCGACGTGTCATCTCGCCAGAGCGCCGTGCTGCAACCAGCGGCAGAGATTGCTCAGAGCACCGTAGGGGAGCGAGGCAGGCAGGGAGAGCACGAGGAAGAGCCCCGTCAGGCAAGAGCTCAACACTCGCAGTCGCTACTCCTCAAAGGCGGATGGCTTCCTTGTCCTTGGCTGTGGAACGCGGGTACGCTGCCCGCTTGCCAGTCGTCACTGGTGACGGAAGAATTCTGGAAGACGTGGGCTCCCGCGACAAGCATGAGGCTGGGCGGAACGGTGCTCCCGCGGCAGCACATTCCGGGGCGGCCACCCTCGCGTCGATTGGCTGCTTGCATGCGAGAGACGAGTCACTTAATTCTCGCTGTAATTAAGTGACTTGTTGCTCGCTGTAGGATGGCAGCATATCGCAAATTTCGGTCCTTTTCCACAGACGCACAAGCACGGCGCGATCGGAGGAAGAACACTCGACTGCAAGGAGTAGGCGCATGATATACTGTCGTTTGGTTGGTCTGATCCGGGTGGATTCATCAGGATGTGCCTTCTTCGCACACAGAGATGTTTCTCGGGACCGGAGGTTGAACCACAGAGACTTGGTCACAAAAGTAGCCCGCGCATTTGTCGTCTGCTGTCAAAACGAGAGGGCTCAACTGGTATGGTGTACCAGGATGGTGTGCTTGTCACTCAACCAATGTCCAGACGCAAGCTGCATGCAGGTGACTCTATGCATGCAGCTAACAAGCGCGCCCGTGATCCTCTCCAGGCGTGCGTCAGACGGAAACCAAAAATTGACAGCGCATCCCAATCGGACCGTAACCCAGCAGCCAAGGACTTGGGGCGATGTCGACGTCTGATCTGTGCGACTTCTGCCTGTGTGTCTGCCTGGCAGAGCCGCACGTTGGGAGGCCATTCTTATCTATGATTGCCCCTTTCTCCCACGAGAAATAGGGCCAAGCCATTCGTTGAGACTGATCCTTCGGCCCGCGCCGTGAAACAGACTCATGCCTGTACGCTGCCCTACGCGAAGTGCGTCTCACATCGTTCCAAAAGTAAGGGGGTGTGTGGGGGGAGGGGGAGGGGGTTCAGTCGAATTGTCAGACCTTGGTGTAGCCCGAGAATTGGCATGGGATGTTGCACACAACGCATGCAGTCCAGTGATCCTTGTCACAGCCTTAAAAGGACCCCATAGCCAGAGGGTCCGGGGCTGAAGACCAACAGAACTGACCCAAGGCTCTGGGCCGATGGAGCAATAGTTGCAGCAAGCAGGCATTACAATGATATGCAGGGCTCTTTTGCAGGATCTGACTGATATCGTGTCTGTTGGGACAGCGCGACAGTCCTCGGAGTAAAGTTTGTTCGCGAAGCGACGGTTGTGATGCTGACTTGCGCCTTGCAATTGGACCGCTAGAGTCGCTGCAAGACGGGCTGAGCGTTGCAGAGTGTGGACAGACTAATATTTTTTGGGTATAGAATCTGTATGGGCATTCTTGTTGCATCAAATCAAGTCTTGTACCAGACCGTCGGTTCAGAGCACCGACCACAAGACTCGCTGCGGATGAACCGGAGGCAACCAGTCGCGACGCAACTTGGGACCGCCCTGGCCTGATTCGCCGAGGACCGAACTTCCTTCATCTCGTTTCGCAATGCTTGCGGTCATCCTCATGGCAACCAAGGATAGATCAACCGTCTCCAGCCCGATGCAGACGACCGGTCGCACTCGCCAATACCGGCGGAGCTTCATCAAGCCGACCGCCCGCCCGCCCTTCCCCGGGGTTAAGTGGTCCTCGGTATGGATGAATAAAGTTTGCAAAGTATTCCTTCAGTCTCTCCAATGCAGTCGGCACGGTTCCTTTGATCCATCCATAAGCATTGGCAGGGTGAGGTTGAGGTTGGAGTCATCCACCGGGTCGTAGAGGATTCAACTCAAATTCATGCGTACACACAACCCATATTTTGCACAATCCCTGAACCTTGCAGAGTCTTATTATGATGATAGCCTCTTATCATGAGAGGGAATTTGGGGGCAAAATGATCGAGATGGATCAACAGACGCGGAGTGTTTGCAACTGACCCGGCGCGATACCTATCGCTGCGTGTCTCCCGTCCATGCATGGGAGATTGGATTCCAGTCCGAACGTTCTCTTCTCGTCAAATGATACGCGGATACCTGCGAGTCTACGGTACGATGCAAGGCAAATGCTCGCCCACAGGTAGCCCTCACTGTGATAGAAACGCGAAGCTTCATCTCGAGAATTGAGCTATCACAGTTTTGGACAGCGTGACAAATACAGTCACAATTAGATTAACCTCTCAAGGATACTGACGAATCATAGGCAAGTTTGCTTGACCAGAAGACCAGAATAGACGCTTGACAGTTCGCAGGAGGTGGTGTCCAGCCGTCCAGGCATTGTTCTGACACTCGCACACAGCACGGGTTTAACGATGTCATCTATCCGCGTTGAATTGTTGTTACGGACGTAGCAGAGTTCTCTCTTTCTCGATGCGAGAGTTTTACCCAACATGAACACAGGTGAGGCTGATCTGGACATTATACCCAAGAAAATTATTGGTTGGAGCTGGCTCCGAGACTGAGGTTGTGTGACTCTGCCATGTCGTACGACGGGACTGAGACATCGGTAGGCGAGGGAGGACACCCGTCCTCGTGTTTCTCAAATTATTCGATGAGGATTCAGAGCGCGCGGCCGAGACATTCTAGAAGCCGGAGGCAGCTCGGGCGAGGTCGCGGGTCTCAAAACACGACCACTGCTCGACACAGCATAGCTATACATGACCTGCGCCTGCATTCGAACTATTCCTTCCTTATTAACTTGGAACAGCCAAAGACGGGTCCTTGCAAAATAATGCAGACCAGACCATCACAACGGCTCGGTGCAGCCTAGGCCGGCACAATGTCCAACATGGACAGCACCGCCCCAAGGCAGAAGCTTCATATCAGGCAGCGAGCCAGCCCACAAACAACTAGCCTGAACACAAATGTGGAGAACAGAGGGTCGATAGAAAGGAGAAGAAGAAGAGTTCGACAGCCTCCCTCACCGGGTGCGCGCACATTGCGAGCATTCTCCGACTCACAACCGCGGGTAGCCAATGCAGATGCAACCTCGGTAGAGGGCCACAGCATCTGAAGCCAACGGCTGCGCAGCGGGTGATCATGTTGTTGGCAATAGTTTGCAGTGATTCTCGGCTCTCATTTGTCGTCCTCGCGGTGAAGACCAGCCGTAGGCCTTGTCCAGGTGCGCGATGTGCCACACCACCTCGTCCCCGAAATGGGCTCCGCATGCAGTGGCCCAACGCGCCGGTAGCCTGTTGAAATCAACTTGGCCATTTCAGGGGGGAAGAGATACCTCCGTGCTATCCAATCCGTCTCTGCGTTGTATTGGGGGCTCGTTCTGATGGAAAGATGTTGGGTCTTTCGGGAGGGTACGCCGTGCGTTGGGACACTGGGCGCTCTGTTCATGTGATGGACAGCGGGAGATGATGGGAAGTATAAAGGGGGCCTAAGCCTCATGAGATGCCTTCAGGTTCTCAACTCGTATACTGAACTTGTGGTAGCACACCTAGGGAGTTTCATTGCTCGTTCTTACTCGGTTTCTTTGGAGTCACATCTCCTTCCCGACACGCACCCGCAAACTTCAAGTTCGCCCCGCGTACGACTATTGAAAGTGTCAATAGCAGTTTGTTGAGTCTCACCCATAGTTTCCAATTGGTATTGACGTCCGCGTCATCAGCTTCTTCACCTGCCTCTACGTTGGTACTCCACAAGCCTATATTCGGCCCGCTGGTTGCTGACCACCACTCAGGTTTTGTCTCACTACGACCTCGCAATCCTTCTGCCCATAATACCCAGTGTTCCAAGTCAGATATTTTTGGACACATAGGCAAAAACGCAATATATCTATCGCTCTGTTCCCTGCCTTGACACTGCGGACTTGGTTCGTGAGGGACGGACAAGTTCGCCCTCACTCTCACTCGCGCCCGCTCCCCTCCCTCGAGCCACAATACCTTTCGCGAGGTACTGCAAGACATCAACCTGCTTCTCGCTCACCCAAGCAAGTTACTCCTGGTATTCAAACTTCAATTGATTCACGCTGCATACGTTCAAATCCTCGAACAGCGCGAATATTTGAAGCCTTTCAACACAGAACAGAACCCAGTCCTTGGGGGTGCCACTCACCTGAAATACAACTCGACTCCTTGAAATTGTCTTGAAAGCACAAATAAGCACAGAAACGACAGAAAGATGTCCACAGCTACCAGATTCATGCTCTCGAGAGCTCTTAGGAGATCCCTCCCACACCACAAACTGCTGCTTCCTCAACAGCGAGGCCTGGCTACCTATGTTGACGACAAAACCGCCCGCCCAGGTCATGAGTACCCAGCAAATGGATTCCTGAAGAACGCATCTTTCAATAATCATCACCCTGTCTCGACGGCTGTTTCCTGGGGTGAAGAGTTCTGGCGCAACGTTCCTGTGTACAGAGATGTGTCCAGCAAAGACTTCCTTTCGTACAGCTGGAGTGTGAGTGACTTCCCAAACGCGCCGATGGTTCTCATTTTCCACTCTCCTGTGTAGTGCCTTCGGCTAATTTAAATCTTGTGAAACAGACCAAAAACACTATTGATAGCCATCACAGGCTCAACCACTTCCTGAACTCCGTGGTACCTGATGAGATCCCAGACGGTGCAGGAACCCAGTCCAAGGAGGAATTCATGGAGGATGTGCATGATGGCATCAAAGTATCTACAATGTCCCTACGCATCACGCAAGTCAACCATTCCTAGTCATTCCTATTCTGGTCTCAAGAATCATACTAATATTGAATCACAGACCCTATCTACTCAGCCGCATCAACTGGCAGGACCCCAGAAATGACCCAATCTTCCGTCAATTCATCCCCTTGCAATCTTTGATGGTTCCAGACCATCCGAAACTATCACTGGACTCCTTGCACGAAGATGCCGACTCGGTGGTCAAAGGTCTGGTTCACAGATATCCAGACAAGGCGTTGTTCCTCGGTGAGTAAAGAAACGTCTACACTGGTTCCACATTGGCGTGCAGCTTACGCGATTTGGCAGCGGTGTCCGTGTGCCCTACGTATTGCACTTTTTGCACTCGGTCGTATGCCGTTGGAGCCGACACCGAGTCCGTCACAAAGCACAGCTTCAAACCCGGACGCCGTCGATGGGACGAGGTCTTCGCCTACATCGAGGCTAACCCACACTGCAAGACATAGTGATTTCAGGGGGAGACTCGTTCTATATCCAACCCGAACACATTCGCACTATCGGGGACCGCCTAATCAACAGTAAGTGATCTGGCTAAGAGTTTGTTCACGTCGGATGTCTAGGCGACAGTCCACACTGCACCTGTTCTTCCAAGGCCAAAAGTTCGAACAGATGGTCACTGACACTTGCTCCAGTCCCCCACATCCGCCGCTTCCGCTTCGCCTCCAAGGGACTTGCGGTCGCGCCCATGCGGTTTGTTGACCCGGTAGACGACTGGACCAACGCGCTCATCGGCGTGTCACAGAAGGCGAGGAATGCCGGCAAGTCAATGGCTCTACACACGCATTTCAACCACCCGAATGAGTTCTCGTGGGTCACGGAAGCCGCGGCACAGAAGCTTTACGCGGCAGGTGTGACAGTCCGGAACCAGACTGTGCTGCTAAAGGGCGTCAACGACGACGTCCATACCATGTCGACGCTTATCAGGAAGCTGGCGGACAACAATGTCACGCCGGTGAGTGGCCCATCACGTCGTACCATTTTTGTGACATATTTATTGATCCATTTCACCCTCACAGTACTATGTCTACATCTGCGACATGGTCCCGAACGCCGAGCACTACCGCACGCCGCTCCAGACCCTGCTCGACCTCGAGGCCCAGATTCGGGGCTCCATCGCAGGCTTCATGACGCCGCAGTTCATTGTTGACCTGCCAGGCGGCGGCGAAAGCGCCTCGCTTCGTCCTACCTGTTCTACGACCGCGAAACCGGCGTGTCGAGGTTCGAGGCCCCGGCGGTCACAGCCGCGGCCGATGCTCACGGCGGGAGGGATAAGGCGGAGGTGTTTGAATACTACGACCCCATCGGTCAGGACGCTCGCGTAATTCTGGATTAGCAGGGCCGATTTAGCTCCTACTGACGGTTGGCGAGGGTGCAGCAAGTCGAGGAGAGGTTCTCATTGTACTTATCACATGTCATCGCCACTCAGCACTTGCTTCATTTTGGTTCTGCTTCGCTTCAAAGCGACCATGTCCAGGTGGTGGAGAGTTCTTGGGAGACTGGATCACTTGTTACTTAGGTTTCCAAATTCTAATCTTGTTCTAACAAGTATACAGTATTGCTGGTAGTGAAGCAACAGTAAGATACTCCAAGTCTGGCCGTTGACGATTGATAGTGCGGTGGTGTATGGCTTGGGCTGTACATCCCTGTCAATCGGTGTAAGACGATTGGCTGGTGTCCTGAGTCTGCCAAGCCAGGACCCCTGTCCCCCAAGGCTTGACAGCTGGCCTGCCATGGACAGATTTGGGACAGGAACCTCAGCTGCTCCTCTACAAAATGAACCAGATAGATGAGCCCAGCAGCCCATCTTCCCCATGGGCGTCGTGCAGGATTGAACCCTTGGACAGGCGTTGATCCCTTGACAGGCGTAGATCCCTCCTGCTCGTGCAATCTCGCCAAAGTGTGCGTGCTGCAGCCCCCGGCCGGTCCGAGGGCCAATGCTGTTTGAGTAAGCTGGCGTCCCATCCGCAGATGTTCTGCTCACATGACCTGTTGTAGACGCGGGCGTGGGTGACGCGGCAGAGAGAGGCATTTTCTAGCGCTTGCGTGAGAGTTGATATCTCATCATCCCAAGAGCCGGGCTGTGGGCGGGGACACCGTCGGGACCGCAATCCCGAGGGAATGGATGGGGGGGATGAGAATGGCATGATGGGGGAGAACATGTGAGTCCCTGCACTCCACCCAAAATTGGCCCTATGGGTCCTTCCATACCGAGAATAGATTTACGCTGCATTTTCTCGCGTCTGTGTGTTCGCGATCGATGAATGCCTTTGCCACCTCCCTCGATCGTAACGCCGGAGACCCGCTCCGAGGCCGACCCTGTGGGGGCCATCTCCCTCCGGCCATCCAGACATTGCGATAAATATCGCATGGTAATTGGGGAGCAGGCGGAGAGATGCCGTCAAGGTTCTCGTCAGGGACTCGAGCCTCCTGTTTACATCTCGTGCCAGTGTCTTCATCAGGTGTCAATCTCCCCTGTCCCTACCCACGTCTTCTCCGAAGGTGCTTTCCTTGCTCGGCTTTGCCCGGATGGGCTCGTTCTGATTAGCAGTATTTTGGACGCCTCTCAGAGAGATTTGTCGCAGGCATCGACCTCGACTCATCTGACGCCAGCATATGACCCGGTTTGTGAGGGGTTTTCTAGATGATGTTCTATTCCGATGAGCTGGTCCACCGCGGGCGAGAAGTTGTTCGCTGTTGCAGTGTGCGGTTTCAGCAGTAATGTGATTAGCATGGAGTACCAGACTCTGTACTCAAGGAGTGTTAGCAAGAGATCAGAGTTTGAATGTCTCGGGTAAGGTCGGCGGCGACTCCTGCTGGGCTTCAAATGTTGTGGATCAGAGTCACCTTTGTTAATGACCAAGCTTCCATTGTAGTACCAGACAATATGCGATCACTGACTTGCTTTGGCGCCTGTGACACCAATAAGATCCGTCACACGGTCATCAGCAGGTGACAACTTACAGTTTCTCCATGTCTTTGGGGCGCTCACGTACTTCGAGCAGCACATCTTGAACACGTGAATTCGTCCCAGCCGGGCGGATGAAGAGGAATGGAAGCATGAATTCTGCGTAAATAATGTTCACCGCAGCATAAAGTAAGAGGGCATATGCACAAGATTAGCAGGACTCAGCGGTCCACGTCGATCCGCCTCCCGGCAGAGCTGAAATGTAAAACTGCTCATTACGAACAGCACTGAAATGAACCGGTGTGTTTCAGATATGCCTTGAGCCGTACACCTTGTTATCAAATTCTACGACTGTACGAAAGTATCGCGCAAGATTTAAGCTTATTTGTGCGTGGGAACACTCTTGGCTGCGATCCCACGAAAGGACGTATTTATTAGGCCTCCCAATGAGACAGGAAGTCTGCCAGTGCCGGCTGAATCCTGAGCTGAAGATGCCACGAATAAGGTTCAACCCAGCTCTCGACGAAGAGGCTCTTGCCTCCGGGCCGGGTTCCCGCCCGGGGGGGGGGGGCGTTTACCGGTGGCTCAAGCCATGAATACCAATGCCTGGCTCCGGCTGAAGATTCTCAACAGTTCTGAGCGCTATTGTACTGAGCAGTAGAACACGCGCTAGGCAGGACGCACCGGACTGCGCGAACCACCCTGGCGACGAGCGACCTGTTTCCAACGCCCTTCGAAGGGGGGCAGGCAGCAGAGAATGTGACAAGTCACGACAGCGACTATGGCAGGCCCGACGCCCACGTCTCAGGTGCCTGCGCCTGGGTAAGCAACAGGGCTCGAGGTGGGAAATTCCCCGACGGTTTCGCCTTCCAAGGAACATTCGCGCCCTGGGGGGGGGGGTCCTGTCACAGAGGGCGTTGGACAAACATCACACCGCTTCAGAGCAGAGGAAGCCAAGATTCCTGCAGGCAGCCAGCCGGGCGAACATTTGGGGGAGGGCCCGAGCTTGTTGTTGGTGATGTGTTGGTGTTCCATCAGCTGAGGAGAACAAAAGCATGCGCGACATCGATTTTTAATTTCCACCACCGCTGCTCGTGGTGGCGTGTGGAGAAGCCAGTCCTGGAGCCCCGGGGTCTCTGCAGGCGCTCAAACGTCACGATACGAACACAGGTGCGACCCCAGATTCACAGGTCCCTTTCCTTTTTGTCCAATTCTTCTCCCCTTTCCATAATCCTTGGGCTGATCTACGACCGGATGGGCGAGGGAGCGAAAGCAAGATGTGCTGTCATGCGGGGCCAGTGAGGAGCCTGAGGCTGCTGTTGGCGGGCACGCGACTCGTGGCCCAGGTACCATGCCGCAGTGGTGCAGGATTCGGCGTGGTCCTTCTGTGTCAATCCATCTTGGCCCTTGCAGCGGCGCCCTCTAGCACCGAGTCAATCGACGACACATGTCGTTGCCTCACCATCCTCATGTGGGTGCACACACACACAACACATGCGCATACACCTACCCAAGTAGAGCTTGCTGCTTTTGGCGCGAGCTCGGCCTGCTTGACTAACAGTAAGGCGTCACACTTGGGCGGGGCCTGTTGCCACCAGCAGCGTCCAGGCGCATCGCCCACCCGGGACCGGAACAGGCACAATGCAGGAACCAGAGGCTCTTTTTTGCAGGGACTTGGCTGGCTGTCACCACGTGCGCTCCCGAGACGAGCACATCTTTCGAGAACAATCAGTCACGTAGTTCCCGGACACGTGGACGGTTTCGCCTGAACCAGCCTCATCGCCACTTTTTGCTCACTCACTTACTCACTGACTAGTCGTGGCTCGTCGTAACCATCACCAGCCACCCCGTCCCTCGGCCAACTGCCCATGAGCTGGACGGGACAGTACCAGATTCAATAGTTCGCGGGCGACACTCGCGATACGGCCACATCGGGGCCGCACGAAGCTCAAGTGCCCACCGCAGTATCCTCTAACGCCGCCAGCGAGACGCCGGACCGTCCCAAAGGGTCCATCATCCCCACACAGCTGCGGCGTCTTGCGCGTGCAGTCTCTTCAGCACCAAAAGGACTTTCTTTCCTTTTGCAGGCGTGCCGAGGGTCAGTCCCTCAACCGGGTGGGTGCTGGGCTGACTGGCCGACCACTGGGGCCATCACGGCAGATACCGTAGCATCTATCTATCCGTATGCACGACTTTTTCCCGTGAGCCCCTTCGTGACGGCCCATCGCCTGCCCGCCCAGCTCCCAGCAGATTGAGGCTCCATCAAATCGTGCTTAGCGCTCGTCGGTGGAGCTTCTAGGCGCTAGCTCCGACCACGAATCTCCGCCTCTGTTCGGCCATTTGAGGAGGGCTGAGGTAATGAAGGGAAGTGCAAGAAGGGACCGCCTGGTTCGCTGGTGCTGACCCAAGCCACCAGCGCGCTCGTTGGACCGACATGGGGAGGAGCCAGCATCAGTGTGCTGAGCGCTGGCCTCGTAGAATCACCAGCATCGTCACATTCTTCGTCAACGTCGACCGGGACTGTTGATCTGCCAGAATGCCAGATTCCGTACACAGTAGTGCCAAACTTTGTGCGTCGCGCGCCGATCGAGAATGTTGTGCATAGGCGGCTATAGCAGCGACATGGGGGGGCTATATGTCTGCTCGGCGAATGTGTCTGCTATGGCGCGGTGCACAGACTGGGCCGGCCGGCCGTGCCCAGTCCATTGTCGTTTGTTTCTTCTTTCAATCACGATTGCACGGTAGCCACATGTTCCTCATGCGTGCGAGAGGGTGGCAGCACGGGAATGGGAGAAGAGGGTGAGAGAGGGTGAGAGAGAGCGCCCGGCGTCGGACACAGGAGTTGTACGGGATGGTCTAGACGAGATGAAAAGCAGCAGATCCGTGCGCCTCGGGAGGTGTGCTTGTGCTGCGGGTGACACAGCAGAGCACAAGTTGTGAAACTGTTGATCCTGTGCAGCGGCACCACGTTCCTCTGCAGGCGGCCAATGGCCAACCTCCCGGAGCGGAGTACGAGCAGAGCGTAAGACGCCTTCGTGATGTGATATGGGCTTTTGGACGTGCCTCGACTGTTCTGTCTGCCCGCCCACAACAGACTCGCTCCCAGGCAAGCCATGCCAGCCAACCGGGACCGAGGCATCGAGGCGATTGGTAGGTGGCTTGCTGAAACTCGAGGAGGATTGTCTTGGGGTGGCGCTGCACTAGAGCAGCCCGACCCACACCTGACAAGAGCAGAAACAACAGGTTCAGACGACGAGCTGCGGCGTCAAGCTCCTCCGGCCCTGTTGCCAGAGACCTGCCATCCAGCCGAGGCCGTGCCAGCTGCCAGGGGTGCCCATGCCCAGCGAAGCTCCAACGTCGGCCGGCGGTGATCAGCAAGCTTTGGTCCTGCTGGGAACTGTCCAGTCGAATCGCCGTCTGCAGGGACAGGATCTTGGGACGAGGCGTGGGCTCTAACAGTTGTAACCGCAGGCGCCAGAGTCTGAGCGCCGGCTGTTTTCTTCTGCGTCCCGACTTTTTATATACTGCTCAGTGGCCCGTCAGTAGACGACGAGACGTTTGGCAGCAAAGGGGATTCGACTCACTCTCGAGAACCACTCGACTCAACTCACGGGAGAGCCGGCGTGGTTCGTGTGTTCAGGCCAGCCAGACGGGACAGACCCACCTCTGGACGTGCTTCTCTTCCCTTTTACTTTTTTTTTTTGGTTTCCCACCCGGCGGCGACAGAAGGAAGCGGTCCCTTGGATGGATGTACCTTGCAGGCTCGGGGTCGCAGCAAGCCATCACATGCAGCTGCCGGCTCGCAGGTGGAGCCGGGCAACCCACATGAGGGCCTGCAGCTTGGGCAAATTGCAACCCCCAACCAAATTATCACTGTGCTAAGAAAGAGTAGCGAAGCAGCCCCCCTGCAAGCCCAGCCCACAGCTAGCGAAATGGGCAGCCTCCCTCTCGAAGATCCCGAGCCGCTCACTGCACGCGCGGTGCAAGGGGTCGACGAAGCAGTCGGCACGGGTATTGCCCAATCTGGGGTTCCCACGGATGCCACATCACGTACCAGCCTCGATGCTCCGACTTCGTTTACCGGTACCGTGGAGGATTTAGGGCGTGATGAGCCGGCACAGCCAGAAGAAAACAACCCCCAGCGCCCTCCATATCTTCTAATAAGCACTGGCCCCGGCCCGCCCTCACTGTCCCCTTCCTCCATCAACAGCGGCGTCTTCCAAGAAGGCCTGAACCGACTACACTCCTTCCAGGACCTCGCCAGACTCCGCCTGAAGCACGCGACCCAGATCGAGTGCTACGAGACGACCGTCCTCCAGCTGCCAGAGACGAGCGACAGTGAACTTTACGACCTCCGGGACCGCCGGTGGGCCCATCTGGATCTCACAGAGTACGAGGGCGGGGACGACTTAGGGGCTGGCTTAAGCGCAACGGACTCCCCTTTATCGAGCTCACCATCCACCTCGACCTCGACATCGACCTTCCTCGACAGTCCCTCACTCGCAGAACGCCGCCCGTTCTCGTTTGAGGCCTTCTTCGACGCCTCGCCAGAGAGCCCTGAGGGCTCTCCGACCCTGCCGCGCCGCAACGACTCCCGCCACACCACCATCACCTACCGCCACATGCCTCCCAAGACGATGCCTGAGCTGTCCGGGCTCGGCGACGGCGGCGGAGGGTCGGGCTTCCTGTCGTCGACGTGGGCGTCCTCCAGCGGGGGGAGCGCGACGGGCCCTCACCACCACCACAGCAGCGCTCACCTGAGGCCACGCTCGGCACCGAAGAACCTCTCGCGCACGTCGAACCCATTCACCGGGCTCTGGGGCAGGAAAGGGCAGCAGCAGCAGCACCAGGTGCAGCAAGATGACGTTCCCGTGGGGAGGCTGGGCGAGGCCGGCATGGACTCGGGCATGCCCTGGAAGCGAATCAGCGACGACGGGACGGCGGTCGAGGTCCACGAGGGCAGGACGACACCGCCGCGGTCTGCTTCCGGGGCGCCAAATGGCTGGAAGGATGCGAAGGAGCCGGCCAACGCATCGGAGGGCGGAGGACCACCACCACTGACGCGCGAGGAGTTTGAGGCGCTACCCTTGGCGATACAGCGAAAGGTACGTTGGTTGGAGATTCATCAAAACACACAAAACAACAAAGAACATGGGTCACGGTCGTTTCTCACCTTTTTGTTCTTCTTTCTTACTCTTGACCCCTGCGTGCCCACCCGCTCTCCCCAGCCGAAACGTCGTCGCGCGGCACCGCAAATGCAATGGGGCCCGATTCCTCAGCTGCCGGGTTTCGAACGGCCCTTCCATCGCGCCAGCGCGTCAGCACTTGCTGGACTTTCCCCCGTCCCGACATTCCAGTGGCCCGCGGGCGGTGCATTCCGGCCCCATTGGTCCTATGGTTGCCCGTCTCCTCCCTCCCTCTCCCTTTTCCCTTGTCCCTCCCCAGCAGGCATTTTTGGTTTCAAGGAAAGACGTGCACCCAATTGGGAGGCGGCGAAGTCGCGCCGCATGATTGTTTATCAACCCGTCACCTGCGCGGCCCAATGGCACGTCGCGGAGGCACGCATGGTGCCCTGTCCAATAACGCATGCAGCCACTTGTTCATCCGGCTGCATATTTCAGGGGCGGGGGCCATGGCAGTGTGTATGTTTGAGTGTCACGATGATCCACAGCAGGGCACTGCACGACACAGAACAGGCATGACGAGGGGCCACGGCATCTGCACTGATACTACGGAAGTCGGTTGTTCAGATGACAGGCGGGAGAAAAGCCAAGCCCGGGGGCAGACACCGGAATTGTTCCCCCTGACCGCGAAGGCAAGGCCCCCGGGTCGGGGTGGTCAATTCGGCGTTTGAGGTCGTGGAAGACTAGGGCTTTCAAGGCTTAGGTGCCAGCGACCGTTGGATCGGAGTGACAGAGAGGCGCAAGGCCGCCTGAGCCTGTGCGCAAACGAGCCGCAATGTCGGGCTCTGGAAGGTAGTGAGGCGGCGGTTTCTATTCTGAAGCAGCCTCGTCACGCCTTCACCATCCGACCGCAATCACAAGGCTCGTCATGACCAGCAGTGCTCTGCTTCCTGCCTCTTCCTTCTGTCTCCTTCCCTCTCCTGGTTATTGTGGGCCGGGGCCCTTAGCTATGACGACTGGCCTCCCCATCGGTACCGGGAAAAGAAAGGGGGACCAGATGGAGGTTTCCGTGGGCCTGCAGATGCCCCTGGCCCTGGGCCCTGGGCTCTGGGTGCTGGGGTCCCGGCTCGCAGGGTTGCTTGGGGTTCCTGAGCCTCTGAGCCTTCCTTCCTTGCCAGTGCGTGGCTGAATTGGGAAGGGATCCAACAGACGGCCCAATTGCGACAGGTCCCAACTCTGCCATGATCGCCAGTGCTCTTCAATCTGCTTTCCCATTCCATCGCACCGCATGAACTCTCGGTTATTTGCCTTGCCCAGCACTTGCTCAACCCCGGGGTTTTTTTTTTTGTGGTTTGCGGAAACGCGCCTTGTTGGTCCCTTATTTGTTTTCTGAAAACTAAACTCTGTTTCCCTCCCCCCTCTCTCTGTTCGTTCGATATTCTCGTCTGTGCTCGATTGAACTCGATCAATTCTGCCCAAGAGGAGCGTTTCTTTTATGTTGCCTTCTTACACAAGCTCTCACGCATACACACACCTCCATTCTCACCCCCCACCCACACCTTCTGCGGGCGTGTTCCTCGAGGATCGATAGGGTTCGACAGTTCCTGGGGCCGACCAAGCTCGAGCCAGTCGCAAAGTGGTGAGCCAAGCCCCGAGCTGTGCGTTGCTGCGCGTCTGGCTGTACCTTGTCACAGCTGGCAGCTCTCATCACCACCGCCTTCGCTTCACAACCAATGCACGCACCACATTCCTGCCTTTTTGTTATTTTGTATCCGTTCATTCAGCCTCCAGGTTGCAGTATTCCCGCCATCATTCTCCGGGCGCGAGTCGCGCTCCGCTTCCGCCCCCCCCCCCCCCCCATCCCCCCCGCGCTGCGTGCCCAGTTGGTTCCGCAGCAGTGGATGGCGGAACTTGCCATGCCCTGCCACGCCCCTGCCATGCAGAGCTAGGCGGAGAGAGAAATACATGTGCAATTCGAGGATTAGGAAGCTCGTGTTTGTTCGTCACCGGTTGGGGGGACCGGTGGGCCTTTCCTTTCCTCGACTCGCATTTGCAGGATGGGGTCGCCCGCCTCGCCGGCGTATAGTAACTGCAGGAGCCAGGGCGCTTGGGCACCCAGCACACCCCAGAGCATGCCGGATGCCCCGTACACATACATCCCTGCTCCCATGCAATGCTCCTGCATGCCTCGATAGCCCCGTCCCACTCGAGCACTGCAGCAACTGCGCAAGCGAAGCTCTGGCCCGCTGTTCCTGTCCGCTGGCCCCTCCGTTCCTGTTGGAGCTACCAGACTTCACCTTCTCGCACGAGTCGTGCCCCATGTCCCCAAGGCGTCAACAACCTCTGTGCCTTTTTATACTCCTCCTCCTCGTCTTGTGTCTTTCCTGTGTACCGTCCCGATTCCATCTTCACTCCCATGTTCTGCCTGCACATCAATGATGCCACTCGTGTCCGCCCAAGGCTAACATTCACCTCTCCTGCTTCAGTACTTCTCCACACTTGAACGTCTTCGTTTTGCACAGGAATCCACCGACGTAGACGACATCTACAACCATTACGACGATATCACAACCCAAAAGAACAAGCGCCGGAAACACAACTCCAAGCGCAGCGCTCCAGATCCATACGCCATCCGCGACTCACCATCAACAGCCGTATCAGACTCTTCCTGGTTCTTGAATCACCCAGACAAGGCCAGGAAGACACAGCTGTCGAGGCAGGAGCAGTGTGAGCTGGTCAAGCACCTGCGTGCTAGTGTCATCCTCGACGCTGCGGACGAGGCAATATACAAGCTCCGCCACAAGACCAGCAACCTGACCCTGACGCCCACCCCAGAAATTGACTGCTCCACGAGCACGCTGTCAACGAGGCGTGGAAGTTTCGATTCGCTCACAGACGCAATGGCTCAGTCCCAGGCCGCTAGCCGGGAGGACCCCGCCAGAGAGAGCCTGTACGAGAGCTTCCGGTGGCTGGACGAGGAAGAAGACCTGGACCTCCGGCTCTTCCTGGATGACTACCATGCGAACCTGCGGGAGGAGCTCCCACACGCGACCAAGAGCAGGCGGCCGTCTTTCCGACGCCACCTGTCAATATCCAAGCGCCCCTTTGGCCAACCGACGGTGTCCGGCAGCCAGTCGGATACGAGGGACAGTGACACAGCGCCAACGTCTCCGTCCTACAACACAGGTCTTCCACAGCAGCAGCCCAATGGTACACAACATGCACAACGGTTATCTCGCACGCTGTCACTAATGAACCCGAGGCAGCAGCATGTGCGGTCAGAATCCCTTACAGGCATAGACCCTGGCGCGGCCCACTACCAAGATCCCGAGGCCCGGCTGAAGCTCCGGGTGTACCTGGCATCCCCACAAAAGTTCGACGAGGCCATTGAGTTCGGCTTCCCGGCAACAGACTCCGTCCAAGCACCCTCAACCCTGTCGAACCGGCGTTCCATGGTCAGGAAACGGCAATCACGGCTGCAGCTGAAGGACGACTCGGCTGACCACATGCGGTCGTTCCTGGACGACGGCGACGACGAGGACCTGAGCGATGATGACGACGACGACGACGACGACGCAAGCAGCATCTCGGACCCGGACTCGCCCAGGACGCCCCACCTAGGCGGCCTGACGCCTCCCCCGGGCCACCACCGCCCGACAAGGGTGCTAACCGACCCGCTCCAGGCAGCTCAGCGCGGCGGCCTGGCGGTGCGGGAGCCCAACGACGCATATGCGCAGATCCCAGCCAACTCGCGGGAGATGACCCTGCGGATGACGCTGACAAGGCCGGACCTGAGGGCGGACGACGAGCAGATCTACGGATGGCAGGCCGCGCAGCAGGCGGCCTACGCGCCACCCGCGGGGAGGAAGAGCCAGCAGTCCAACGCCGCGAGGGGCGACGAGCTGTCACCGCCGAGCTTGCCCTCGTCGCAGCAGCAGGGCCCGAGCTACATGTCCCAGGGCCGGACGCCCAAGGAGAGCATCGAGGCGATCCTGACAGGCACCGACCACTGGAGCCCCGAGGTGGCAGCCAGCGGCGACAAAGGTTTCATGAAGAGGATCTTCAACCGCGTTAGGAGGGCTTAGTGGACTCTTCGCCTGCGGTGTCCCGAGGTGGGGCACATTTACCCTCGATCTCGGTTCTCGAAGGACTTGAGCCGTCCTGAGTAATGGAGTGCTCCCTTCTGTCTTACCGCACGCGACGGCTGCGGTATCAGGAGGTGGCCGGACGAGAGGATCCGGCAGATGTGGCGAAACGGGAAGTTTTTGGAGGTCATAGAGAGGAGACATTTTGCGGATCAGCCGGCTCTCGAGTGTCATGAAACACCATCACCCATGGCATACAAAAACACAATCGTTATCATTATCCCAAAAGGCATTCTCATCATATCTCGGCGAAGGGTTTCTGGGTCAAATCAAATGGAATTGGAAGAGGCGCAGTTCGTTCATATTGAGTCCTTGTTTCGTATTTCCTTATGTGCGTTGAGCGAAAGAAGCCTTGCTTTATTGTACTGTATTTATGTAGCCCATTACTGCAAAACTCAAGTGCTGAGTATTGCCAGTAAACTAGTTCATCGATGCGCTATTTTGAAAGGATCTCTTTGGTGAACGTATAGACAGGCATTGATTGGATCAACGACAGTGTTCCGCGCCAATTCCCTTTGCAATTCCACAGTCAATCATATAGCCAGCCTCTGAGGCCGAGTCAAGATGAAGCCGCGACACCGCCCCTGACACTCCCCTGGTGCCTTCACACCACGCAATCCCATCAGGGCTGGCTATAGTGAACACAACGCATTGGCTTGGCGCTCAAGGGGCGTCAGGCCGATCAGGACGTATCCGGTCATATCACAGGGACAACGGGAGTCAAAGCGTGCAGGATCCAGAGCCGCCTGTGGGACAATAGATCCGCCGGCCATGTCATGCCATCCATCCCGCCTGCCCACCCACATGAATAGCATAAGGGTGTATCTAAGAACCCAGGAACCGAGGCAGCCAGCGCCTCCGATTCGCCCTGGCACCTCGGGCCTAGACACCACCACGCCCACTACTCCCTCCTCGCGACATCCCACGCCTCCGACTCTGCCGCGGGCCGGGCCCAGCACCCCCAAACGGACCCCCAACTGCCGGCGCCCCCTTCCTCCTCACGCCGTCGCGGACCTCGCTCTCCTCCAACCGCTGGCGCCTCATCGCCTCGCGCACCGCGTGCTTCATGTCCCTGACGGCCCCGCCCGCGCGCGCCCGCAGCCTCCTGCTGCTCCACCCGCTGCCCAGCCAGAGGCGGTACAGCGGCGCGGCGGTGACGGCGCGGGCGGCGGCGTACCGCAGGGCCGAGGAGGCGGCCGCGCGCGCAAAGGGGCTGAAGGCCGGGATGATCACCGCCAGGACGGCGCCGAAGGAGACGGTGACTGGATGCATGCGTGCGTCAGCTATGCATTTCTTTTCTCATTTTCCGTCAGGACATATGGGGTAAGACGTACACATTATCAGGATCTGCCTCTTGAAGGTTATGGGCCAGAAGGACGCGATCTCGTCGGGCACCGGCCGCGAGTCGTCGCCCGCGCCCGGTGATGGGTCCTCGCCTGTGAGCTCCACGGCGTTCATCCCGAAGAGGCTGCTCATGAACGACAGCGGCAGCTGGCATTTTTGTTAGCTTGCGTTCTCTGACGTGAGAGAAGAGCTTAATTGGTGGGTGGTGCTCCATACGAAAAGGATCGTCATGACCGTAAAGACCATGATGGCCTTGCCCTGGCGCACCGTCTCCTCCCCTTGCTTCATAGCCTCGTAAGCCTGAACCACACTTGCTTGCTGCTGCTTCAAGCCGAGGAGGTCGTTCACCTGGGTTACGGTCAGTCTGAGTGAGGTCGATGAGGCAAATAGAAAGAACTTGACCCACATTCTCCGCCGTGCTGAGCGCGCTGGCCTTCAACCCCTCAAGCTCTTTGATTCTGTCCTCGACCTCGGAAAGCAGATCCGCCTTGCGAGACTCAAACGACTTGATCTGATCCGCCACAATGCTCTGCACGTCGACGGGCGTAGCGGAGCCGATCTGCCTCGGGAGGTTCGCGGGATTCACACTGAGCACGTCCTCGGCGAACCTGACGAACCGCTTGATCACCTCCTGCTGCTGCCCCACGACATGAAGCATAATGTCCAGCTCGTCGATTATGTCGCGGATCTCGCGCTGGAGCTCGGCCTCTGGGGTCACGTCGAGGAGAGCCAGCATGATCCTAGGGTCGACTTTGTCTTCGGCCTCGGATTGGTAGATGCTTGGGTCGACCTTGTCCTCGACTCCACTCTGGTAGATCGCTGTGAGGCGCTCTGAGAGGCTCCACAGATGTTTGAAGGCAACGGCTTGTTTGTGAGTCTGTCATGGCGTTAGTGTATCATGCTGTGTCAGTAAGGCAAGGCTGGTGCGTAACATACAACACGGCCAATGCTCTCGGCGAACATGTCCATGACTTGAGGTCTTTTGTCGGCCGTCCGGGCCCTGTTAAAGAAGGTATTGAAACACTCGTCCAGTATGATCAGGGCAAGGTCGAAGACAGATCGGACATGATTGTCCGGGTTACTGCGCGTCTTCACTCTTGTCCGGATGGACTGATGCACTCCAGAGTCGTCCTTGTAGGACACTCCATATCTCTGAGGAAAGCACGTAAGTATTGTATCCTTGTCCAACACCCACATCCACAACTGGTCAACCATGATTGCTCGCGGTACTTTGCGAATGTCTGCGTCGCACTGCGCGCACCCGTAGGCTTGTTCGAATTCGCCGTGGCGACTCCACTGCCAGTTCTCCGAGTCTGTCGTGTCGGCCTGGTCACTGATAGGACGGGTCTGATTGTTCACCGATGACGGCGTCTTCTTGTCGCATATGTGAGCTGTGTCTTGCGGTCGAAACTTATGCGCGAACTCCGCGTTGGTGTGCCGATAGACGACTTGGTCCCGGTCTCGACTTCGTGTTGTACGCAGTCTCCAAAAATACGCTTGGTCTAGGGTCCGTCGGGGGTGAAGAGGAGGATCGGAGAAAAGGTCCTTCTCCATGATTCTCTGGTCGGGGTATGTCATGATTTGTTCGTAGAGCCTTGCGGCCTTGATCAATACTTTGGCGAGCTTCTTTCTAGGTTGGGGACACCCGTATTCATCGACCTTGATTCCCTGGAATATCGTTGTGGGTGATTTGAAGATTTGTCCTAGGGATCCGTTCATGCCTGGACCTGCGCTGTGGGACTGAAGGTTGGCTGCCCCTTCGCCTTGGAACTCTTCTGGGTCTTGGTCATTCTCGTCTTCAAGCCCTCTTCTGCGGTCAGCTATTTCCCTGGCCTTCTTGATCTGTTCCCAAAAGATGTCGTCCAGGGCGTGTGGAGTCGGATAGCCCTTCCCAGCTTCCTTAATCCTCCATAGAGCGTTGTCCCAGTCAAATGCCAGCTGCTCTTTTTGATCAATGGCCTGGTCCGGGACGAACTTTTGGAGTATCTGAGGGATTTCCTGGGCACGTGCTTTCTCTAGTAGAGCATTTTTCAAGGCCTTGACCAAGATGTCTTCGAAGCACTCGTCCCGAATTCTCTGCCATAGGGTGTGTGGGAGACCTGAGGGCATTGTTGCGGTGCTGTCTTTTCGAATCTTCTCCCACAAAATCTTGGCCAGGGCTTGCAGTATCTCGTCCCTGTCTGTCCCTCGTGTCCTGTAATAGTTCGGTTCTTTATGACCCGTAGCTGTCGGAGCAGGACGGTGCTGGGCTAATTTGAGCAGACCCCTTCGATCGTCTTTCCGGATTTCCTTCCACATCTGGGCAGTCTCTCTCAAATCCAGTTCGTGCTCATCTGCGAGTCTTTCAATCAGGTTTGCAGCCTGATTTCGTCTTCTGTCTGTTTCCCAGTGGAGAAATGGCATCTGGATGATTCGTGGATGATTCGTTAAAGAAGTGGGATTGAGAATTGTCAACAGTCAGACTTACAAACAGGACGAGGCTGTTCTCTCCTTTGCGGTAAGCATCATCGGCATCTGGGGGCCACGGTGAGCATTGTGTCCCCGCTGAGGCATTTTTTACAGTATCTTCGGCGCGAACGTAGACGTACCTGTTGATATTTTCTCGCACATTGGACGCAAGTGGCGGTTATGAACCATCGAGTGCGGCTCATTACCATGCTCTTGGCCCCTCCAGCAGTCATCTCGCAAGACTAGTTTGGTTGAGGGATAAAAGTCGTGCCCTGGCTCGGGATAAGGCTCGTCAAAGTAGCTTGCAATAGCTTGCTGAGACCGAGTTAGAGTTCTGCACTGCTAGGTCTCTCACTCAAGAGTGGTCAGATGTTCGTACCTCAGCCCACTGTGAAGTCTCGTCAGTTTCATATTGTTGTGCCAGAAGACACTGTCTTGCAGGGGGTAACTAGAGGTTTGGGGGAGCGGAGGATTGATTTTGGTGGAGGCATCTGTTTGAGGTACTGGTTCACTACGGTTACGACCATACTCTACGCCCAGTGACACCATTTCTCCTTTTTCGACGCCCAAATTGTGTTGGCAGATGCTCAAAGGGGTGGTGATAATTGTTCAAAGGAAGGAGAGGATACCGACTTACCTGCATATTGTTGACAGGAATATGATAGTATCTCAGCTTGCTAGGGCAAAGTTCATCCTCTGTAGTCGACTTGACGGTCCTTTCGAATTTACCCCTATTGAACTTTCCTCCCTTCAATACCCCGTTCAAGAGGTGAAACATGGAAAGCTGTTGGTCAGGAAATCGGCCCTTGAAAATCTCATCTCCGACGTCTTCCCAGTCGGGCTCCATGACGTTGCCCATGACTGACGCTGCTCTCGAACCCGAGGTCCTCGGGCGCTCAAGTAGAATCAGCTGTGCTTTGACATCTCTTTTGAGTTCATAGGACGTCATGGGGTCGTCCTCTGGCATGGCTTCCTTGCTCTTTTCACGCTCGTCGTCGACGATTTTCTTCAGCATTCGCGAGAAGTCGTCGTGTTCTGTGAGGCTGCCCTGGGTCAGGTTCGTGTTACGGCGCCGTTCTTTGGTCAATGGAGGACCGGGATCCTGAGCTGAACCGGGTGCAACACCTCGGCCCTCTGGTTGGCGCGGGCTCCCAGGTGTCCCAGGGGGCACCATCAGGCGGAAGTGGGTCGTATCGATTCTAAGTCTTTCGACATTGCTGATGTTCTTTTTGTTCTCCTCTCTCCACGCCACAAGGCTACGCTGAACCTCGCGTACCAGACCCCTAAGAGCCGGGGTCCTGCGCAGAACGGATATCCTTTTCAGTTCCGCCTGCAGGCTCAAGGCCGTGACATATCTCATTCCTGGCTGGTACTCATCTGGATCTACGAAGCCCACAGGCGGCGTTTTCGAGTTGTTCTTCTGAACCGGTTCGGTGTCTTTGGTCTCCAGGGCCTCGGCTTGTGCCCAGATAGGATCTCTAGGGTTAGACAAGACTTGAAGCCGCCTGTTGATTCCGAGGCAGCCAAAGAAATGACATCGTAGGTCGCGGATATCCCGTAAGTCATGTGGCTCGACTGATAGGCAAGGGCTTTGCAAGTCGTTCGTTGACAGCAGTTTCTCCAAAGACTCCCGCGCGGTCGCGTAAATCGCAGGGTCATCTTCCTCGGGCGACCGAAAGGGTTGGGCAGACATGATGTCGCATGAGTCTGGATGGCACTGGATCCATTGACACACATCCACACACAATCTGGTCCTTGAGTTGGGGATTGGATCCTATTTACGACCATTCAGCCAGAATTGATGAGGCTGGCAAGAAGCCGGGGCGTGGTTTCTGTTAGCATCCAAAAGAGGATGGATCGCTGTGGGATCGCAGCATTAGAGCGGCGTCACGCATGCGACTCGCTTCCTCCAGGCAGATGCAATGTAACCTGGAAGGCAATTGTATTCCTTCCGCGACTTAGCCTCGGACCAGCCCGCAGCCTCGTAGGTGGGAGTGCATCCATTGTTGAAATTGACCACTCTGGTTTTCCGAGGACAAGGCCTGTCGACTGGTTCGAGTGATTTGCGACGGTCTGTTCAGCTCATGCAGCCACACCACGCTTTAAAGCTCACGTCGGCTCCGCACGTTGTTGTGCTTCATCTTCGTCCTCCGATGGGGACGACCCCTTGTTTTCCAACACCGGAAAGGTTCGTGCAGGTGGTGTCAGACGGAATGTCCATTGGGCAGCAGCACATGTCGAAGTACTCAGACACAGCAGTGGGCACGCCCCTGGTTGTGTGCGACGGAACAGGGACCTCAACCACTTACTTTTGATTGCGTCTTGACTCATATTGAGTGATGCTATGGAATTTTTGGTGGAATAGTGACCAGAACCCTTTTAGAGGCCCGCCAGCAATATTTGCAATATTCCGTGGCCCCCAGCGACGTTCGACCGGGGTTAGACCCTTAGAGGCCCTTGGCTTCGACTGGCTCTACCCGGACCCCCTTAACTCGGCGGACGGCACTACGGCACTCAAGGGATACGGGCCAAGACGATCGCCATGACGAAGGACCCCCTGGGTTTTGTTTGTCAATAATCAATCTTGAGCAATGCACTGACACTCAGCAATGGGAGCTTTACTCGTTCTCTATCGTTTCTTCGCCCTGCCTCCCTAGGCCGGCCTACCCCTCGATCGACCGACAACAACCATTAACATGTTCCCGCGCGTCGCGGGCCCCCAGCGCCTGGCGTTGGTGGCGGTTCTCGTCCTCCTGGTCTGGTGCGCGATCGCGTGGATGTTCCTGCCCTACGACAGCCCCTTCTTCTCTTTCTGGCGACTCACGTCATCAAAGGTTTCTGGGACCTTTCGCTCCTCGAATGCCGACGAACGCCTACTGCTCGAGCTGCCCGGCCAGTTCCCCTTCACGGACGAGGAGGTCGCGTACATCGTGAAGACGGGCTACGGCACCCAGGATCGAGTCCCGGCGCTGCTCGAGGCGTCAGGGGCCCTCAAGGCAGGGAGCGAATACGGAGACAACATATTAGTCGTAGGGGACTATGCTACAAAACTCGAGTTGAAAGGGAGGACCGTTATCATACACGACGTGGTTGCAGCGGCGATCGAGCACGAGGCTGTCGCCAGGACAGAGATCCAGAGCACAGAACGTATATACAAATACGGGAATATGACATTGGCGATACAACAAGGCCGGAAGGAAGATGCGGAACAGTCGTCCAAGGCCGTGGGGTGGGAGTTGGATGCTCTCAAGGTACGGGGCCTGCAAATTGGTGCCCGATTATCCAGCTGACCATGATAACCCAGTTCATACCCAGTCTTGAATTGGCGTGGAAAACCATGCCTGGAAAGAAATGGTACATCATGCAGGATGACGATACCTTCATTATTCGACCGTCGCTCTACCGATTCCTCGAGCACCTCGACGCTTCAAAGGGGATGTATCTCGGCAACGCCATCGGTGACTACAAGACCAGGTTTGCGCACGGGGGCTCGAGCTTCATCCTCTCTCACGAGACCATGAGAAGCTTGTTCGACGACAACCCCGAAGTCGTCTCGGAGGCTTACGTCGCATCTGTCGACGAGACGTGGGGCGACAAGCTGATTGCGACGACGTTGAACAAGATCGGGGTCTATATTAGCGAGAGGTACGGTCACTTCTTCAACGGGGAGAGGCCGTTGATCACAAAAGCGTCCGCAGATCGGTTCTGCTCGCCGGTCGTCTCCTTCCACGGATTGGCACAGCCGGCGCAGATGAAAGATGTCGGCAAGACGTTTGCCCAGATCGAGGAGCCGGTGTTCTGGAAGGACCTGTGGGAAATATACGGGCAGCCGGACCTGGATGCGCTCGGCAAGAACCCAATACGGTCTGGTCAGGACCATGTTGGCAGGCAGGACGATATCACCATGATCAACCACGCAGGCTCGGTGGACAAGTGTCTGAGCTCCTGCGTGAGCCAGCCCAAGAAGTGCCTGGCATGGGCGTGGGATAAGACGACGGAGCTGTGCATTTTGAGCCCATGGGTCGTTGTTGGGGAGGACAAGCCTCCGGAGCGTTACTCTGGGCTCAACGTAGACCAGGTGAAGAAGCTGGTGAGCCAGTGTGGCAAATACTAAAGGTGGTACGCACGGCACGCCCTCCTGGCCAGTGTCCTTCATATGCCATGACCGATCTGATCTGCCTTGTTACTGCGGAGTTTGGGGCTTTTGGGAAAGCCAAAGTGGAACTTTGATACCCTGCGCACGTGTTTTCTGCCGAGCCTGTTGACCATGTTTTTCTCATTCGTATATTGAAAATAATAATACCAAAAGCGAGCAGTTTACATAGACACACGAGTACGAGTGCTAGCCATCAGGCACTAATACCAGTAAAATCTATCAAGATCCCGGTAATGCCAGGGTCCCAGGCCGGAGATAAGATGCGTCAGCCGCGCTTAGCCATCCCAGAGCTGTGCGTGTGGCTTGTTCGGATGACGAAAGCGAGTGCAGGAAGGTGTGTGTCTGGGCTGGACTATAGCTTCCCATGCAGCCCCGCGAATCGTACTGACGTCAGGCGACAGAGGCCCCAAGCTCGGCCGATGGAACACGCACCGCGAGGATGAGTGCGAGCACCTGGGAGGCGGAGGGCCACCTGCGCCAGACCTCAACGAACCTCGCGAGAGCATGCTAAAATTACCTGCCACACTATCCCGTGAGCTGAGATGAGCTTGGCCTAGGCAGGGGCGGGCTGGCCTGATGACGGGAGGATTTGCCTTCCCAAGGGAGCGTCTTTTCCTTTGACAACACAACTAGGCCACGACACAATCCAAACATCTCGCCCCACTTGCTTGCTTCTTGTGTCTTCGAAAACCTGTGAACCACCTTGTTGCCGATACACAGTTGTTCTTGAGCCACCGTAGCGGGACGTGCTATTGGGGCTTGGTCGCTCCTGTCCCACCTCGCAAAGCCAAACTCTCATAAATTGTCACAGAACGCCTCCAGGTGAAGGTACGATCCGGAACCCCACTTACCCACTCCCACACCTGACCTTATTGTCGCTTGCCGATCTCGCCTAGCAAAGACCCTCCCGAGGGCCTCAGGGGGCAAACTGGACCTACTGGACCTGCCTTCCGTACTCGAGTGCTGACACTGTCACTTACACTGCGGGCAGACATTCGGCAGCATAGACCAAGAAACCCGGACTCATCCCAAGACATCCCGGCCTGAACCACACTGCACACAGACATTCAACATGGCCGACACCGCACAGCAAAATGCGCAGGCGGCCCAGAGCGGCAGCTGGTCCGCCTTTCTCAAGGTATGTCGGCGCACCCCGACCCCCCAAGGCGGTTGGTACACGCCCATGGGCAGCAAAGGACTCGACACTGACCTCGGTGGCTCCCCGGGCCTATAGTCCATCGCCTCCTTCAACGGCGACCTGTCCAGCCTCACCGCACCGCCCTTCATCCTCTCCGGGACCAGCTTGACCGAGTTCAGCTCCTACTGGTGCGAACACCCATCAATATTCGTCGCCCCCGCCAAGGAGGCCGACCCTGAGAAGCGGGCACTGCTGGTGCTCAAGTGGTTCTTGACCACCCTAAAGCAGCAGTACGCCAGCAGGAGCGAGCAATATGGCAACGAGAAGAAACCCCTCAACCCCTTCCTCGGGGAGCTGTTCCTGGGGAAATGGGAGGACGAGGCCGGCACCACAGAGCTCATCAGCGAGCAGGTCAGGTAGGAAGACCCATGCGGCGCCTTGCTTGTGCATACTCGACCCCTGGTGCACGACTCGGGCTAACTCCTGCGCTTCCATACAGCCACCACCCACCCGCCACAGCCTACAGCATCACCAACCTGCCCACGGGCGTCCACCTTGAAGGATTCAACGCACAAAAGGCAAGCTTCAGCAAGACGATCAACATCAAGCAGATCGGCCATGCCATTCTCACGGTGCCCATCCCCGACAAGGAAGGCGAGAAGGAGACGTTCCTCATCTCGCTCCCCAGCCTGCACGTCGAGGGCCTGATCTTCGGTTCGCCCTTTATCGAGCTCGATGGCGCGTCCTACATCACGTCCTCGTCAGGCTACACGGCCAAGATCGACTACAGCGGCAAGGGGTGGCTCTCGGGCAAGAAGAACAGCTTCACGGCGGCGCTGTACCCAACGGGCAAGGAGAAGGACGTGGTGTACAGCGTGACGGGCCAGTGGACCAAGGCCTTCGAGATCCACTCTGGCCCCGCTAAGCACGCATCCTCGTCCAACCTGGTCGACAGCTACGACGCCGTGGCCGCCAAGTCGACGCCGTTGTCCGTCGCCCCCATCGAGGCCCAGCACCCGCTCGAGTCGCGGCGCGCCTGGCAGAAGGTCGCGGCCGGCATCCTCAAGGGCGATATGGACGCCGTCGGCCGCGAGAAGGGCAAGATCGAGACGGCCCAGCGCGAGCTGCGCGCCAAGGAGAAGGCAGAGGGCCGCATGTGGCAGCGCCGCTACTTTACCGTCCGCACCGACCCGGACCCCATCCTCGCCGACCTCGCCAAGTACGTCGGCGTCCCCGACCACGGCGACGGTGACAAGACCGGCGGCGTGTGGCGATTCGACGCCGCGAAGGCGGACAAGGTCAGGGCCGAGCCCCCGCTGGACGAGGAGGCCATCGCCGCCTTCGCGCAGGCGCACCTGGGCCAGTGAGCCGGCTGGGCGTGACCGTGTGGACACTGCGTGTGGGGGGGGGGGGGGAGATGTGTATATTCTTTCTAGGTTAGGCGGGCATCTTCGGGATAGGAAACAGTAGCCAATATCAGATTTGATGGTTTGTAAGGAAGGCGTGGCGGTCTGTCGATTTTGCATGTGTATATGCTCAAGCCAGGGACTACAACACCGCACTAGCCAAACCAGTCCCCAGGCGTGGCAGAATCGGGACACATCATATAGTACAGGAGCAATAAGGAAGTTGTTTGTAATGTCACTCATGATTCAAAGGAAAGTCTCGTTACATCAGGTAGTGAAAGATCATGCTCAGGTATTGATTATTTCTTTTTCATTTTGAGGTATCACCAATGGAGGTCTTTTTCCAGGTCAACTTCCTAGATGCAGCAAACCAACCGCCACCATTCCTATTTATGCTCCTAACCGCCCGGCTTCAACGCTCATGTCATCTCATTCAGCTTCATAAAGCATTCCCGTAGATACTATAGCCAGACCAGACACGTAACAAATACCCAGTTTACAGCTTGTTCTCGGTGTTGAAGTCGTTGAGGGCGACCTCGAGACGCTTGGTCATGGTCTTCTCACCCTCGCGCACCCAGACACGGGGGTCGAAGTACTTCTTGTTGGGCTTGTCGGCGCCGTCGGGGTTGCCGACGGTGGTCAGGAGGTAGTCCTTCTTGTTGAGGACGTAGTCCCGGATTCCGGACAGGTAGGCGAACTGCATGTCGGTGTCCAGGTTGACCTTGACCACGCCCAGCTTGATGGCCTGCAGGTACTCGTCCTTGCTGGAGCCGGAGCCGCCGTGGAAGACGAAGAAGACGGGCTTGTCCTCCTTCTTGGACAGCTGCTCCTTGACGTACGCCTGGTGCTTGCCCAGGAGCTCGGGGTGCAGCTTGACGTTGCCAGGCTTGTACACACCTGGGGAGTGACGTATTAGTGACTGCATCGCATGCTGGTGAGTGGGGCAAACGCAGAGGGGGTGTGCTCACCGTGGACGTTGCCGAAGCCAGCGGCAATGGAGAAGTAGGGGCTGATGGGCTCGAGGGCCTTGACGATGGCCAGGATGTCCTCGGGCTGGGTGTACAGCGAGTTGTTGTCAACGTCCTCGTTGTTCACACCGTCCTCCTCACCACCAGTGATGCCGATCTCCATCTCCAGCCACTGCTTCATGGGGGCAGCGCGCTTCAGGTAGGCGGCGGTGGTCTGGATGTTGTAGTCGACGGGCTCCTCGGACAGGTCGATCATGTGAGAGGAGAAGAGGGGCTCGCCGTGCTCCTTGAAGTACTTCTCGTCGGCGTCGAGCAGACCGTCGAGCCATGGCAGAAGCTTCTTGGCGCAGTGGTCGGTGTGCAGGACGACGGGGATGCCGTATGTGGGAGCAATGGCTCGGATGAAGTGTGCTGCTGCGATGCCACCGGCAATGGAGGCAGTCTGGTCCTTGTTGTCAACGCCCTTACCGGCGAAGTAGGCGGCACCACCCTGGGATGTTTGCCTTGACAGGAGCCGTTAGCCGCCGCGGGCGGGGACATGTCTGGGGCCTGAGGGGTAGAAAACTCACAGGATGATGGGGGACTTGGCGTCACGAGCACCCTCGAGAGCAGAGACGACAGTCGAGCTGGAGGTCACGTTGATGGCGGGGATGGCGAACTGGTGCTCCCGAGCATACTTGAAGAGGGCGAGCACATCGTCACCGACGATGACACCGGACTTGCGGGACAAAACGTCTTGGGCACCCATTTTGTTGAGGCTTGGTGGGGTTGCTTTCAAGGTGGGATAGAAGAGGTCGTGAGTAGGAGCGTTGTTCTGATGGCAGAGTAGAGTAGAGCAAGATGGTCTCGGTCACGGCTGAGGTGAAAAACGTAGGGGAGAGCTAGTTATAAACAGATGGAGTGAACCTGGTGGCGTGTCAGTGGGGCTGAGGAGACTGAGTCGCAGAAATTGTAATGCGATGAGGTGTTTCTTATGAAGTGAGCGATAAATTCTCCTGGCCGGTACGACCTAGGTATGACACAAATGGGTGGGAGCTTCCGAGTGGGCTTGGAGGGGTACGTGGGTAGGGGACGTTCTCTGGGCCTGTGTCTGGGTGTCTGGGTCTGCAGCTGCCAGGAGCCGGAGCCAGGAGCAGCCCACCTTGGACTCGCTGCCCAGGTGGGCGGAACATGGCAGATGCTTGCTTGTGGACTGTGAAAGTGGACTCCGGACGGGCCTGAGCACGGTGAGGCTGATGCGCCGTCCTCTGCGGCCTCTTCCCACCTACAGTCCACTTTTACAAACAGGCTTGACATCATTTGCACATCCCCAGACCGGGGCTCCAGGATGACTTCATGGCCTGACGGTATATGAAGTGAGCGTTGGCGATGGTCGACCAAGCACTGGCCTCCCTATCCACGGCCGTCCCGGGCGAGAGGATCGAGCGAAGCGACGAACCTTCGAGACGTGCCGGTGCAGAGGCGAGGCGAGGGGAGTGGTGTCATGGCGGGGTAACAAAGCTCGTTTTCTCGAGGCGTTTTTGTCCAACAGGAGAAAGGCTGTCTGGGAGCTTGGGGGGTCTTGACTCACAGGATAGGATATAGAGGCGCTATGTTCAATCGCACTTGACACACAATACCTGAAGGAATCTTGAGTCAATTGGGAGAACGAGCTTGTCAATTTCAACACAGCCAAGGTGGGGTCTGCCCGATGTTTAAATCATCGTCATAGCTCCCCCTCCCCCTTGGCCCTTTCCCTCTCGTCTTTCCCGAGCTGCCAGCTACCCCGCCGAAACTCGGCAGCGGCACTCCCCCTAACGGAATCAAACGGAAGTAGCGGCAGAAAGACGAAAACGGGCCCTGGCATAATATGCACATGCCGCCTGCTTAGCATGTGGCATATGGACATTGGGACATTTACCTATGAGATGCGATCAGGGGGTGTTCTGCGGTACAAAGACCAGGACTCGTCCCGGGTTTGCAGTTCTGACTGAGTCTCACTCCAGCATCCCACCTCGGGAATCCACCGCCGTCGACCTGGCCCAGGGGCCCGAGACCAGCCGGCACCACCGAACAATAGCAGCACGATCCCAACATCCAACTACCGACTGATCTATAAGATACATATACGTTCTGTTTGGCTTGCCATTTTGAGTGTTCCTATCGGACCGTCGCCGAAATGTAGCGAGAATTTGCTGTCTGGCGCCAGTTCCCGACGGGCCCTTGGGCGGCTTATGTCCATGACAGGCCAAGAGTCAGACCATTCCTCTCATGACTACGGAGATGAGTGGTGAGCAGTTAACATGGATTGTACGCCCCTCCGTGCAGTTGCTTCAGCCGCATCCACAGCCTTCCTCTGAAAGAATTCTCCTCGCCTGGGAGCCTCGGGAGTGTCATGTGCAAGACGAATGGAAGTCTGAAGGACGTCTTACTTTGTGAACAAGATTGACAAGAACACTGCACGTTCGCGTCGACCGAGATCGATGTAACCATCCATGGTGGTTCAGACCATCTGCCTGTCATGCCCGAACGTCTGATTGTCGCACAAGACCGGGCTTACATGCAGCATTGCTGCTCAGACACCGCTCAAATACAGATGTGCATCCTGAGCATCGTCTGGCATTCATCCTGGCCGGTTGCTTGAGCGTGGACGTCGGGAATTCAGGTGAGAGCACCCGTGAACTGAGACGTGGGCCAGACCTGCCCTATCACATGCCTCGAGCACAAGGAGCATGCTGCTGCAAGACCGCCTGCCTTGTTCGCGCATGAAATGCCCACGAGATGAATGAGCATCTTGTGTCTCGCAAAAGACCTCAGGCCTTGCATTCTTCGCCTCCTGGGAATGCAGCCTAGTGCGGCATCCCCACTTGATCTCACACCTGGTCTCTGATGATGGGCCGGGCCTGGAACAGCGCCTTTCAGGTCCAACAGCCGAACCACGAATTCTGCTCTAAACTTCTGTACCACAGGATAGCCCTCTGATTCTGGACAGCAACGTACGACCGCATTCACAAAGGTTGAGAACCAGACAAAATGTGCGTCAAAGATACAGAATGCCTCGCGGAGACTAGCCATGGCAAGTGAAGATGGCGATATGAGTGACCAAGCACGCCCGAGGGCAGCCCTGGGATTGACGGGCTCTAGAACAACCACTGCATGAGGTGATACACCACGAGTGGTAGCCAAACCACTTGCAGACCGAGATTTCCATAGCTTGCACGCCCTTCAACGCCATTTCCAGCCGGCAAGATCCGTCCTTGACAAGTGTAATCGCCAGAGAACACGCCACGGGATCGCAGACCGTCAAGCCCGGAGCAGTCAAACGAGGAGACGGTAGACTGAACTTCAAAGTTCCCGGTGACATCAAGCCTAAGCGTTTCATTGCCTGTAAGGCCATCGCTAGAGGGTTATGATGAGTTTGGTCAGTATCCGTCGCAATTGAGACGGGACTTCTTAAGTTTCGCACATTTTGATACTCACAAGAATGATGTTTCGAATTGCCCACGAAAGACCATCTCAGAGATATTCCCCGAAGGCCATATCCACAACGAGGAAGAGGACGAAAGAGACTCATTTCTCAGTACCAACTTGGGGTTATCCACAATCCGAATGACATCCATTTTCCAACTCGTCATATCCGCCGACATACTTAAATTCTCCAAATCTGCATTGTCGTGTATTTCCAACACTTTCAATGCTTGTATTGCCGGTACACTCATTTCCGTCATGTTGTTGTTTGCTGCGATGAACGTGTCCATGGCTAGACCCGAGTTGATGTTGTAGGGGCCACGATATGAACTCATGTCCCGCAGGCCAGTGATGTTCAGGAGACCAACAGAGGAAACGTCACTGTCGCTGTATTGGAGCGGCTCAGCGAAATCCAGGGACAAACCGCCACTTCCATGGCCCTCCAGCTCACCAGTGTGCAGTATACCAAGGCTGAGTTGGTACATTGATGGATTGTTGCTGAAAGACATGCGGCTGATGTTGTGGGCGCCGGCGAAGATATCTGTGAGGCCTGTGAGATTGGTGTTCGAGATCTGGACCTGGGTCTCCGGGATATCTGGCGACGGCCTGAATGCCGACATGACCTGAAAGTCTGCACGCGACAAGAGCGCGGTGTCCAGGATGATGATCGAGTTCACGGAGGTCAATGATTGGAAGGAGATGCTCCTCAACGAAGGAAGGTCGCTGAGCTCGACGACCTTGGCAACCGCAAGATTGGGAAGTGAGAGCTCAGCGAGACTGGCCAGACCTGACAGAGTGAAGTTTCCTGTGTTGTAGAGTTCGAAGCCACCGTTCATCGCAAGGTGCAATGAGTCCATAGACACGTTCATCAGGTTGGGCAAGTCTACAAGAGATATTGAATGAGCGCCCTGTAGTTTCGGGAAGACGATCTCGGTGAAGGTCGTCAGATTCTCAAAAATGACATTCTCGCCGACTTCCCAAGAGGTCCGGACTGGAGAAGGTTGCAAGTCCATCGCAGGCAGTTGACGGGCACGGCGCGAGTTGCAGGCTGCCAGTGATGTCGGATACTCCATTTAGAGTGATTTGGCCAGCTGCACTCCCACTTATAAGCAAATCTCCCGTTACTGTGCCACAGTCATTGAAACCATCAGCGTCTTCTTGGCTTGTGATTTGGACGTTCGCGCAACGAGATGGGTCAGTATTCATGATTTCTGGCCAAATCCGCAACTTGTGTTTTGGGTGAGACCGCGAATGGCGATGACGTGAAGAGCCTTTGCTGCTGAGTTGAACCGTCCAGTATTGACAAGTTCACAAGAGGGTTTCGTAATACCTGTGACCGAGAAAGTCCAGCTGCGGTCCGTGTGCGGTCTCTCGGAAGGCCACACACTAATCAATTCTATACACATGAATGCGTAACATCGTGCAGGCAGAATGTCCTGGAGTTGGGGTTCGGTGGCGCCGGTCATTTAAGAACCAACTCGCAAGGAGAGAGTCGCAATGCCAAGAAGCAACTGCTGGGCTTTGAGCAGTGCTTCCGAGGCAGCATGCGATAGTGCGTTCTTAATATTCTGGCTGTGCCGCTCAATACTAGTACACCGCCGCTTCTATGGAGCCATTCATGGATCCCTACAAGTAAAACCTCTCGTTTATTCGTGTCTCTAGGGTCAAGAAGTTCCAGTCTCGCATCAGATATCTGGAATAGCTGGAATAAGATGAGACGAAATGGAACGGCTAGCTTCTGGTTCGTTCTCTTCACAAATCCAGACAATCTTGAGCTCGGTAAAAGCTCAAGCCCGAAATTGTAAGGTATAAATCTGAGTTGAGGGAGATTCAGGGTATTGTTGAATAGTACAGATACAACTACGAAGTCAAACGACTTGTCAGGCTGGGATGACCGGGCCGTGGTACAAGAGACAAGTATGTTGACATTGTAGCATTCTTTGGCAATGGACAGTTCCTCCACCCCATGTACGACGGTGTCCGCGAAGAGTTCAAAAGGGACACAGACGAATATCTCAGAAAGAGGTTGCTGTCTGCTTCTCTCGTCGCCTCGAAGCACTACCTCGTATGTGGGTGATACCCCTCTTGCGGTGACTCCGAGTCGCTAGCCTCCTGTGTCATCGTCGACGATATCATTTACTCACTGGAGAACCCGGCCAGGGCCATAATGGCTACGGAGTCGGCTTCCCCGATGTCTATTCCGAAGCGCTGAGCGATGACGACTTCCGACCCCTGACGACAGCTAGTGTCAGCATAGCAGATCTGGTCAGAGGCTCGCGCAACTGCCCGGACAAGTTTAACAGCTATGATCCGGTTCCGAATAATTTTGTGCCAGATGTTACTCAGGCAGCGGAGGACACGTGTTTGTACACCCTCCCCATATTTCATGTCAACGTGAGAGACGTGGGGCCGCAGTACAAAACGGTTCCGAGGATGCCAACACCTTGCAAGATTCGAGTCGAAAACCCAGACAATACTCCATCAACGCCACAGGCGGGAAGTCGTTACCTTCCCGGACGATTGGCTAGTATCTTCGCGTCGGACTTTTTCCAATCGAAGTGCACGCTGAGCCCGAGAGTTTGTAACGGAAATCGATTCAGTCCACCAGTGAATGTGACCGAGACGGCTTGACTTTCCCTTTCATTCACCCCCTTCGCTTCATCTTGATCATTTTGTAGGAAGTCTAGATGTTTGGTTTCGATGTTACAATGTGTATTCAACCTATCAAAGCACATTCCGGGGGGATCGGGCTTGGCCTGCTGATCAGCAGGACGCCTAATTTCTCCATCGAAGGGTCTCCGTTCCACAGCATATGCAACGCGTCAGCGGTGAACACCCTCTTGACACGCCCACAAAGGTCATGTGGATTTTCAGCACCGTCCGAAAGACAGTCGTGCGTAAACAATGCAGAGAATCGTGAAGATGGGTTACTTCTCGTAGGGATGCCAGGTAATGCGTGTGAGTTATTGTTTCGTGTCAGGTAGCTAGGGCAAAACTATACAGAATCCTTCGATTTAAGCTTCCTGATCAGCCTCATCGGGCCGCTCTTCTTTTCTCGACGGCTTCCATCGGAGCTGCATGCGCAGTGTTACCTCAGTATTGCCTAACATGGGCACTTTCAAACATGTACAATGCAAGATATGAGATCGTGGAACGATCGCGATGACCCAATCGCAAGTGTCCGGTCAAGACAGGTGCACGACAGCTTTGAAACTCAGCGAATGAGACTCGAGATCGCATCCCGACCCGTGGGATATCTGCGCGGTTCCGGACACACGGCAGGCGTACCCGTCGTCCATGTCCAACCATGACAAATTCTGCTTGGAAAATCCCCGGAAAAGCACGTTGGTTCCAAGATATGGATGGGTTCGCGAGAGATTGGGTGGGTCCCCGTCTCAGCCTCACCCGCCGCGTACCCATTGGGTATGGACTATGCAGAAGACCACGAAAAAGCAACGCGGCCCAGCTGACAGCAGTTCCATCACCCTTGCATCACCACCCTGAGTCTCGTTGTCATGACAGACTGACCAATCTGCACGCTGAGCTATGACATGGGGTGAGAGCCTAATGAACATAAGAATATTGACAAGGTGTGAATACACGCTATGCGGGCGTGCATGAACTAATACTATGACCAAGAGGGCTGAGCAACGGGTCTCAAGTCTGCCATGATTTGCTGAAGAGACCATAATTTCCTTGAAGACGTGCCGAAAATTCGGATGGAGGCACTTGAGAGGTCTGGCCGATATCCTGACGGTGGCTGGCCAAGGGCGTCCGATCGAGGAGAGACGTGCATGCCACGCTCATTCGTCGATCCACACACTCTCACCGTCGCGTGAATCTATGCGCAGAGGTCTGGATTGCCAATGGTGTGTGCCGTCTCTGGATGGGCAAGCAGGGGTCCGACGGAATCATCGCCGGCGACACTCCAGGCTCCTTCGACCTTCTTATACCCTCTGTTCCGCTGCCACAGGTTTCACTTATATCACACATTTCCTGACACCCAGATCATAAAATGGACGTGAGCGACCGCGTGTTAAAAATCGGCGATGCTTCTTTTCATTGGGAGGACGAATCCCCTATGAGAAAGAGAAATCGACTAGCACAAAGGGAATATCGCAAAAGTGCGTCGCTTTGAAATCCTCAACTGTAGCGGAAGTACTTTTGTTGACCCGGTTTCGGAACAGGGAAGAGACATTCTGTCCGCCATGGGGCCAAAGACCTGGATTCTGCGACCGAGTCTCCTTCATCGACGGGACCGATTCTTGAGAGTGTTGATACGGGACCGGATCTCTCTTCCACCGTGCAACCGTCCGGGCCCGTTGGTAACGGCCAAGTGTCAGTGCTAAGAGAAATTCAGGCCCTGACAGATCGTTATCAACTAACACTCATCAGTTTCTTAACGCATTCAGACCAAGCCAGCCCGATCGAAGGTCTGCACACTGGCCAGTTTTACCATGATACTATGAACATCGGAAGTGCCTACCCCTACGAGGGAGGACCGTCTTACTTGCCGGTCGCAGGTAGTCCTGGTATCTTACACGTGCAAAGCCCTGTCGATGGCCGCCTTGAAGTTGGACATCTCGACGTGGTGACAACGGGATATTTCTGGTCGAACGAACAAGTTCTGCCCACACCGGCGACAGAGGAATGCGCTGATCTACAAGCAATCGTCAGCTTTCCAGGTGGGGTTATGAGTCCACCAACAAGTGATCCTTCTCGTCTTTCCACATGTTCCCCAACTGGTTTCGTTGGGTCGAGGGACGATTTGATGAGAGGACGTGACGGCGGCATGGGACAATCTCCCATGGATCACCTCGCCACCACTCCAGCGAATCTCGAAGACCGCTTTGAGATGATTCTCGACGCGTGCAAAGCAGCGGGGTACCACAGCATAGACTCAATGGCAACGGAGTACTATAACGCCTCGTTTTCTCCCAACAGCTACTTGGCAGCTACGCAGAGTCGCAGCAGGTCTCAGGACCTGCCAGAGCTGCTCGACAACCTTTACGCGGCTTCCTCGCCTTGTGGTCCCGAGATGCAGAACTCGTGGGCCTTCAACGAGTCGGAAAAGTTCCGGGAGAAAATATTAAGGCTCGCCACGAATATACTCATCGACGAAGTGGGTCAGATGGACAGAGTACAGGATCAAGCCGCAAGGGTGGCCTCGCCCGCAGCTGAGGAGAATGATTGTCAAGTGAGTCCTGGTGGTATATCTACAGAGTGTCAACGGCGTGTATAAGAAACGTGAGTTCTAAAAGAAGGAGACCACTCTCTACCTGCTGGCTAACCGACTGTAACGTGAAGGTGTCCGAGACATGGTCTTTGCTGTCGCAACTGCTGAGGCATCCTGGGGAGCTTCAATCGCTGGCACCTCGCTAGTATATGCATGTGTGCGGGAGTCCCATCTTCTAGACTGTGGTCATGTGTGGGCGATAAGATCCGACTGATACATTACCAGTGAGAGGGAATTTCGAGATTAGCGCATGAAGTTGTGCCCATAAGTGAGCATATGATCTTTGAAGACGACTTCATTTGCATTAGAAACAACCAAGCCGCTGTCTGCAATGTTGACACCTTGCCAGCTTACATAATCTTTCAATGGCCATCGCTGGGCATGTATGATACTTAACCTTATTTGGTGGATGCACAGAGACATAGATACACCATACTGCAGCTTGCAGGGGTCTTGAGGGTTGGAAGGTACTCAACACATGGGAAGAGCAGAGGGGCGGATCAGACAGAGCCTATTTAGGTACGATCTTGAAGGTTATCCTCAAAGACATAGATATTTTCCGTAAGACCCATCGCAGTAAATCATTCCGCGGGAGCTTAATCAATTGGACGTCCTGAGGAGCATGTCCTGCAGAGAGAGAGAGAGTGTGTGTATTGGTCAAGACGTAGCGAAAGTTTCTGAGATCACTGTGACCTGTATTTCATTTGGCCCAGTGTGCACCCAGACCAGACACGTTTGGCTGGGCAGTCAAGGCGCAGTCAATTGTCTGCAACGTGCTATATTTACCATGCCTTCCATCCTATGAATCATCACTCGAATCGGAATCAAGTTGGAAGACGTTTGAGGCGGCGGCACGTGATCCTGTAGTCGGCATTGCCTCGGCAAATCAACTTGAATAAGCCGATTGTGATTGGCTCCTTGCTCAACGTTCCGGCTCTGCCCAGTGCGACCTTTCTCGCAACATCATCCATTCTTCCATGCTGAACCTGTACACACGACTTGCAGGGCGAGTTTCTTGTCTACTGGAACGCACCTCTGCCTCGTTTGCACCCTCACATCGGATCCCGTTTCGACCATGGCCCCAACAATGGCTATGAGGAGGCTTCTTTCGACGCCGGCTGTAAGCTTCGCTCCCACTCTGCGCCTGTGCCTGTCGCCGGCCACATGCGCGCGCTCCGTCTTGCTTGTCTCGAGTCCTGCGACGTCCCACCTGTTCAACAACAGACAGCTAACACAGGACCACACACAGGTGTCTCGCCTTGCGAGAAGCCAATCGAGGGCATTTTCTTCCACTCCAGCAGCTGGTATGTTTTAATCTACCACCCGTTGCCTCGAAGCTCGGATCTTCCGAAACTGATATGATCGTCGACAGCCAAAATATTCGCGAACCGACCTCTGCGAGCCCAAGAGGCTTCACCCTTCGTCAGCACCAAGTACCCAGTGATCGTGCGTCTCCTCGACAGTTCCTGCCATATTCCTCCGCCCACACACGCGCCCGCTGACATGGAGACTTACAAAGGACCACGAATACGATGCCGTCGTCGTCGGTGCCGGTGGCTCCGGCCTGCGAGCCGCCTTTGGTCTCGCCGAGGCAGGTTTCAACACCGCATGTATATCGAAGCTGTTCCCCACGAGAAGTCACACTGTCGCCGCACAAGGAGGTATCAACGCAGCACTGGGAAACATGCACGAGGATGACTGGAGGTGGCACATGTACGACACTGTGAAGGGCTCAGATTGGCTTGGAGACCAGGATGCTATCCACTACATGACACGAGAGGCACCCGCCTCCATCATTGAGCTCGAGAACTACGGTTGCCCTTTCTCCCGAACGGAGGATGGAAAGATGTAAGCTCGCACCGGAGACAAACGTGGAGAGAGATAGTGTCTGACTTTGGTCACAGCTACCAGCGTGCCTTTGGTGGCCAGTCCCAGAAATACGGCAAGGGCGGACAAGCCTACAGATGCTGTGCTGCCGCTGATCGAACCGGCCACGCCCTTCTGCATACCCTGTACGGTCAGTCCCTGCGACACAACACCAACTACTTCATCGAATACTTCGTCGTCGACCTGATCATGGAGGATGGCGAGTGCCGCGGTGTCCTGGCCTACAACCAGGAGGATGGTACTCTGCACCGATTCCTCTCGAACAACACGGTTCTGGCCACCGGTGGCTACGGCCGAGCATACTTCAGCTGTACCTCTGCACACACGTGTACCGGTGACGGTATGGCCATGGTTGCCCGTGCTGGCCTGCCAAACCAGGATCTCGAGTTCGTCCAATTCCACCCGACTGGTATCTACGGAGCTGGCTGCCTGATCACCGAGGGTGCCCGTGGCGAGGGTGGCTACCTGCTGAACGGCCAGGGTGAGCGTTTCATGGAGCGTTACGCACCAACCGCTAAGGATCTTGCCTCTCGCGACGTTGTCTCCCGGTCCATGACCATGGAGATCCGTGATGGCCGCGGTGTTGGCCCCGAGAAGGACCACATCTACCTCCAGCTTAGCCACCTGCCCCCAGAGGTCCTCCACGAGCGTCTGCCCGGTATCTCCGAGACAGCCAGCATTTTCTCCGGTGTCGACGTCACGAAGCAACCGATTCCTGTCCTGCCTACCGTCCACTACAACATGGGCGGTATCCCAACTCGTTACACTGGAGAGGTGCTCACTGTCGATGAGAGCGGCAACGACAAGGTCGTCCCCGGCCTGTTCGCCTGCGGTGAAGCTGCCTGCGTGTCCGTCCACGGTGCCAACCGCCTGGGAGCCAACTCCCTCTTGGATCTGGTCGTCTTTGGCCGTGCTGTTTCACACACTATCCGCGATAACTTCACACCTGGCACCAAGCACAAGCCTCTCAGCGCTGATGCCGGTGCCAAGTCGATCGAGATGCTCGACCAGATCCGGACGTCCGACGGACCAAAGAGCACGGCTGAGATCCGCCTGGCCATGCAGAAGACGATGCAGACGGATGTCAGCGTCTTCAGGACGCAAGAGTCCCTGGACCAGGGTGTCGAGAAGATTACCGAGGTTGACGGGATGTTCAAGGATGTTGGCATCAAGGACCGCAGCATGATCTGGAACTCTGACCTCGTCGAGACTCTGGAGCTGAGGAACCTGCTGACCTGCGCGTGAGTAACAATGGGGTGAAACTTTTTTGTGATCATATACTGACGAGCTACAGTACTCAAACCGCCACCTCTGCCGCCAACCGAAAGGAGTCTCGTGGTGCCCACGCCCGTGAAGACTACCCCGACCGTGACGACGTGAACTGGATGAAGCACACCCTGTCTTTCCAGAAGGAGCCCCACGGCAAGGTCGACCTGTCCTACCGCAAGGTCATCGGCCACACGCTTGACGAGGCCGAGTGCAAGGCTGTTCCTCCATTCAAGCGTGTGTACTAAAAATGTTAAACGAGAGAAATTGCGATAGCGGGAGCATAGACTTCGTTTCAGATTCATCGCATGGTCTGGGATATGTGACATGATAGGCAAGCACGGTGGCGGATGGCGCATCGAGTGTACGATTTGGGCCACAGACAATAAGGTCGGTTACGTGCCCGTACATGACGGTTGACCGTGGGGATGGTGGACAAGGAAGCAGATGGAGAGAAGATACTTTTTTATAATGCTATTCTAGGCATATGTATATGGGAGTCAGGCCAACGTGCGAGAGCAAGACTTGCTAGGATTGTACGGAGTTTATAAGCGTCTTCGTTTACCTGACCCACGGCTCGAAGTGATTCTCTCACTTGTAGTGAGTGTTCTCCTAGTTGGGGCCGTAGTCAGGGGCCCACCCAGTACAAGTGGCGATGTCATCACCGCGCCGCGCGGTACACTCGCATGCCTCAACTTCGGCCGCTGTGAGCTTCAGAGTAGACTTCGTAAACAGAGCCAATCATACTCTCAAGCAGGGCTTTGAAGATTGGTCGTGGTAATAATCTCTCAACTTTCTGTTCAGGTAAGCTGCCAAGAATGTTTCGGCCGGAAGAAAGGGGGCTATCGCTCAATCGATCTCAGGCTTGTGAGCTGTCGCAAGGGGGAAAACTGAAAGAGCTTTGCCAAAGAGTTGTCACCTCAGAGTGCGTCTTGTTGCTTGTTCTCGAGACACTGGTATTATTATACAGGGATGGATCAGACGAGGCTACCCAGCATACGAGCCTCCAGATATCTACGATCATGAGGCTGCCGATATCGTGCCCTTCATGTTGACTGTACCATTTTTCGCAACGACAATGTCCCAGCTCTTCCCGCCTTCAACATCCTTGATCGACTCTGTACGAACCGCGTACTCATCTCCCGAGTAGAGGGGTGAGAGTGCGCGGTAACTAATGTCACCCGCCTCCTTCCCCGGGCCATGGACATCTCGCCAGTAATCCATCATCCCGATGAGATTCAGCGGCCCGTGCACAACAGTGGCTGGGTGCCCTTCAACGTTCCTCGTCCAGCTCTCGTTGTAGTGGATCATGTGTCCGTTGAACGTCAGCGCTGAGAACCGGAACAAAGCCACCGGCGACCACTGGAACTTGCGCTGCGGTATGTCTGTATCCACAGTCAGCAGTCATTCCACAAAGAAAGCTTCAGCTCCCAGAGCCTCAACATCACCAACTCACCAGAACCCTCTACGAGCACATCCTCCACCGTCGAGTGCCGCCCAACAGCACCGGGCACAACACCCGCCACCTGCGCGTCCGACCGGGCCAGGGCCTCCCTGGGCGGCGGCCTGAACACCCACGCCCTGCGGTCCACGAGCGCCAGCCCCTCCGGGCCCCAGAACTCCTTCTCGACGTCGACGAGGACCATCTCGGACCCGCCGCGGCTCTTCTTGGCCGCCGCGCCCACGAACCTCGTCCGCTCCTCGGCCTCGTCTCCCACCCGCAGCGGCGCCGCCCCGGGGGTCCAGGTCATCCGCCCGCCTGCCCACATGCGGCGCGAGAACGGGCCCGGCGCGTTGAACGTCCTGTCCGTGCCGTCGGCCCCGAGCTCCGACTCCACGCTCGCCGGCGAGAAGTACACGAGGTGGTACCCTGGGGGTAGCGGGGTCCCTTTCGGGGGCGGCCCGCGCGTCACGTCCAGCCCCGGGGTGCAGATGCGGCCGGTTGAGGGTCAGGCTGAGCTTCTGCAGCTGGTGCCCGTCCAGGACCTGCCGCTGGACCCTGGTCTGGCCCTCGAAGGCGTGCAGCATCTGCTGGGCTGCCTCTGCGGCTGTCATCAGCGTCCTCCTGCTGCCGCCGCCGCCGCCACCCCGGCGGGCGTGTCTGAGCAGACGGGGCGTGGAGGGGGCGAAAAGTGTTGCCATGGCGCGTCAGTTGGTGGTCCTAGGTGGACTGAAGGTTCTCATTGATTTTCACCAGTTTTCGAAACCTCTGTTGAGACGGTGTCCGAACCCCTCTCTTCTGGGTGGTCGACCAATTCGAACGGAGTATTGAACGATAGTCAGGAGTTGGCCCGCTGTGCAATGAGTTCCTAACTACCAGCCTCCAGCGCGGAACGGGACGAAGTAGAACTGAACACCAGCCTTAACACCTCCTGACCTCTTACCTAGACGTTGATGAGTATTGTCTCGGGCCAAGAACGGCGCATCCGGCCTGCTTGGAACGGAACGGTCCGGGGGCGGGGGGGGGGACCTAACCGGGCCTCGGCTATATGCTTTGGAGTTGCCATTCCAGGGGCTGATCTCCATCCTGCAAGACGCATATTATCCATGTCTACAATTACGACTATAGATGTTAGTCAACTATGTGTCAACAACCAAAGGCACTTTGATAATCATTACTAGTCAAGTGGTTCTTGAGCTCCATGTAGTGAGAAGATGGAAGAAGAGAGTAATGCAATCGGAGACGTGGGCGACAACTCGTGCAACGAACTTTGCACAACAAAACACTAAAACACTAAATCCAAGCAATGTGATGGGCAGTCAAGTGCAATTCTCTTCTCCATGTCTGGTATTCAAGCTCAATGGTATTTCTAGCCCATCCATGCGCGTACAAATACGCTGCCAGCCTACCAAGTGCAACACCTTCTAAGCCTGTTGCTCCAAGCCAAGTTCAGCCGATATCTTCTCATTGTGCTCACCCAGAGCAGGCACAGCATCCATCCTGGCGTCCTCGACCGCCCCAAACCCAGGCGGTATCAGGGCCGGGACCTGCCCTCCCGGAGTCTCGATCTGGGTCCACCGCCCGCGGGCCCTCAGCTGCGGGTGCTCCCAGACGCCCTGCATGTCGTTGAGCTTGGCGTTCGCGATGCCGGCGCGCTCCAGCCTCTCTAGGAGCTCCTGCGCCGTCAGCCGCGAGAAGGCCTCGTAGATGATCTCCCTCAGCTCGTCGCGGTTCTCGACCCTGAGCGTGTTGGAGTCGAACCTCGGGTCAGACGCCAGCTGTGCGTCCTCGAGCACGTCGCTGCAGAGCTTGGCCCACTCCCTCTCGTTCTGCAGCCCCAACATGACCGATCCGCCGTCGCCGGTTGAAAATGGCCCGTAGGGGTATATCGTGGAGTGCGCGGCCCCGACTCTCTTCGGCGGCGGCTGGCCCTGGTAGGTGTAATACAGGGGGAAGCTCATCCACTCCGCCATGGTCTCCAGCATCGATATGTCGATGCGCTTTCCCTTCCCGGTCCTTCCCCTCTCGATAACCGCGCCGAGAATGTTCGTCAGCGCGTACATCCCCGCCGAGATGTCAGCGATAGAGATCCCAACCTTGGCAGGCTCGTCTTCCGTCCCCGTCACCGACAGCAGGCCCGCCTCGGACTGCACGAGGAGGTCGTAAGCCTTCTTGTCCCGGTAGGGCCCGTCCGACCCATACCCGCTGATATCACAGACGATAAGCCCCGGGTGCTCCTCCCTGAGCGCGTCCCAAGACAGGCCCAGCCGCCGGCTCGCCCCCGGCGCGAGGTTCTGCACCAGCACGTCCGCGCGGCCCACCAGCGCCTTGAGGACGCCCAGGTCCCCGGGCTTCTTCAGGTCGAGCGCGAGGCTCTCCTTGGAGCGGTTCGCCCAGACAAAATGCGACGCCTGCCCGTTCACCCGTCCGTCATATGCCCGCGCAAAGTCGCCTACCCCGGGCCGCTCCACCTTGATCACCCTCGCTCCCAGGTCCGCAAGCTGCCTCGTGCAGAAGGGCGCAGCGATTGCGTGCTCTAGGCTCACGACCGTGATGCCTTGCAAGGGGAGGGACTTCCCGGCTGGAGAGGGAGGGGTGCTGCTGCTGACATGGCGCCTACTTGTTGTTGAGAACGCTGTGGGGGGTTTTGTCAGGTTCCATGATTGAAAGGACTTGACAAGCTGTGCCCGAGACATATCGAGTGCTCGGGATCGGCTTGTTGGGTACGTCGAGGAGCTTGTAGGCTTTTTCCTGGTCTGATTTGCAGCGGTTCATAGCAAGGCCCGGCCTTGGCTGGTTCTTATAACTCATGGATGCAAGTCCATCGTCCTTTCCCACTTGCTTCGTGAACATGGCCTCCACGAGTTGGAGAAGGTGCAGGGGTGGTGTAAGTGCAGTTGCAAACGTATCTTCGGTGGACACACCTAAGATTCTGGCCATCTTTGGACAGTCCAAGCGAGAATGTGAATAGCCGACTAAGCCAAGTAACCGAGAGCCACCACCCCTCACTCCATCTTCACGGATGAACGATGTAGAGACGTCTTGCCCATCTTTGGAGGCGTGCATGATGTCTTCGAGACTAACCGAATAATTGGTCGCCTGAGCTGAAAAGCCCAGTTGCAGTCAGTATTTAGAGTTTATAAGTCACTTCTTCTACTTTGCTGGTATCTGAGAGAATCCATTGCAGACGGTAGGCCATTACCACCAGCCATGTCTCGAGTGCTCTCAAGGCACGCGTGCCGTCTAAGTCGTCGCCCTACGTCGGGCATCAGACTGATCAACCCAGTCCATGACACGACACGCAGCAATGGCTTCTCGACCACAACGACAAGACAGAGCCTGATGGAGACGACCGGCTTCACAGAAAACCAGCTCACGGTCCGAGAGGCGGTAGGCGCCGTGTGCGCCCAGTTCCCAAACACGTACTGGCAGGAAAAGGACCAGCGGGAGGAGGACCCGGCCGAGTTCCACGCGGCGCTCGCGAGGGACGGCTGGCTGGGCATCGCGCTGCCAGAGGGGCTGGGCGGGGCCGGGCTGGGGATCTCGGAGGCGACCATGATGATGCAGACCATCACCGAGAGCGGGGCCGGCATGGCGGGCGCGCAGGCAATCCACGCCAACGTGTACGCGACGCAGCCGCTCGCGCGGTTCGGCACGCAGGCGCAGCTCGAGAGCGTCATCCCGCACATCGTGTCGGGCAGGTGGCGGACGTGCTTCGGCGTCACGGAGCCCAACTCGGGCCTCGACACGCTGCGCCTGGGCACGGCGGCGAGGCGGCAGCCGGATGGGTCGTACCGCGTCACGGGGCAGAAGATCTGGATCACCTGCGCCCAGGTCGCGCGCAAGATGATGCTCCTCGCCAGGACGACGGCGCTGGGCGAGGTGAGCAAGCCGAGTGAGGGGCTGTCCATGTTCTGCATCGACCTCGACCGTGAGCAGCCCGGGTTGGACATCAGGAAGATTAAGAAGATGGGCGGCCGGGCTGTCGACGCCAACGAGGTGTACTTTGATAACTATGCCATCCCGCCGGAGTCGCTCATCGGTGAGGAGGGGAAAGGCTTCAAGATGATCCTGCACGGGATGAACGCCGAGCGCTGCCTGCTTGCCGGTGAAGCACTGGGGCTTGGCTACGCAGCCTTGACTAGAGCTGCCGAGTACGCCAAAGACAGGACGGTCTTCCAGCGCCCGATAGGGATGAACCAGGGTATCTCTCACCCACTGGCAGATGCCTTCATGAAGCTAGGTATGGGTTTTATCCGTAGAATGAGTTGTGAGACTGGATGAAGGCGAGCGTCCTCGACGGAATTGACCAGTCTCTTCCCGATTCTCTTGATCTGTATCTTGCTGACTCCAGTCTCAAATAGAGGGCGCCAAGTTGGCAACGTACCACGCGGCGAGGCTCTTCGATGCCAGCAGGAACGACACTTCAATACGGCCAGACCAGATTGGGGTTGCCTGCAACAGTGCCAAATACATGGCTGCTGAGGCGGCGTTCACGGCTTGTGAGAGAGCCATCCTGACAGTGAGTTTCCTGCCTTGGTTGAAACGTTCCGTGGATCTCAGGCTGATCTATCCGACAACAGCACGGAGGCATGGGGTACGCCGCAGAGTATGATGTTGAGAGGTGGTTCCGCGAGTGTCTGGTCCCGAGGATTGCTCCCGTGAGCCGGGAGATGATTCTGAATTACATCAGCGAGAAGGTTCTCCAGCTACCTAGAAGCTATTAGACTTCGATAGACTCATGTCGTCTGGATGGCTGTGATATAGAAGCCACGTACTAGGGCCCAGATCCTTCAAGGCCATACATATACCTCAGCATATAGAAGCGGTCGATGAGCTGGCAAATCTGAGCCACACATAACCTGTATACAGATTGTGTAATTTCAACCGCTCCAAGGCAATGTATCTGACAGTATCAACTGTACTGCAGAGGGTTCGAAACCAGATAATCTGCACCCGAAATATTACAACCACCTTTCCAGGAAGTTCAGCCCATTGACCTGCATCGGCCCTCCAGGAGACTGTGTCTGGATAGATGTGCCTAGTATGTAACCGAGGTCGTCGATGGCGTTGTCTCCTTCCCAGTTGGTCTGCAGCAGATTAAAATAGTGGTCTTCAAAGGTGTTCGTATCGGGCATCCCGGCTGTTATCTCCTGGGCCGGTGGGTCGGAGTTTACGAGGCCTGCACTGCTCCCCTCTCTGGACACGACAGCCGAGGCTCCCTCGTCCCGGCTGGTGTCGCCGTCGCCCCTGAGTCGCTTTGCAATGGATTCGTCAAGGTATTGGAGGAATAGGTCGAGGACTGTGTTGTTTATGCGCCAGAACTTTTGAACTTCCTTCAGCCCGAGGAGGCAAATCTGAGCCCTGTTCTCTGCTAACCTCCTCCCGATCCCGTCTGCCGTCTTTAAATTGATGGCATGAATACATAATGCAGCAAAGAGGCTGGTTATTAAGTGCATTTGACCGTACTGTTGAATCCCATCAGCGACGAAGGTCTTGGGAGGTGGTGACTTACCTGAAGTGTCTTCCGTTCCAGCATGTCTTCAGCAATCCGGCTGATCTGGTTTGCTGCGCCAAGTGCGGCTTTGGTGTCGTTTTCGTGCTTGCGCAAGAAGCCACTTCGGTAGATCAATATCCTTAGATGGTTGTAGGCCAGATGAAGCAGACACATCCATACGGACGGACTGTCCTCGTCTGATATTCTCTGCAGGCTGATTGGCAAGCTGTCCCTCCACCCTTCAAGCGAAGACTGCAGGTGCATGATTTCTTCCTGCGCAGTTGGTGTTTTTCCGGGTATGAAATGGATGTCTATAATGTTACCGAGGAGTCTGGCCAGGTCAACCATCTTGATAGGGTAAACCAGATGCTCCGGCGTGGGAGAGCCCAGAGCCGTGAGCGAGCTGTTATCAACGTCGTTGCCTAGATCTTCCGTGGTCAGGAGCTCGATATCGCAGTCCTGGTCCCTGATCCTCATCGGAAGGCCTAGCGATGCGGCTGATTGTCTCTCACGCGTATAAATAGACCACCAAGTCCTTCTGCGAATCCTGGCTACCTGCGGGTCTCGCGTGGTGAGCTTTGTCGACCGGTGCAGGCCACACGTCTCGGACAAAGTTATAGCCGCGCCAAGCCAGTACCTCACATCCCGTACGTCCGATGACTCGCCGCGCCAGAAGCTCATCAGGAAGAGGCTCTGGATGAGTGTGATCTGGTCCTTCTCCCAGTCCGCGTGGAACAGCAGTCGAGCTCGGGTATAAAGCAATGACTTTGCCTCTGAACGATCGCGAAACCCCATGGACACTATTGCCCCCTCGTCACAATAAGTGGCACCGATGAAGAGCATAGCCTGGAAGAGGAGGGGTGAGATGTCCATAGAAACCAGTTGTCGGGCTATGCTTGGGCGGTCCAGTAATGGGAAGCATGGGTGAAACCACTTGAAGTAGGCCTGTATGACAGGTAGGCATGTCTGGAGGCTTGGGAAGGTGAGCGCACCCTCCTCCCTCAGGTATCTCTCGGTGCCCTGGCTGAGATGGATGACATTGGTCGAAGGAGAAGCGTCGCTATGTGACTGAGGCGTTGAAGCAGCCTTGATGGAAAATGACATTCTCCCGTTGTGAGGTTCCTCGTTATCTGGGACACCTGGACGTTTTGACGGCACAAGGGTGAGGAAGTTGGACTCCCCAAAGAAGAGATTGCTGCCCCCTGAAGCAGCTGCAACTGACTTCCCTGGCATCACATTTGATCCGGTAGGCATTGCTGCGGCGGCATAGTCGCCTGATGTGCTCGCCTGTTTTCTTGACGACGCCGGGCTTCCGCTTGGCTCACCAAGGGACTCGACCCCCTCGGACGACCTTGAGCCATCTTTGACGCTCGTCTGACGAGGTTTACGGGGATACCTAGTTCTCTGTTAGCACAGTTGTGTCCTTGCACGGCGTCCTCACTTGTCCTTCTCTCTTCTCTATGCATCATCCTTCACACGTGTAAAATGGTCTCTTTGAGGCCCTCAGTATACTCAATCGGTTGAGAAAGAGGAAGAACTCACCGACCCCTTCTCGAAGGCAGAATGACGCAGGTCTCCTGGGCGGACTGGCAATTGCTGCATGGATGCTTCTGCACCACATCACACCGGACCCTTCGGAGGTTGCATTCTTTGCATGCGTGTTTGGCCCTGGCCTTTTTGTTGACCCCGCTCATCTCGTCAGAGTCGTCGAGGGCGTCTCATGTATGAGTGTGTTTTGTCCCGGACTCTGGCCTTCTTTGACGGACCCGAGAGCCAGTCTGGTTGTGCTGGTCTTCTTGCTGGATGCAAGCAAAAGTCTCAAATGAAAAGGGCAATATCCTTTGATTTCCCATGAGAACCCTCAGCGTGATGTCCTAGTTGCGCCCTGATAGACCTGCTCCACGAGGCGTGCGGCAGCGAGGATGCGCATAGGGCCTTTGGGGCATGTTCTGTGTGAGCGGGTCGGCTTCTTTCTGTTCTTGATGAGTCGTTCGTAATCTGGGGTGGTCGAGACCCACCTTCAAGACGGGGAGGGCAAATCCCACATACTAGGTTACTCGGTGCCGAGGAATTAACAAGAAGAAGTTATCGTGAGTTCCGGAGAAGGCAGCCAGAGACTGTTGCATGCCTTGATCAGCGTTGGGGTACCGCTGGGTACATCTGTCGGTCCTTTGATAAGGAGTCGGCCTGTAGCTGAGGGTCTAACCCAGCGGGCCAGCACTACCCGCATCCTGTGCCTAGGTATCCCCACACTCTGCACTGCCGGCTCCCAAGCTCCCACCCGCCGGGGCCGGAGCGTCGGATCCAGGCTCGGAGACCCCAATTCCTCGGCAGCACGCGCCTCAGGTCAGGGACTCCCTTCTCAATAATAAGCAGCAGCAGCAGCAGCAGCAGCAGCAGCAGCAGGGTGAGAGGAAGATGAACGGCACCACGGAGCAACTGCCGAACGGGCACCACGTCCCCAATCAAGAACAGCACGACGACACCGCCACGCCCACTGAGGCCGAGGTCCAGACGATCGTCCAGAGCATCAAAGACGCATCCGCTGTGCCAGTTGCGCCTACGTCATCGCGTTCACCAGAACCACAATCACCTCGAGACCAGAGCATTTCACAACCACCACAACCTGCAGAGTTCGACGTCGGCGAATACTGGGATCTTTCAAGCATGGCGCCGTTGAATCAAGTGTCACGGGTCAGTACATGAGCAGCTGGCGTAGGCACAGGCACGGGCGAAGAAAGGCACATTGATACAAGCCGAAAACACACATCCCCCCCTCACCTGCCCAGTCCGATCTCTCCTCCTGGCCGTGCAAAGCCAATCCTTCGTCTCCCGTCATGAACAGGATAGTGGTGACAAGAACAAAGGCCGCCATCGCGCGCCTGCGCGCATACAAGCCCCCGCCGTTCCCGCTGTGGGACAAGCTGCCTCTCAGCCGGAGGGCGGCCGTGCTCATCCTGCTGTACGCGGACCGCCAGGGTGACTTGCGCGTCGTGCTCACCATGCGTGCGGCGAGCCTGAGGAGCTTCTCTGGTCCGTCACGATCTTCCGATCGCTTCCTTCCTTCCCTCTCATCCTCCCATCGTGAGCGACGACGGGCTGACCAGGAATCCATTGCGCGACGCAGGCCACGCAGCCTTCCCAGGAGGCAAGGCAGATAGCTTAGAAGAGACGCCCTGTATGTTCAACCGGCGATTTACTTCTCACTTCCACAGCTACAGCTGACACGTCCACTTCTCACCCGCCCAGACCAAATAGCACGCCGCGAGGCCTGGGAGGAGATCGGCCTCCCCATCGACGACAGCAAGATCCCCAAGCCCTTTCGCATCGAGCACTTATGCTGCCTCCCGCACAGCCTGGCCAAGACGGAGCTGGCGGTACGGCCGTGCGTGGCGCTGCTGCACTCTGGCGACGACGACGAGTCCGACCACCCCGCCGGCCCGCCGTCCCCGACCGTCGACGAGAGCCTGATGCCGCGCCTGGATGCCAAGGAGGTGGCGGCCGTGTTCTCGGGCCCGCTGCACAACTTCCTCCTTGCCTCGGACGAGGTGCTGCCCGGTGAGGGCGAGGACCGGCGGAGGAAGTTGCTGCCCAAGGGGAAGTGGTACGAGGGCCGGTGGGCCGAGTTCCACGAGGCGCCATGGCGGGTGCACTACTTCTACGTGCCCGTCAACCACCAGCGCGTGACCAAGCCCCGGGTGCGCGAGGGGGGGCTGGCGGCCATCGCGGAGCAGCTCGAGGAGGAGGAGGAGGAGGAGGACGCGGGCAGGTACATGGTGTGGGGCATGACCGGCCGGATGCTGGTGGACGCGGCGCGGGTCGCGTATGCGCGGGAGCCCGAGTTCGAGCACAACAAGCACTTTGGCGACGAGGCCATCATCGAGCGGCTGGCCGGCGCGGGCAGGCTCCAGGAGAAGAAGAGGCCGGCCGCAGTGGACCTTGCGCAGCAGGAGGCGAAGAAGGCCAAGGAGGGGAGTAAGATGTGATGGGTGCGTCAGTCGATTATAAACTAGAACATAGATGCTTTTGTGTGTTTTTTTTTTTTCGTAGTGATACACAGTTGTAAGCGTTACAATGAGACAGCAGCTCGTTTCTGTTGTTCTTCCCTCGTATATTCTCGAGTCAGGTTAGCAGAGTCACTGTCATGATGTGGCAAGTCTTTGATTTGAGCTCATAGCCATCTTGAGATGGGCTGTATAGTTCCACGAAACCACCTCCTCAAAGGTGGCCAAGCCAGTCTGCTCCGAACTCTCTGGAAACGCATGTCGCCGCATGCTATGCTAGGAGGGTATTGTTGCTTGTGTTCTGGATGGATGCTAGGCAAGAAAATGCTGTAACAATGCGCACGTTGCTGGAAAAGCCGCCGAAGCGAAATCAAACTTGAAGCAAGACACCGGCTGATTACCACATATTCGTGTTGATGCAATTTCCGTCAGGTGTCACACGCCCAATCTCGCCTCTGCCTCAATGACATTGTGTCTCCTTGTTGACAGGCGTGTGTGCTCCGAATACCAGGTAGCCGAAGAAGGCGCCCAGGGTAACAGCGACCATGACCCAGCCGTTGTAAGTCATGAAAATCAACCTGAGGCAGGGACCGAACCTGTCAGCATGACGTTCGATGGTTGCGCCCCCGGGGCAGAATAACTCACATCAACATGAAGGCATAAAAGGTCTGCACCGCGTACAGAACCGCCTTGAGCAAGTGCGTCCTCTGGTTCACCTGCGCCTTGTTCTGCCCTGTCGCCCACGCCAGCGGCGTAGTCTCAGTAATGATGTCACCTCGAAGGTCCAAGGTAAGCGCATGGCATGGCAACATGTTTGTTCTGGTCATTTGGAACTCAAAGCGCAGAGAGACATAAAAGGGACCGTTTTGAAGACGGAATATTGTCCATTGCGAACCTTGAATCAGAAGAGAGAATGATTGGGTGGTGGGAGGGGGGTCGCCGGGCTTTGGTGGAGGGGGAGATTGTATGGCAATTCCCCTCTCCCCTTGCCTTTGCTTTCACTTCCAAGAACCTTCTACACCTTGTATAACGAGAGGGGGAGACTCACTCGGGGTGGAATCTAACCTCCGCGCCATTATGACCTCGTACCGGCGCGTGCCTGCGCGCAGGGCCTCGTAGCCCATTCCGATGAGGACGACGGCGATGAGACTGAAAAGCAGGCCGGGGGTGGTTCGGATGTGCCATTGCTTGAAGACGATGCAGAGGTTGTTCGTGTCCCAGGTGAAGAGCATCTGATCCCCGGAAACAGAACATGGTCAGCCTGGAGTGTACGATAGAGTGTGGCGCCGCGGTGTCCTGCCCAGTGCTTACGCTCATGCTGCACACGTCCCCGTGCGAGGGCATGTCGTGGCCGCCGTGACCGGGCATGTCGCCCATATTGCCGTGGTCCATGTGGGAGTGATCCATTGTCTTGGATTGGGGGTTGCGGTCGGTCGGGTTTATCGAGAGTCAAAAAGGCCAAGGTTGGCGCTAGGGGCTAATCGGGCGGGCCGTTGGAAGGTTGATGCGGTTCGGATGTTCGTTTCGACGTTAAGGCACGCTGTGCTTGGAGGGATGGAAGAGGAGAGAGCGGATGAAAGTGGGGGGACTATCTGGGAATAAAGCAACTGGTGTAAAAGGACGAGCCGGGTTCAAAAGCAAAGTGGCTTCAGCCGCGTAAGGACAGGATGGGACAGGATGGGACAGGACGGTCGAGCAGCTGACTGGTAATTTGCTCAAACTTGCGCAATTCCTCTGGGAGCTGCACGCCACGCCAAGGATGATGCGCCTGTCGCAGGCGGGTGGTTTCAACCGACCGACTGCTGTCTCTAACAACCGAAAGGGTGTACCCTACTGGAGCTGCGTCGGCAGATGAGCATTTCAGGGCGGCACGGCAGCAAGCGCAATCCAGCACGGGGTACAGTGGCCGCATGGATCATGGGGCCAGGGGGGCGGACCCCTGGGAACTGGAGTGAACTGATTCACATGCTCTACGGCACCCAGGCAGCAGATTGGACCCTGAATAGCGGGGTGCTCAGCAGATCCATGCGCCGGTTTTGACAGAGGCAATTCTCCATGACAGACATCCCGCCGTTTTTGGGGGGCAGCTCGGTGAGCTTGTTGTTGAATTACTGAAGACGAATTGGATGACTCTATGACCCTTTCCAGATGCACTCCGAGACAGCCGCACACTGCCAACGTTGACGAGTAGATACGTAGACTATTCAGTGCCTAACTAGTTACACAATTGATTCTCGGTCTCAATCTCAATCTCAGTCTCAGCCCTGGCCTGGACGGTCCTGACGTGCAACCGTTGAGGTGCTGAAACCCGTGTAAAGACCCAGCCGGAAAACTCCAAACACTTTAGTGTCGCGCTAGATTCCCCCAGTCCTCTCTGTACCGCATACTGTAGCCACCACCAAGATGCTCTCCACGCCGGTCAACCTGCCCAAGTGGTGAGTCCTCTTTTTCCAACGGCAGCCCGAGTCATTTCGAGGTCTGAGCTGACCCGCGCGGCGAGCTACTCAGGCTCGAGGAGAGCTCTCACCTCCTGCAGCCTCCTATCAACAACTACTGCGTATACAATGAAGGCTTCACGGTCATGGCATGTGGAAAACCTGAATGATCCCCCCATGCCCACCCACACATGACTAACCACCCACCCAGATCGTCGGCGGGCCCAACGCCCGCACGGACTACCACATCAACGAGACGCCCGAGTGGTTCTACCAGCACAAGGGCGCGATGATGCTCAAGGTCGTCGACGACGGCGAGTTCCGCGACATCATCATCCGCGAGGGCGACATGTTCCTGCTGCCCGGAAACACCCCCCACAACCCCGTGCGCTTCGCCAACACCGTCGGCGTCGTGCTCGAGCAGCGCAGGCCCGAGGCGTCGGTCGACCGCATGCGCTGGTACTGCGCCGCCTGCCGTGCCGTCGTCCACGAGGCCGCCTTCCACTGCACCGACCTCGGCACCCAGATCAAGGCTGCTGTTGAGGCATTCAAGGCCAGCGTGGACGACAGGACGTGTAAGGCCTGTGGCGAGGTGGCTGAGGCGGCGCCGAAGCCTGGGTCGATCAAGGACCCGAACCTGGAGTAGGCGACGGTCTTCTGAGGACGGATGGGACGGTGGTTGTTGGTGGCGTTGCTGCATGATTTGCGTGCACTGCGTGTATGGAGTCTGTATTGGTTTTTGATAGTACATGTATGCACCCAATACAAAAATGTACCACCGCTCTCTCCCGCCCCTCGTGACTCCTCCCAACGCCCCCTCGATCCGGACCGCTCACGTCTCCTGGTAGACGTATGCGCCCTTGCTCTCCTCCACGGCGACCTCCAAGGCGGCCTCCTCGAGCTCCTTTCCGTCGACGCGGATGCCGCCGGTCATGACATCGCCTGGGACGACGGGGCCGACGCCCTTGGGCGTGCCCGTGATGACGATGTCGCCCTTCTCGAGGGTGACGACGCGCGAGATCTCGCTCAGCACGCGGGGGATCTGGAACAGAAACAGCTCCGTCGAGTCCTCCTGCTTCGTCTCACCGTTGACCTTGAGCCACAGCTCGACCCGGTGCGGATCCGGGATCTTGGCCTTGGGGATCAGCCGGCTGATGGGCAGGAATGTGTCGAATCCCTTGGAGATGTCCCACGGCAGGCCCTTCTTCTTGGCCTCGTTCTGGATGTTGCGCGCCGTCATGTCGATTGACAGGGCGTAGCCTTTTTGCGGTCTTGGTCAGTTGCTGGGGAGGAAGGAGGAGGGAGGGGAGGTGCTGAGGGTGGTTGCTGTGAGATGACTAGTAGACTCACTCTCAATGGCGTCAATGGCGCCTTGCTCATCGTCAGGCGCCAGGTCCTTGACCTTCTTGCCCATGATGAGCGCCAGCTCAATCTCATAGTGCAGGTCGACGCCCTTGGGCCTGATGACCGGGCCCTCACCGGGCTGCAGCACACAAGTTGGGGGCTTGAAGAAGAAGAAAGGCTGCTTCGGCCTTGCGCTGTTGAGCTCCTTGACATGGTCCCTGAGGAGCGCAGTTGTGAGCTGGCATGCAACCTTTCGACTGACGGGGTTGGCCACGAGGGCAAAAACTCACGCGTAGTTGCGGCCAATGCAGACGATCTTGCTCGGGGGGGTCTTGAGAGATGCCATTGTCGTCAAGCCTCGTCGGAATGTGTTCATCTTGGGCAGGGCTACAACAGCGCGCGGTCGGTCAGCGAATCCCAGGGACGAGTTTAAGTATCAGCCTCTCTCCTTGAGCCGGCAAGCCTTCTCGGGTCTGCCACGGTGAGGGGCGCTCGGTTCCGTCGTACTTCCGCCGGGAGCCAAGCTCGGCTTGTAGAACACGACCCCGACTTTGACCCGCCCCCTCGGATTTTCCGGCAGTCTGGAAGGGGGTCCCGTCACATCCCGCGGCGGCGTACGTATTCAGGGGACGAACTTGCCTTAAAAGAAGTATTCCACTCAGAGCTTGGGTTGCGTGTGTTGTCTTTTCCCTGTTGGCAAGTCGCAAGACACCCAATGCATCACGAACAGCTCCACCACAACCCGTTAGCTCAGGCACGGCGGCCGGGTTCGGCATGCCCTAGTGGGTCTCACTCTACAGATTGCCGGAGCTCTCAGTGAGCACGTGTGGACCCCTGCACCATGGGCTTGCGGTTTACAATCTCGCCTCCTTTGGTGTCTTTCTCATTCTGCTTTTGAGTGGATATTTCAAGTAAACTGTGCGTGGTGATCTCCCGTTATATTGTATGTTATCGCCTGACCAGGCATATTAAGCACGGTGCATAGTTGATATGACACAGTATTTAATGGGCCTATGATGGGGCCATAGCTGCCGGCACTTGCTGCTTGGAACCGGCCCGGATATTCCGATTGATTCAAAGTTGCTCGAGTATCATACATTTAGGCGTCGTTATATATTACTAGTGTCTCATTCTATAATCCACGTCTCTATGAGACTAGCCTCTTCCACGTCGTGTACTGTCATTTTCGGTGGCCCTGGAGTAAAAGATACACGTGAGGCTGCTGCACTGAAGCTTAGGGACAAGTGATGAAGACCACTCAACATGAATTTTTTTTAGATCTGCCCGGAAGACAGACGGGAAGATATGAAGAGATTTACACTTTCTGCCGAACTGGTTCCAATTCTACAAGCAACGTTCCGGTCCTTTCTCTTTTTTGCATACATGGCGCCAATTTTCAAAGTGCGGTACTTAGGCTGAAACTGAAACGAGGCAAAGGCATTCACGAGAGCCGGTTTAGGACGAAAGATTGTCTTGTGAATTTGATAAGAATTGACAAGTGGTTCCATCCAGAACCTCCCAGAGCAATTTCAAGTTAAACATCCAGAGATCCAACATTCTCCCATTGACGTATGCAAATGCTGTGCAACGCGCAAAGGTGCAAGTACACCGTCGAAATTCCAGCGTTGTCCCGTTGCCAGCTTGACATCAGCTCCGAGGGATTGCTTTGAAACACAGGATACGCAGAGCTTTGATACATGCAGAGAACGGCGGCGCCAAACCCCATGTTACAGCGACTACGGCTTAGGCCCCGATATCACCTGCTCGTCGTCATTTGTGGATTTTCTGGGGACCAAACACAAACGGTCAGTAAACTAAGTACTAACGTGTGGGCGATAGCTTACATGTTGGGCAGGACGGCTTGGGCAAGAGCCTTGAGATTGTGGACGATGATGGGGGCACGCGAAGAGGGATTGGGCCAAGTGGCGCTCTGCAGGTGCTTGATGAACTCACCGATCTTGTGGGTGTGTATGTGGAAGGGGGGTGTGGGATGGGAAGAGGCATCGAAGGAGACGGGGTTGAGAACATTTCTATCGGACAATGTAACGGTCACCACCGCTTCTGTGGTTGCTTCGGATGGAATCCAAAGATCATGGCGCAGGGTTCTGAAGGTCGCTGGCCAGCTGTGGGAGGGACTACGAGAAGGTTGAGTCAAGCTGCATCAGATCTCACTTGTATAGCTAACTGCATGAGTCTAGTGGACTCATGTGTTAATTTTGTGTAACTAGTACCGACCCAAAGGCATGTGTATATGCGGTTGAAAGTTTGAATTAATCGAAACCCTTGCATCGCCCCAGTCTTATCCAACCAAGAGCCTGGCCAAGTGCGCGATGATCTAGTTGAGCTGAAAAGACTATACGCATCGTGAATTTGCGCATTTACAGGATGAAATAAAGCAATCGCGGGCATGCGAGCTACAGCCGAGCCTAGAAGTTCGAGTCAGTCCAACATGTTTGGCCCGGGGGCTTTCCCGAGGACCATTCCGAGGCTGGTTCCGTTCCTTGTTCTGTTCAGGAAGACAATTATTACGCAGTAGAATATAGATCAATTCAGCAATAGTGCGAGGAAGCACTTCTTTTCTTCGATTTGATCAAGAGATAACCTGATAGATTGCTTCTTTCGGTTGTGTTTGGCCGCACCGGCAAGATGGCCTGATTCCCAATCCGCTTTCCAACATATGTTCAGTAATTAATCAGGCCTAATTAGCGCTTACACAATTCGACAAGGCATATATATCCCTTAGAACCAAAGCGGTCTCAACAAACTGGGAGCAACTCAAAAGCCTTTTCGTGTATAGTAAGAGCAAATTTTGCTTGAGGATACGAGATGTGCAACAGTGTTGTGACAGAAGAAAACAACTGACTACCCCCTCAACTCACAAAGCAATCACTGGGCAGTCAAGGATGCATGGGTAAGCGGCAGAATGTAGTAAAGGATGGCAGTAACCAAAGGACTTCGGATCACTCAGGGTCACGCAATGCAAATACATCTAAACCCTTGGCGAGAAGACCAAGTCCAGTGCAGGCGTGGCAAGCGTGAAGTTGTCCCGCAGGCCGCCCAGGAACGCCTCCTTGGTCTGTCCCGGCGCCATCGCGACGTCGTACTTGTGCGCGATCAGGGTTGTCACCCGGCGGACCTCCATCAGGCCGAGCTGCTTGCCCACGCACGAGAAGCGGCCTGGAGGGTTTAGCATGCATGTCACCTAGTTGTCGAGGAGCGTCAGGGGGATGGGATTGCTCACCGACTGAGAAGGGCACGTTGACGGCAGCGTCCCTGACGAGCTCGGGCTGCGTGGTCCAACGCTCCGGGATGAACTCATCACCGCGCGGGAAGGCCCTGGGGTCTTATAGGCTTGTGTCAGCACCTTTCCAGGGGCTACCTTTGTCCTCCCAGGAATTGACCCACCTCTACACATAGTGTAAGTTGGGGTTTGGACAATGGTGTTGCCTGGGATGAACCGCTCGCCGATCTGGACACCCTGCGGGGGCGTTTGTCTCTGGAGGCCGGACATGACGGGCGGGAAGAGCCGGAGGGACTCGTCAATGCACGCCTGGAGGTATCGGAGCCTCCCCAGGGCACCGGTGTCGAAGTCGCTGCCTGTCACCTCGGCCGCGAAGAACTCGTCGACCTCCTTCTGTAGGGTCTCGTACGCTTCCGGGTGCGTCGCAAAATTGTAGAACAAGCAGGTGAGTGTTGCGGCCGTCGTGTCGCTGCCGGCAACTACGATGAGACTTGCGTCTCCTACCAGGTCTTCAGTTTCTTGCCAGCTCGGGTTTGGGGTTTGGTTGTATTCTTTCAATATCCAGTGGAATACATCCGGAACGTGTGGCTCATTCTACGCCAGGAGTCAACTTGGTGAGTCAAAAAGAGCGCTGTCGTCATTCAGGGACACATTCATATGTAAGCTCAAGATATTGGGATGCTTACGTCTATTCGCCTCTTTGTCGTAGACCGAACAAAACGCTGAAACCTGTGGTATTCGCGGTTCAAGATAGGAATGGCCTCTGGTGATTTATTAACAAACTGGACGGACTCGAAAAGCCATAGCTCAAGAAATTCTCAAAGAGTTGAAAGAGTCAACAAGGCTGAGATTATACGAACTGTATATGGGGAACAGCCACACGACACGGCTGAACAGACCAATCAAGGTCATATTAAGATGCGTCGTCGTGAAAAAATAGTGGTCAATACCGTCTCTCATCATGTTGAAGGATCTCCCAAAGGCGAGATCCTCGTGGCAGGTCAGTGGATATGAGCGCTAAACCTTGACGGTGGAAGAACTCACCCCCATAATGTCGAAGGAGTAATAGTTGAAGTACTTTGAGGCATTAAAGGGCTTCCCCTTTGCTTTTGTGTCCAGGTTCTCAAGGAGCTCGTCCGTGTACCCGGCCACACGGCCCTCATAATCTTTCAAAGCTATTGAGCTGTGTCAGTGAGGTGTCGTCCACCCCGACAGAGACCACTAGTATCTCGCGAGGCGACCTGAGGCGTTCAGCCGGCTACCTGCCTTTGCTACTAAAAGCCCTGTCCCAGGCCTTTCGACGGCGAGCATGTTCCTTGCGGTCGCGCACCATCTGTAACGAGACGGTCGGGTTCAAAATCTCGTACCACGGGCCCCTCTCGCATTGCGATGTGGCCGAGTGGATGGCGGCAAAGGCAGCCGGGTCCGCGATGGAGACCTCTGTGGGCCCAACCCGGACGTAGTCGCCGTACTTGGTGTGGAGAGCCCTGACGTCCTCATAGACCTGCCCACGCCTCCCGCTCAGCCAGGTCATGTAGAAAGTAGACAGGCGGGCCGGGAAGGGCCCCGGGAAGCCACGCAGCCGGTGGAAGAAGGCCCGGTACAGGATCATGCTGGCGTATATTCCGGCGATGGCCGCGACGGTCCAACAAAGCGCATGGTGGAAGGCATCGACCGGGGGCTCGGAAAAGCAAACATGGACAAAGAGGCTCAGGAGCGTCTCGACCGTGGCGGCTCCCACGATGAGCTTGAAGCTATAGTTGTCCCATTCTCCATGGCGGAGGAGCGCCTGTTGCAGGCCGGCGCCCACCGCGAACGAAGCAGCGAGTTCTTCTTTGGTGACTTGGAAATTGGTCATTCTCACGATCTTGAAACCACCCGGATGTCGAGGGCATTCCACGACCAGACGCCAGCACGACGCGTCGGCTAAGTGGCCCACGGATGGGTTTTATGCGCTTCACCCGTCGCAATGCTCTGGCACTTACTCCGCACACTGAGGTGCTTCACCCGACGACCAGCGTCAAGATACCGAGGCTGTCTCCAACTCCTCTCGCGGCGGTTTCAACGTGCCGCCATGGTCTGCGTTTAAGCTCCGTGGCGACGTCACACGCCAGTGTCCCTCGCCCGTAGTTCCTGCGGATCACCTGCAGACCCGGCCGAGACAGAGTCACGTAGTACCAAACGGTGCACGAGTGTCATGGTGGGTTGTGCTTGTGCGTGCCCCGTAGTCTGCTGTAGACGAGGACGAGGCCCGTGCATGGACATTGATTGCCCACAAGGGGCACACTGTCGTGAAACCTGTCAAGGTATGATCCCTGACGGCCATGGACTTTGTGGGGACGGCTGCTGCAGACGAAAACAATCTCCGCACCCTTTTCAGTAGGATAGCCGACTTGGTCCCCACATGCCGAGCAAAACATTTCTTCCCTCACCAGCCCGCTGCGGCCCTTTCCAGCCTGCCACCCTGTCTCGCCAACGGCTTCTTGGCTCAGCGGACTCCCCCGTCTGGCATATGCTGAGGGTATCCCAGGTATTGCCGGTCGCCGTTCCTCCATCATCAGTCCATTGTGTGTGCAGATATCTCCATCCTGCACAATAATCTGTGGCCCGCTCGCTACGAATCAACTGCCTTATCTGCTGCCAAGCTCCATCGGCCTGCGAGCAATGGACCCGGATCGATGAATACGATCATTGGCCCACCTCTGCAAAATTCGACCGAGAAGTCAATTTCTCTGGAACAGCCTCAGTGGACCATTCCCACGTGCCGACGCCGTCGTCGTCGTCGTCTTCTCCTCCTCCTCCTCCTCCTCCTCCTCCTCCCTCTCCTCCTCTTCTCTTGCTCCGCGGCTCCTGGACCCGCAGTCCGTGTTCCAAGGGAGGGGCTCCTTGCCAGTGGCGAGGGTTCCGAATTTGCCAAAATATGGGGCCCTGCGCAGCCGAGGCCCCATTTGCTTGACGGCACAATGCGACGTGTTTGCCTGGCAGGATGCCGAAAGCAGCAGGCGAGGTTGCTCTCCCCGTGGCTGACAGGTCATATTAGAGATCTGGCCTGCTCCTTGGTCATAACAATCAGGCCCGGCGATATCACCGCTATTTCGTGTCAACCTGTCAAAACTGCCAGATGGTTTCCTTGGCCAAAAGGCCTGCGTGAGGAGAGGCGGTTTATTAAATATCCGATAGGCCAGGTCTGGATGTCTTCAGAGGGCCTCCACCACGATTATTACCTTCTTGCTTCGGTGCTAGAGCCAGGTGCCAGTTTCACGGGTTAAAGGGAAATCTCCTAGTCTACCATGCTGGACACTAGTCTAGTGTCCTCCTTCACGTCAAGTCCTGGGACGGGGCAAGTAGCGCAACGGCCCGGCCGTGACGGTCTGACAAGTATTCAGAGACGTTGTGTCACACAATAGTCTGTCTGTTCAATGTTGCAGTCCCCTCCGGCCCAATGCTCTCCGTACACGCATATATTTTTATGCTGCAATACCGAAGATTTTACAGTTCCCGCGCATCTCGGCCCGGTCATCCAATACAGGAGTCGAGCCAATTGTGAAATTGCTGCGTTGCAACGGGCCCTTACCTCGCGTACGGCGGCGCAGGGATCCCCAAGAGGCCGGCCCTTGTATCCCGAAGTTCGTCCCCTTTCGACTGCCACCACCCATGCCGAAGCTCATCCTTCCCTTCAAGGTTCTCCTATTTGGCCCAACTCGTCCGAGTCGGCCCTGGTACGGTACGATGTCAAGTACCAGACGGGCAACGCACACGATGCGGGGCTCTCTCCCAGTCCCAGCCCCGGTCGTCGCGTGGGCCCCGTTGTGTGAGCGTGGGAGTGTTCCCGGCCGATTTCCTCTCAGCACGAGGAGGGCTCCACTGCCAGGCTCGCGCCCTCTTTCCTCCTGGGCACGCGAGCGGCGAACGCTCACGCTTCTCGAACGTCTTGGCCGTGCGTGGGAGATCTGAGATCCGGTTTATCATTTTTGTTTGGGTTGCATGGGCAGCCCCTTCTTTCCCTCCCTCTCACACTCCGAATGGGCAACTGTCAGATCCGAACCACCACCAACAGACACCTGATGTGCGCTGAGTGCAACCAGTCATGCATCTACTCCTCCAGGCCGTGAGGTTTTCCGCCTCCCTGGCGATCTGTGCCGCGCTGCTCCCCTCGGTTCTTGCCGAGCCGCTCGCCGCCAGCTCCGGCTTGACTCGAAGCCGCTCCCAACTCACTACCCAACTGCCCCAGTGTTCGGTACGGATCGATCTCTTCCTTCTGGTGGTGTGGGGGTGCGATATGGTGTGTGTCTACCGGGCGACCGCTGACGTGAGGGTCACTCCATAGGTATCATGCTTCGAATCCGCCGTCAACAACTCGACCTGCTCTGCCTCGGACCTGTCATGTATCTGCCAGAACCAGAGCCAGTTGCTCAAGAAGTCGGCGTCCTGTGCCCTCTCCAACTGCACGATAGCAGAGGAACTGAGTGAGTCTTCTCGCTTCTCAACCTTGGACCTCGACTCCCGTGAAACTGACCGCGCATGAGCAGAGACGGAAAAGGTCATCAAGACGGCTTGTGGAGAACCAACTCGCAATGATGGCAACAAGGACCGGGCCATATTTTGGAGCCTCTTCGCCGTCACCATGGTCTCCTTTGGCTGTCGCATGCTCGCCCGCACGGATCGCTTCGGCGGGACTATGTGGTGGGATGATTATTTCATCGTGGCTTCTTCCGCTGTGGCCTTTGCAGTGACGATCGGGGCCGAGATAAGTGAGTTTGGGTCCGACAGCACGCTGGTGGGATGTGTTGGCTGACGATTGATGCCAACAGTGGTCATCTTCGGGCTCGGCCAAGAGATCTGGATGCTCAGCCCAACGCAAATCACGGTCGTCCTGGTGGTGAGTTCTACGTCTACCCGTGCTTGAAGCACACGGTGTCGACCGACCGACTGTGTGCTGACCGCCGTCACAGCTCTTCTACATCGCCGAGTTCGCATACGTTATCGAGTCCTCGCTCACCAAGATCTCGATCGTCTGCCTCTATCTCAGGATCTTCCCCAAGAAGGGCTTCCGGCACATGTGTTTCGCCTTGCTGGCCCTCATCTCGTGCTTCTGTCTCGTTTTCGTTGTGTCGCTGTTGTGTTACTGCCAGCCGTTCAGCTACGTGTGGACGCGGTGGGACGGGCGCATGCACGGCAAATGCATCGACATGACGGCCCAGACCTGGGTCTGCGCCGCTATGAACATTGTTCTCGACGTCTTCATCTTCCTCCTGCCAATTCCGCAGCTGTGAGTCCTTCATGATACCCGCGAACGAGGTTCAAGTCGCCCTCGAGAGTTATGACTGACCCGTGATTGCAGATTGAAACTTGAAACGAACTGGAAAACGAAGATCGGCGTCATCCTTGTCTTCCTCCTCGGCCTTTTTGTCACCATCTGCTCCATCGCCCGCCTGAGGTTCCTCTCCTCGTGGGCCTCGTCCCCGAACCCGACCTACGACTACTCCGATCTCGCCTTGTGGTCTCTCATCGAGCTGTACGCTGGGGTGATCTGCGCCTGTCTGCCCGGAATGACCAGCCTGTTCCGCCGGATCAAGCACCAGCACACGGAGAAGAAGAAGTCGTCCGCGGCCAACAGCATGGGGGGCTCACGGATGTTTACGGGGGCCAGCAGCGGCCTGCGGTCGTTCGCCAAGAACGAAGTAGGAATTGTCAAGACCACCAACATATCTGTCTCGTATGGGCAGAGGTCGGCGGATTCGCTCAGTGACGAGGTTGAGCTCATGGATCGCGAGATGGGGACGAGCACAAATCCACGATCGAATCCGCCACCGCAATACACGCCAAGCTACTAGCGATTTGATCTTCCTTACAAAAGTACTTACAATTAGATATATTCCTGTGTAAATACCAAGAGCCTAATCAACGCCTAGTATGAGGCAAATCGGATCGATCACTCCTGAAGTCGCGAGCGGTGGGTGGGAGTTGTACGCCCGTTGAGCTGTCACGGTGTAAGCGAGTGCAATGCAACTAAACAAGCGCCGCCCGGCGCCTTTCCTTCAGGGGCAACACGTCAGAACCCCTCCCAGCGCTCAGATGGCGGCACGGAACGTGGCTTAGTTACCCAGCGCACCGGTTTTGTGCCGGTCCTGCCGTTGGTCATGACTCGGCCGCACCCCAGCCTTTGGTTCCTTTGCCATCTCGCCTGCGACAGTTGGACGTGAGGTTGTGACACATCACCGCGAGCAGAGAGCTTCTATAGGTGCAAGCCGAAAGTTTACGCGAGAGGGGGACCCTGAGTCGTGGGACCTCTACTCACTGAAGTAGGACTGCCTCGCAAACAGTGCGAGCCGACCGCGAACGATCCGCGATGGCAGCTGCCGGGCACGTGTAGGTCGTTCCACTCTTGGGCCCGAGGGGTCCGAAAGAGGAAGCTGATTTGATAATGCCGGTGCTGATCATGTATGCATACTACATCAGGAACATGATGGACGACGTCCTCATCTCGAATTGTGAGCTTCAATGTCCTGGAGATGCACATTGTGCTTCATCATCCAATCCGGAAGAAAATCAACAGTCTCACCTCATTCCCGTGTGACCAGTGCCCCCTGTCCTCCTCAGATCGGCCTTGAGGACGCTCATCTCACAAGGAGCCGCGGCCCAGCGCCCCTTCGTCGAGCACATCCGTACACAGCTACTCGAGTCACCGCCGGCCTTCACCGATGCGACCGTCCTGTTCCCCCCGGGGAATGATGGCCTCGTCACGCAGGAATGCGTGCGGTACATCGCCTCGACACGGTGCCTCTTCTCGAGCAAGCTCGCCAAGGCCGCACTGCCATAGTGAGCCCTGTCACTTTGATGGACCAGTAGAGTAGTAGCGCGAGGCTGATCATCCAATACAGCCTGGCCCATTTTGTGAATTGCTTGCGGGAGGCAAGAGCACGGTGGGTACCTGGGGATGACCTCGACAGAGTTCTCGGCCAAGTCTCGGGCGATATCGTGCAGGCCATCCAGGCACTCAAAGAGTCCAGGCCTGAGGCGACGTCCGCTCTGTTTGATGACCTACAAGGTCTTCTGACTGGCTTTGAGGCTATCTCCAGCTACTGCTCCAGCGCCACCCCCCAAGCCCTGGGATATCCATTCACCAGGGCAGAGAGGCAGGTCCGAGATGTCATCAGCTTTCTGCACCCGGAAGCCGCGACTTCGCCTCCGTCTTCCCGAGCAACGAACATCATCAGCGTACGCGCCGAGAAGCGACGTGTGGATATAGAGACGTTCCAGCTCGGGCCGCATTGCATGCCACGTGTGTTCAACGGGCTCTGGCAGCTCTCCTCTCCCGCATGGGGCAGCGCAAGCGTAGAGAGCCAGGAAGCGGCCCTTGCTGAGCTCGTAGAGCTTGGCCTAAGTACTGCTGGTGAGTGGATCCGGCAGCCGTGCGTCTCTCGTGGTGGTGGTCTGGACCGAATGGCTACGTTGTGACACACGCCTGCAACTAGGGCCATCCTGCGAACACCTCACGGCCAACCTCTAACCGGTCGTCCTCTATCGACGAAAAGTGGGAACTCTTTACTAACAGAACCATCCCAAGACATGGCAGATCATTACGGCGACGCCGAGCTGATCTATGGGGATTTCCGCAGCCGGCTACCAGCTGACATGCGCGATGCGGTCCACGCGGCGACGAAGTGGTGCGTCTTTGGTCCTAGCGGCCAGCCGGTGACCACGCAATATGTCCTGCAGGCTGTCAAGGAGAGATCGCGACGGCTCGGTGGCCGGGTTGAGCTCCTGCAGTTCCATTGGCACGATGTGAGTGTTGATGAGCCGCGTCTCTGCCGATGGCCCCCATTAGATTTGGAGGCTGATACCATGCGCAGTACTCTTCAAAGGAGTACCTGGATATTCTCGTCGAACTCGTGAGAATAACGCAGACGCACCCTGAACTCGTCTCAGCCATCGGGCTGTGCAACTTCGACGCCCGGCACACGGAGGAGGCCTGCAAGTACCTCGTAGAGAAGACAGGACTAGTCGGGCTTGTATCAAATCAAGTCCAAGTATGCGACTATAGCTGCGTAGTGGGGACCCGAGCTGACAAGGGATTTACAGTTCTCGCTTGTTGACTCGCGCCCTCTGCAGCACGTGTCTGCTGTGTGTGAGAAGTATGGCGTCAAGCTTCTTACCTACGGGTCTCTTGTGAGTTGATGTAACTGCGAAGTTGCCATGGGCACCGGGATATACCTGAAATTGAGAGCACTCATTGATTGGGAATAATTTGAAGTGCGGCGGCTTCATCTCGCCAAAATGGCTTGGCCAACCCGCACCAGAACTCTATTCAGAGACGAGCCGGCTCACACCCTCGCAACGAAAGGTCAGCACAACCGCTCCAGCCTCGAAGTGCCGGAAGACTTGGATGCTTATCAAAACCACAGTATTTCGACATGGTCCAGACCTGGGGCAGCTGGCCTGAATTCCAGGCGCTCTTGGGGACGCTCTCCTCTGTGGCGGAGAAACACGGTGAGGGAATCTCACTTACGAACGTCGCCTCGCGCTGGGTACTTCAGCAGCTTGCTGTCGGTGCTGTAATCGTGGGAAATAGGCTAGGCGTGTCGAGCCATGCGGTTGAGAACCTCAACATCTTCAGGTTCAAGCTGGGTCAGGATGACATGGCGGCCATCAACAAGGTCGCCTTGGGTGAGGGCGGGCACAAGACACGGGCCGTGCTCGAGAATCTAGGGGACTGTGGCAATGAATACCGGGCTATGCACTAGATGCTCAGGCTATGGGAATTATCATCAGACCAAGTATGCCTGCTCGGGACGATACTAGGGCTCGGACATGTTTTAAAACTGCAAAAACAGAGGGCCTTGCTTGCCACTGACAGGCTGTGGGCTGCATAGAGACGGATCCAGTTTACACGAAGAAATCACGGGGCTGAAACTGTGAAGTTAAAGTACGACAAACTTTGATTACAGTACGCAGACTTGAAGTGGTGCTGGAATGTGCCTCCCAGTGATCCTCACCTGAATCGGAAATCAAATGCACGCAATCTTCCTCGTCGGATGCGAACCTGTAGGCATGCCATCTCGTTCTGGGGACAGTCACAGTTCTTCTCGCTAGCCATGGCGCCCTCATTCTGGTAGCCGTTCTTGCACACCGTTGTAAAGCAGTACCACTCCCGCGGTGCCTCGACGAGGTACTCCTCGAACCTCTCCCGTCTCTTTGCGATGTTGGCCATTCTTGCGAAGCTCAGGAAGAGTGTCTGGAGCGAGCAATACTCCTGACTCTCATCGAAGATGCTGGGCTCCAGTGATCGCAGGAATTCCAGCGCAGATTCATCTTACAGAAATCTTGATTTTCCCAGCTCCATGAAGTCGAGGAGTTCCAGCCATCCTGGATGTTGTTCGTCTTCGGAACCCGTCAGCGGGCCAGCACGGGGTGCCTCCCGCCCTATGTCTGCTGCCGCCTCGTCTCGATCACTTATCAACTGTCCAACAGACTCTCTAAGACGACTGTGTCTGATTTTGAGATTGGCTTCCCCTATCGCGAGCTCGAGTTCATTTACGGTCATTGCACAGAGGTCGGAGGGCTTGGACGAGGCTCGAGACTCGTCAATGGTGGGGGCCATGTACGCGATGACCTCGTTCGTGTGGCTCCGCTTAGCTAGAATCTCCGCAAGGATCTGCCAAAGCTTCTGTCCTCCAGCCGTCGAAGGATCCGAACGGGTGATCCAGCCAGTTCTGTGATGCGACTCAACTACGACACTCGCACCCTGCCAGGTGTTGCTGTTCATGGGCCGGACATTTACTGGCATGTTGTTGGCGTCGTGGACATCAACCACCGCCGTGTTGTCCTGTGATTTCATGGTCTTTTGGCGACGTTGGCCATCAGGGTCGATCTCTGCTTGGCGCTGTCTTCCAGCAACTTGCTTTTCTTTCTGGTGGCTGACATCGGCTTCCCTGGAGGGGACGATTTGTACCGCATCCTGTCGATTCTGTTGATAGGACGCGCCTTCGCCCTCGGGGCAAGCTTTGCTCTTGAGTGTCATGCTCGTTTGAAGGCCAGCACGATGTCCGTCGTTTTGATCCTGAAACGGCCAAGTTGTCAGTTTGGTAATCAGAAAGTCTATGGAATGCTTTGAGGCTCCTTTTGAAAGGCGGGTAGCGTCTTACAATGTATGTTGTCGTTGTGTTGTTCAAGGAGGGAATATCTTTGTGAGTTGGGCTACCGGGCCATCGGTGGCTGAATTGCGGCTGCTGAGGGGAGAGAGAGATAGAAGGGAAGCCAATGTGCCTTCAATCTGAGCTTTAAGTACTCGTCGGAGTGGTCTGTGACTGAAGGTCCGGTCAATGCCATCATTCAATCGACCCTAAATACATGTAGGGGCTGGCCTTGCGAAGGGAAGCTTTTGGTGGTCTTCACTGGGTCTTTGTGGGGCTCAAGCTCCAAAAAGTACGGGATGGACTTTTGGCTAACTCAGCTCCTGTGTATCTTTCAAGGTTTGCAGCGGTTTGCTCGGGTATCCATCTGTCTGCGCGTACACCTTATGTGTGCAGATGGCCGCTCGGAGGCCTTGGCTATAGCTCCCTTCCTAAGAACCGCTTCAGATCCACTCAGAATGGCCATGCAGTTCTCTGTTGGCCTATTCCATCAACTGTATTTTCGCATAGATTTCGACCTACGCTGGCTGACCTAGGTCTGGTGCGTCTCGATAGAGGACGTCCTTAGCGCATCTAGGTCAATACACAGCAGCTCAACGAACACTGGAAGATATGGACTTTAGGACATGGGGTAAATGGATTAGTAATTCCCTACATAACTAGCATGCTTTCTTGTGGGTCATCTCCCACGGATCTGACTTGCGTTCCATACAGCTGAGTGTTTGATCGCTCAGAAAAGTGATCGAGTGCGGAGCCCTGCGTTCTTCTTGTCGACGAATTCATCGATTGTGTCGAGGGTGGCTACTTCTGGCCAACTTTCGGGTTCTCATTACCACGCAGTTGGCCGAATGTATCCTTAAGCTCCTTGATATCGAGAAGCGTCTGGGCCTTGAGGTCTTGGATCTCTTTGAGGTGCGCGGCAGTCAGCTCCTGTGTCTGACGCCTGTGTCGTTCCTCGAGACCGGAGCAGCAAGTAGTCTTTGCCTTCTCCTTCTCGGCCCTCTCAGCCCTTTCTTTTGCTTGCTGGTCCTTTTTCTCCTTGCTTTGTATCTCCCGGATATGTTCGGGGGCCCGTGGACCTTCTGTATCCTCGTCGGTGTCCGCCAACTTGATGGGAAATGGAGGGACGTCCTGGAAGGCGATATCGCATTGGTCATCTGTGGAATATCTTTAGCAAGCACGTTACCACAGCAAGCAGTATGAATAGCTTACGACAGCATATGAACCACATCCTCCGCAATATGTGCTGAATGTAGAACTCCGTGGAGACAAGCTTCATTGTTCCATTAGGCCCCACTGCGGTGTGCTCCCGCATCACTGAAAGCCGGGTCTTCTCAAGAGCCTCGCTCCGTGCGATATCGATGAGTTCATCTGCGTTGTCGTGGTCTCGAAGTCTGTCCTCATATTGGCCCCTCACGAAGATTTCCATGGCGCTCACTTTTCGTTTGGTTATGTTCGACACGAGGTCGAAGGACTCTCCGTAACGCGATCGAAGCGCCATTCTCTGCTCGATTGGACGACTCAAACCAGTTTGTTTGCTGTGTTTGGCTTTATCTTTTGGTCGTTGTCGTCGTTGCTGCTATTCAGATGTCGAAATGGAGACAGACAAGGAGAACGTGTGGTGGTGTCTAAAGCTGACGGGGTGGACGCTCGATTATTGTTCTAAAAAACTAGGCCCCATTTCTGAAATGATTTTTGTGCATTCACCTAACCGTATGAATTGAGTTGGGTTGTCATGGTGACAAATGCGGCCAGCAGTTACAGGTACCGCTGCAAACACAAGACTCGAAGCTCTGCCTAGGATAAATTTACAGGGCTCAAGTACGAGACACCATCAAAGTCTGGATATTATTCCAAACGGGTCTTCAATATCCTCTACGACAGAGAATTCCTTGTTATGTGGCTACCCACTTAGCTGTCAGAGATATAAGCTCAGATCCAGTCAAGTCAACAATACAAGATTGCTCAAACAGCCAAGTTTTAAAAATTGTAACATGTCTCTCACCCGTGAGACAGTAAGCCAGCCTGGAGCCTAGTTTGTAGCTCCTGTAGAAAAATATGCGAAGCCCTAGGTCTATCACGATGGATCCATTTTCCTGTAGACCAGCCTGGCCGGAAAGAAGAGAGCTTGGTGCCAACATACTCAAAGGGCCGAAGGAGATTGGGAGACGATGATGGTTTTTGAACAGCTTCGGATTGGCGTTGTGCATACTTACGAAGCAATTCTGTCTTCTCCCAAAAATGTAACAGCAACCATGTTCACTTTTTCTACCCCCAGCAACCAAGCCCCAATTCAAAGCACAAAGAAAAGGAAACGCCTCCCAAAACCAAACGTAGTAGAATCGCCTCGGCGGCTCACTCGGCATCCAAGCACCCCTGAACCCGCCTCAAAGCTCTTGTTCACTCTCAACTGCCCCAATCTGTGGCACATGAACCGCCATCTAGCAATTGGCGAGCAAGTAGACGCCAGCACCCTTTTCTGCGCTTCCCAAGAAACCAACACTCGCATTACGGGGATCGGTGTTGGGTATCTCAAACAAGAATTGCAGAGTACCATCTTCGCCGGCCTGTGGGCAAGCTCTTGAGTTGATGGTCACTCCATATTCACCGGGGTTGACACCAACGGTACCGAAGGGTGTCAATGTCACGGAGACCCCATCGCCCTTGTCGTGGGTCTTCTGAGAATTACCTTTGGTGGAGTGATCGTCCGTGCCGTCCTGAGCCCTCATGGCGTTCGTCATCGATTGCCAGGTTGCGAAAGGCGAGTCCTCAGGTGTGCCGACCTTGGAGCCCTTGGGCTTGGAGTGAGAATGAAGGGAGGAAGCATTGTAGGAAGCACTGTACACGTCGAGGCTGATGGCGGACGAGCCGGAGGTACCAAACCTGGAGGCGGAAGACATTTTCAAGGCGGCAGCAGATGGCCTATTTCATTTGGTCAGCCGCATCGCCCTCCCAGGGCAAGGTTTTGCCGACAGCAGATATACATACCAAGAGACCATGAGCTGACAATCCCAGGAGCCACTGGCGATGTTGTCGAAGACGACGTACTGGTGGATCCGGTCGAACTTGACGTTGTCGGCAAAGGAGACGGACTGGGCGACATGGAAAGCCTTTGTGTCCTTGGCCGTGTTGGCCTTCTTGACGCCCGGCGCAGATTCATCGAGCTGTCGTAGGACAGAAGGGTAATAAGTGGTGCAGGTAGACGGTGCAACATGGGTCGGAGCCGCCGTGGAAGTGGACGTGGTGACCGGGTGGGAGCGGAGAGGGAGACGCCTAGAAGGCCGAAGATGGTGAGGACTGAGAAAGCTGTGTGATGCATTCTGGCTCTTGGATGTCGAGGGTTCTTGAGACAGTAGTGAAGTGCTTGATAAGAGAGTCACGGTGATGCTTTCTAGAATGTTGTCTCTGGCTCTGATGAGTTGAATTATTTGCGTGTGTGGATGGATGGATGATTGATGTCGCTCGCTGTCCTCCAGATTCTCGGGCAGACTGGCTCCTCTATATATCATCGAGGCGGCATGTTTTGATCGTCGCTTCCCCTTCTCGAAAACATGCATTCATCATACATGGTCGGTTGCAACAAGAGACATGCTTCTCAGCTGTGCCTTCCGGAAGACATCCTCAGCCAAGCAGAAGCTGATGGGTGGTCGATTATTCGCCCGGGCAGGACCGAGACAGGATGGCTCCCTCCTGAAGGAGAGCCCCAGCCACCCAACCTGGAGAGCTCATCATGAGGGAGACAGTCTTGATAGTCCGGTGTTCTAAGTCGTTGATGCTTGACGGGAGACAATCTCATACTGCGACGCCTACCCACAAAGGCGAAGAAGCCATATTGAAACGGTGGCTGAGAAGACCGGATAAGCACTAGGAGCGAACATGATCAAAACTGTTCCCAGGGACACATCACTTAGTCTGTCAAGCTCGACCAGCGTCTGTGTTGCACAGCAAGTTCACGATATGACTGTCGGGAGTAAGTGGCGGTGACAGCCATCTCGACAGCAAACAAGGCCAACGAGCAACAAGTCCACAGCCAAGTGGAAGCTGTAGCACTCACTGCACAAATGATAGAGGAGTAGGAGTGCGCCGAAAGGGGTGGTCCACACAGGTACGAACCTGTACGTATGGGTAGGGCCAGGCAGGTTGGACGCAGTGGTGCTGTGCCGTGTACTGTTAGGTGTAACAAGTGCTGGGTAGGGGGAAGGTACTTGGGCACATGTAGTCCCTGGCCGTTTAAACCATGTGTCTGTACCTGGACTACTGGGCCGGTACCTGTCTAGGTACCTAGGTAGCCTTGCATCCCCGCAACTTCCCGGTCGGGTGGGACTTGGACCAGGGCAGGGCCGAAGAAGAGTTCTAGAAGACGACTTCCAGAACCGCTGCACACAGCTTCAGGCCACCCCATTCGCTGCCAATCCCGTCTCTCGGTCCGGGTGGTGGTGCCCCGAGCTGCCTGCCTGCCTGCCTGCCTGCCTGCCTGCAAATGCAGTGAAACCGGCCCCGGCCATCGGCACACCCAAGAAGGAACCGCCGGACAGCGGGTCCTGCTCTTATCTGAGCTGATCTGAGCTGCCTTGGTCCGATCCGATCCGACCTGGGTGAGGACGATGCCGTCTCGACTTCCCCTTCCCTTTGGTGCTCTGCTTTCTGCCCGTCCCGCTCGGGACGTGTACAGACAGGTGCATGCGCATGTGTGCATACACAAGTGCGTGTGCCAATGGCAATGTCCATGCCCACGCCCAATGCCCACCGAACCACCTGATTCTGACATGCCTGCATCGGGGCGTCAAGGTCATGGTCGCTTAGCTCCCCGCCCTCTCCAGGTGCAATGCTACAGTACGTTCGGGCGTGCGGGGGAATGGGGAATGGCCTGCACTTGCACCGCGGACCGTGCCACCAACACAGTCAACCCAACCCAACCCAACCCAACCCAATCCAATCGAATCCCACTCAGCCCACCTCATCTTCAAACCAAACCCCCACCCGCGCGTGCCCTCCTGTGTTCGGCGTTGTGCTCCCTATTCTCTCGCCTCGGATCACTTCTTCCCATCGCTGCTGCCGGCCAGGTCTCCAGGTAGGTCTCCTTCCACAGCATCGTGGCCCCGGGCTGCATGCAGGCAGGCACATGTGGCCAGCCGCCACCTCTGCCCCTCCTTCACCCTCCCCAGTCACATTCGTCGCCCCGACGCCCAAGTGCGCCGTCTCCTCGGGGATCTCTTCTCCGTCACTGCTTTCGCAGACTATTACCTACAGGATGCTAACATATCTTTCTAAGCATCTGTACTTATCTTCCCTCTTCTTCCTCCTCCTCCTCCTCCCCAGTCACGTGGGCCGACTTTGGCCAGATCAATTCCTTCCTGGCCGTGTAGGAAGGCTTCAGTAGAGCAACGGACCCTTTCGCACTTTGCCGGCTCTCCTACTTGTGACCCTGCACCCAGCTTGCCTCCTAGCCACCTCCAGATATTCACCCACTGCGACCCTCTACAACAGCATGGGCTCTACGGACAAGTCCCAGGACGAAATAACCATCCTGGTCACGGGGTTTGGTGTAAGTCTGCTCCACCAATGCCTGATATGGCCCGCCTGGCCGCTGTTGCTGACCGCCCACATGCAGCCATTCAAGGATCAGTACCCTCGGAATCCCAGCTGGGACATTGCCTCCTCGCTACCCGAGTACCTCCCTCCCCTGAATGCTAAGTCCTCGACCGCCGTTCGGGGCGGGTCTCTGCCCTTACCTCCGGTGCGGATCGTAGTCCATCCTGAGCCAGTGCGCGTCACGTACTCGGCCGTCCGGAATCTCATTCCAAAGTTGTGGCAGCCCGACTTCGAAGGAGTCCCAAAGATCGACTACGTGCTACACATTGGTATGGCATCCACTAAGAAGCAGTACGTGCTGGAACGACTCGGCCACAGGGACGACTACAAACTGCTCGACCTGGATGAGAGGCTGCCCAACCAGAATCCTTCCTCTGACGATTACCCCTGGCACGGCATACCTGCTCAGTTGACGACCGATCTTGACGTGGCAGACATCAAGAGGAGATGGGAGACGTACTTACCGGTGAGTGCGGTCAGGCCGCCGTGCCAACGGTGTGTACTGGGCAACGATAAGTCTAATTTGGGCAATTCACAGGGCAATCTTACGCTCAAAACCTCAGAAGATGCCGGCCATTTTCTTTGCGACTACATATACTTCAACAGCCTGGCCAACTGTCACCGGGCAGAGCAGTGGAAGAGAGTCTTATTCATGCATGTCCCGGCCGTGCGACCTGAACCCGCAGATTTGTATCGCGAGTCGATCGACCTGGGCCGAGAGATTGCCATACAGCTTTTGCGATCACTCGTCGAGAGCGAGCTCGATAGTTCACGAGAAGGCGCGGAGGCTGAGTTGTGAGGGCGCATGTATCTACTGCATCCGAAGGCGTTCCTCAACTGAAAGGCGTGACTAGCATTCTGGCTCAAGCACCCGGTGTGTCTGTGTTGAGCCATCGCAGGATTCATCAATGTGTAGATCGAGCGAGCAAGGGCGTTTGGTGGACCGGGAACAAGCGGGCGACAATTCAGGGTCCGAGAATGATTGAATTCCTCTTGCAACAGCCCCTTGAGGCTGCTGTGCTGCTCTTTGTTCAGTGCGCCAGTGTGGAATAGGCTTGAAAAAAGTCGACCGACTTTGACCGTGAAACAAGGTTGGCACCGTCCTGCGCGGGGAGGAGATGGGCATAAAGATGTGGTCCTAACTCGGGTGTCCAAGGAGCCTAACGTGGGCGAGTCAGTCTCTCGACCTACATGCAAGCTTTGACGCCAGGTAGGGAATGTGACCCCAAAGGACTAGACATGCCACGAAGCTCCCCGATGCTTCAAGGAATACCCAGCCCAGCTCCGACATTCGAGTGCCAAACCAGTACTGAATTCCGATCACTCGGTGCCTTGCTTGATAGATGCTTGGTCCCTCACATGCAGGCTCATCACCTTTGCGGCACAAGGGGGGTGATTCTCGAACTATGAATGTGGTGCTCGTATCGGAAGACATCCCACTCCCGTCTCCTAGAAGCCGGAGACTCGCAACCTCTAAACCTTCTGGTTTTCTGGCCACCCAGCTCGACCGTACTGGTTTGCCCACTTGACCTTGACACCCAAGTGCTGCGCCGTCCTCAAGACGAATTCCGGTTCCCTCAGGAACTGCCTTGCAACGATGACCACATCCGCTTTGGACTTGTCCTCGCACTTCTCGGCCACGGCAACATAATCCATTGCACCCTTTTCCGGGTCCTCGCCAACCGTGTACAAGCACTCGCTTTGTACGATGTCCCTCGCCATCTCCGCGGTCGTGATGAGACCAACCGCGCCGATCAGCAGCTTCTTACCTGCCTCTTTCAAGCTCTGCCGGATCTCCCCGGCCGGATCAATTTGGTAGAAGGGGTTGAGGTTTATCTTTTGTAGGTGGTTGTTGCCGCCCGAACTGCAATCGAGGAGGTCAACACCGAGCTCGGGGAGCATGTGAGCCAGTTTGATGCTCTGCTTGAGATCCCAGCTGTAATCCTTGCTATGCCATTCCATCCATTCCGTCATGGAAATACGGAGGAAGAGCGGCATCGTCTCGGGGATGGCGCCGCGGACTGCCTTGATGATCTCAATGAGGAACCGGATGCGGTTCTCGAAGGAGCCGCCCCACTCGTCGGTTCGTGTCTGCGAAATCATCAGCTAAGCATCACGCTCTAGGAGGCTAGAAGGAGCTACTCACGTTGCTGAGTGGCGACGTGAACTGGTTGATGAGATACCCATGGGCGCCGTGGATTTCAACAACGTCAAAGCCCGCCTGGACAGCCCTCTTCGATGCCGTAGCAAACGCCTCGACGGTCTCCTTGATCTGGTCCGCCGTCATCTCCTTCACTTGCGGGTAGGTGTCGGAGAAAGGTATGGAGCTTGGCGCCCACACATTATCCGGCCACCCACCGAGCTCCTCGGTAGCGACGTGCCCCTCGCCGACCTTCGCCCGGTGCCACGGCGACAAGGTGCTGGCCTTGCGCCCGGCGTGGGCCAGCTGGCAGCCGACCTTGTGGCCCTGCGAGTGCACAAAGTCGGTGATGCGCTTCAGGGGCGCTATCTGGCTGTCCTTCCAGATGCCAGCGTCCTCCGGGGAGATGCGCCCGTTTGGGAGCACCGAGCATGCTTCAGTTATGGTCAGGCCGGCCCCTCGCACGGCGAAGGCGCCGATATGAACAAGATGCTTTGCCCTTTGTTAGTCAAGGGCTGTTCCTTCTAGAGGACCCGAGTGGGGCCGGGATGGGAACTGCAAGCTGCGAGTACCAACCCAGTCTGTGAGGTGGCCGTCATCTGCGCTGTACTGGCACATGGGCGAGACGACAAAGCGGTTCGCCAGTGTGACACCCCGGATGGTCAGGGGATGGAAGATGGTGGGTGTCTTGGACGGGTGCTCAGGGTCAAAGTCGAGGGCTGTGCCGGCTGGGGGTTCCTGAGCAGGAGTATAAAAGGGGACACCTTGAGCAGGCTTGCTGGCGGTCTTCTTGTTGAGCGTGGCCATGGTGGATGGTGGGGCTTGGTCCGCAAGGTCGAGGTAGAGTTAACGTCTAGATCCAAGCTCAAGTGCAGGCATAAGTTCAGGATGCTGTGGTGGACTGTGTCTGGACTTCGAATGGCGGAGGAACATCTCGTTCAAAGGGACTTATAGACATTCCTGGACCAGCACGCGATATGTCAGTCATGCATCATTGGACGAGGGACTCCGACTTACACAGGGCCCGCCCCACATCGCCGCAGGCTCGACATGATCCCCGCATTTGACCCTGTCTCATGCAAGTGACATAGTAAGCATTTTCTAGTGTCGGCCTCCTGTCGTCATCCACGTTCACACCCCCGGCAGGGTCTCCCGTTTCGGCAGGAATAGGCACAGAGCGCGGAACGGCGGATCTGGATCTCCCAGCGAATGTCAGGGCTGCCGTGAACTTCAGCCTGGTCACGAGCAATTGTCACCATGCAAACTCGGAGCCACACCCCAAGGCATCCTTCAGCGGGCAAATGAAGGAGCCCCCTCACAAGAGCCTCAGCACAGGTCAATGGTTCGTTCATTGACGTCGTTCATCATGACAGCACCTGCCGAGGGGCATGACTCGGAATTCGGCCGGGGATGCGGCCCGGTCCGTCGGGGAAGACGGCGGCAATGATCCACAACTTCGTGATGCTCCACCTTCCCGTCTCGGTGCTGGAACATGTCAGTATCAGTAAGCAATGCAGTAACGCGGCATTTACTTCAGTCTCACCAGCCCATTCTCTGGCTGATTGTCTCTTGCTCTAGGCCCCAAGCAGAGCTTAGATTCCAGGCCATAGTGTCACCTTGCCCGGGCCAAGTCGCTTCTGCATTGTCTCCGGGCTCCTGGTGAGTAGACAATACGTCCAGTCCTATTGGGTTTTTGTTTATTCCTCCATAGTGAACATTCCACAGGTTGGTCCAAATTTATCTGGCTACTTTTTCCGGTCCTTCGTAACACTATAGACTTACCCAGGCATTCTTTATGTTACCTTGGATCACCTGCGTGGCGATGTGAGATTCGATTGTCCATATGTATGCTGAAGATGCACTAGACGTGGTTGTATGGAAAGCCATACAGTTGGCAGAATAGCAAAATATATAGGAGCTCGTTATCCTGTCTGTGTAATAAGGTTTCTAACTAAGTACTTTAGCATTGAAGTCTAAAATTACGTCAGAGGGCAGTATGTAGACGTAGACTGATAAAACATTGAATCTCTCCCATCACGGGTCACTACATAGTAGAGAGGAAGTGACTGACACAGGCAGGCTTATTGTCACATTGGTAACTACGGACTTGTATTGGCGTTGGTCTGTAATAAGAGAAGCAAAAAATACACGCATTTTACCATTTTACCTCAACAGTGTATACTATGGAGGTGCTCTTGTGCACAAAAGAACGGAAGCATGTCTCCATCCTGAATGGAGCATGTATAAAACTTCTTGGCCCTGTTATTGTGCCCTAGGGACCCAGTCCTCTCGACCTACAATCTTCCACCAGCGTCTTCATCGCTTCGTTCCCTGCCGCTGCCAGCCGCTCAAATTCGGCCATGTGCTCTCTCACCCATTCAGCGTCCTGACCGGCCTCTGGACGGAGGAACCCGTTTTCCTCGCCGGCAACGAGACTACCATGCACCGAGATGAGGTCGAGCGGCGTTGTCGGCAAGACCGTTTCCCAGGAACCGCGGAGCTGGCGGCACAATTCATCGTATGATGAGCGAGGGCGCGAAGGGCCAGAGCGGACGTGCGCTTGAATGGCGTTTACAAGTTTCTGTGAGACAGATTTGGGGACTGTAAGCATCGGGCCTTATCCGGCTCAAGGTGATGACCATTGTCTCTAGACTTGTATTTGTGAGGTGAGGAGGCCGGGACGCGTTGGGCCGACTTACGCGTTTGCCTCCGACATAATGATGTACGCTGGACCCATCTTCGAATCTGACGTTGACAAAGAGAGACGGGGTGGTGAACAGGTTTGTGTGGACCTTGGTGATGGCACTAGCGAGTTCATCGCGCTCCGAGGGGCCGATGGGATCCCGGAGGGACACGACATACCATGGCATCGTGTATGAGCTGAGGCACGGTGATGCTGACTGAAAGTTCAAAGTGAATATGCTGGGCGATGTTAAGTTGATGGGATGTCCTATCAGGGCTCTTCGGACTTGCAAGAAGAGTAAGGGTATACGAGCGTGGAGGGCTCTTATATGTGGCGGCCATCCCGACTTCGGGGCGGACCGGTGCGGAGCGGAGGTGAACCAAGTGTTCGTTATGTTTCTTTCATCGGCAGTGAGAATCCCAATGTTTACTCATCAGCGGGGTGGTAAGTGCGAGGTTATGCAACACACACCATTAGGCGTGTTCAACGCATGTGACAAAATTGCATGGAGGACTGGGAGGATGTACCCTAAACTTGGCATCATGTCTAGCAAAGCACAGCAGCGCCTGAGTAACTCAAAGGACAAGGGGCTACTAGTCAAGGCAAATTTGTAGACCATTTGTACATAGCGTTCCTTCAGTTGCTCGCATTTAATTACTGAAATGCATGCCATCCAAGAGTGGATACACAATACAGGTCCAGCTGAGCGAGAGGGCAAATCGTCTCTGAGCCTGTTGGAACTTTTAATGCTTGGTCGAACTTGGGGATCTTACAGAGCCGGATATTGGGGCATGTGCTCAGACGAGCTAGACTATATCCTCCCAGGCCGATTCTTCCGGTATTTTGCCATGGCTTCGCCTGGGACAAGGGCTAGCGACATGTGTTGGAGTGCTACAGGCGCACAGACACACAAAAGAAGGGCAGTCTGTAGTGGTGTCGCATATATGAGAGAGCAACGAGCCTCGATACCTCTGGTGGGAGCTGCAAACCGTGAGCGCCCCCGAGGACGAGCAAGTGGCACAACTGATCGCCCATGGACTCGGTGAGGTAATTTGGCTCCCGAGGGCAAGACTACATACCATCTCGTCGATGCTCAACATCAGGTCTTTGCCGGCAAATAAGGGGAGCACTGGCTGGGAATGCGAAATCCACCATGCCAGCACCCAGAAGCGGCACGGAGAGATTAGAAGCCCTGACATGTCTCAGCCGACGAGGAAAAGCAGCCCCGGCTGGCTGGTCTAAATGGGCAGACGGGGAGCAGAAGGCAGAGAACAGAAGGGCAGAACAGAAGAATGAGAGGCTCGCGCCGACCCTAGGCAGGACCCTCGATTGCAAGGTAGTCGGGTGCAGACTGAGCAGCTGGCTGCGAGAACATCGACGGTTTGGAGAGGTCTGGAAATCGCGGCACTGACACGACTGAGACGAAACGCAAGAGGCGGCACCTTGCAGGGTCAGGAGAGGTTCCGAGGCTGAGATCGGCAGTAGCAGTGGTGGAAACAGCAGTAGCTTTCGTAGGTCCAGGGTGCAAGCGCAGGCGCAGGTGCAAAACGCCAAGCTGCAGCTGCGCGGCTCGCCGTTGCAGCATTTCTCCACTCATCCATCCCGCCCGCCGGTGCCTCCCTTCTTTCCCGCTGCACTGCGTTGCTTTTGCAGGCGGCAGCAGCAGCTTACTTATAGTCCACCGAGGCGGACTAGACTGCATCCTGGGAGCTGGGGGAGATGGGATCGCAGTCCGGCCTACCGAGTCAATAGTGTGTACTTGCAAGTTGGAATTTCCAAACACGAGCCGCTGCCGATCAGCTCTGCACGGGACAAGACAGGACATGACAAACCAATCTGATCATCAACCGAGAACCACTTCATCTTGCCACCTACAACCTGCGAAGCCCCCGTCGTCTCAACCCGAACAGCCCAGCCCGGCGGCATCCACCAAGCTCGTCTGCACACGAACCGACAACACCCCATTCCGTCCTACGTCAGCCTGACACTCTCGCCGACGCGACCTCCATCCAGGCTCCCTTCCCGCTCACGCCTGAACACAGTACGGTCACGGCTGGCCTGACGTTCGAGACAAGCGACACGGAAGCCGACAGCCAGGCCGTACCGGCGCCAGCTTTGGCCACATTTCCTAGCCACTTGTGAGAACAACACTGGGGGCAACAACCGACAAATCACCAGCGCCGTCCCCAGAACACCCTGTTCGATACCATCAATTGTCAGATCTACTTCTAGGGACAACAAGAAGGACAAAAATACAGGGACGAACCATGCCTTCGGCACGGCGGATGCGCCTGCTCCTCGTAGGTGTAATCGCCATTGTTGTGATGACCTTGGTCTACACCTCCCAGCTACGGGCGTCGCAGAACCCAGACGTGAGGACTTTCGGCGACTTCTACGATCGAACCAAGAGTGAGCTGGAGCGAGCACGTGGCGGCCAGAAGAAGCAGCAGCAGTCGGTCCTGGACTCCAAGGGCGGAAACGGCAAGGATGACGATGCCCAGCTGGCCAAGGAAATGTCAGACCGACTCAAGGCTGCCGAACAGAAAGCAAAGGACTCAGCCAATGCGAAGGCGCCGAGGCCTGATGCGCCGGACAAGGTCATCGGCGTAGGCAATTCGGCCGCCGGACAGGACAAGTCCAAAGACAAGGCCGGCAACCAGCTCACAGAGAAGGAAACCGACGAGGACCATGAGGTCGAGACCATTATCAACGACATTCTCAAGAAATCCCCAGGTATGAGCCTGCCGAATCTGTACCTGGCTTGCGCCACTGTACGCTGACACTGCCTACAGTTATAATCTTCTCCAAGACCTACTGCCAGTTCTCCAAGAGGGCAAAGGCACTCCTCCTCGACAAGTATTCCATCACGCCTGAGCCCTACGTTGTCGAACTGGACGTGCATCAGCTCGGCAAGCCAATACAGGACAGGTTAGCAAAGATGACAGGCCGGAGGACCGTCCCAAACATCATGATCAATGGCAAGAGCATTGGCGGCGCCGACGACATCGCAGAGTTAGATGACGGCGGCGAGCTCGTTGAGAAAATTCGATCGCTCGGCAGCGTGGGCGGCAAGACCGTCGAGGTCAAGGAGCGACATGGAAAGCAAAAATAGCCTCCTCTCCTGACCTTGAGAAGACGGACGGGTCCGGGTTCGCACGAAGCCTGCTTAGACCATGGCATTTGTGCCGGGAGTCTGACGTGGATTGGATACTTCCAGAAACCCCGCTCAGAGAACCGTTGCTCATTGCGCAGCAGCGCTCGTCCGGGCACAGGGGATGAAACTTCCATGATGGCCTGCACAATGGACACCGTAGTGTCCCACTCTATTTTTTCGGCATTCAACAGGGCGGGAGGAGGCTCAAGTTGAAAAGTAGTTGCTACGCCACAATCGTTCTCAAATGCTTCAGCCAACCATTGCTCTAACCCCTGCGTCAGATCTCAGTAATCCATATCGAACGGCTTTCCGCCATTGTCAGGTCTAAAGGAGGGGCTTGGATTGCACCAAACGAAAAGCCGGTCGTGCGCCGATGAGTCGTGTTTGACTAAATGCAACGAGCGACGGCGTCCCAGGGCGGCCGTACGACTTGTACGCTACTAGGTCAACAATGACGGCTTCGACCCGCGTGTCAGGTAAAGCCAGACTTCGGAAAAGAAGACGTCAACCAAAAATATCAACAATTTTCGCAATTCAATTCAACGGGACGGGCCTCGTCAGGGTGTACTGTGAACGCAGCCCGCAGAGGGTTGAACAGAGCTTACGACTCGGGCACCTCCTTCTTCAGTCAAATCTTCTGGAGCCGGATTTGACAATTGAGTTGTGATCTTTTACTCCTCCGATTTTCCCTTGATCCCTGAGCTCCATAATGTCCCTCTTGAAGCCTGACAGTCAAGACCACACGGCGGTTAAAGCGTTGATTCGGGTGAAAACTTCGGACCGCGACAATCTACTATTGTCTGTGGTGTGAATAGGGTCGTGGGCCTGGCAAAACAAAGTCCGAATGCAAGTGAAGAGCTCCAAAAAAGGCTCTATGTCACGAGGAGACAATTGTTCCGGGTCTTCCTTCCATTCACCAGGTACGGCGGCAAAACAATGGCCATTGCGACCTATTCACTGCAGGAAGGGAGCGGCTGCGTCACTGGAAGCCGTGAGTGACCATCAAGGTTCACAAAATGGGTCTCGACGTGAACACCTTCATGGCCTCTCTGCCGCTACCCATAAAAGATACAGCACCATAAAGGTTCAACCGGCGCCCGTTTCTGGACTCTAGTTATTCGCTTCTCACCTTTAGTCAACGCAAAGCATTAGATCGTCTTGCGACCACTGCATCGCTATACTGCATCGCTTCTGTGATATTTTAGCAGTCGCCATCGCTCCTCACCATGACGAGCTACCGAGTCAGTCCGGAGTTGATCCTCGACATCGCCGACCACTGCGACCGAGCGACGCTGAGGACGCTGATGCAAGCCAGCAAGGCAAGTCATTACCCAACCCATCCGCACACCAACCATCATTTAGCCCCGCCAGTCCGGCCGGGGCCGGGTATCGCGTCGGTAATACCACATTTGCACTAGGAGACCTCCTAGGCATAGCCTTGGATTGCTGCGCATTTCTGAGTGAGTACTCATGCTAACGTTCGAGCAGCACATCAATGCCTTGATCTCGAACAATGAGCGCAGCATCGCCGCGGCCAAACTCAAGACGTTCCTGCTACCGCCCTTGGGTGAGGTCCTGTCTTCTGAGGACGAGAGGCGATGTCGAATCACGGGAAAGTACTCCTTTGCCACCATTCAGGAGATGGATTTGCGCGAGCGACGGATGAGTTCCATCCTTGACAACAGCGGATTTCTCCTCACCGACGACATCAAGCCACTGGGTATGACTGATGATTCACTCGCGAGGTTCAAGGCCGGGCTCAAGCGCGGTCTCTACATCACCGACCGGCTCGCCGATCTTGAAACACGGCCAGAAGTCCGGCATGTCCAGAACAACATTACCTTGCGGCTGTCCTCATTGCAAGTCGGCGGTGATAGTGTTGGCGGCGCCGTCAATGAGAATGACCTTGATAAGATCGAGTCATTTGACGACGAGGTCATGCTACAACACGACGCAGAGATCGAGGCTCAGCACTCGGCCGTCATGGTCCACCGAAACCTTCAATTCGAGATGATTCATGAGCTGGCGACGCTCGACCTTGCCTGGCTGCTCACCTTGGGCGAGGGAGCAATCAAGGGCTGTACGCGGTAAGCATTTTCAAACAAATTTCCTTGGGGGGCAAATGTGAGGGCAGTCTGGAGAGGAGTGTGGCATATACAGGCATGATGTGACCACGTCGACTGCTCTCTTGGTAGTTGCTGGAAATGGCTTTTTTTTTTTTTTTTTTTTTTTTTTTTTTTTTTTTTTTTTTTTTTTGGCTGACAAAGTCCTAGGTATTTCGAGAAGATGTTCTTGTCGGACCCTGCGGGAACCCAGTACAAAGTAGTAGCCTTTAAGGAAGAGCTGTTACGCAAGGGTTCCTTCATCCTGTGGGCATTTGTCCGCGGCGTCGGTTCAATGGATGCGTTCGCCAAGAACTCCCTTAAACAAACTGGTGAGGAGATCATGGGCTTCGAGATCGGGCAGCACCAGAACTGCGGGCTGTCTTTGGTTGTTCACCAGGAGATGAGACAGCGGGTTCTCGAGGAAATTCGGCGCAAGGACCCCCTTTTCGTCGACGATGACGAGGAAGAGCTCAGCCCCGCGAGAGTCATGGCGGAGGCGCATCGCATGATCGGCGAGGAGATCGGCCGCAAGAACTGGCACGGGTACAGCAGCATTGTGTACCCGCCTGTGGAGTGAGTCGCCAAGGGGCCATTGGTTGGGTCAGGATATGGCTCAGGACGGGGCCGTGCTGTTGATACTGCACTCACTCCCCGGAGCTGATCGTTGTGTTCGGTTTTCTTTATGACTGCTTTTCGGGTTCGGTGGATGGCATGGCGGTGCATAGGTCCGGAACGGCGCATACAGGGCGCAGGGAAAGCGTTTGGGAGGCAGGCAAGGTGTCAGGCGTCGCAGGTCTGGTTAGCGATAGAGGTCCTGGTATCGCCGGGGTCAAGAATGATGGAGTTGAGTCGGTGCTTTTGTCAATGTTTGTGGACTGTCTCTGCTATACCATACGCAATGAGAAAAGAGACCGGCCAGATGGTGGTCAAGGTGCGGTGGCTACACACACGCTCCGTTTCTGAAACTTGCAAGACGAGAGGAACATGACTCCGAGATGAGCCAGTCTTTTGATTTTGTGGGTAGCTGGCAATCACGAGGTGCGTGAGTGTGCGTCCCACCTGTGCAGACCGCACCATCGTCCTGCTGGCTCGCTGTGCTTGTCTCGCAACCTTCCACGTGCCTCGAGTCGCTTTCCGTGATCCGGGTGGCTGTTTCAACGGGACAGTCGATGGCAGACGCGAGACCTTGGTTACGACATCGGAAGCTTCCCGCCAGGACCGTCAATTACACAAACAGGGGCCCAGGGGTCATGGTGTCAGCAGAGACCCATAGGGGATCCGAGTACGTCGGTGCCTGGACCACAGGAGCGGGAGAGAAAAGGAATACCTCGCTCTCCGCTTACGGCAAACAGGCTAGTTTGCTGCACACGCACCCCGGCTGCCGGCCTGGGTTCATCTGGGATAGATTGAAGGGTGCGTTTCGTTCCGCCAACAACAATGTTTCCTGTTTCTGCATGCGCCCGGGGCGGCTGGCGGGTTGATATACATGGGATCAGCGATGGGGCCGGATGGCGTGGGCAGCAGGTCCACATGCTCGAATGCTCGCTCCCGGACGTTGGAAAGGGGTCTTGGAAGTGTGTCTTAAAAAAGTGAGAAGAGCCGCTGTCCAGCCTGGCGGAGGAGGAGGAGTTCTTCACTGCTGTAACAAAGCTGCGTTGATTGTTATTACTTCTTTGATACCAATGTAAATATTCTTTCTTGTCCATACTACTTGTCATCGTCGCTCTTTCACCAACAATCAGTATGCTCGCTCGTTATCTCCCGTTCATCACGGCCGCCTCAGCCGCCCTCACCTACAAAGGTGTCGATTGGTCCTCGGTCAAGGTTGAGGAGGACTCGGGCGTCTCTTATTCCACGGCCAGCGGCACTGGGGAGTCCCTCGAGAAGATCCTGTCCTCTTCGGGTGTTAACACCGTTCGCCAACGTATCTGGGTCAACCCTTCTGACGGCAATTACGACCTCGAGTACAATCTCGCCCTTGCGAAGAGGGCAGATGCTGCCGGGCTAGGCGTCTACCTTGACCTGCACTTCAGTGACACGTGGGCGGACACCGGCAACCAGGCAATTCCCTCGGGATGGCCTACGGACCTGAACGACCTGACCTGTACGCACCTGAAGCCCTTTCCCGGCCCATCTTGATCGCTGACTTCCTGACAGACAAGCTGTACAACTACACCAATGACTTGTCCAACCAGTTTGCCTCGGCGGGGATCACGCCGAAGATAATTTCCATCGGCAATGAGAGTGAGTATCTCTGGTCATTCTCCTTAACAACGTGACGTGTTTTGATCTTCAACCACAACCGTGGGAACACGATGCTGACATGAGACCAACCCACTAGTCGGCATGGGACTGCTCTTTCCAACGGGCAAGTACAGCGACGAGGCTTCTTTCAGCAGCATTGCCTCTCTCCTCCACAGCGCCGCATGGGGAATCAAGGACTCGAACCTGGAGACCGCTCCCCAGATCATGATCCACATTGCGAACGGCTGGGACTGGGACACGGTCGAATGGTACTATTCGGGGATCCTGGGGGCAGGCGAGCTCGAGACGTCGGACTTCGACATCATCGGCCTGTCGTACTACCCCTTCTACAACGCCGAGGCCACGCTGGCCAACCTCAAGACGTCGCTCAGCAACGCCGCCACCAAGTGGGGCAAGGGCCTGGTCGTCGCCGAGACGAACTGGCCGACCTCGTGCCCCAGCCCGGAGTACACGTTCCCGTCCGACACGACCGACATCCCATTCTCGGCCGAGGGCCAGTCGACGTGGCTCAAGGACGTCGCCGAGGTGGTGGCGGGGGTCAAGAGTGGCCTCGGGCTGTTCTACTGGGAGCCGGCGTGGCTCGACAACGCCGCGCTGGGAAGCTCGTGCGAGTACAACACCATGTTCTCTGCGTCCGGCGAGGCTCTCTCGAGCCTGTCGACGTTTTCTAGCCTGTAGATATTTAGCGGCGCGGATGGGGGATATACTTGTTGTATTATAATGCGTGGGAGGACTTGGGCACACCGGCGGCAAGCCTGTATCTCTACCCAGATACTCACCGCTGGCTAGGTAGAATGAAAGTGTGTGTGTGCCGAGGCAGATTGCTCTGAAAAACGAATGAATCTTCCGCCCTCGAAGCAAACTGCCAGCCTGGAGAAGTACCGGTTCTGATAGAAGCCGCAAACATGCCTGCATTTGTGATCAGCCGACGAGTAGAGCCATTCGGCTATGTGATTAGATGATTGTAATGCCGGGCTGTATCGGCAGCTGTTGAGGGAGAGAGGGATTGGGGTGCACGCAGCAGCTGGACAGTGGGTCCATTGCGACACAGCCACTCCAGCCACCTCATCGTGGTAGTCCATGCCCCATGCATCCATGCTGACGCTGGTGGTGAGATTCGCTGGCTGCGCACTCAGGCAAGCTTGGTGATTATTGATCTGCCTATCTGCCCATGCAATGATGTTAGTAACAACCTTGGAAGACTAGCTAACCGGCAGAGGCCAGACTAGGCAGACGGCAGACTTGCAGACCGATACCAGTGCACACCCGCACATTAGAGACTGCCTACTAGTACCTACCGAGGCACTGGTCTAGCTGTTCTAGTCGATACCGGGAGACCAACTCGCCAGATGTGGCCTGCCTGGGCGAGCTGGGTACTTTGCGTGCTGTTCAGTAAGAACCGCAGGTAGGGGTGGGCTGACCAGGCTTGTCCGAATATGACTTGAGACGGGCTTGGCGCAGCGGCACCCAGGGCAGCTAGGGGCAGGTCCCTGCCTCTTTCGGCCAGCAGGCGACAGGGTCGGAGCAGTTGCCCCTCTCGAGGAACCCCGACGCGGCCTAGCGCCCCTGGGGTCTTTCCCTCCTGGCCTGGAGAAACGATATGTCACCGTGTTATACACGGCCAGAGCTGTGTGTGACGATGCTGCGTCCTGGGGAGACCCAGGCAAACACAGACACGAACGCAGCCCCAGTGACCGTGACCGCGCTCGATGAGGGCCGACGAGGACCGATCAGGCCGTGATCCATCCATCCCAGTCCAGGTGCCCTGCCAAGACGTGACTTCCTGTTTCTGCGTACGAACTGTTGCTGCAGAGCCACATGTGTACTTGTATACCCGGCCTAGGCAGGTAGACAGACCTATAGATCCCAGGCACAGTAAGCACTCCCAAGGCTCCCCCAGATCGATCCAGGACAACTGTGCCTGAGTACCGAGAAAAGAGTGAATTAAAGTCCATGCAGTCTAGTCTAGGCTATCAAGGCTATCCAGTACCATGGTACACCTCCAGTCTGCCAGTTTGCCAGTCAGCGACGGCACTCCAGGCGGGTGCTCGTCATTTGTCGCCTCTCCTCGACAAACTGCTGCCGCTATCAGCGCTGATCTTGCCGCCGTTCCCTGACCTCCCCCCCCCCCCTCCTGACCGACCGCCCGCCCCCCTGCCACCTCTGTCTGTGCTACTAGGTGCGCAGGAAATGTGTGGTAGGTAGGCTAGGTAAGTGACTATATACGCCCACGCTGGCAAGTACCGATCGTCCTGCCTGGGTGGGTGGGTAGGCATTGTGCACCAACCAGTACCTCGGTACGCAAGTAGCTCTCGCCCACCCGTCCACCCGTCCACTGTCCCGGCCACCTGGGCCTGCACCGCCTGCCCGCCTTGCCTGGGAGGTGTGTGTGTGTGTGTGTCTGTCCCGACTAGTACCTACGGTACCTTCTAGTAGAATTGTCAGTCAGCCAGCCAGCCAGCCAGTCTTCGCCGTCCAAGGGTCGGCCCTTCCAAATTCTTTGGTCAGCTTTGCCTCTGGAACGGCTTTGGCATTGAAAGTTTGCACTCCTGCTTGTGTGAGGCTTGACCTTTCACCTCAACAACCACACACACGCTCGCACACTGATATTCTCTCTCGCTCTCACAACAACACGACCCCTTTCTCTTGTGCAGCCAATCGTCCCTGTAGTCTCGTCTCCCGAGTTCTCTTATCTTCGACTGCACCCCAAGCAGGAAGCAAACAACCAACCAAACCCCAAGTCACATCGGAAACAATACAAGCAGTCCAGCCCGGCCCGGCCCAGTGGGACCTCTTTACGCTCGGCCACCTCGACCTTTATTACGCAACTAACCACCGAGCACAGTCGCTCAATCTGTACTGTACGCGGTCCACTGTCTGTTTCATACAAGGGAGAGAGAGAGGGAAAGGGAAAAAAAGAATTACGGAGCCGCATCCGCGTTCCCACCAGACAGGGCCGGGTCCTCACACTCAGCCCCAATCTCTCTGGTCGCCCAAACCACAAATACCCAGACTGCCTTGGGCCACCTGGGCAGAGCTCGCGCCACGATCCCCAGAGTCGCGCCACGCCACACTCACAGCCTCGCTATTCCGTCACTTCCACCATCACCCTCCCGGAGCCGCTTTCACCCTCGCTTCGCTTCCGCGCCAGCCTTATTAGATATGCGCATGCCCATGCGCATCCAGTCGCGGTAGACGCCAACGCCGGGTGCGCCCTGTTAATAGTCCCCCGTCCCCGCCCTGCAATCGCACCTGCTCGCCCAAGAATTTGCCCCAAATACTGCCTCATGGCACCGGACAACGGGCCCATCGCGACAGCTCTCCCCTCCATCACCGCCGCCGCCGCCGCCGCCGCCGCATCACCATCACCGCCACCACCATCACCCACCCCGCAGCAGGAACAGCGGCGACAACCCGCCACAGCCCCACCCCCGACCGCGTCTCCAGATCCCAGCGCCGGTGATACCAATCATTCATCCCTCAAGAGGCCACGCGACGAATCGCCCTCCTCGCCCATCTCTCCCGCCACTGGCCGGCCGGCCCGCGAATATTCACCGGCCAAAGTCGCCCGCCTTGGCCTCTCAGCGCAGGTATCTGCGCCGCTCCAGCTGACCGGCGTCGCTGCGCTCGAGGAGGAGCGACGCCGCAAGGAGGAGGACAAGAGGCGCAACCCGCCGGGCGTCAGCGAGAACCCGAATCACAGGACTTTGAATGAACTCTTGTCGGGTGGAAACATGGCCATAAGTCGCCCGCAAGACGCGCCAGCAAACATGGAGGAGATGGCCCTCGCTGCCGAAGCCACCAAGGCCCTCGGTGGTCCCGTCACAATACCACAACCCAACGTGTCGGATGCGAGGACAGACATCAGCCCCCATAGCGCAGCAGGCCCTACCGGTGCCGCCGGAAACCAGCACGTCCTGAGCAGCCCGGCGCCGATGGAGGTTGACTCCCGGAACGAGCGCCCACTCGTCCTGCCGCAGCCCGAGGCGCAAATGGAGGACAAGACACCGACCTCGCTTTCTTTCCCGGGGGTCCTGCAGTCCGGTGCCTCAATGGGCGCCCCAGCCCCGCCAGAGCGCCACTACAGCCTGCCAAACAACGGAGAACCTGCCTCGACGTCAAATAAGAAGCACAAGTGCCCGTACTGCGATACTGAGTTTACGCGCCACCACAACCTGAAGAGCCACCTGTTGACGCACAGCCAGGAGAAGCCCTACCTGTGCCAGACCTGCAACCTGAGGTTTCGTCGCCTGCATGACCTGAAACGGCATGGGAAGCTTCACACGGGCGAGAAGCCTCACGTGTGTCCGAAATGCGATCGCAAGTTTGCGCGTGGTGATGCGCTGGCCCGCCACAGCAAGGGGGCAGGCGGATGCGCCGGACGGAGGGCTTCTGTGGGGAGCTATGGCGACCAGGGCGAATACGACGGAGCGCCCCGGACCGAAGGTGACGATGCATCAATGGCTCTCTACGAAGGCAACGGCGATGTGGAAATGGCCGACGGAGACCACCGGCGGATCAGCCTGCCAGCAATGAAGGCGCAACCTCCTACCGGCTCCCCTGAACCACACATGGGACCACATTCTCGCACATATCCTCCTGTTGGGCCCAGAACAGGGCCTCCAGGGGTACTGTACCCTCCGGCCGGCGAGCGCGGCGCCATCAACGCTGGCTCAAGCACGACTCAATCAAGTCTAGTCAACAGCATTGCGGGTAGGTTCATCATTTTTCCGCTTTCGCTCTCCGCACCCCCTCTGTTACACCCATACCAGCACCAGTCAGCCGCGAGGATGCTTATAGTTGAATTTTCAAGGCATTACCGAGAGCCCCAAGCCTCTCAGCCCTGCTGTACACGATCAAAACGCCATAATTCGACAGCACTCCCCAGGCTCCACTGGTCAGTATCAACAGCAACCATACGCCCGGCGTGTATCTGACAGGGAGACGGCTCCCGGAGCACCGCTACCTCCGCCGCAAGGTGAGTCACCACGACCGAAGCCGTTGACCTGTATCGAGCACGGATCTGACCCAGCTCAAGGCCAGCAAACACCTGTTGGACCAGCGGCGCACGACCACGGCCATGCGAGAGTGTCGACCGGACCATCGAACCACGTCAACAGTGGCGATGGCTCCGCAAATTTGTTCGCGCAGGGCGAGCAGGGTATGTGGACCTACATACAACAGCTCGAGGACAAGGTCAAGGACCAGCACGAGTGGCGTGTGACCGCGGAGGCACACTCCAAAGACCTCAGTTTGCGGCTGGCGAGAGTTGAGAGACACAATGCCGAGCTAGCGGATGAAGTCAGTAGTCTGCGTCGGGCGATCGAGTTGTCTGGGGCCCGGCCAAGTAATGGCGGAGCAGCGCCCGCCTGACGCGTGAGTCTTCGTGCTTCTTTCTCATCGCGCTTTTGCCCGTTGCCTTTGTTCGCGTGATTCAAACCTTCAAAGGCCAGCTGGTGTTCCCAGTCGACTAAATCTCTCATTATTAGCAATGCCGCTCGGTCCCAAACGTGCCTGGCCAACAGCACCGTGTCAGCACAAATGTTTCAATGACAAAAACCGGCGTAAATCTCGAAAACAACAGAGCCACTATCTCGAATGACTTACCCATCATCTGATTATCACGTAAATTCATCTCAGTACCATTCACGAGGACCAAGGTTCGAACCCAAGCACGATGCACCATGCTGTCATCGTCGACGCTCACCGAGGCATAACCACAACATTCATATGGCGCAGAGGCATCCCATTGACCCTGGTGCTTCTGCCAAACAAACAACAGCACATGACCAGCAGCTAGACAACTTTCTTACGCTCTCGCTAGCTTCTATTTGCGACATACCTCATCATGCATTCACAGGCGTGGAGTTTTCATGGACCGGGACTCTGACTCCTTCGATGCTAATGCCCCCTTTAATACTGCCTATTGGGGTATACGCCTCTCGCACTTGTCTCTTTCTTACCATCGTTGTTGCATTATATCCGTTGACCCTTTGCGTACCGTCGACAAGGGGCTCATCCAAAACTCTGGGGGATGTGGAATTGGTGGAGGATACAGGCGTTCAGGGTGGGCATAACCCAGTCCAGTTGTTCAATGGACTGGGAATTTCGGCGATTTCTTGACAATCTTTCAACGAGACTAAAACTTCGGGGAGTGTGGAGGAGAGCTGTAGGAGGCAATGAAAAAGAGTTTCACCCTAGTTGCGTTCTGATTGACCGGCATATGCGTCGCGGGAGATCCCAGCACCGAATCCCCCATCCTGAGCCTCTGCAACGACTCGACCTTTTGCCATTGCGCGTCCGCTACTCTTGTCCGTGTCGTGAAGAGCTCTGTGTTGGAACTCATCGTGAGAAAAGGCCGGACATGGAACAGAAACCCTGTTGACGTGTACACGATGAGGGAAGCATGTATGCTGCTCGAAAGACCAAATCGTCCAATCTAGATGGTGCTCCCAGACCCCTTTAAGTAAATACCCTTCATGGTTACCAGGGGTCCCAAATAATTCAAGTCAAGCATATTGGGATGTGTGGAAGCTGGGGATTTGGAATGAAATAATTAATATGTACCTGATGGATCTAAGCAAAAATACAAGCGTCAAATCCGAAAATAACCCAACATTGCGGCAAGGGGATATCATAAGTAGACAAGTCCACCCCGGCGGGAAACCACCATTTTCAACTCTAAATGGGCCCTGCCTGCACGACTATACACCGAGTTCTCATTTCAAATTCGTCTTCCAACCACGATTCTTCGTCAATTCATTGTACCGCGGCTGACGCCGGGTCTCTCACAGGCCACGGTGCTCGCTGGGACGGGCTTCACCCGTGCGAGGCTCCTCAACGTAGTCAATACCGCCGTGCAGCGATGGCTAACATGTAAGACTGTCGTGAGGTATCCTCCCGGCGACTGAAAAAACAACCTAGAGGTCCTTGCCTGTCTCGCCAGCCCCGCTGCCCGTCGACCTCCTCGGTGCACCGGAGCTCCTAGCTTCGATGTTCGTGATGGCACTCTGCAGTGCACTCGTCAGGTCGACGTGGAATAGCGGCCGGTTGAGGCCGTGTACGGCGACCGCCCTCCGCTGCCTCAGGCCGGGCGACTTGCTCGCCGTCGCCCGGAAGCCCTTGAGCTCCTCATCCTGCGAGCTGCCCACGCTGGCACTGCCCGTCTCGGCCACTTCGATGCCGTCTTGCGCGCCGGCGCCGCGGGTGCCGCGCAGGCCACCCTCGACGTCGTGCTCCGAGGCCTCGCGCTCCCTGACCGTCTTTTCATTCAGCCGCGCCTCCTCCGCCGCGGCGGCCGAGTCCTCGCCGCCCATCTCGGCGACGGAGAAGATGCTCTGCCATCGGTGGTGCAGGCCGTCGGGCCGCTCGGTGGGGTAGCCGAAGCCGGCGGCGACGAGGGCGCGCTTGGTCCAGCGGTTGTTGATGCAGGCGATGTGCCAGTCGACGTACTCGGGGGCCGTGTACCGGTCGAGCTGGTTGCGCACGTCGATGAGTTGCTGGACCGAGGTGATGTCGACGAAGTTGACGGAGCTGAAGTCGAGGATGACCGCCTTGAGCGTGGGGCGCTTCTCCTCGTCGGCGTGGATGTTTACGTTGGCGGCCGCTGCCTTCTTGAGCGCGCGCTTGGACGGGCCCGGGTCGTTCCAGGGCCGGTCGCCGGGGCGCGCGAACTCCTGCATGTTGGTCTTGCGGGTCCGCTCGAAGATATAGTCGGTCATGTACTCGAGGGTGACGCTGGCGTTGGGGTAGCTGAAGCCTTCACTGAAGCGGTAGATGAACACGCCGGGGTAAGGCTGGTCAAGCTCTACGGCTGGGTTGGAGCCGTCGCCGTGGTCGATGGGGAGGAAGATGTTGCGCGTCTGTGGTTCCTCGTGGTGGGCGGACCTCTGGCCCGAGAAAGTGCCATACTCGCCAATCGCCCGGTTCGACTCGTTGCCGATGACCTGGTCGCCGAGCACGGAGTGGACCTTGATGCGTCCGAGGAAGCGGCCGCGGGTCCGAAGGATGCGGAACAGCAGCATCGCGGCTGAGATGCAGATGGTGCAGTAGATTCCATCCTCGATGGTTGTGAAGATGGTCACCAAGACACCCACGAAGAAGATGAAGACCTCGAAGGGAGAGACGCGCCAGAACTGGTACACAGTGTTGGGAGGGGTCACCAGGTCGCCGACAGCGTGGATGATCACAGCAGCCAGCGAGGGGCTGGGGATGTAGAAGAAGACCGCGGGGAGGGCATAGATGGCCAGGAGGACGACGATGGCCGAGATGACACCAGCAAACGGAGTCCGGACGCCGGCTCTGGCCTTGATGGCAGTGCGGCTGAAGGATCCCGTGGCAGGGTAGGCTCCCAGGAACGGCGCCAGCAGATTTGTGACTCCGATGGCAACCATCTCCTGCGACGGGTTGATCGCGTAGTTGTTCACCCGGCCGAAGGACTTGGAGATGGCAATATGCTCGATCAGAAGTACAATGCACGAGGCCGGGAGGTATGACACGAGGCCGCTGGCGAGCTCCTTGTCCAGCCTGGGGACCGCGGCGTTCTGGAAACCTGGATGATTTGACTGTCAGTGACATTGCCGCTTTCAGCACAGGGGTCGAAGTTTGAGCTCACCTCTGGGTACACTACCGAGGATCTTGAACGCGGGATCCGACCTGCGGTGCATGTTGACAAGCCAGCTGATCATGGTGTACAGCAAGATGACAAAGACGGTGCGCAACGTCGAGACGAAGAAAATCAACTTCTGGCGTCTCGGATACTTCTTGGCGGCGAACGAGCACGCAGTTCGAATGGCGTAGAGCATGACCAGCGCCGTCAAGCCCATCGCAGCGTCGAGTTTGGTCGTTGGGAGGTACTTCAGCGTGTTGATGATGACGCGGTATGTCGAGTCTCGAGTAGTCCAAGGCTTCGGGAATTTGATGCCCATCATGGTCGGGACTTGGCCAACGAGGATGTTGATTGCCGACCCGGTCATGAAGGCTGACAGAGCCACGAGGGGGATCATGTCAACGATCCAGCCAAGCCGGATTGCGCCGATGAAGAAGACGATGGCACCGCAGAGGATGGCAAGTGCTGAAGCAATAAAGTGTGATGGAAGGTCGGGGAACTCCTTGCCCAGGTCCGCAACGACATTGCCAGTCACTTGAGACATGACAGCGACAGGCTTGCAGGGTCAGTATCTTTTTCCTTCTCAAAGGGGGACCCGACTCGATACTTACTCCGATTGTGATATCCTTGGAAGTGGCAAAGAACCAGTAGATCAGGACACCCATAAAGGACGAATACAGCCCGAATTGAGGCTCGAGATTTGCGAGGGAGGCATAGCCCATACCCTGGGGGACCACGACGGCACCGATGGTGATACCTGTTTTTTCCTGTTAAAAACGTATGCTGCAGACCCAGGAAGGGCACAAGACTCACCTGCCACGAGATCACCGGCAAGCCATTGCATGTTATACTTCCCGATCCAGTACAGGAAGGGGAACAGGGACTTGAGGTACGAAAGAACTTCCTTTCCCGAGGGTGCGAGCTCCCGGAAGTACTCTCCAGCGGTCGGGGGCTGTTCAACAAAGGTGTCTGTCGAGTACACAGACTCGCCCCTTGTAACCTCATCCTCGTAGGGTTGAGGCTTCTGGAGCTCGATGTTGAAGAATTTGGCCAGCCCGTGGCCGACTTTTGTGCGCACGGAGGTCATCTCGATGTCTGGCGCTCCGAGGAGCTGGTAGGGGAGAAGGTATTGTCGTAGCCCTGTCGGCAGGTAGTGAGAGATGGCCCAGTCCTGCTGCAATAGACCACGGAATGCGGCCAGGTTGGGAACCCGGGTGTCGACTGTGATTTATATCCTGCAGGATTGTAATCCTTCCCGGGTAGGCCGACCCGCAGAGATGGGTTTCCGCGGAGGTAGGGCCACAAGAGAAGGAGGGAAATCACCGTGGGTGGCGAGTGGCTTGAAGTATCCCACACGGGTGACACACAGCGCAGCCTTCTATAGGCCACAAGGACAGAAAGCTGTCAAATCTGGCTGTGTAACGCAGTCGATAGATGCTCCAGCCGCGTGCTAGTCTTTTCAAACCCACACACTCGGGTCCCAGGATCGATGGGAGACGGCAAAGCTGATAGCGAAGTGAGGTAGTGAGTGGATCGGCCTCTTAAAAGGGAACACAGGCCGGAGTGTGACACGGGCTGATTGGGTGCGAGGGCTGTGCTAGGTGATATCCCACACGAGGGCTGAAGATGGCCTCAAGATGGCGAGTGTCGCTGGTGTATGTCGCAATTCGTCTAAATAACACCGAAGCCCAATTTGATCTGGTCCGGCTCCTTCCAAAGTCCAAGGGGAAAGCAGCGCCGGGAAAAGTCCCGAACGTCAAGGGGCGCCGCGGGTGTGGCAAGTGCTTCGGCCGCTGATCTGAGGGAGACGGGGGCACGGTCTCGTCAGGGTGGAAGCGGTATCCCACGCGAGTATATCCCCTGGCGTGGCTCAGGGTGAGGGTGATTGGGCAAGGCAAGGGAGGGAGGTAAGGACGGTGGAAGGGGGCGCTCAGAGTGATGGAGGCGGGATCTGGTGAGGGAAGCCTCTTAAGCCGGAGCATTGTGACATTATGAAATATGGAATATCAAAAGGAGGAGCGGCCGTGATGGGATACCCCGGGGGTGGCTGACAGGATCTGAATTGCGTGATCGAGGAACCTTGCCAGTCCAAGACTAGCAGCTGCAGAGAGCCCTCTGCTGAGGAGCACGGATATATGCAGCTATGTCGAGGCAGACGCACCGTACCGAACTTGGGCCCTCTTACCCTTGCGTACTATGCAATGCGACAGCGACAGAAGACAGCAAGGTACTGGGACTGGGCAGGGGCGGGCAGCAGGGGAGCCGGGCTGACGGTTGAAGGGTGAGGAGTGGATATCTTGGTAATAACACACAGGCACCAGATGGACGGAGCGGCGCATGGGGACGTCGTGGACCGGTCGTCGACTCGACTCACAACCGGTACAGATCTCTGAAGCTGTGGAGCGTGTGGGTATCAAGTTCAGGGTCCCCCATCCGGGATCAAGGCACAGAAAGAGAGACGCCGAGAGGAGGAACGAAAACAGGCGCGGATATTCCCCCCCAAGACAGGCTGGATTCTCACAAATCCCATTTCAGGGCGACATGGGCATGACTAGCAGCAACTTGTGTTTTGTATGCATGCATAGTCCATGTACCATCGTCGACCTGCTTTCCGCTGGCTCGCCAGCTGGATGGGCCGGGCACGAGATGCCCCATGACCGGGCAAGTACTACTTGTCTGCACAGGGCTGGGGTAGAAGCAGCTCTACTCGCAGGAGGGGAGAGGTAGAGCAGACAGACAGGAGGGAGCCCCCGCCTCTGCTGTCAGCAGCCCGGAAGGTTGGTCACAAGGACATACTGTGTGATACCAACATGTCTCCAGAGGAGCTGGGCATGCACATCAAGAGAAAGTTTTACCAAACTGACGAGCGTGGACGGCGAGGTGAAATCTCAACGCCCACCCGTCCGAGATCTGAGCCTGCTTGTGGTGCGGTGGTGTGCGCCTAGCGATACGACAAGCGACCCAGGCGCAATGGGCAGGATCTGGCGGGCCACATAGATAGACGACGTGCGGCTGACAGGCAAGATGAGATGAGATGGGTGAGAGTGAAGCGATTTGGACCGAGTGAGGTACGGCACCAAGCGATGGACAATAGCGAACGTGTAAAGTTGAAAGCATGCCAAGCTGCAGTCCCGATAGTGTGGGGATATGCTCCAGGGATTTGGGGCAGAGGGGCCAATCACATCCCGGGCAAAGCTATTGCACCATTCTTAGTGCCCTGATGCCATTGTCCTGCTGCGCGAATTGGTCACGGAGGACGGAGGCGAGTCGACGACGCATCACTTGTCCCGTCCGGTCTTCTGGCCGCCCAGCACTCGGGACTGCCATTTGCAGGCTGGCGCGGCTCAGGGTGTCGGTTCAAGGCAAGACCAAGACCCAAGACAAGCCGTCGAAGCTTTCCTTGGAAACTCTTGTCCCGCGAGAGCTTCAGCGAAAAGGCCAGAGGCCAAGGACCTAGCAGAGCATCCGCGACGCCCCTCGAAGGCTTGAACAGACGTCAAGCCTTGAACAGACGTCAAGCCTTGAGCTGGCTGACGACACGGCACGACAGCCGGCGGTTGCGAGGAGCCCGCATGTGTCTACGGAGTACATAGTGACCAGCTATCAAGCGCAGACTGGACCGGGCTGGCCTGGGCTGGTCTGCCTTGATGCGCAGAGATGGAGATCGGAAAAGGGGCAAGGGGAGTTGATAACACTGTAATGTAGTTCAATGTCTGTGTGGGATAAGGAACGGCCGAGGGGGATTGGCTCCCCTGACCCTGTCATGTCCCGTCCCTGATGCTGATCTACAGGTCACCACAAAAAGAAACGTCATGAACGCGTCGTCGGCCCTTAGGACGCAAGGCCTCGACGTGAGAACGATTCCGGCCGGGGCCACTGGAGACTGGACTGGGGTTGAGGCTCGGGGTCCGGAAATGGAATGGGCTCCCAAGTGGGTTCTGGGTGGGCAGAGATGAGGTAAACGGCGGGGCGCTGAGGAGAAAAGCACGGAGGTCAGTACACCGCACAGCACCAGACAGCACCAAACAGCCCGACAAGCCAGACCACCGCAGCCCGGCAGTGTGCCCTGATGCACGTACCATCTGTCCATCTGTCAATGTGAAGCGGCTGAGGGGGAGCGGGAGAGGTGAGGGTGAGGTCAGGGCACAGGCAAGGGCGAGACCCGCCTGCCTGGGTCGAGGCCCATCAGGGTATAGCGGCCGAACGAGGCGAATACGTCGGCAAGGAATTTGCTGGCTGACGGAAGGCGACATGGCACACAGCAGCGATGGCAGGCTATATGCTAGAAAAAATACGTCGAGGGCCTCCTATACGCAAATTCTGTAAGTTCGTGTACGTAGCATGTGCAGAGATCGACATACATCATACAATACCATCCACATGTGTGCCATAGGGCTTGGTTTCGACCCAAGATCGGGACAGCCACGGCAGCTGAGCAGCTGGGTCGGCCCTGACAGTTTCAGATGGCCCGATCGATGCGTGTGCCGACGGATGTGGCGATGTGGGTGTGGATGTGGATGGGATGTGGGGACGTAGGAGCGGAAGTGGGAGTGGACGTGAAACATGGAAGAAAGGGTTGGGGTTTTGACAGACGATTCGTCAATCTGCACCAAGCACGGACCGTAGTAATGCAGCGTCGCGAGAATGACGCGGGACAGAGAGCACTCCCCAAGCTCCCCCGCGCCCCCCCCCTATGCCCACAATCCAACCCGAACCCCCATCCCCCAGCCACCCGGGCGCCATACACGGGAACCCTCAGTCGCGATACAGAGACACATTGCAGTGGAGCAGAGCACGCACGCACACCACGGCACGGTACCGTACAGTACACTTTGGCCACGATACTGTCAACATGCCTAGCCCGACTAATCAGGATCACTCAACCTCACTCCCGCTGGGATCCACACAGTCCGCCTCGGGACCCAGCAGCCTTCCTCACCCGCCACCGCCATCCTCGCCTGGCACTCCGCGATCCCTGAGGAAGCTGGCTTCTGCTCATAGCCTCGCAGCCCACCCGGCTCCATTCTCCGGCTCTGTTACGAATCTCAGGGCCTCGACGACAGCGACGAACCCACCTTCCCTCATCGCCCAGCAACGCCTGGCCGTGCGGCAACAAGACCAACACCACCACCGCGGTCTCCCTTCCCCGAGGAGACATGCCAGCACCACCTTCAACACTTCCTCCCCGCGAGCCAGAGCCAACAGCGACGCTCCAGTTGCCCTTCAATTGAACGCTGCCGCTGCAGCAATGTCCTCCCAGGCCCTGCGCAACAGCGGAGCTTTGGCCGGCCGCACCCTGGCCCACGATGCCCTGTCGCTCGAGAGGCTCATCCGGGATGGCCCCCCCGACGGCGACTTCGAGAGTGCCCTGGAATCAGCCAGGATCAAGGTCTTGAAGCAAGAAATCAAGAGCGACGGTGATGGCATGGTGAGCTGTTCAGCAATTGATTGCCCCTCTGCGCCTTTGTGACGCTGACTGACACCCTGTGCGTCCTCCCATTGCAGTCTAAGTTACGCATATACGTCTGGCTCATCATGCTCGACGCCCCGGTCCTCAGCACCGATGAGTACCTCAGCTTCGTACACCGCGGCGCGTCGCCCGCCTACTCCAAGATCCGCAACGATACCTTCCGCACCCTGACCACCGACCCTCTGTTCCGCCGCCGCGTGAGCGAGGCCAGTCTCATCCGCCTCCTCAACGCCATTGCCTGGAAGCTCCACGACTCCAAGCCACAGAACCCCCTCGCAACCACCCGCCAGTCTCTGCCCGCCTCCCATGAGACTCCCTCCTCCCACGGCGCACACGGCGGCCACGCGTCTCACAGCTCCAGCCCGGCAGCCAAGAACCGCGCCCGCGCGCTGACGCTCACCACCGAAGGGTCCGAGAGCAGCGTGGCGCCTGAGGCGGGCACCTACGTCCAGGGCATGAACGTCCTTGCCGCGCCGTTCCTGTACGCAGCTCGCAGCGAGGCTGAGGCCTTCGTGGCCTTTCACCAGCTGCTCACCAGGGAGTGCCCAGGGTACATCCGCGGCGCCATGGACGGCGTCCACCGGGGCCTGAAGCTGGTCGACAAGGTGCTCGGGATAGTCGACGCCAAGCTGAGCATGTTCCTGACGTCCAAGGGCATGCAGGCCGAGCTCTACGCGTTCCCGAGCGTGATGACGCTATGTGCGTGCACGCCGCCGCTGCCCGAGGTGCTGCGGCTGTGGGACTTCCTATTTGCCTACGGGCCGCACTTGAACATCGTTTGTATTGCCGCGCAGCTGGTCATACACCGCGACGAGCTCATGGCCTCACCCAAGTAAGTTGCCACTCAGAACCATCCCCGAGACAGATGTCTTCAGTTCAGTGGCTTACGGATGCGTACAATGTAGCCCCAGTCATTTCCTGCGGACATTCCCGGCCTTGAATGCGGAGAAGGTCCAGGCTATGACCCTGGCCCTTCTGGCGAAGCTACCGGACGATGTGTACGCCGAGATCATCTCGCACGCTATGTGATGTGAGTAACACACAGGGTGAGACGGGGGCCGACACCCCCCCCCCCCGGCCACCAAGCGGGTAGACGGCGTACATTGCAGATCGAGCGCTTGAAAGGGGCCTCAACACGACAGCAGGAAGACAGTATGCATCGGCCCCGGCGGCGAGCACGCCAAGTCTCGAAGAATTTGCATGAGCTTGCGGCGAATTGCCCGAGGCTGGGTTGGCTCAAGAACAAGAACTTGGATTTGACCGGCGGCACGGTCAAACGAATCGAACAACACTGTACGATAACGACTCGACGATTAATGATACGAATCACGACACGACATGGCTGGGGAAGCACAGTCGACATGGAATGAGGTGTGATCCTGACCAGGTGCCAGTCAGGGTGTTCATTCAAGGAGGTAAACATGTATCATGAACGCGAACGGTGCGAGAAGGTTGCCGCGGGGCATACTTCATGGACCACTGCGCCGATGTACGAATAGATAGTCTATAAGACGTTCTGTATGAGTGGGATGGTCACGATATCATGAGACAGGGGCATGGCCGCCCAAAGCTGCCATTGGCATAATTTGTACAGGCAGTTTTCGGTCTGCTTATGCATGCAACAATGAATGTCCCGTCCGACATATGATGGCATGTTGTCCGCCTTGAGACGCTATCTTCTGCTCTGCGGCGACCCCCATCGTCCCAAGTTTGGAGGATACAAGATGACGACGTGCAGCCCGCCTTGGCCCTCCCACCAGTTGACGCTCACGCCGCTGGGGATCAGACGAAACATGTCCCGCGTCGCCCACAACCCTGGAACGACAGCCGCAGGCCATGCAGTGTATGTGTGTTGCTGATCTGTGCATGCGTGCCTGCACCAGCCCGCGTGTGCCGCCGCCTGGATCTGCGGTTGCACGCACATGCTGTGCGACGGGTTTGTACGTGTACGGCCAGTCGGCACAGCACCAAGACATGGCTTGACCCTGCTTCCGCATGAGCTGGATCTACGACGCCAAGAATCCGAGGGATGGGGGGAGGGGTGGTCAACCCAACGGCGGCCAACAATCGGGGCTGATCAGCCGGGACTCCAGCATCCTGCGACGGTCAAAACCTCCCCAAAATTAGCCAGCCACTCTAGGTGCCAACAGCTGAATTCTGCACTTGACATTCAAAACGGGAAAGGAAAGTGTGAGGTTTTGCCGGGCGGGTCGGACAAGGTTCGGCAGCTTCCTGGGCAACGCATTGAGTCGGTGTTTCGTCCGAGCAACAGCCCAAGAGGCTGGTGACGTGCGAGCCCTTTCGGGGAAACGCAGGGGTATGTTTTTTTCCTGCCTCTATCTGAAAGGTGCCAAATATACAACACGGCAAGCACGCAAGCACGCCAGCATATTAACTTAATTAAGCCTTGGGAGGTGAGACGGGAGCACACAATTCTGGTTGCCTGCCTTGCTTACTGCTGTATGCCTGCCTGCGACCCCGGTCCGAGCTGCCGCTGCTGCAGCGCCTACAGTAGTAACCCGTCTGTACCTAGGGGCCCGGGGCCATAATAGTAACACTGCGGCCCTAGCCTTGGCCTCTCTCTTCGTGCGCCGCCGCCGCCTCCTGCTGCTGCTTGCGGCCCCTTGCAGCTGCGACCGTTGGTTGGGGCGTTGGGCTGGCCCGCAGCGCATGCGACCCTGTTCTTAGCTGTTTGTGCTGCCTTGGATGTTGTGCGTCGTCGTGGTGGGAGAGAGGGAAAGAGCGAGCGTTGGATGCGACGTCGCGACGTCTTAGGTCCGGCAGGATCCACCCATCTGGGACTTCGTCCGGCCGATAGATTGAACCGTTGACGTCGTGCCTTTTTTTTTCTTCTTCTCTCTCTCTCTCTGTTGCTCAGTCGCTCGGCCTTGTCCGGCGGCCTGCAAGTGCCTCACCTTGGTTTTTTCCCACTGCTTATCTTGTATCATCAGCAGCTCGTTTCCAGCCTTTCTATCCGTTCATCCATTCTCATCCATCTTTTCCCAATTCCTCGAGGGATTCAGCGTGTCGGTCTGTCAGCCAGACAGTCTTTGTTAGACAGTCTATCGGGCAGCAAGGCACGGCCCACGGTCGCATCGCAGCACGAGGCAACCTTGCTGACTCCCATCGCTGCCCTCAGCAGAGGTCGCTCGTTTCACCCTTCAAACATTGGACAAACTGTCACAGTGGGCCAAGCCGTTGCAACTCATCGGGAGCCTGCTATCGATCTTGCCTGTTCTAATTACCCTTCTCATCGGTTCGAATTGGAACAGAAAAGACACCGTCTTGTCTAGCTTTTATCTCTATCATCTATCTTTTGTGAGCCGTCTACCGCCGCACGCCAATGCATCCGCTTCTGAAGCTCCGCCTACAATAAGCTTTGAGGCTGGGTCTGATTCTTGGACATCCCCGTCCGTCGTCATCCCCAACCACCTCCCCCGAGCCTCGACCGCCGCGTCCGCCTCGCTTTTGGGGTCGCCCGATTACACCATGGTCCCATCATCGGCCCTTCGAGAAACCATTGTCCTCGTCATCTTCGGCATCGTCCTCGTGCCAATAGCTGCAAAGCGTGCTCAGGATGCACCCGGCTACTGGAAGGCTTTCGCCGCCAACGCACAGCAGTCTTTGATCTACCACGACGACCGGCAATCGCCGAACTCAGCCTTCATGCTGACGACAACCTGCGACGACGCTGTATCCCCCCGTCTCCCCACAGAGCCGTACACAATGGTAGGCCCAGCAAATAAGCTCCAGAGATGCAATTCTCATTCGCTGACGCGGCCGCAGCAAAATGAAACCGCGTCGGTGGATTCGGTGGCTACAGAGAGTCGCCCAGCATCCAAAGGACCGTTAACGATTCGGTTCCGAATGTCGAAGTCTGAAACAGCAGCCCATGCTACCGTGACGGAGATCGGTGTAAATACGGAGGCCGCCAAGGTACCAATGAGGGCAGTGCCAACCGAGGTGGACGTGGCTATGTCGCCTACCGCTACCACGACCTCCGCTGCCAACAGAGAGCGCTGGACGCTGATCTGGATGGGCACTGCGATCGCGGCTGTCGCGCTCTTCATGTCCTCCTGCTGAGGCCATGGTGTCGGGGGAGAGTTGTAGCCGGGAGATGTGGCGTTTGTGCTTTCCTGTGTGGGTCGGGGGGAGGTGTCTCGGCGTTCGGACGTTTGCTAGACAGGATACCCCATGCGGTTCATGTTAAGATACCCCAGACCTTGGCCATGCCCAAGATCATGCAATAATTCAAACCATCGTTATTAATCATCAGTATGCGGGGCAGCCACCCTCGGCGCGCCTGAATGCCTGTGCAAAGAACTCTTGCATGGCAGTGTAATGGAACAGGATCCCACCCAGGACCGCGCAGTGCCATAGGTTGTGGGATCCGCCAAAATAATCGAACATCCCCGGGAACCACCTTTCGGGCACCTTGCTCGCGTACACGAAAGCACCCGCGACGTACACCAAGATGCTCTTGCCGATGGGTGAGTAAAACTCAGAGACGAACTCGGTACCGCGCGACATGGATAGTTGCAGAATCGGCTGAGAGCCTTGTTAGCAATTTTTTCCCATATATCATAAGTGAAAGGGCAGGCTTTGGTTGTTGGAGGGGGGGGTCGCATCAAGTTGTGTACGGAAAACGCCAGCCTCCATGGTGCTCAGGGGCCAGGACCCACTTACCAAGAAACCTGTGGCACCAAGAAAGACGAAGAATGCCACCCGGGCCCACGCCATGTCTGCCCTGTTAAAGGTCGGGTTCCAGGGGAGTATGACGCCTCCAACCCCCAGAAGCCCTGTGACGACCATGTATATCCACCGGCTGACAGGCTCACAGTAGAAGGCCGTATATTCGGTGGTCATAATGCTCGCAGCAATCAGGAGGGAAATGCCCGTGTAGTCGACGCATGCAAACGTCGAGATCAGGTTGACATCCGTAATGGCGTTCATGGTGTGCCAGATCGTACTGCAGACAAGACACTGGCAGGCCGCAAAGAAGAACAGCGCGGCGATGAGGACGTCCGCGTTGGTGCTGAGGTGGAAGTTGATACTCGTGGGGTAGAAGTAGAATGCCAGGGCGAGGACGAGGACGAGGCCGATGGCATGAGACCAAATGTTGACAAGCTCGTTCGAAATGCCAAATGCTGAGCGGATGCAGCCGGAGTAGGTTTCATTGAACCGGTACCCCCGGACAATGTGAGGATTGACCCTCCACGGCACGGGGAGGTCTTCGTAGCTGATCAGGCCATGCTCTTTAGCGCGCAGCATTGCCTTTTGGATCTTCTCCTCGAGGCTCTCGGCGGCATGCTTTGCGCCACGGAGACCCTCCTCGACCACGCCGCGGGCCGTGTGCAGACCCTTGTCCAGGACGTGTCGACCCTCGCCGATGACGATCTCCGCGGCGTCCGTCATATTCTGCAGCCCACGCTGGCGGAGCTTGTGTGCTCTCATCTCGACGTCGGACAGCATCGAGTCAAGCAGCTCGATGCTTACGCGGGCCTTGTCGCTCATGGAGTCGGCGGCTGCCAGTGCGTCGTGGTATCTGTACTCCATGGTCTCCATCATGACGTGAAAGCGCCTCCGGCCCTCGCCGATAACCTCCTCCGAAACCTGGTTACATCGTGACCGGACTGTCTGCAGTGTGTTGTAGGCCCTCGACAGAGTCGAATCTACTGTGAGGTCAGTGTAGTTTTCCAGGAACTCCAGCCTGCGCTCGAGCTCCGACAGAAACAAGTCGACCTAGAAAAGTGATGGTCAGCAAGTTGTCTGTCGGCTAGTGTGGCGCCAGAGAAGCAACGGACCTTGAGGATGACGGCCTCTTCGCCCTCCATGATGGAAGAGACTATAGATTTCCGCCGGCGCGGGATGAAGTGGCTGTGACGTCTTCGGCGGATTTCTGGTCGAGTGTCGGCGCCGGTAGACTGCACAATATCTGGGCTGCTGTCGTTCGCGCGAGCAGCGAAAGGCGTGCAAGAAGTCATGGCCAGAGAGGGAGCGTCCATGATGACGGTAGGGATTTTAAGGGTCCAAAGATATTTTGGGTTGAGTTAGGAGTGAAGACGGAGGGGTAAGGCGACCGAACGAGCAGTCTAATCTAGGAAGTAGACCAAGGACGGAGCACCGGCCAAGGTCGTCTTCACATGCGGGAAAGGCACGAGCCGCTGGCGACGGTATTTATTGGCTGTTGTGGCGCTGACCAACGAGTCAACGGCCGTCATGCACGGGGCTGTTGGGCGACGAGGAGGCGAGGCGGGAGCCGAGAGGGAATGAAAGAATGCACCCCTCGCGCTATAACTCTTGGGGCTGCAGTGCAGTGTGATTGCGCCCCGATTCGGGTGGGCTGGACTGGGGCGGCGAACTATGGCAAGGGATCGGCCTTCTTTTTCTCGACAGCGCGCAGATCTCCGCGAGGGGTTCTTGTTGTGATTGGCCAATGTGAGGGCGGAAAGGATGTCTTCGTGTGGGCGCGTAGTCTCGTGCGACAGACGGGTACCGAGGGGACGGGCCAAAGGCTGAAAGGGTCGGGTCGTGTTGGGGGCAGAAACGTTTGGAGAATGGACCAGGGAGGGAGAAGCTGATGGGATGCCGGAAGTCAACAACAATATATCAGACTGGAGACACTGCAACTACTGAGACTGAGACAATGCGGGCAAAGCGCGAGGCGAGGTACGGGAGTCGACGGCTTGCGAAACAAGGTGAATTTCCGCCTTTTTTATGAGAGGTGGAGCAGGGCTGCAGGCCTAGACTGCATTGTACGGCAGGGAATGGGGACGCCTTTCGGGACGTTCTGTCGAGGACTGAGCGAGCCGTGTACAGGAATAGGACCCGTGTGCAGGTGCATTCAGCTCATGTGCTTGTACGGCACGCCCACGTCCTCGGGGTTCGGGCTCGTTGACGCTGTAAACAATCGAGAGTGCGTTGCTTTCCTGCTGCTTGTTACCGGGTAGTTGCTTGGATGCTTGGAGGCTTGCTTGGGCCTATGACGAACAATCCACCCGCGCCTCGCGAGCCCAGCCGTCATCGGCATTGGCATTGACGACTTTGATTTCCGACACCGGGCTGACACCGTCACCAACAGTCAGTTTGGGTGTGAAGCTTGACCTCGAACCTGCACCACTCGGTCCAGTCGAATCAGCAGGCACTCACTACACATGCCGTGGCATCTCTCATGCTGAGGCAACTAGCGGGCATCCAAGACAGTTACGGTGCCTCTTGATATCGAGATTGAGTGACCAGGACTGCCAGAGAAGACTTGTGAATATCCATCGGGACTTCAGTTCCAGGACCCCTACCAAAGTGGACCACAGAATAACTCTAGTGTCTACCATACCTACATACCTACCTTGTCGGTAGTCCACCTCCGCAGTAGACGCGCACGCCAAACGGCAGGTGGGCACCTTGGCGGCGACGGTCCCACCTGTTAATAGCCCCACTTGGGCAGCAGCTCGGAATCCCTTGCTCTAACAGCACCCGCCCACCGCCCACGCCCATGCTGTTAGGGAGCTATCCGATCAGCCATCAGACATGGACCACCCTCTTCAACCACTTGCAGGCGGGCTGGAGAAGGCTTCAGCTCTTCAAGCCTCCCCAGCTTCAGCCTTGCCTGACGACGAGTCGCCGCGCCCTCGCCCTCAGCCCCGTCCCCGTCCCCGTCCCCGTCGCCGTCGGCCTACTCGCAGCGTCTCCTCCCTCTCGACCCTCCCGATCCCCCACGTCACAATGACCATCGACTCCATCGTCACCGATCCGGCCCTCCGCTCCTTCCTCCAGACCTCGCAGCATGCCCGCGAGCAGGCCCTCGGCCTGGCCGACCGCCTGGCTGCAATCTCCGCCGCCAGCGCGAACGCAAACGCGCCCCTGGCCACCGACGAGCAGATCAGCCTCTCCAAGGAGCAAAAGCTGCTCAACACAAACCTGTCGCATCTTCGTGGCCTGCACCGCGCCGCCTACCTCGCCGCACGCGACACCAAATCACAAACTGCCGACGCCCGCCACGAGGTCGACGTCCTCCACCTGCAGCTGCAGAACCTTTACTACGAGCAGCGCCACTTGCAGGGCGAGATCGCCGCCTGCGAAACCCACGAGTAAGCTATCTTTGCGCCTCTGCGCGCGGTTTCTCCCTTCAGCCTGCTGACATCGCTTCTTTACAAGTCACGAGTACCAGAAACTCCCATTGGCCCCTGTCGAAGAGTTTCTCGCAAAGCACCCCGAACACGCCGAATCGGACGAGAACGCACTCATGATCGCCAGGATAGAGGACGAGCGCGCCGAGCGGGAGGCCCTCGAGCAGCAGCGCCAGGAGCTGCTCAAGAGGAAACAGAAGCTCATCGCCGAGAACAAGAAGCGCAGGGAGGACCTGGCCAACCTGGACAACGACCTGGAGAAGTTCATCGATGCCGCCAAGCCCATCCAGAAGACGTTCGAGAAGGTGGTATGAGGGCCCCGCAGAGGCAGGCGCGAAGTTGATGCAGACAGACACGCAAGTCTTGCCGGCAATGCTGTGTCGTCCATGCGAGCGCTACGGCGTTCACTGAACCCTGTTCTACACGCGAAGTAAACTCCCGAGTTGACAGTCTAAGATTCCCACGGTGACGACCTCGGCGCAAAAAATCGGAGGTGCGGCCTGGGCCCCCTGGGCACTGCTATACATGGTTGACAAGTGGTCGTGCTACTCGAGTGTATGTGCCGAGCAGTCACCCAAGAGAGCAGCACAGCGATCTCCGCGGAGAAAATAGGGTGTAACTCTCGGTTTTCAGTCACGGAAAGGACACGGGGGCGAGCCGAGTGAGTGCATCTTGCCCGTAGAGAAGCAGTGGCCCGTCTCGGAATAGGGCTCTCAAGCGGCACTGAATGACTCTTTCCATGGGCTCCGATTTAGAGACAGGTATATCATGTCACGGGTGGCCTGCTGTTGCGGTATACATTCATTGCCGACGTAATGGGGCAGAATGTGTTGTGGGGCTGGTTTGTGGCTCCCTCGATGGACCGTCACCTACCTGACGTGGCTGTGGTGGACTGCATCATGCCCCGGCACGCCAGCCTGACCAGTGCTAGATACCGATTCTAAGGTCTCAATACCTTTCTACTTCCGTTCTGGATTCATAGGCCTCTCTCGCGACCATCAACATGAAAGCCCGCTTCGGGGTGATGGCTCTCGGGTCGCTGGACTGGTTTTTGTCGAACGGACATGGCCGGACAGTCACGGCCTGTTTATCGTCCGTAGCAACGGAATGGAACAAGTTCGTGCCCAAAGATGCAAATTAGTGGCTTGAGCACCGCTTTCAAACAGATCTCAGTGACATGGGTCCTTCATTTGCAGTTACGCTCTCGTCAAACTGTGACTGGGTCAAAACGAGTGCTTCTCCGTGAAGGCTCTGATTGAGGCTGGCTTGATTGTCATCGGTTTCTTTGGTGACATTGGTGTGTTGGCCAGCAGAATACTTTTCTATAAATAAGTCGTCCTTCTTCCCACAGGGACCACCATTCTCTTCTCCATCCGACAACCAAAAACTCATCACAACGAACAAGACAAAACATCAGTCAATAATCAAGTATTCATCATCAACCACATTCCTCATTCTCCTCTCAAGGACATATCAGTCAAGATGTCAGGCTCAGGATATCAACCGTAAGTTGGTCCCGCGGCAGCTTCCTCCACGCATTCAAGCCTTGTCAAATGCTAACTTTTATCGCCAGTCCTACCGTCCAGGACACCACCGACGAAGAGTATAAGAAGTAATCTTGTCTCTACATGGATGGGTACGGGGTCTATTCGTCGGGGTCCGGTATTCCACAAGGTCCTAGGTAGTTCAATGTAGCTAATCAAATTACGACGTCTAAAACATGCCTTTTTCCCATTGTGACAAAGCTGCGACTCGTTCCATGCTCGTGTAAAAGTCTGCTATTCATAGCATCTCGGAACATTCCTATCAAAATGTGACTGTTGATATATCTCTATTTTGCAAAGTTGATCGAGAGGTTTAAGCTAATGTATTTGTTACGTGAACCTCTGTCACATGGCAGCTATCGCGTGTTCAACCTAATCTTCCGTAATACTGTATGGAGAAAGAGTAGACAAATGGTCCACAGGAGTGATGACGGCAGCGTAAAATGCTTCCAAGAGGATATCGAAACAGACACCCCCCGGCAATCATTACAACAGAAGTAATAGTGGCATAGCTTGACATATTCACCATTTCAAGAGAGACAGAAACTATTGCATCATTCGCCAACTGTTTTTGCCCATATGACCGTCCAGCTGACAGATCATCTCCCCTCCAAGACAACGCCAGGCCAACCACTCACAGGGCCTTCGAGTTCGCTCTGCCCACCCAGTTCGGCAAAGCATGCCTTGTAGGCTGCCATAGTACACCCACGGGATACGCGCCCTATTTATCCGAGTAGAGCTGCGGCCGGTCCCCAACCTCGGCCAGCCCACACGCAAACTCAGCAACCGGGCTGGGGAAACGGCCGCTCTCCCGGACGTAGGCAGCGACCAGGTCGTTGCCGTTGGTGACGCCGCCGCTGCTCCAGAAGTTGCCGTCCCTCACCCACCTGAGCTTCTCGCCCACAAACTCCGCCTTGGGGTACTTCTCCCTCAGCTCGGTCTGGAAGCCCCTCGGCCCGCACGCCTTCCGCCCGTCCACCAGCCCCGCCGCGGCACAGAGGTAGATGCCGGTGCAGACGCTGAGGATGTCCGTGCCGGGGGCCGCGCCCTGCTGGCGCAGCCACGAGAGGGCGTCCTCGTCCCAGGTGGTCCAGGGGTCCGGGCCCGGCACGAGGACGACATCTAGCTTCCCGGGGGCGACCTCCGCATCGGAGAAGTGGTTGCTGAGCTCGATCTTCATGCTTGCAGTGAGCCCGATCAGGGAGCCTGTTCGCATCCCAGGGTTAGTCGCTAGGGCCTGGGGATTGACGTGCGGAGCGAGTACCGTCAGGATGGCTTCCTCTAAGTACCACCTTGGGAGCAGTAGATTAGGAGAAAGGGGCAGTGGAGAATCTGGGGTTGACAAATACATTGACGGCATCTTAAATGTGGAAGTGATGTTATGGGTTGGGGGGGGGAGGAGAGGGGTGTTCAGTAAACCCAGACATCCAGAAACTCACCTGATTTCTGGCTGCCAATATACGAGATCTTCACCTCGGGTGCCAGAGACGATAGATCCTTGGGCACAATAGACAGCGCTGAGAGGTATTCATAAGAAGCAACACCGAACACGTCGATACATGCGGTATCGAGGAGCTGCGCTCCCGAAGGCGAGGGGATGAAGACCCCAATGTGGAGGTTTTGGCGGGCACTCATGGCGGTAGTCTGTCTTTGCTTCCAACCTTGATAGTTGAAGTGGAGTGTGTGAATCGCTGTTCCTGTCGTTGTGATGGAGATGATTCCAAATGCCAGGTGTGAGGGTGCTCTGCTGCTGACCACGACATATATACTCATTCTTGACCAGCCTAACCAACCAAGCCCGGCAATTCAGCCCCCGGGATCTCCTGAACATGTGCCATATGCAGCCGGAGCTTTCATGCTGTCTCGGGCCTGGTCTTCGGTGCCCCGTGGTGTCGCGGAAGAAGTGTTGAGCTATGATTGGACAATTGGATTGACAACCTCCGTACCCACCCGGCACTTACACACGGCCGCCGGCGGTCAGACCATCAGCAGCTCTGACAGGAATAAGCAGAACCCTTGACCACGTCTTCCAATGCACAGCACACTCGACTGCAAGCGGTTATCGTCCGAGCTAGATACTCGTTTTCTCCTTGTGACGGAGAGCCTAGAGTCGGCACACTGTCAAGCCAGGATGGTTACAGAATGAGCCATGTTGGTGCATCGACAACATGCCCGCTCATTGTTTTGACCTGTCATGAAAATCATAACTTCATGAACTGTGTCCAGTACACGCAGTAGTTGACTATCACATCGAGCGGACGCGGGAAACATGAGCATTGAGCGAGTGGCTTCTTTCATTGATTCATTCCATCCATCATATATATAGTCGCGTGTTGGTGGTGGGTCGCCACAACTGTTCATGGTCGGCCCAGCAGGTGCCGTAGCTTTCTGTCTTGATCATGATACAAAGTATTCCGTACAATCCCCATGCCTCTGCATGGTGAAGCCGCCGTCGCCGCTTCTCTGATGGGCATGTCTTCTCCGTCATCAGTCAGACCTTGTCATGTCAGGACACCTCTAGTGCGCCCCCGCCTGCTCACCACCGTACATGAAGAATTAGATATTACCGGGCTAGATTTGATTATTCCTGGGGTCGTTTCGCCTCCTCTGCGTGGAGGCGCCCAGGTTCTCCGCTGCCCGGTGGAGCTAGCCCTGCCCTCCCATCCCGGGCAGCTGAGGTCGCAAGCCCAACCCCGGGCCGGAGAGAGGCCGGAGTCGTGTCTTGAAGCCTTCCGCGAGTGGATTGGACCGGCGACCTGTCTCGTCTCTCTGTGTAGCGAACGTCTGCGGCGAAGCAGTATACCTCTTTCCCATACCGTTGCCGCGATTGCTCCCAAACTCCTGGAGAGCCCCCACTGTGGTAGTTGGCCCCCCAATCTAGATGCCGAATGCCAATGCCATGCAAAACATCATGATGCCCTCTATTTACACAGGTGCTCAGAAAGCCGTGTCTTCCAAATTCGCGCCAAAAAGGAATCTTCCTGGTCTCCAAAGCTGTGCACAGAATCGAAAGTGTAAATGAGTCACGGCGCGGATCTCGTCGTCGACGTGCGGGATCAGGTTCCAGGCCGGTAGAAGAAGGGTAGGTAAAGGTGGGGTTGAAATTATTGTCCGGTAGAAGCGAATGAAGGGGTCGTGATCGTGTCGTTATGCCAGCGTGGCTGCCGCCATGGACCGTGATCTTTGCCGTGTGACCTTTTTGCTGACCGTGTACACAAGATCGAGCGTCCAGAAGTGGCAGACCTGAGCCTGCGCGCAGGGAACGGCACCGAACAGAGGGGCGACGATAGGAACCATGCAGTAGTCCTTCCAGTTCTTGCTCACGTGGCGGTGGGAGAAGTTCATGCCCTTGGCCAGGCCTGCGTCGCTCATTTCCTTCTCGCGAGTCTGCACACAGATCCTGTGGAAGCTCTCGTACAGGAACAGCAGGAATGCAATCTCCATGAAGCCAGCAGTCCTCAGGACGTTGCACGCGTCGAAAATCCAGTTGATCCCATGCACGTCCGGCTTGCCCTCCGTGGCCCAAACGTACAGAGTTGAAGCAATGATGAGGATGGTGGTTTGCAGGGGCAGGAAGTGGGCTTCGAACAGGCGGTGGAAAAGGTAGATGATGCGCTCCCAGTTGGGTCCCTTGAGAGTGTCGTGTGTCACGTCGAGAAGATACCGTTCTCGGCAGGCGGCGCTTCAGGGTCGAGGTTCTGGTTGTGCGGGACATAGACGTCCGTGGTGTCCTGGAGAGTGCTGTGGATAGGGCGGAAAGACCGAGAGGTGTGCTTCCTCTCCTGCCAGAGCTCGACGACCTTGCGGATGGCGTAACCGGAGTCGAGAGCTCCCCACATGTGCCGGATGGCCTGCTTGTATCGGGCCTTGATATCGGCGACCATGCCCTTGAGCCCGCCACCTGCACCGCCGGTGACGTTGCTCTGGCTGACTGGGCTGACGATAGTACGGACGGTCAGGTTTCCGTTGAGCGCAAAGAAACACTTCAGGTACATGTGCAGATCCTCGCCAATCGCCTCGGGGTCACAGTCCCAGCCGCCGACGCGGTCGACCAGCTCGAGAGGCACGGAATAGACAGAAGTTGGTGGGGCAATGGTTGAGCCGCGGTAGAGGCCAGACATGCCAGCTGACGCCCAGAGGATGTCGCCGACGCGGACGAGGGCTGTGACGCTGTGCGAGTTGCGGTCGAAGATGATTGGCGCGGCGTACATGGTCGTCTTAGCGGTCTCGGGGTAGGACAAGTGCATGGACGTAAGATGAGCGAAGTAGTTGGACGAGAGGTGGCTGTCAGCTGCAGGCACAAAATGTTAGTGTATGGTGTGGGTGATGTGCATCAATCAGAAGCGCGCTCTGCAGTCAAACAATGAGGCAGCACCAAAAAAAGACGTACCATCAATGCCTGTGACGATGACATCCTTGCGGGCTTCCATAGAGTATTTCTCGCTCAACTTGCGAACAGCCCAGGCCATGTTGCTGCCCTTGCCAGCGCTCTCGCCAGGAATGTCAGACGGGTGGATCGTGAAGTCGATGGAGCGGAACTTCTTGATGAACTCCTGAACAAGCCCCATGGCTTTGAGCTCCACGTTGTTCTCACGAGATTCCATGGCCAGGTAAACCTGCATTCGAGACTGTCAGCTTGGTCTTGCTCTCTCAAAGTCACAGGCCAACGGGTAGGTGCCGAGGAGACGCCTCAACACGCGGTGGTCTCCTGAACCAAACCGTGGACCTCCACCCGAAAATGGTGCCCGAAGCGATCTGGGAGCTCAACACTCACGTCGTAGCTGTTGCGGGCTTGGGGGTGGCAGCCCAAGACCTCCAATGTCTCCCTCAGGGTGTCCAGCTCCTCCTTGTAGTTCGGGATAACGATAGCGTGGACGACGCTATCGGGCTCGGCATCGCCATCGGTGTAGAGCTCGGGCTCCAGGTCGCCAGCTTCGCTGCTCGCGGAGGATCCATGGGACGAGGTCAGGGTCTCGGAGCTTGACAGAGAGGTGGAGGAGCCCCGACGGCGGTGGGCAAACTTGAGGCTCTGGAGGGCCTTGCTGTGGGCGGCTCTCTTCAAGCTGCGGGTGAGGTCCCACATGGCCCAGCAGGAGCGAAGAGGGAAGGCGGCGACGAGAACATGGATGAAGAGGCAGTAGTAGGCGAATATGACGGTCCACAAGCCGGCGCCCTCAGCGGTGTGGGCGACTGAGGGATGGGGCTAAGGATGTCTCTCTGTTGATGCTTGAAGAGATCGTTGTGCGATACAATGGCCTCCTTGCTAACAACCCAGTAGGAGAGGGCCAGAGCTGCGAGCATGGCCAGCCCTCCGCACCGGCGGGTGCACCAGGTGAAGAGCGACATGTTGACGACGAGAGATGCCGGTTCCCTATGAGGTGCCGATAAGGGAGGATACCGCGATGTCTGGACCGTGAGGGGGATTGAGCCGGTGCCGAGGAGGTGGTAGGGGAGGGGAAGGGAAGGGAAGGCGAGACAAGAGGAGGCGCGTCTCGTCGAGGACCGTGGCTGGTAGAAGGACGGGGCAAGGCAGGGCAGAAGAGAACAGTTTTATTATGGATGCGTTTTTTAAAACGGGAGGGGAAAAAAATGCAGCGCAGACGAGGGTACAGTTGAAAAGGGGACACTGGGGCTCGTTCACCTGGGCTGGATGGAGCTGGACAGGGCAGGGCAGGGCAGGGCAGGACAGGGCAGGGCAGGATAGGACAATAGCGCCCGCGGGTCCAAGTCAGAGTGCGAAGGGTGCAGGATGCAGCCGGGTGGAGATTGTATGGGGTTTGAGAGAAATGAGGACAGGCGGAAGCGAGGCCAGGTATCCAGGTATCGAGGTATCCAGGTTGCCAGGTTCCTAGGGCGGGAGCCAGAGCGAGTGAGCGCCAGTGCCACACAGTTCCTTCGGGGGCTGCGAGTGGTACAAAATGGCCCGAAGTAGCCTTGAAAGTGGGAATGAGGTTTCCAGGATCGGTTGGTACAGGCACGCCGTTGGCCTCCCAAGAGGCAGAGGCTCCTAGGCTCTCCCACAGCTCACCCACAAGCTGAGTGGATGGATGGGGGGAGGAGGGGCGAGGATTGCACGCGTGCACGGAGAACCGCAACCGACCGCCACGACGCACACGCCAAACAACCGGCTGTGTGGACTACCTAGGTTAGTGTGGAGTATATGGGTGTTGCCGTCGCTTGCAGCTTGCCCGTGACGACCTGCCAGTCCGTCGGACAGCATGCAGGAGGTGCTGCGGGCTGCGGGATGCAGAGTACTATTAGAAGAGGCTACTTGGCAGGTATCGATCGTGTCCTGCTGCTGCATGCAGAAATGAAATGGCTGCCTCTGGGGTTCTGGGTTGCGTTTGGAAACAATGATTGTCATTTCAAATTTGGCAGCAACGCACTAACAAAGGAAGGCGCTGGCTTAGCGGCGCGATTGGCACTAATCTGGACGCATGTACCTTGAGCTGTGTGCTGCGCCGTGGTGCCACAGTACGCTTGACGGTGGAGGCGACGGCCGACGTGACAGGGAACCGGGGGCTGATGCGTAGCGCGAATAGAAGTGCGCAGATTCCTGCCCATACCCTCCGTTCCCTTCCAGCGTCTCGAAACGGCCGCCCCCAACAGCCGGTATGATTGGGCAACGCTGCTGTTTGCCATCCCACATCGCCCCGCACATGGCCCAAGCTCTCAAGCCGTCGAAGCGGACAAAGGTCGGCACCAGCAAGAACGCGCAAATGTGCAGTATGCCCCTAGTAAGAATACTTGCGTGCAGCACAGGGTAGGAGCTTGCCAGACAAACCTGCCTGGACCTGCCCGCCTACCTGCCACCTGCCACCCGCCACGCGTGGTTCCAGCCCAGAATGGCCCAGACCAGCCAGATCGTTGGGCCACTCAGGAGGTGAGAGATCTGGGCGTGCCGCGGTTTTGAAGTTGTCAGGCCGTTCAGAAGCAAGACGACCCAAAGACTCGCATCGGGTGTCGTCCACGAGATGCACCGACTCCGACGGACCGCATGCGAAACAGCCAATGCCAGCGGACGGACGGTGTGGCAGCTCCAGCAAGAACTGGGGACGGTCAGTGTCGCGACTGCACTACGTACGAGCCGGCGCACTGCCTCGTCGTCTTTCGCAGACCAAGCCTCCTCCTCCCGAGTCTTGCTCTGGGCTGGTCGCTGCTGCTGGTCGCTTGAAAGAAAGTCTCATTGGCATCCAATGACCTTGTGGCCTCGAGGTGCCGTCATTGGATGACCCAGCATGGAGGATGATCAGGCACTTCGAGGCTCTTCGAGACACAGCACGGCTTGTTCCAAATCCTCCGCCTGCAAGTCAGACTCCCTCTCAGCCACCACTGCGCACCTAAAACGCGCAGCCCGTTACGTCCTCCCCACATCTCAATCCTCCTGCTTCTCTGGGCTGTCCTGGCTGGCAGTTGATTGTGGCTTGGTGCGTATGCACGACACGATTCCAACTCAGGCGTGGGTCCCCACAGTCAGCCATGAGATCATCTCACTTCCTTCACTTTGCGGCGGCAAAGATAGATAATAATAAAGCCCAGCCCAGCAAGGCGGTCAGCGCACCGCGCAACTCTTTTCCACTTACCGCTGCAACCAGATACACGCGCAACACAGGTATCATGGCGGAATTCCCGCCAAGGCAGGTCGGCAGGCCTCATCTGCCGCCCCCGCGTCGCGTTATCTGGGTGCTCGGCCAGGAAAGAGATGACGACTGCCGAGACACGCACGTCCTGAACCCAAGAGCGTATCATTAACAGTTTTCTTGGTGGATGGGGGGCGGTGTGGGGGTGGAAGTCCAGTGCACGTTGCTTGGTAGCTGCGTTATGCCCTGCGTTTGTCATGTTACGGTGAGAGCCTCACGTTTTGAGCTCGTTGAATCGAGCCAAGTACAGTAAGTACACGCTCTCGCAGCACCGTACACGTGTACGTATTTTGAACCTGAAACTGGACCCGTGCCCCCAACCATCACATCAGTACTGTGGTACATGACGATGGTTCCTGGACCAAATCTACCAAGTAATAACCTTGCCTTGCCCTTCGGAATCCCGTCCCCACCCGCCGCCCGGCATGGTGTCAAACCTTATAATCTTATCAAAATCTTGCGTGGGCAATTTTCGCTAACGACAGCCCAGGCACGACTCTGTGCCGGATCAAGCTGGCTCCATCGCGGGGCACAGTCCCAGCCCAATATCATCGAGTAGCACCCGGATCCTCTCGTTCTCAGCTTCACCAGGGCTGGCTTGCGGCACAGCTTTCATCAGCAGCTTTCTTTAGCTCGACTCGAGATCCTCCAACTCCCCTTCGACGTCTCCCCTGACAGCTCCTGATGATCCTTCCCACATTTATGCTCCTGAGCCCCAGGTGGCGCACATGGGGCAATGAATCTGATGCAAATCATGATCTGCCTCGCGGCCCTCGCTGACACCCCAGACTGCCCACCGACAATGGGCGTCTTAGCCCGAAGGCGGCCTTGCAGGAGCAAGGCTGCCAGACTTGGGACGAAACGGAAATTGACTCCAAGATTCCCGATGTCACCCACCTGCTCTTGCAACAGAACACAATCTGACGTTTCGAGGACTTTGAGGTGCAGGCCTCTCCCGACCTCGGCTCCTGCCTTCCGCTTCGGCAGTACAGTTTGTACTGTACAGTTGCCATACAGCTTGTCATCCTTCTCGGGTGTCGGCGATCGCGAGGCTGCTGCCTTGCACCTTGCGAACGATCAGAGGCACTGTGAGTCTGGGACCGACAGATGAAAATGGGGGTCTGGGATGCGTTCCTGACAATCCCAAATCTTGCTTGCTTCCCTATGCGGCTAGTCCTGACTTGCCTGGTTCCTTTTTGCCAACGCCTGGGCCCATCTTTGCATCCAACTACCGCCCTCTGATTCGCCAATTGCTCTCGACAGACCCGATCCGCAATTTCGGCTGTGGAGAGGCCCTCCACATGTTTCCCCAGCAATAGCACAAACCCTCATTAGGCGCATTATGCATCACCTACCGCAATCATGAAGACCAGGCGACCTGCGTGGCCTCGTATATACCTGACATGCTGTTTTGGCTTGGACGACAGATCACCTTTACACTGTCGTCGTCGGGCAAGGGCCGACAAGATGCAAACAGCCGGAGAGCCACTTGACCTCTGATATTCAAGCAAGACCCGGAGCTGAGACGCCCGTCAGTCGTCAAGTCATGGCCTACTGAGTAGAGGTCCTGCTGCATGCTACAGAGCGAAAGGCTGGGCCTGTGACCAGGCGGCTGGAGAAGGTGGTTGCTCATCGTCAGCGCCATGATTCCCCAAGCCTATCATGCAACGACAAGTCCAACAATGCGATGCTTCTCGGTGGGTGCCGAATTACTGTGAAAAACAAACAAGCACCAGGCTGGTGGCTTGCGTTTGTTGAGATCCCCGTCGGCGCAGTGGCCATTGTAATTACGCCAGGCGCTGTGGCTGGCCTGCTGGGTAGCGGCGTGCGACACACACTGCGGTTGTCTGCCTCGTTATTGGCATGCAGCGTCGAAGCTACCGTCTACTGTGTACGCAGTAAACCCTTGAGCAGCTGCGCCGGTGCTGGTCAAGAGCTGGACGCTAGCAGCCAAGGGAACGCCCATCTCCCGTTGATGAACGCTAATCTGGCGTTAGTGGCCTCGACCCAGAAGCAATACCGTGTGTCGGAAACGGTCCGACTTTCAGCGCCCAAGGGCTCGCCGAATCCGTGCGAGTACGCCCCTGGCCGTCTGCGCTTTTCCGTATAGAAGGGTTTGTCGTACACGAATCTACAGCAGTAAAACGAATGGCCACTTATGATTCGCGCCTCGTTATCCACGCACGACAAGGCTACCGAGCCTGCAACGTCGGTCCAGCTTGCGGATATGCTACGAGTGTAACCCATTCTGCGGTCTTTAATTTCGCGTCGTATTGGCAATCTGGGGCCCCATCGGACGCCAGTCGAGTGACAACCGCAACCCTCACGTGGTCGCGCATCAGAATACTATCGCAGAAACACGTCATCTCATTTATTTGCATCAAGGAACTGTGGGATACAAAAGGTGTCAGCAAAGGCAGGCACAGCGTCGCCGCAGTCCTTGTTTGCTGGAAGTAACGGGTGTGGTCCCATTCATCTCAGAAGTCAGATGTCCCAGGCTTCCTTGACCGTTGCTTGCCCGACATTCAACAGAAGTCAGCATATGAGGCAATTGAGGTGGGCGGTGTACAAGTGCAGCGGTCTATGGTATAGACAACTCACTCCTCAGAGCCATCTTGTCAGCAAATCTGACGGTTAAAAGGAGGTCTGGCCCAATAGAAGATTTCCTGTCACCTGATCATTGTGAGTGAGCGAGCCGTCCCAGTGTCCGAGTGTCTTTCGACCGTAGCCTGTGTGGTGTTCCACATTCCAGGAAAGATGTGTGCGGCCTACAGAAGATACATCGACAAAATGTATGTTTGAGAAATCAAAGAACGGTGTCTCATAAGCATTCGCGTGAGGATCTTGCATGCAGAACCGAAAGACCAGTCGACCCACCAGCGTGCATGGAACGGCCGGGGCTGTTTGTCGTTTGTATAGCTGCAAATGTTGAGACTCTATATTGACTTCCATATTCTGGTTTTGTATGTCAACCTCTGCGCCATGAAACTTTTGTGGTTAATAGAGTTCAGAGCTTCCTTTGGAGGTCCAAGTAAAGCCGTCTTTCTCTTTTTTGATTGATATAATTCGACAGGAATACAGAGCTACATGGCCGGAGTTCCAACATACGGTCTCAGTTCTGCTGAGACGTCTGTTTGGTGAGCTGGGTAACTGCAGTAGCCGCAGGCACCTGCGACTAAAGCGATCAAGTCTTTGTGTGCGCGAAGAGCCATGGGGCCCATACGGCTTTTGCGGCCTAAGGCAACCTCACGTCCGCTGTTTGCACGCCAGAGAGTAAACACATATAAGCCCCCATGGACTTCTGGATCTCCACTTCGAACCGCTTCACATGGAGCTTCACTGGGCAGTGATGTCCAGAAGAAGTTGAACAACACCTTCCCTGAGTGCAGATTGGCACTTGGATCTTCATAATTCATCCAGTGGCACCCACCAAGACAGAGGCACCTCCAGCAAGGGCCGTCAATCATGTTGACCCCAGCCACCCTCCAGACGACCCTCCCGCTCCGGCCCCGTGGCGTGGCCCAGGGACCAGTGCAGCCCAGTAAAGTCAAGGGCATTGCGGCAAAGTGGCACGACTACATCAGCAAGAGTGACAACGACCTGGACAAGTGGAAGCAACTTTGCAGTGACCTTGGCAAGCCGTCCGACACTTTCACCAGCAAGACGCAGTGCCGAAAGGTGAGTGTGGCCCCTTGATTCCACAGCTTGATGCGTTACTCCGTGGGCAAAACACGCTGATGCGCCAGATTACGTACAGGCACTCAGGGGCGTCTGGGTCAACATCCACGACTTCCTCGCTGCCGAGAACAAGCCCAAGGACGTCCGTTTCTTCAAGAGCGAGCGTGCCCTGGCGGCATACACGCGGAAGACGCACAAGGTCTTCCCACGCCGCGACATCAAGCAAGGAGACCCGCTGCGTGACCTCTTGGCTCACATCTTGTGATCTCCGAGGTGGCAAAAATGAGGGCAGACATGAGATGGCGGGGATCTTCGTTTGTGGTTGACGGAATGGGGGACGGTGGGACCTGTTCTTGGCCCCTTCATACAGATGAGTGAGCGCTGTCAACGAGAAATGGGGGGATTAGGTACCCGGTGCGAATACGGCCGCGACTTGATGGATGGATGATGACTGTTGGATTATCGACACCTACGGTATAGGCTGTATGGAGAGCCTAGCGCTGACAACACTCGTCCTCGCCCCTAATTCCTGATCTCCCACATCCTGATCTTGCCAACGTCGTTGCCTACTGCCAGCACATCAGTGTCCTTCGACTTCCCGAATGTGACCGCCGTGACCCTGCCCATGGGCGTTTGCTCAGTCGGCCAATTCCTGTAGACCGTGCAGCTCGGGAGGTGCACGAGCTTGAACGCATCCTTTTTGTGCTGGCTGGAAAACGCGAGCAGCTGCCCATCCGGACTGAACGTGGTAACCGTTATCGGCGTGGTCAGCTGCTCGAAGCTGCGCGTGGGCGTCGGCAGAGGCTTGATCTCGATGGCGTCCCCTTGAGCCTTGGAGATGAGCTCGCTCCGGTCGTAGATGTTCAACACGCCGCTGGTCGAGCCCAGAGCGACCCACCTGTCCCCGCCGACTCCCTGCGGGCCATCGCGTCCGCCCAGGGCCATCACCGTGCCACCGATAGAGCCCTCGTCCCTCCAGATGCCCAGCGTCCGCCTTGTCGCGAGCGACCACTCGGCAACCTGGCCGTCCCTGCCGAGGATGGTAATTCCCTGGCCATCCCTCCACCAGGCGAAGTCCGCGATACCACCACGGCTATCCAGCCTCGCCTGCGCAACCCACTGCATGCTGCTCACGCTGACAATGTTCAGCATGCCACCGCCCTTCCGACTCGTCGCGATGAGGCCCATGTGCTTCCCGTCGGGGCTGAGCCGGAACCTCTCCATGGTCTTCTGCTCTTCCTGGTGGCCTTGGATCTTGGTGACCTTCTTGACGAGGCCCGTAGACAGGTTCCAGCTGTGGAAGAACCGCCGCCGCCCTGCGAAGATGATCTCGCCGCCGTCGGGATGCAGAAACGCGGAGCGCCGGATGGGCACGGATTTGACTTGCACGGAAGTGAGTTGTGGGTTTGGCGTGGGGTGTGCGCTGGGGTCGATGTGGTGGAGATACAGGATTGATGATTTTGACGAGGAAAGGAGGACCGGATGCTGAGGGTGGAAGGAGATTGACTCGACGGGGCCCTTGTGCGCGTCGGGGATGTCGCGCGTGCGCTGGATGTCGATGACTTCGGGCCGGAGCTTGCGCTTCTTCCTCCTCCCGCCCTCGCCCTGGAGAGCGCCCGCATCGCGAAGGAACCGCTCCAGTGGCAGGGCGGCGATGTCCTCCTCGTCACCGCTGAGTTCAGAACCCGACGACGAACCTGAGCCCGACGAGGCAGCAGATGATCTCCGCCGCCTCTTCGTCTTGCGCTCTGAAGAATCCTTGGCCCATGATGGAAGCGGGTTGAGCCGTAGGTAGTACTGCCGCAGGCGCCTGGTATACTCTGTCCCGTTGACCAGGTCATCAGCCTCGGACTCCCGCAGCTTCCGCAGCTGCTTGACACCGGCGAGTGAGACGGCTAGCCTCTCGTCGTCGCTGTCGACCCAAGCAGGCTGAGGTACGTCGTCCCTAGCCACATGCTTGACCGTTTCGGTGAGCTGCTTCCCATCGGCAGGCGCCGAGCCAGTATCGAACATGAAAAGGGCCGAGTCATCCAGGTCCTCGTGGCCGGTGGTTCCAGGTGCTTGTCCGTCACCATCCAGTCTCAGACCCCTCAGGGCCTCATCTTCATCCGAGTCTGCTGCATTTCTGAAGAGATTCTCCCGGAAACCTGCTTTGTTTCCGAGAACGAGTCGCTCGAGTTCGTCCTCGTCTGAGTCGGCATCATCGACATCCATCTGATCGGTGGAATTCACTGGAGTGTCCTCATCTTCAAAAGCGGAGAATTCATCCTCACTTTCCGATGAGCTCTCATCATGCACCAAGTCCTGGGCTTTCCGCGACATTTTGACGGTGTGTTTGTTGATGTGTGATGGCGAGGAAGTCGCTATCCATTCCCAAAGAGTGGCGGAAAGTTCAAGGGCCTTCAGAAAATTTAGGTTCAGCCTTGCAGTAGTGGAGCTTATCGGCCGTTGGCGACTGGCTGCTCTTATCTCGGCCCACCTGTGCGGTTCAGCCGTGCCTGATCGTCGCCTTGGAACCCCCCGGTGCCCGAGCTGCTCTTTGAACCAAGTCATAGAGATCTCGGATAGGTACTCAAAGGTCAAGTCTGTGTTGGGCTTACTGATAAGACGAACTCCACTCCTACAGCTTGCAGACAGATCTGCCTACTTTGAGAAGTTGCTCCATTTGGCGCGATCACATCTTCAATCACAAAATGGCAGAAATGTCGATGTCGGGACAGCATTTCTATTGTATGAATCCGAGGGCTACAGACTATACACAGCGCGAATGAGAAAGAGCCAAACGGGGTATCTTTGAATTTATCCGTTGCTGAAATTGGTCCAACGCCTTCTCTCCCTGTCACCCTTTAGAGAGCAAAGGCCATGGCGAAGGTGACCAGACAGAGCCATTCGGCGCCGCTCCTCCAGCTCAGCATCCCAGCACCTCCGAGGCCCTGGCCGCTCTCCGTCTTGTCCAGCTTTACCTGCACCACCTGCGAGTCCCCGGGGGCGAACAGGACGCCGACACTGTTGGCGGCCGAGGCGTTGATCTGCTCCGGCGTCAGCAACGGGTTGTTGAGAGCGTCGCACTGGGCCCGGCTTATCGAGTCCGGGATGCTGTTCGTCACGGCGATGGGGACGTCGAAGATGGTGTAGAAGTTGGTGTTGTTCATGACAAAGTTCTGCCTGATGGAGATGTTGTAGTTGCCCCGGTCGCTGTCAGTAGTTGTCGGTTTGCCGTCGCCGGCCAAGCACGCCGGCCAGGTCCATTTGACGTGCTTGACCGTGCTGCCGGGCTCCTGCGCCATGATTTCTCCCAAGCTGGCGTTGTTTGACGACGCCGTGCCGTTGGAGACGGTAAAGTTGCGGCCTGTGTCGAAGCTGTACATGAAGATGATCTTAGCCAAGTCTACATGATCAATACTGGTCAGAACTTACCTGTACATAAATATGGTGATGTTGTTTATTCGGCTGGGGCTGTCAGCGGCGACGTCGAGCGGGAGGATGCCATTTGCTGTGACATCCAAAGCGATCTCAATCGTGTCTATGTCGTGTCAGCCGGGTATTGTGCAGAGAGAAGTGTAGCCAGGTAGGCGTGAGCCATACCGCCGCCCATTGGCGTGCCTGGCTGCGGGGAGTCAAGGACCGCAAAGCCAGGCGTGAATACCTGGCCATTAGAGATGGTAAAGTTTTGGCATAGGGCTGGAGTGACGAACAGCGGCAGCAGGGCTGTTGTGATTAATGGTGAATGCATTGCTTGGGTCGACGGCGTTCGACGCACAACGGTGGATTCAGATGCCGGGAGTGAGAGGTGTAGATGGGGACGAAAACAAGGACCTTCAACGCTACCAGGCGGGAACGTCAACTACATATGCAGGTGGCAAGCAGCGAAAGCACGGTGACATCAAGTACTTTGCTGCAGGGGAAAAGACAAGTCCAGGATGTGATGGGATGGAGGAAAACCAACACCTGGCGAAGAGACGTGGGTGAGGGGAGAGAGAACAGGGCCGGCCAACGGCATGGACGACAATGGACAACGCACGCCTGAAATGATGAGGTCTTCCTCCGAGGTGTGTGTCGCTCTGCCCACCGCTCACCCATGACAAGCTTCAAATTCGCCCGGCAGGGGGCTAGTCCACCAACACAAGACTTGGGATATTACCGAAATCCGCTGGCTCGGATAATCAAGAGAAACCGTTCCGCAGCGGGCCGTTGGTTCGTCCTCGCGTGGACGCGTGCCCAGGACGACAAGCGTGGCGGGCCGACAACTCGATCGGACCTGTCATGCTGTACACAGACTACAAAGGTGCATGCGGTAGTCTAGACTTGTTAGCGAACAGCATCAATGGCTTCGCCCTGATCGACGTGACAGCGTGAGATGATGGGAAAGGGTTGTCTGATGCGGTGCGGTGATGCAACCAAGGTTTCAAAGACAGTGGGCAACGGCGGATCCCTCAGCACCCTTGTCATCCTGCCTTGAGAGACACTAGGCCCAAGGACCCACTGCAGGGGCATCCCCCATCGGGAAGTCGGAGAGGGCCCCGCAGGCCGGTGGCCGGTGACTCGATCGGCCAGCTCCGAACAGTAGACATAGCTCCGGCTGCGACAGCACAACACACTCGACGCCCAGGTTCACGATAGTTGCTTACCCGGGTTCATGTCGACTAGTCTGATCCGAGACACATATAAGACTGGCTCTGGAACCAGACTGGTAAAGAGGGCAAGTGTCTTGTCAGGATGCAGGTCTGACCGAGTGACGCTCGAGCATTGAAAAGTTACTCGTACGGAAGACCTTACCGGCTCCAGGATCATCTGTGAGGCACAAAAGAGCCCGTCGCAGACCACAACCATGGTTCTGCTCAGAGAGTCGGTACGGCGTCCATGCCTCCAGCGCCTGCCAAATGCCCTCCGGGCTGGGCTATCGCCCAAGTTCACCTCCCCACCGCAGCTGCAGACACACCAGAGGCTGCACCTCAGCTCTGCAAGCTCCGCGTCGCGCGACCTGGCCAGGTTCCTCAAGGTGTCGGACGAGGTCCAGGATGCCATCGCAACAAAGAAACCGGTGGTGGCGCTCGAGACGACGATATACACCCACGGCGCCCTGGGCAGAGACCTCCCCGAGGTCCTCGAGTCTGTCGTCCGTGAGAACGGTGCGGTGCCTGCCACCATAGGCGTGCTCGATGGTCTGGCCAGGGTCGGTATGAACCCCGCCGAGGTCGACCGCATGGTCCAGGAGGGCGCCACGAAGCTCTCGAGGAGGGACCTCGCCTACATCGTCGGCACGGGCATGACAGGCCGGAAACTGCACGGGGGAACGACCATCGCCGGGACAATGCTGCTCGCCCAGGCGGCCGGGATCCGCATCTTTGGCACCGGCGGTCTTGGGGGCGTGCACCGCGGCGGCGAGAACTCACTCGACATCTCTGCGGACTTGACAGAGCTGGGCCGCACCAGGGTCGCTGTCATCAGCAGCGGGCCCAAGGGCTTCCTGGACATCCCGCGGACGCTCGAGTATCTCGAGACACAGGGCGTCCTCGTCGCCACTTTTTCCGACGGCCGCAGCGGGGATGTCGATCTCCCTGCGTTCTGGGCCCGGGAGAGCGGCATCAGGAGCCCCTTCACGGTGCATGATGAGCAGCAGGCGGCTGCCATCATGCTGGCACAGGAGCGACTGGGGGTTGAAAGCGGGATGCTGTTGGCGAACCCGATCCCCGCAGAGCATGAGATACCAAGGGAGGTGCTGGAGAAGATCATTGACACAGCTGTGCGCGAGGCGGACGAGCAGGGCTTCAGGGGGAACGCGAACACCCCCTTCATCCTCAAGAGGATCAGGGAGCTGAGTAACAACCAGAGTGCGCCTGCAAACTTGCATCTTGTACAATCCAACGTGGCCCGGGCAGCGAGGGTTGCTCACGAGCTCTACAAGCTTGAGGCGGGAGACGGGGCTGCAAGGTCGCATTACCAGTAAGAAGCCCCGTGTATACCATGAGCAACCACGAATATAGGGCTGAAATACACTTCAGACCAGCCCCACCGGTACTACGCGCGTATCAGCAGGACGGTCATGAGCTTCCAGAGGTGAAGGATAGCCCATCTAAAGCAGACATCTTGGTCGCTGGGTCGGTTGCTCTCGACCTCAATTGCAATTTCCACAACGACGGGCACCCTGACCCCAAGCCCGTCTCACCCGTGCTGTACACGTCAAACCCTGCGGGAATCACCCAGTCCATTGGGGGCGTCGGCCACAATGTCGCACTGGCTGCCCAGAGCGTACACCGCGCCCTCAAGGTCAAGCTGTGCAGCATGATTGGGAGCGACATGTAAGCCAACCACCCTGCCCCTGAAGGAAGAGGGAGCACAAGCAAAAGCACAAGCACATGCACATTACCTGACAGTACATCATAGCGCCGGCGCAACGATCCTCACGAGCATGGAGAAGAACGGGCTGGACACCAGCTACATCCGCCAGCTGGGGCCCGAGTACGCATCCGCGCGGACAGCCCAGTACGTGGCAGTCAACGACGCCGAGAAGAGCCTGTTCACAGCCATGGCGGACATGGCCATCTTGACGGCGCACTGCTTCCCCACGTACTGGGCTTCCATCATCAAGGCGACCAAGCCCAAGTGGCTGGTGGTGGACGGCAACTGGTCGCCCAAGGACATCCACCACTGGATCAAGACCGGAGGCCAGGGTGGCGCCAAGGTCGCGTACGAGCCCGTGTCCAGCGTCAAGGCGGCGGGACTGTTCCCCAAGGGCCACACGCTGCCTCTCTTCCCGCATGCCGCCCTCAGCATCGCGACGCCGAACCAGTACGAGCTGGCGGCCATGTACACGGCTGCCAAGGACAACGGCTACCTGGACAGCATGCCGTGGTTCGAGGTGGTCGACGCCTTCGGGATGCACGGCGGCGCGAGGGACAGGTTCGTCAGGCTCACGTCGACGGAGATCACGGACGCGGGGCTCCCCGTGCAGAGCATCCAGCTGTTGCCGTACATACCGACCATCATCACCAAGATGGGGGACAAGGGCGCCCTGCTCACGACGATCCTGGGGCCCAACGACCCGCGCCTGCTGGACCCGGAGCACGAGCGGTACATCCTCGCCCGCGCGACGCCGGGCCACCCGTCCGTCGGGGCCGTCTACATGAGGCTCTACCCGGCCGTGGAGCGGGTCGGCACGCCCATCTCGGTCAACGGCATGGGCGACACCTTCCTCGGGACGCTGGTCGCGGGCCTGGCGCTCGGGGGCAGGGCCGAGGACCTCGTGGACGTCGCGCAGAACGCGGCCGTCATGACGCTCAAGAGCCACCTGAGCGTCAGCCCGGATCTGGGGGCCCTGGGCCAGAAGCTCCTGGCTGCATGCGGGCGGGACAAGTTCTGAGTCTCACAGGATGAGAGGGAGAGACGATCAACACGGCGCGGTCGGCTTCCAAGCAGGTCAACTGAGTGATGGGTGCTGGCTCAACCCAAATCTCATCAGCGGAGTGAGAGAGAGGGGCATCAGTAGTCTACTGTCTGTACATGGCCCAAGGAGGCTGTCTATCCCGGCCACCTCGTCGCTAGGTCTGATTGGGACACTCAGAACACATGAGCTGCCCCTTTTGACTTCAATGACCTAGGTAGTCCCACCCCTGCGTCCTGGTGATGTGACGGTCTCCGACGTTGGTACTTGAAGTTAGCCTACTCGTTTCTCCACAACCCCAAGCGGCTGTGGCTTCCCGTCTTCCCCGCACTTTTTGTTCCTCGGCTGCGTTAGCACATGAAAGCTTCCAATGCCTTGGGACGGGCCACGTCGACACACACCTGAAGGGACCAGAGCGAGCTGCTGTAGCAACATGCATGAATCCGGTAATGTGTTCGTCAACTAGGGACCACCGCCACCACCATGGATGGAGCTCCTCCCTCGTCCAGAGACACCGAGGCTTCTCGTTTCAGCATCCGCCCGGTGTTTCTTTTCCCTTCTCCAAGTCCGAATTGTTGGCTCCGTGACATGGTACCACCAGCCTGCTCGTCCTCCTTCTAAATATTCGTAGAGTCAAACAAATCCTGTATCCTGTGAAGCGCATCAACGCACCTGGCCCAACATGCCGACGCACAACGGCCTCTTGCCCCGCGAGGGCTTCAAGGCAGACACGGTGATACGCATCCTTGGCAAGACAGCCTTCAACCCCGCCTTCACGCTGCCTCTCCTCCTGCTCGCGAGGTTCACCAAGAAGGGCGAGAACTATTCTATTCTTCACCAGAAAGCCTTCTCGCGTGTCAAGCTGCTCTTCTACCTGGGCCTCGTCCGCTGGCTAAGCACCTGGTACTCCAAGGGGGTCGTCAACAACTGGCAGGACGACCAGTACGACTGGCGGGGGAGGGAGATTGTGCTCATCACCGGCGGGTCTGGGGGCATCGGGGGGCACGTGGTCAGGTTGCTGAGCGAGAAGGGGGTGAAGGTTGTAGTGCTGGACATCCAGCCATTGACCTTTGAAGCGTGTAAGTCCATCCGTGTGAAACCCCAGCAGATCAGAATGACCGGTGGTTGACACGTCTGGCCAGCATCCAACGTCCACTACTTCAAGTGCGACATCACGTCCCCAAAGGAGATCGCCGCCGTGGCCAAGGACATCCGCTCCAAGGTCGGCTATCCCACCGTCCTCATAAACAACGCCGGCGTGTGCAGAGGCAAGAGCATCCTCGACTCCTCCGAGAAGGACGTCCGCTTCACCTTTGACGTCAACTCGCTGGCGCACTACTGGATCATCAAGGAATTCCTCCCGAGCCTGGTCGAGAACAACCACGGCATGGTGGTGACCGTGGCCTCGATCGCAGCATGGATCACAGGTGAGTCTATGCCGTCCCGCCTACGTGCACACTTGTTCAACAACGTAACTGCTCAAGCTAACCATCTCTCACAGTCCCAAACATGGTCGACTACGCCGCCTCGAAGCACGCCGCCCTCGCGTTCCACGAGGGGCTCGCGGCCGAGCTCACCACCCGCTACAGGGCGCGCAAGGTGCGCACCGTCGTCGTCAACCAGGGGTACACGCGCACCCCGCTCTTCGAGGGCTACAGCAACGGCGCGCCCTTCCTGATGCCGGCCCTCGAGCCCGAGACCGTCGCTGAGGCCATCGTCAGGCAGGCCCTGAGCGGCAAGAGCGGCCAGATCGTCCGCCCGTCGTTTGCAAACTCGTTCATCCCCCTCGCGTCCATGCCGCATTGGTACCAGTACGGACTGCGCGCGGAGGGGCACAAGATCATGAAGAAGTGGGAGGGCCGGCAGGTGGTCTCGGACTTGGATAAGTTCTATGGCGAAAAGGACAAGAATGGCGAGGTGGAGGGTAGCACCGTCCTGGTTCCCCAGGAGTCGAGATGATCAAGTCCTCTCAGATAGTTCAGGGTCCGGGGAGAGCTGACTGGACGGGTTCTACTTGCGCCAGCACCTAATGATATGCTATCAAGTGACTGGCTTATGTTGGTTTGTGAACAGTTTTTATATATACACCATACCTTCCAGATCAGTGCTGAACTGAGGCTCGTCTATCGCAGTTGCCGCCACTGATGTGGGTGATCAATCAGGTGACTAGTTGTTATTTCGTAGAAATGTGATATGGAGATCGCCTTCAAAACACCTGAGGCTAAAAGCATAGCTTGCGAGCAATCTGAGCATCTACTAGGTCTTCAATGTGCATCATTTTCGCAGAATGGGCCTAAGCTGTCTTAATTTATCTCGTTCCATCATCCAAATACCCCATGCAATGAGCCGCAGTTGCTCCCTGTCCCTAGGTGCTTACGAGAATGTTCCCTGGCATAGCAATATGAAAGAATTCCATTGTGCCCCAATCGACGACTCGGCACTTCCAGCCTGGCACTCACTCAATTTCCACCCTCATACCTCGACATCTTGGGTCCATTCTCCATCAATTTGTTGCGTAGACGACCCAGCACAGCCTGCCTCTTCTGCATCTTGCCTCTGATAACGTCCTTGTCCTCGTCTGTGAACCCGCTGATCTTCTTCCGTGGCGACGGCCCCGGGGTGGCCCGCGCACTGCCGTTGAGCGAACCGACCGAGCTCATCAGGCTCTTGCGCGGTGAAGGTGTGAACTGGGTGGAAGAGCTCATGAGGAGAGACTGCCTCTTGTTAGAAGGCGGTGTCATGAATGGAGACCCTTCACGGCTTGGAGGCCCGACCGAGTTGTTGAACCGCAGCTTGCGCATCTGGCTCTCCAGCACGTCAAGATCGCCACTGCGCTTCTCGGCCGCCGAGGTCATCTTCGTGATGGTGCGCATGACGGCGTCAACCGTCGGCACGGCGGCGGGCTTGCCAGAGGAACCGCCCAGTGAGGCGAGTTTCGTCTTGAGCATGGTCAATGCGCCCTCGGCGTCGGTCACGAGCCTGATCAGCTGGGCGTATGACTGACGGAGCTCCGTCTGCTGCGCTGCCTGCTCGGCGTTCAGAGGCATGGATCGCTGTGCGGCGGCTTGGTCAGGATCGAGGACACTTCCCAGGATGCGCTTGACATCTTGGTGTTTCGCGCGGAGCTTGGGCATCTCCCGGAAGAGACCCTGGCACATGTCCCAGGTGTCGTCGACGTCTTGGAGACGGCCGTCTTCCAACTCAGGGCCCAGCTTCTCATCGAGAATGACGCTGAGATCTTCAGCCTCGCACAGGACCCAGTCGTCAGGGTTGGCGAGGTCATCCTTGGTCTTTTCGTCGCGGCGCTCTTCATGCCCCTTGATGAAGCCTTTCAGTGCTCGAGCGTTGAGGCCCAAGGTTACCAGCATGCCATTGATGTCGCGATACAATGCCTCTACCTGTGCAGCCACAGTCGACGCGTGGACGTCTGCCGTGACGCTGTTGAAGGCATTGAACTCGCCGATGTCCAGCGAAGGCGGAACCTCGGTGTGGAGCAGGTTCTGCACGTGTTCGAAATCGTCGTCGTCCAACCCCTGCACGTCTTGCTCGGCCTGCTTCTGCTTTGCCTGCCTTTGCAGCACAATGTTGGGGTCTTCCTGGGGCTGCAACCTTGTGCTGATCGTCTTGGCGCCGTGTCCGGAGCTCTGAGGCCGGGAGCCTCCCAAGATCTGTGACGCCATTCCAGGAGCACTGACTGACCGTGAGCCATCGGCCGGGAACATCCGCGGCGGGACTGCCCCCCTGACAGGGCTCGGGGAGCGTGGGCTGGTAGGAGCAGGCTTCGCAAATACCGGCGCACTCCGGTTGATTTCACCAAACAGGGAAGAGCGCTGCTGCTGTGACGCTTCCGTCCTAGAGACCATGGAGAACGTGCTCCCGCCCATACCTCCGAATGAGCTCTGAGGCGTGGTGCCCTGTTCCTGGCCCGCGCCTGTCGAGTTGGGGCTCAAGTCCTTTGCAACGTCGATACCACTGCCTTCGCTTTCACCTTCGCCCTCGTCGCCCTCATCCTCGCCTGCGGGCTCTTCAGCATCGCTCTGGCTTCCATCGTGCTGTGAACTGGACTCGGCACTATCAGCGCCGTCAGGAACCGCCGGTGCTTGTTTTGTACCAAATATGGATGCAGTAGCTTCAGGCTTGGACTTCGTAGGGAAGGGCGGTAGCGGCGCGTCCTCCACGACAGGAGTCCCTTGTTCTGACAGGGGCAGTGAGGACTCGTCGGTATCCTTTGATGTCTCCTTAGCCCCCGGTGAGGAATCAGGCGGTAGTGGAACGCCTTTGACTGATTCGGAGGCTTTGTCGCCGGCCTTCTTGTGACCTTCTGCAGATTTAGCGGAAGCTGTAGAAGAAGACGAGGAATCTCCAAATGGGTACACGGCCTTACTTGTTGATTCCGGCGGCAGAGGCGCATCTTCTGCGGCCTCTGGGGTTTCTGCCTTCTCGCTCTTCAGTGAGAAAGGGTTCGGTTTGCTTTGAGACGCCGACGCGAATGGGTTGGGTTTGTCGCTAGACATCGATGCAAAAGGATTGGGCGTTTGTTTTGGCTTGCTTGCGTCATTGTTGGATCCGAAGAGGCTGGGTTTGGCAGAAGCGGATCCAAAAGGACTGCTCGCGCTGGCTTGGCCAGAAAACGGGTTAGGTTTCGAGGCCGTGGAGTCGGTTGAGAAGAACTTTGATGGCGCGGGCGTCGACGTTGGTGTTGTGGATTCTTGAGACTGCCCGCCAAACAAGGTTTCTGATTTCTCTTTCGGTTGAGATCCCCCAAATAGAGAAGGTTTTGGCTTTTCTTGCTCAACCGGAGTGGTCTGCGCATCCATATCTTCGTCTTTAGACGAGTTGTTTGAATCAGCCGGTTTTGATGCAGCATCATCTAGTGACAACCCAAAGCCTCCAAGCCCAAATCCACCCTTTCCACTGGGTTTCTCATTGTCATTGGCAGAAGCAGTGTCTGCTTTGAAAGTCGTCCCCAGGACAAATGGCGTGGAGCCGAGACCAGAGCCTTCCTTGTGCGTCGAGCTCGAGGGAGGGAATGCGGTGTTGTTAGTCGTCTCCCTTGAGCCGAAGGTGCCTGAACCGCTCCCAAACGCACTCCCACCGCTACCAAAGACACTCTGGCCACTTGCGCTTGCACCAAACGGGCTTGGCGACGAGGAGGGCTTGGAAAAGATGCTGCCGCTGCCGCTATCCCCACCCAGAGTTCCAAAGCCACCCTTGCTGGCGAATGAAGCAAAACCACCGCCCGTTGAAGGATTGGCAGGGGCTGCACTACCAAAGACCTTGCCACCTGTAGAAGCCCCCGTCGCAGGCCCCGCGGGGCTGGAGAACCCAGGGGAACCAAAGGCCGGGGCAGCTCCACCCGCGGAAGCCTTAGCCCAGGGCGAGACCTTGGCTCCCAGCCCGCCAGATTGCCCGAATGCAGCAGCTGGCTGAGCTCCTAGCGCACTCGGTGCGCCAAACGATGGCGCTCCAAACGTAGGGGTTGAAGAAGCTGCCGCCGCTCCTCCGAAGGGATTGGACGCTCCGGCCGGTTGAGCCAGAGCAGGTGCGGTGGTGGCAAAGGCAGATGATCCGCCAAAAGGGGAGCCTGCTGGCTGCGATCCAAAGGCTGATGGCGTGGCGGCAGGTGCGGCTGGTTGTGCAGAAGTCTGACCTTCAGCCACGGCCATGCCGGGATATGTCTTGCCCTCTCGGATGGCATCGTTGTACACTACCCACCAAGCAGACAAAACACCGCTGTAGTTGAGCGCCCACAGCGCAGGAAGAGGTCCAGGGGATTGTTCGTACTCCTCATCTTGAGGTATCGGCCTGTACACGCTCTCCTTGCTCGACAGGTCTAGCGAAACTCCGATGGGATAGGTAGGAGTGTATTCTATGGGGTCCGAAGGCACCTCAGCCCTCTTGGAGTCATCGGTGAACTCGGTTGTCGTGAAAACGTTCGTGATGGCTTCTGCAGGCACGTCACTGGCCAACGGCGCCTTGGATCGTGTGAGCAGCCCAATTCCATCATGGGCCGTGGATGCGACAATGAGCATGTCTTGGATGTTTGGTGGGTAGTCTCGCAGGCGCAGGACGGTGTGGTGCGGCGCCTTCTCGTTTCCATAGGGAAGAACTGGGTCGACTAATTTCCGGGATGTGAAAGATGCTGACTGGCCTGGTGCCGTCTGCCGCGTGATGATGCAGTACTCCGAGGCGGGCGGTTCGCCTGTGTTCTCTGTGTAGATGACGAGGAAGACATGGTTCTCTAGCCAAGATATCGAGGACACATGTACGTCCCCGAACGCGCTCGGTTTGGGAATCTGTGCCTTTTCAGCTCCGTCAGGAGTCATCTGGACGACACTGCCATCAGACAATCCCGCGACCAGCTGTTTGCCCTTGGTGCTCCATGCGCCACACGCAACCTGGTTTCGAATGACTGGGCCGTTTGGACCGCTGACGAGTGACTTGTCCTTCAGGTTGGCTATTAGAAGGTTGCCGTTCGTGGTCACAACGGCGCATAATTCCGCCAGCTCGGGCATGGGATTTGGTATCAGGGCCCTGATGCTCTCCCCGCTAGTCGAGATCTCAAAGGTGGCCTGCGAAGATCCTTGTAGCAGCGCCTGCGTCTCGTAGACAGCCAGCCCGCCGCCCTGCTCGGCCGAAAGTATCAGGAATTGCTCGTCTGGGGTGAATGCGAGGTGTGATATCCGCATGGGCATGGGTATCTTGACTTGGGGCTCGAATGCCCTAAATTCGGTGTCCCCAGTCTTATCAGCCGAGAAGGCCTTCCGCGCCGACTCGGTTGAAGAGAGATATACGGCATCCGGACCGGCGGCAGCCACGAGGCCCTTTCGGGATGCAATGCTGAGGAGGGACGCTGTCGGGGTGGGTGGAGGGGACCATTCTGGAGTCAACTGGACCTTCGCGTCGCCGGCGATGGCGAGGAATCCTAGAGTCTATTGCATGTCAGGCCATGATGAGTGGGGTATCGAAGAAGGCTGTGCATGTTAAAAGATTCACCTCGGTCTGAATTACTTCAAGTGTCGCGCCCTCTTCCATCTTGTCGAGTGCCGTTTGGCCGTCGCGACGGATCCAGGCAAACGAGTCCCGTCTTAGGTTCTGAGCATGGATTTGCAGATGGGCAACAGAGGAAACTTCGCCGCAGGAGCGCTGCGAGTGGATTTCGGAAGACGCTGGGGGAAGCAATAGGCTGAATATGCAAAATGGGTGGGAAGGTAGGGAGAGGAATGGGCAGGGCAAAGGAAGACAAAGAAAATGGTTGTGGTTTGGTTGCAGGAGGTCGATTGTGACTTGAAGATCGCGACGCTGCCTGCCAAAAAAGAATCCCTGCCTGTTTCTCCAGAGCCCCCCCCCCCCCCCGAGCTTGGGCCAACCAGACCCAGCTGTTGTGACAGGGGTGGCTGCATTGCTTCGCAGTCTGGGGCGCTTGGAAGGCAGCTGGAAGGCAGCTTTTAGCCTCGTCATCCACCGCGGCAGGCCCCATCAGCTCTCTCTGCCTCGTCCATGCCAAACGACCGACCGCACGCTGCAGCTCCCCCCGATCACCTCCTTCCCACGCAAGCACGCACCCCATCAACTTCCATCTTCTGAGCCTCAACAACACCTCCCACTCACCCTGCAGCTCTTGTGATCCTCTTCAAAAACCGGTTCCGCAGCTGACACGAACTGCCGCCATCATGCCGGGCTTCGACTTCTCCAACTACAACCGCAACGCAGCGCTGCACGCGCGAGGCGTCCCACTGCCCAAGGCCACCAGCACAGGAACCACCATCGTGGGGTGCATATTTGATGGAGGTGTAGTGGTATGTACAGCTCAACTTCAGAGCTTCCGAGCCTCGTCGCCTTGATTTACCTGACGTGGCTTCCGCCATGCGCTGCGTCCGCCTGTCAAGCTACGTTGCCGTGATGCTCAGCCTAGTCGTCGTTCTTGAGGCTAACCTGCCAACAAACAGATCGCAGCCGATACTCGAGCGACCTCAGGCCCCATCGTGGCCGACAAGAACTGCGAGAAGCTGCACTACATCGCCCCTCAGATCTGGTGCGCCGGTGCCGGTACCGCGGCAGACACCGAGTTCACAACTGCCATCATCTCCTCGAACCTGGAACTGCACTCCCTCTCCACCGGTCGCAAGCCGCGTGTTGTGACCTGCATGACCATGCTGAAGCAGCACCTCTTCCGATACCAAGGCTACATCGGCGCCTATCTCGTCGTGGCGGGCGTCGACCCCACCGGCACCCACCTGTTCACCGTGCACGCGCACGGCAGCACCGACAAGCTACCCTACGTGACCATGGGTTCTGGCTCGCTGGCGGCCATGAGCGTGTTTGAGAGCTCGTGGAAGGCCAGCTTGACCAAGGAGGAGGCTATGGAGCTGTGCAGCCAGGCCATCCAGGCTGGTATCTTCAACGACCTGGGATCAGGAAGCAATGTCGATGTTGCGGTAATCACAGCGGACAAGACCACGCTGCACCGAGGCTACGTGAAGCCCAACGAGAGGAGCCAGAAGCTTAAGTCGTACAAGTTCCCCAAGGGCACAACAGCGGTGCTGAACGAGAAGATCATCAAGAAGGACGAGATCTTGAAGTTTGTAGACGTGCATGAGGTGTCTGCCGAGAAGATGGATGTGGACACATAGAGATGCGATGGGTGCACGACTCGGGGCAAGACGATGACACTAGATGGGTTGAGTGAATCACGACCGCTGGTCTGTACCAACATATGAAATAGAGCATTGCATTTTGAGACGACACAGTCGCCGCCCGTCGCCGCGCTCCTCGGCCGGAGTGATTTGCGATTCATCAAGAGACAGCTTACGTGAGTTCTGTCACTGTTCCGTGATTCCTTGATATCGAGGGCCAGACGACGGCGGAAGACAACTCCCAGGGCAACTTGTGACCAACACGCCGGCACAGTATTTGGAGTGCCGAACCAGCTTCCAGAATACCTTTGTAGAGGAGCCATCTCAGATGATCGAGCATCTCTGTTTGGAGTCAAAGAGACTTCGGGTCCATCGTGGATTCTGCGTATCAAGCCATCCAGAAATACGCTTTCCGAGCCGAACCCGCGGCTTTGGCCTTGTCTGGACAAACAGAGCCTTGACCACAAAGGTAAACTGTAGGGTCTCCCGGGGTGCTCGGAACAAATTGAACCTGAAACATCCACGAGCGACCGTAGTGGCTGTACTGCAAAGCAATTGTGAGGAATGTTGTCTTCACACTTATTGTGCGCTCACGCGCACGGGGATCCGATATGCTCCGAGGGTTTAAGATCCATTCATAGGCAGAGGCGCGCAGATATCCGGCCGTGTTAGCTACCAAATCTTGTAGCTGTGGTGATTGACAAATTATATAATAACATCAGTCTTTCTTCTCAGTCAATTAAACGAGCCAAGGCCGAGTGCGAGCATGTGTCAAGATGACACTCTCAAAACATAATGCAGTAGCGATTGTCGAGTGTGTAGTGTTCGTAAAGGTATCGCTATCCTGCATGGTCTCGTTGATAGCCAACAGGCTCCTCAGTAGAGGAGGAAACCTTGCATGCTCCAATTATCGTCTAAGCGGCCATGTTGACCAACCTGCTTTGGCACCGTATAAGACTGGCCTCGATAGAGAAATCCCACTGACGACCAGTGCAAGTCTAGGTACAGAGAGTATTCTTCCCGCTCGATCAATTTGTCAGCGTCTCTTTTTCAGGTCACACTCTGTGGTGACGCTGCGAGCCTCTATCACGAAGCGAAAATGCATGGTCTCTTTTAAGGCTGCTATTTGCTCTTACATCGAAAACAATAACTGTATAGCTTGGTGTACAAACGTATGATAGAGAAGGCAACTCGGGGGCCTGATACTGTCATTTGTCCTGGCCGCCTAAGGACCTTGCTCTCTCTCTCTCTCTCTCTCTCTCTCTCTCTCTCTCTCTCTCTCTCTCTCTCTCTCTCTCTCTCTTTCTCTCTCTCTCTCTCTCGCGCGTCTCTTTGCCGTCATCACAAGCTCGTTGGGTTCTTCATTTCTGAGGCCTGGAAAGAAACAAGTGACCTCCGCAATAGAACTAAGCAAAACACTTTGTTGGTTCTGCTTCCGCTTCCTGCCAATCACTGAGCAAGGCAATGGAACATCTCCGCACCCAATCGGTGTGTTGGCTCTACTAACATATTCTTTCCCGAATAATTGGAAGGCTCAGGCAACATTTGCTAGCCAGAATCTTGAAAACTTTGAACGATTCTCGGCAGTCGTTGACGTTGCTGATCATTCAGTTCATGTTGTGGATTGAGCTGTTGAGCAGCTCTTCTATGACTGCCGCATTTTGAAAATGAATGCGAGCAGTGTACCGAATACCGAAGTCGTATGTAAGTCTTTTCTGAGGGTGAGGACGAAATTGTTTGCTTTTCTTTTATATTCGACCCATGAAAAACAGAGCTCGAGTATCAAAAAGTGTGTCGTGCTCTGAGTATGAATGGCGGAAACATCAACTGGCAGTTCATATTAGATCCATGTCTCTAGGGGCAATTCTAAAACTGGTCTGTGATAGCCGCATTTTGTTGTAAATTCTTTGCCACAGATGTAACTACATGTCTATGTGAGCACAATCGTCAACCTTGATTAAGTCATAGGCAACTGCCAATGTGTAAAATGCGCCGATTCCACCGAGATACCAGCCCCTTAACATGCCTCACACATGATGTGAGGAGGCCATCATAGGCCTGGCAGGTCCCGGTACGGCGATGAATCTCAATTGGACGCGTGAATGGTTCGTTTCAACGATGTCCTTGGCTGTAAGCGTACATCCATAGGGATAGATCGCTGTCTAGTAAGTGCCTGTCTATCGCACTACCGCTGCGACTAGTTTCGAGAGTGAGAGTGCGATTGTCTTGAATGATGGACGACGATGCTGTCCCTCCCTACCCATCAAACACTGGACAGCGTCCCCCTCAAAGACACCTCGCCCTAGCCAGGAATAGTAGCAGAAAGTTGGAGCGGCCAACGAGCTAGATCATGCAAGTTGTACCGCTGTTGCATTATGTGAAGATGATCACTGGGTGGCGGGCTGCCGGCGCTTGACTGTGACTCGTCCGAATAATCTTCATTTAGCAAGTCTATTCGACATGTTTGAATGGGCTGGTAGTAGAACCCAAAAGCGCATCGAGCGCATTGACGTATGGTAGGAAGAGAAACCTATGTGCCAGGCGTGCCGGTGTCGAAGCACGATTCATGAAACAAAACATTTGATATTTGCAACAACTCATACGGGCCTGACAAAGTATAAAAGCAAGAAACTTGCAGTATTCTCACGACGTTCCACCTAGGGCAGCGCCGCAATTGACTTCCACAGGCGGCGGAGAGCACAAATGGCCGTAGCTCCTCGTATTCCACTTGGATTGAGGGTTGACGAGGCTCTTTGATACACTCACGGACGTTCAAAGCAAGCCGGTATCCGTGGTACTGGCGACCGAAATCCTCAATTTTGATGCCTCGTCATGAATCGTGTTCGCCGGCGGCCAGTGGGAATTCGGAGGATCCGGCGCAGCGTATCCTGTGCAGGGTCATCTCCACCGATTGACCCTCCCGGAGACCCTTGACGATATGCGATCGGCCATGCAATAAGCCCGTGGGTCCGCACCACGATGGGGCTCTCGTGCGAAGAGCCTCATGCGGACATCGCCTCCGGGCAAAACGCCCGGCAATCCAAACGTGCGAAAGGGACGCCGGGGTCGGTCGTGCCCGTGCGTGAGCCCGCCCGCTCCGCCGCCCGCGCCGCCGCCCGCGGCCCAGCCAGCCAGTCCTGGCTCTGAGGGTTCGGGGCTGGCCCAGCAGCCCAGCAGCAGGTCCAGACGTGCCCAGGGGAGGGGAATCCGTATGCACTGGGATCTCAGCGGATGAGATTCCGAACATACGACGCCCAGCTTGTCCTTCAGGAGACGAGCTCGCTTGCGCACGTCGATGCAAGGAACGAGGGCTAATGCGAGATGCAGGAGGGCAGGTTGAAACATCAGTGGTCAATGGCGCCAAGGAGATGCTGCAGTCAGCTGCAGTCAGGGACGATGTTCTCGGTGCGACGAGGGGATTCTCTCGTGTGGTGGTCAGCTTTGGGACGGGGAGCGAAGGTTGATCGAGGCCTGTTGTCGGCCGGTAGAAGTAGAGCCCGGCATTGCTGTCCCAAGGTTGAGCATTCAAAACCCCTCACCGGCACGAGATCCCTTTGATTCGGATCATATCCACGATCACACTGTCAGCCAACCCTCTGCTCCGTGTTCCCGCACAGCCGTGTTGGCGAGGCTCTCGGAGGAGCGCTGATCGAGATGCCGAGCTCCTCACAAAGAGCCAGAAGGGCATTCTGTGGGACCCATGGGGCCATCTGGCCCTGAAGCGATCCTCCCCCTCGTCTTGGCCAGAGCAGCGTCTCATTCGGACCGTCAAAATCATCCTTGCAAGTGTTCTGATAGAGACCCCACAAGCCGTCCACCCGCGAGCCGATTCCCGTAACAGTTAGCAATTCGCGTTCGGGATGCCTTCGTGATACTGCAGCAGGGCGCCCCGAGGGTCCAATCGAACCTTTTCACGCCCTCGAGGACCATCGGGTCTGTGGGGAGGCTCTCCGAAGCACCGCAGCTTTCCTGCATGATGGGACCAATATCCAATTTGCGGGTTAATGAAGTTACCAGTCTCTTGGGAAGCCATAGCATTCCTGACATGCAGATTGGAATGCCTCCTGCCTCAAGGGGCCCACCGCGTAACCTGCCAGAAAACTCCCGCGCGTCGGCGCCGAAATGCCCGCGGCCTGGTCTCCGGCAGAATGCCTCCTGAGGGTTTGGCCGGGTACCTGGGCATGCAGCAGATACAATAGCTGTCACACTGCATTGAGCCGAACCTTTCTATGGCTTCAACTGAACCTGGTCGAGCACAATGTCAATACCCACCACCGCACAGAAATCTTCGAAAACAGAGTCTTTGAGCCGGCTCCGACACCATACGTGCGGGAATGCAGCAGAGAAGTATCCGCCCGAGCTGATATTCTGCTGTATGCGCCTGTGGATGTGCTGGACGGAGTCCAATGAGCAGGGCGGACCTCAACCTCGTTCCTAGGCCCCGGTAATGCTGACAGTATGCAATGCGACGACTTTCAGTATCACTGTACTGGTCAGACATGCCGTTTGCTCTAGGCTGGCCTCGTGAAAATCGAGAAGTGGAGGACGCTGGTACTATGTGCAGATCCAAGTAATTGAGCCCTAGGATGCATCGTCATGGTTCCGCGGTTATGGAGCCTTTAGGAACACCTGTTGCAAAGGATCCATCGAAGGCCAGCCCTTCAGGGAATAGTGGCATCCCTCGCTCTTACTACGCCCGCAGAAGTCGCTAGACATATCCGGGTCTGGAACAGTGTCTTGCGTGGCGTCTGGGCGAAACCAAGCCTATCTTGAACCTGATGAGCTCTGAGAAAGCTTTGCTAGCATTCTCTCTTTGGTTTCAAAATAGAATTTGGGCTGGAGAATGGTAGACGGCGTCGTTTAGGGCCGCCCTATGTGACAGCTTGTCTCGTCTATCAACTGAGTAATCTCCACTGGAGCCTGGCGCGGCGACGATCGACATTCCTTCAAGTCACCATGTCCTTGCTCGGCACTGCGATTGACTAGTGTACATAGCATAGGCTCATCGTTCGATGCCATAGATGGAGTCCACTGACCCGGCTGATGTCAGATTCAGGAGCCACCGCAGTCTGAGCATAGTCGCAGCCGGATCGGAACGTGTAACTTGCGCCAAGGTCGCGCGCGAATTTTGGAACATACATCTCCATGGTCTATTTTCTGCTGCTACAGAGCAAAGCTCTCGAGGGTTTGTCGTCACCAAACACTCATCCTGCGTCTGTGCTGATTCCAAGTGGATGGTGCGAGTGATAAAAGTGGCCCAGGACCTTGACACTCGCACACATTGGGAGATCTAACCGGGTGAGGCTAGATCACCCGGCCCCAGTCATTGCGGAGGCAGGCATTGACCCACCTGCTCGGGGCAACCTGGGATGGATCGACCCATTCGAACGACGTCTGAAGGGGACTCCGTCGAGATGCTGTCTCGGCAGACCCTCGCGAGCCTCGTTGTCTCTGACAATACAATAAGCAAAGACGTTTGAAACTACCTAATGAGGTCTAGACTGACTGACTGTGCCGTTTCCGATGGCAGCTGTCAATGGCCATGGCGGCTTTGTCTCAGATCCTGCGATGCTGTGGCTGCTGCCGTCGACTCCGATTGTGAAAGGGAGTGAGTGACAGGCCGGGTTTTGCTAGTCTATGACCGTCGCGTCCTCCCGAGCCTTCGTCTGAGACGAACCGTAGCATGTCAAACATCATGCATACCTCCCAGACAAACCGACCAACGCACGCATGTCGTGTACAGCAGCAAAACCCAGAGGGCCGCCCGAGTCCCTTGGCAACGCTGGACAGTTGGCGCGGATGGTCCTCGCAGCAGAGCCGTCTGGTGCTAATGCATCGTCAGACACGGCGGCGCGGACTTTTGAGACAAGTTCAGCGGAGGCAACGCAGCCTGTGGGGTCTGTCTCATTCACCCCGTCCTCGCCAAGAGCCGGCGAAGGGTCCTGGCAGAGGGGGCCTAGAAGCTCCAGTTTGTCCACGTACGAAGGCTTGACTGCGCGATGCCCCGCAACGGAAGGTAGCACATCGGCCGTCCCTTTGCCACGGGTTATCGCCATGACAGATTGCTTTCGCGGTTGCGTCAGCAAGGGCCGCAGAAGGCTGAAAACGATGTAACCCATGCCTTTCGCTCCCGGCGACCCTGGTGGGTGCACAGTACTTTATGGTTGCAAGTTGGTCCTAGTAGCCTGAGAGGAGGCCGGCATTTCTGCATGTCCAGTCCATGGGCAGTGGCCCCCTAACGCGCTTGGGGCGTAAAAGTGGACAAGCAATTCCGCGCAGAAGTAGCAGTTCACATCGCCGCTGAAGATATGGCACGTTCTCCGACAAATGATAAGGACTTCCGAGGATGGCGTGATAGACGAGAGCGACAGATAGCAAGAAAGGCCGCATAATCGTTCAGGCTGAAATAAATGAAGCTGGCTTGGCGATGTGCAGGTACGACGATGAGAAGCGCCGCGCCGACGCCACGCAGATGGCAATGCGTTTTCTCCGGGAGTGAGACAACGTTGCCTGCAGCATCTGCTGAGAAACCCCAGGGTGAAAACCGAACTGTCGATTGCGATGCATTGCAAATACACCTCTGAAGAACTCATGGGCACCCAATCGTCAACGTGCGCCACATTGCGTTCGGAATACGGATACACAGTACTGCAAAGGCGGGCGGCCGTGGGCATGCGTGCATCGGAGCTCGGTGCCGTAAGGAGCAAGTGAAAGCAGAGGCCGTCTACCCAATGCGGTCATGCCGTTCCTGTGTACTTTTCTTTGTACTCCCAGGGCCGGGAGCGCGGCCGTGGACCAGATTGTGAACCCGCGGCCTTGGATCATCCTTTGGCTTCTAGAGGTCTTCTGGAAGGCGTTCGAACTCGAAGTAACCCACGGGCCACGGCCCAGGCAATCCGGCCCCCAACACAAGGAGGTTGCTTCGGCGTTGCCGTGTTTCTCATGTTTTGGCTGTGCCGCACACCGGTAGCTAATCAAGTACGCTATCAGAGGTCGGGAAGGATCGACATGTCTTGCTTGCAGTGCTTGTTGAAACGTGTGCAATCAGGCGTCACCTAAGATTTCCTTTCGTGGGAGCGGGAAAGGCGAAGATTGGCCAGAGTCCAGAGTGACCATCGAGAAGGCTGGAAGGATTCCAGGCTGTCGACACATGATCTCTCCTCATCATTTCTCCTCGCAGGATGCCTTGTGAAACAGAAACCCACAGCTGAAAATAGCAGAACCATGTTCGATGCGAGCAAAACGTGCCGTGAAATCGAGACTCGGCGCAAGAAGAAGAACACTGTCTCATGTGGGGTTATAGAACCATTCTTACCTGCCTAGGAGATGGGCGATTTGCTGCACACTGCTTCGTCCGCACTGTTTCAAGAACGCCTCCGATGCATCACAGTTGCGTTGCCTCGAGTTGACACAGGATGATCCAGCGAATCCCATTGTCAGCGTTCCTTGAGGCAACCTCAGTTGAAGCCTGGGCTTATATGGCGAGGGAAAGCCCGGTTCGGACATCGGGTGGGGGTGCTGAGTGGCATTCAGCACTACGCAAGAAGTGGCGCCTCCTTCAGTGAGCTGTTCAGCACAACGCCATTTCTGGAGGTGGCCCGTGGCTCACCCAAAGGCGGCGACAGAGGCTGTTTCGCGCCGTGCCGCGAGAACCAGACTCTATTGATTTTGAGCTTCCAAGGATCCGGTTCGCTTGCTGGCAATGCCCAGACACAACTGATCGGTGGCTCTTGAAGACCTTGGTCGCAGCACGGGCCGAGTGGCTTATTGCAGGGCCATGCGCAGGAATGTCTGACAGACTCTCGGTAAAGGCGTGTGGCAACACTACGAGCTGACAGACATGAGCACGCAGCGCCTCTCGCTGGACCTAGAGCTGCGCCGTCACAGGCCTGGGTCATGTACTAGGTGCGTTTTGGTCGAGGGCGGGAGACGCTGTCTGCGTCACGGGTTGTACACAACCAAATCTTATCGTTAGATAGCCTAGAGTTCCAATCGAATAAGCGCCGAAGTGTGTGATGAGGCGTGGCCGGCCCAGCAAGCAATTTCCTGCCAGTAGAGCAAGCATGCTCTCATAGGTCAAGGGCGCTCGAAAACACGAGCAAGTTAATGAGCAACAGTGCCCTGCAATTGCTCAGTGCTCAAGGCGCTTGGTCTGGACACGGATGGTCTTGGCATCCGTAGGCTCCTCTGGGCGACCAAGAGAATTCCCAATGACGTTCGCGGGGGCCGTACAAATGTGTAACAAGGCGCAATATTTGCCGTCCTCGAATGTGATTCAACAGGTGCATCGTGCACGTTGTGTGAACAGCCAGTGAAATGGCTTCGCCGGGCTTGGTCAACCTTGCGCTCCTACCTGTACGGCCGGCAAGGAGGCCAAGTGGCCAAGCAGACGCGACCTACGTTTGGGGGGACACGGGGAGAAGAAACCCAGTAGCGCAGCAATAATCCTAATAAGATTGAACACGAATTGAGTTTGATTTGGGGGCGGTCGTTAGACGGGAAGCTAGTTCACCGGAGGGAGAAGGGTCTCGTAATTAGCCTATCAAAGGTCACAGACGGCGTTGTTGATTCTGAGTGGTCGGCAGCTGTCACATCCAGGGCAGCGGATGCAAGGCGGAACGGATTGGCGGGCTGGTCCAAAGCTGGCTACGAGTCCGATTCGAGGACCCTCTCGACGGATCTACTCAAAGCCGGCGTGCAGAGAGTCAGTCAGTCAATCAGTCTGTTCAGTCTAGAGCTGGCTGGCAGTGGGACTCGACGAAGGACATGGCCCACCGTGATGCTTGGCGCACACCATGACCTACCTCTGAGTACCCGGTACCCGGTACCCGATCGGTGGGCAAAGTGCGTGGAAGATGCCGCGATTGAAACGAGGGCTGGCCCGGCTGCCTAGATGTTTGTAGGGCGCTGGAGATCGGGGCATGGCACGGCACCAGCACCCAAGGTCCTCGAAATCCACTGCAGTACTTGTGGAGCAGTAAGGGTTTGATACTGCCGCAGTAGTCTGGTCCGTGAATAGCAACGTTGAGCGGGATGTCCACCCCACTCTACTGTCCTGTGTACTGTCTTCCCGGGGGCCAACTGGCCGAGAAGATGACCTTGAATATGCCGTCGTGGTTGTGAGGACTTGATGTTGGAATAGAGTTATTGAAGGCTGAGACACTGTTGAGCAACGCACGTGGTGGGCGAGATTAACACACCCAACACTGTCTGGGCTGGGTTGGTCCTTGGGCTCGTTCTCTGGAACCGGGAAATGTGGAGGTCCCTCTAGGTCTATTGTGCATATGGTCTTTTGTTTCCATTGCTCGATTGGGATGAGGCACCTCGGAAGCGCAGATTTGCTGAGGTTGGGCCACTGGCAATGGTCAACCAAAACAACAGAACAAGGTTGTGAAATGAGGGCGGGGGTGTTTCTTTTTTTTTTCTTCTTCTTCGGCAGTGACAAAGGGGGACATGCTTGCCCACAACCCGATCGAGTTTGTCTGTGCGATTCCACACGTCTGGAAATTCAAAGCGACAGCCAACGGCGGTGAGGTCATGCGCGGAAAAAAAGGAGGGATGATCTCTGAAGGCATGAACACAGTTGGGACGGAAGGTTGGGGCAGAGCGAGTCGAGTCTGCGGAGAACCGAGGCATGCAAATGTCTGCGGAGCCTGTGAGACGGCTGCCGGTGGAATTATGCGCCTCATGGACGACAGCTGTGTCCAATATCAACCGCACACTAATAGTACGCTGACAAAGGGTCTCATGTGACGGCCGAGGGCTGCATCACCGAGGGTGAGGGTGAGGTGTCGGACAAGAACAGAGGCTACTCGGTCGAAGCTATCTTGCTATGTGCAGCACAGCACATGCAGCTATGCAATGGCCGATGACGACAGCCCTCGGCAGGAGCAGATGCACTGGGCTGGGATTTATTACAGGCGCAGACAGGGCAGACAGCCCTGATGATAGCAGCAGCGGACGATCTATGCGAGATGGAGGGTCCTCTTTTTGATCAGTGCCTGCGCGATGGACTGCGGAGGATTTCGCAAGTGGCAGACGGGTGTGGCTCAAGCGGAGTGGGGAGTGGGGAGAGGAGGAGCAGGAGGAGCAGCTTCAATTGTCAGGATGCCAGGATGTGAGGATGTCAGGCCTAGCGTGGGCCCGCCGGTGCACCAGGCAGAGTCAAGGCCAGCAGAGAGTGGTCCCTTGTGGAGACACACAGGAACGTGCCGTACGAAAGCTGCGGCATGGTGGACAGACGGCACCACAGAATTACACATTTGGCAGTGTTGGTCGAGTGGGCGGCCCCCCGAGCGAGTTGCGTACCTGACGTTCCTGCCGGGTGTGCACAGTACTTGTACGTGTAGATCGTGGACCTGGAGAAGGAACGAGCCACTCCTTCATCTTACCAACTACCAACTTGGCAGATCCTTCCTCCTGTGGTGCTAGGGGGAAGGATGGGGGACGGGTCGTCATTCCCGCTGGGCTGCTGCCGATTTGAGTTGTTGAGCCGAAGAGGAAAGAAACTTTTGTCGTCTGCTTGGTAGACGGGAGCACAGGCAGACAGGCTGGCCCTCGGGTCACCCAATCTAATAATTGGCCCCTACCGCGCAACAAGTGTGTGCTGCGCGTTCAACATCTAACAGCACACTACGTGTACTACGGCACCCTTTCTCCTTTTCACTGCCTTGAGCTGTCAGGAACATGGGTCGACAGTGCTGGTCGCTGCCGGGGCTCGTCTGGCTGGCGAACTGCCCTTTTCGTCACCCCTGCCGGCCTCGCATGATGGGTCCTTTCCCCACCAGATGCACGCGCCGCAGTACCCTCGACGTCCATCGTGGGTGGTTGTCCGCAGCACGCCGAGAGAGAGGGCTGGTACCGTGTACAAGTGCAAGGTATCTAGGGTCCTGCTCTTGCCTACTGCCCTTGCCTAGGACGTCCTAGCTCGCCCGGCCCAGCTGGTCTGCGATCCTCGTGGGCCTGTTGTGGCCGGTCCGGAGGCCCTAGAGCCTAAGCCTGGAGCCTCTATGCCACAACCAAGGCCGCTGGTTCTTTCTTGGTCCCCTCACCACCTGCATTTTCCAATCTGCTGTCGCTGGATTCTCTCGTGATGCGAGGCCAAGTCGTGGACGAGCACACATCCCCCCTGAAGGATCAATGCGCCCGTAACCTAGCGACCTGGTATAGGTATGCTGTGTGTGTGTAAGTGTGAGTGTGAGTGCGAGTATGATGTCTGTCCAAGACAAGACATCAGCACAGTGTTCGCCGTCTCAATCCTGGCATCCTGATGACACACTGTTACAGCGTACATATTTTACAACCAGCAGCCAGCATCCAGCAGCCAGTCGCAAGCACCAGCCAGCAGGTGAGAGAGGGCGGCGCAATCCTCGTCGGTGGGGTCCCCAGTGCCCTCGAGATAGGAGAGAGGGGCCCCCGGTCCACGGCACAGCCAGAGGCAGAGCCAGCCTTGCCTGTTTTGAACGAGCAGGCCCTGCTGGACATGTCGAATGGGTACGCGGGCGTGGCGGGATGCAGATTCTTTCCCGCTTGACCACCGGCTGCTACGCCAGCATCCTCGCTCTCGAGGCCTTGACAGGATCAGCGGGCCCACCGGGGCCATCACAACAAAGTTCCTCGCAAACCTCGCGGCACCCCGGTCGCTCCCGGGGCCCCTGGCCGCCCTAGCCTGGGGGCATGCAGGTCTTGGGAAACCTTGGGACGGCCATCTCCCTGCGCCTGCAGCTGCCGTACTGCGTCCGCGTCCGCCGCCCACCCACACCCGCGCCCATCCATCAGATCCTCCTTCGTAAATACCACCGCCCTGCCCTCCTCCCCGCCCTTCCACCGTCCGTCCATGATGGATTCGAGCTTCTTTCTCCTCCTTCTTCTTTCCAACCCTGCCACCCTCTCCTTAACGGCTCGGCTCACCTGAGATCGCGTTACGTCTCTGCCTGGACACGGACTCTTCTGGCACCGGCCGACTCCGCATGGTCATGCCACCCCCATAATCCATCCATCCATCTGCTCCAAAGTATCACTTCTGGTGTAAGCTATTCACGACCCACGACCCAACGACCCACGACCTACCTGCGCCTCTGAACTGTGCAGGTGCATGTGCAACGCTCCACGACCCAATCCATCCTTCTTGCCGTCATCTTTAAGCACCAAGTCGTGCGACCAGGCACTCCTGACCTCCGCAGCCTGATTAATTCCCCGGGACGGTCATTATGTGAAAGCCCTTGCTGCCGTATAATTCTATTTCTCTCACGGATACAGCACCAAGCCCGGCGCATCTCATCACGTCTTCATCCAGGAGGGTTCAACAAATCTGCAGTGTATAATACCGGCACCGCTGGGACTCAACGCGTGAACGCACGAGTGGAAATTGAAGACCTGCTGTTGTCGCGGAATACATCCAATACATACACAGCCTCTTTCTTGGGGGCAACTGGCCATAGCGTCCGGCAGAACGCCACGCCCGGGAGGACTCCCAACACCCGTCGACATTATTTGTCACGGGAAGTCGACGTGTTTCTCATCTGGCGATTCTACTTTGAGTTGGCACCAGGCCACCAGACAAAATGACTACCAACGTCAGCGAACTCGCGTGCCCCAGTGTTTTCCTCAATGAGTTGCAGTTTGGAGATGGCGGATGTACGCTGAACATGCCCTGCCATTTTGGAGACTCTTTGCTGACTTTTGCACACAGTCGTCGAGGGCCGGTTATGTATGAATCGGACTGGCTATTCATGCTGTCTACCATGTCCCATGACCGACTGGGCCTACCCGGACAGTTTCGATTCGATGAGCAAAGCGGCAAACTGGGTTGCAGTAGCTAGCACGGTCTGCTGCCTGTTCCTGCTGCTGTCGTGGGCCTTCCTACCCATCGAGAAGACGCACCGGCACTACCTCAGCATCTGCCTGACAGTAGCCGTCGTCTTTATGAATCTGGGCTTCGTCATCCCTCTCGCAGGAGAGCCAGAGCAGTGCTACGACGCCATTACGCCAAACGACATGCAGACGAGCTCAGTATGCGCCGCCTCGGGGACGTTCATCATAATCGGTGGCTGGGCTGCCGTGCTCTGGATCTTTCTCAGGGCACTCTCTCTTCATCTCCAAATTTGCTGGCAGGTTGTGGTCGGCCGGAATTTCATGTGGTTCTCTCAGGCTGCTGGATGGGGCCTCCCAGCGATCGGCATCATCCTGGCCTTGACATTGAGCGGTGTTTCGTTTCGTTTCGGAGCGACCTGCCACATCAACCACCAGAACAGTCTCGCAGATTTGTGGATTCCTTTGCTTGTCCTCGCCGGCGCCACAATCATCATCCAGTTCGCGACCTTCGGCTACTGCATCAAGGTGTATCTCGCATCCCTGGCTGACAACAATGCCACCACCGAAAACTCGGCCGGCCTGCCGTCCTACTCCAACAGCATCCGCACCATGACGCCGCGACAGGCGTATCGCCGGATTCGCCGTGTTATCCAGCTCCAGTGGCGCGGAATCGCTATCGTGCTGATCATCATTGCCGACGTCATCTTTTTCGCCGTGGTATTCGTGTTCCAGGACAATACGATTCAATCCGTCAAGCAGGATCCGTCGATCGCGCTGCCCTGGATTGCTTGCATCACGCTCAACGGTGGAGACAAGAACAAGTGCCTTGATCAGGCAGGCAGTATAGCCGTAGATATGGCTACTGTGGGAGCTGTTTTGATACTTTTGGCCGTACGTCCACTCCTGGGAACTTCAACCCCAAACCCCCTCCCTCCTCGTCCCTAGCCCACAGATAAGCTGACACTTGGGGCAGATGAACGGCTTTTGGCTTCTCATGTTGCTCGGGCGCTGGTCCATGGTGACCGCCTGGCTGGACCTGTTGGGCCGCCGCCCTGCCGCCAAGCGCGAATTTGTGTCAGTTGATGCAAGGCTAGACGACCTTAAGATGAATACAGACCCACGTTCGTACGAGATGCTATCCCGGGACTCCGGGAAGAATTACATGGACGAAATGGTAACACCGGACACAGTTCGAGAGGGTCCGATCTATCCTCCCATAAGAAGTTACCTCGCTTCGACCGCGAGCCCCACGATTGACAGCCCCGACATGAGCTCGGGCCGACGGACACCGGATTACTTTGGACCCCAGGCACGGTACCAGCCGCCTGTGAGGTCCTTCTCCAGCCCAAGACCACCGACGCGAGAAGGCCAGGGCTCGCAGGCAGGCTGGGACGCGAGCGCGGCAAGACAATACTCGCGAAGCCCACCGCCAACGGGCCAGTACTCACAGAGTCCCCCGCAAACGTACTCACAGAGTCCCCCGCAAACGTACTCACAGAGTCCCCCACAAACGGCGCACCAGCACCAACACCAACAAAGCTACGGCTCACAAGATATGAACCCCCTGGGGATGAACAGGATATGAGATGAGGGAAGAACGGTCGACGGCTGAAGACGAGACATACACGAAATAGCGTCATGTACATGACCTTCGTCTGGAAGCCTCGGCCGAGCTGGGCTGCTTTACAAAAGAGGATGCACTCACGTGCCTGTCGTTCCCGCAACTGCATCACACTTCTTTTCAGCCTTCACGGCCCCTGCGAGCTCGACGATACAAGAGAATCGCAGCTGCGGGCCCAGGTAGTTAATTACCCCCACACGTATGCACATACACCAAGCCATCACACACACACCACCACCAACATTTAGCACGGCGCATGCGGTGTTCTTGATTGACGGAGAATCTCTCTTCAGTCATGAATGAGTTCTCAGTCTGTTGGCGCAAATCAAAGCATTCATTTACGAGGGGGTTTGCCTTGACTCGGATGCTTCCTGCGGAGAGGCGTCGCTGAGGACCTGGCTATTGATCATATTGATTCCAACAACATATATTGAAAGGGTTTCGAAGGCTTTGATGGATGCAATGGTGGACGGAGAAGATGCTGGCAGAGACCTGACGGCCTACCTGCGGGCCAGTCGCCCAGGATAAGCTGCTTTGCCCTCTTTGGGATAATAAAGCGGGAAGACCGGGAGGAGCAACAGATCTGGGGATGCCCTCGGGTCGTTGGTATTGTGCGAGGGAACAGAAGGAGGCTATATGCTGCAATATGTGATGTGACTCAAACCCGGAGATGCCGGGGTGCTGAGCAATCCAGGTGGCAGTCGGGCTCGGGGTTGGTCGCGTGCTCCACGGGTTCCGAAGCGGCCGAGGGCACGTGAGATGGGTGGAGTGTGCAGCGAGCGAAGGAACTGCAGGAAAGGATACCCAATTTGAACTTTGTATATGTTCTGCCGTCGCCTTTGATACCTAAATCGACGGCATTGAGATAACGACTCGGTTGAAGGGGGTTGACGTGACTGAGAGTGAGCTTGCCTGCATCCCGCTTTTTGAGGTAGGTACATGCTGCTTACCGACGTGAACACTGCAGTAAGCCTGGCTTATACATCCGAGGGCGTCGCCGAAGTCGCCAAGGTGGAGGGAGCTATTCTCCGGGTGCAAGTCAAACTAAATAAACAAACAAACAAACAAACAAGGCAGAAACCGGACGAACGAAAGCAAGACTGGACAACAACCAATGTATATCGATCTGGATCTGCCATCCATCAGCCATTTCAAGGCTGGGCTGGACACACTCGCTTGCAGGGATTGGGCGTCCGAGCCTTGGGAGAGGTCCGAGAGATGATTAGGTAACCGATGCTGCTACACTGACGTTTGGTGCCAGCCTCGGGGCCCCGTCTCACCGACGTGCGATCCCGCTCTGGTTTCCAAGGCCTTCAACGACATTGATTGCCTGTTGTTCTACCGAGCCTTCCGTCGAGCCGCCTATGGTCTTGCAGAAAAAAATCTTGATCCTCCTGCCCCCACCCTGTTGTCCAGCCAGCTGGTTCTGCTGAGATTCGAGCATCCCTGCAGGCCTAGTTGCATGAAATCACGAGCATATAGCTCTTCCGCCTCACCCGCTCCCCGGCCAGCCGTGCTGCTCAGTAGTATAAGGCCGAGGGTCAGGACTGCTACCGCCGCCGTAAGCTGCCCCCGGACAGAGACATGGCACATACGCCCACTTCTTAAGACCCCCAAGACTCCAAGATCTCGTCTCTCCCAAGACGAGACTCCACAGCCCGTCGGGCACGGGCTCACCCATAGGAACCGTATCTAATCGTGAACCCGGCCAATCCAGCTCGATGAGGTCAGCAGGGTGTTTCGAAGCCAAACCCTCCCGAATGTTCCTCCTCCTCGCCGTCCTCCTGCTCGGGGGCTTCTTCCACTTCCTCTGGAAAGCGGAAGCATCCTCCAACGAGCCCTGGATACCCGACACGGGCGCCCGCCTCTTCGCACAGCAACCCCTCCTGCCGCCCGCGCCCGAGACGAGCATTACAACATACTCGCTGCCCCTCCGAACGAGGGGCCGTGACATCGTCGACACCAACGGCCGCCGCTTCCAGCTCGCCAGCGTCAACTGGTATGGCGCCTCCGACGAGCTCTTCATCCCCGGCGGCCTCGACGTCCAGCACCGCTCCGTCATCGCAAAGACAATACGTAAGCTTGGCTTCAACAGCGTGCGCATGCCCTACGCCGACGAGCTGGTGATCCGTAACCCCCTCATCTTGCCCCACCTGCTGACGGCGAACCCGGACCTGGTCGGCCTGCGCGCCATGGACATATTCGACGCGTGCGTGCGCGCCCTGACCGACGAGGGCATCGCCGTCATAATCAATAACCACATCACTCACGCCACCTGGTGCTGCGGGGCCGACCCGTGCGACGCGGGCTGGGCCAACGACCACCTCGGCCCGCTGTGCCGGATCAAGCAGACTGAGGAGGAGTGGATAGAGCACTGGGAGGCGGTGATGGCGCGCTTCCTGGACGACCCTTACGTGATCGGTGCCGACCTGCGGAACGAGGTGCGCGGTGTCTGGGGCACCATGTCGTGGGACCGGTGGGCGACGGCGGCCGAGCTGGCGGGCAACAGGCTGCTGAAGATGAAGTCGGACTGGCTGATAATCGTGGGCGGCACCGAGTCGGGCAACGACCTGTCCGGGGCGCGCGCGCGGCCCGTCAAGCTCGACGTTGCCGAAAGGGTGGTGTACAGCGCGCACGTGTACGCTTGGTCCGGGTGGGGCAGCATGGAGGGCCGCTTCTCGAAACGGGCATACCCGTCGTTCGTGAGGGCCATGCAGGCGAACTGGGCGTACCTGGTCGACGACGATGTCGCGCCCGTCTGGATCGGCGAGTTTGGCGCGCCGCAACACCCGGGCCAGGGCGACGCCAACTACTGGGGCAACCTGCTGCGCTACCTCAAGGAGATCAACGCCGACTTTGGCTACTGGGCCATCAACCCGCGCAAGCCAAAGGACGACAAGAAGGAGACGTACTCGCTCGTCGAGGACGACTGGGTGACGCCGGTGCTGGATTACCGGATGCGGGATATGACAGAGCTCATGCGGGCCTAGTGTGCCCGCGAGGTGCTGGGATTCACTGCGGCCGGTGGTCGAGAGGAGGGGTTGATCTGCTCAGCTGCTCATCAGGGCCATTGGCCTTGATGCTTTGATGTTGACATCAACACCTGCCAGCGATGAGAATGGGCCATGAATGAAGCCGGGCAGGGCAGGGCATGTATATCACTTGTTGCTACGGCTATGCATTGGTAAGTCGAGCTTTCCCGGAAATCGCCATCCTGTCAGCATGACTTTATGTTTTGCAAGGCGTTGGGTTTGTTTATTTGGGTACTGGGGAAATGCATGTATAGGAAGTCGTATCCTGTGGAAAAGGATGCAGAGAATTATGGAAATACCCATGATTAGCCGGTCATTCACGGGGTTAGACGGTAGAGAATTGAACCAGGGATAAATACACCGGGCGTAGCTTAGAGCCTTGTGGTGCTGCGTTCAGCCCTGTCGTGTCATGCCATGAGATGGCAATTGTCCACCGGTCCGGGATTGGAGACAATAGCTTTGGACTCGACCCGCAACGACAGGGATCTAGTGCGGTGTCGTTATTAGTGGGGGTCTTCTCGTGATAAAGCTCCCCTCCCCCAGAGGGGACAAACGGGCCCTCAACTCCAACCTTGTCACACTCATCCGTCTTCTCCATTTCATACAGTTCTTGAAGTGATACAACATACTTTTTTGTTTTCTATCAGACAGGAAGCCTGATCCGTTCACGTCCTTGCGACCGTCTTGCATGTCCACCCAGCAGCCTTGCCTGGCATAGCGTGCGCAAACGGATAAAAGCCTTCCGGCGTGACATGTGAGCCAAGCTCATGTTGCTGTTCGCCCAACGGAGACATGTTTCGTGAAGGATCCGACCACCAGGCGATCTTGGGAGACAAACTGCGGGACAGCTAGCAGATGGCGAAAGGAGGTGAGTAAACTGGCCTGGCCTAGAGGACGAATCTGTTCTTGCCTGACTTGGAGCCTTTGCTGCTCACTTTCCTGCCTGATATATTTGCCCAACGTAATTCATTTTGTCGTTCTCCACTAGTCTACCTCATGGATGCTTGTGTCCCTGGTATCTTCCCCTACCGAGAGCTTCTGTGTGGCTCTTTCCGCCCTGTTCGTGCCCAATTCGGCCTTGTCCCGCACTAGAAAGCACTCAGGTCTTATCTGTTGTCTCGCTAACTCTCTTGCCGCCCAGTCTGACCACCGACTTTCGTATCGAACCATAACCACATGTCATCACTCAGGCCTTTGCGACACGATGCGGGCTGCCAATACTCAGCCGGGCGCCTCCGGCAGGGGCTTCGTCCCAGGGTACACGGTGAAGTACCGCGGCTCGCAAAAAGCAGAGGATCGGTTCGGCGTCGGGTGCAGGGAAGACATCTCGGAAATGCTCCACGATCATGAAAATGAGCCGCTCGCTCAGGACTTCTCTGGCCAGTGGGAGGACTTTCCTCGGGTTGCAAGAGCACGCATGAACCTGACCGCACTTTCTCAGCATTATGACTTATATTTCGTGGCATACATGGGTTTTGTGCACGTTTACCGCCTCGGTCGTGGTATCAGGGTAGCGCTGGGGGAGCCAGAAGCGATACTCGACCCAAGAAACAGCAAGACTAATATGTCCAAATGCGTCTCCGCTGCCATCAACCCTAGCTGCCCGAACGCGATGAACCACATGGTCGTGGGCGAGTTGGGTGATCAGGAGATCCTCGTGGTCTGCAGGGACAATGGCGATGTTGAGGCTTGGTATACAGCGGCCATCGCGGAATACATTCAGAGAAACAAGCGCACGAGCAAAGACCGGGATCAGACGAAAGGCCGCGGACAGCAGGCAGACAGAATACCACGGCAATCACACCCAAGGCACTTCTTCGCAGACAACGTCGGCGAATCAGCATGGGGCCTGGCAGTCCACAAGAAGTCTCGCTTAATAGCGGTCTCTTCAAACGGGCATGAGGTGACCGTGTTCGCGTTCGCCCTGAACGGCGACAGTGAGGCTGCCAGCGGAGCATCGACGGACAGCGTCGATGTTCGTCCCAAGGACGTTGGCGACAGAGATAGAACTAAAAGTGACAGGGACACCAGTGGCGCACCGTCGCAGGGCGAAAAGGGCCGTGTCATAATGCAACTGCCGCAAACTAAGCCCAGTGTTCTTGCTGACAGGATGGACGAGCCTATCTCTAGGAGAACCAGGGCAAACAGGCAAGCCAATGTCGGACAAGCCCAGGCGACAGTGGAAGAAGCCGCAGAACAAATCGACATGCTGCAACAAAGGTTGCAAGCACGGCAGCGGACATGGCGGATCGTCCTGTCCTTTGGCGTGGATGCATCCAACATGCCAAGCATTGCAATATGCGACGATGCCGACGGAAATGGCAGCCGGATTGCTGCCATCGACATCAATGGCTATCTTTACGTTGCCGATATATGGCAGATCGCTCGGAAACCTATCAGGATCCCTCCCCACAACGTTCAGTTCCCGGGCGGAAGACGGTATAGGTTTGTTCGCGGCTGGAACGTGCTACCTGTCATGGATGCGCAGTTGCTACCAACCGACACGGTTCACGCAGCTGTGGGTCTGCACCCAGACAAGTGCGTCCATCGAGCAAAAACCTCCCGTGGTCCTTGGCGGGACATATCCAGATGCATGTCGGAGGTACGGTACGACGCTGCCTCAAGGAGGCATAAACACCGTATCGCCGCGTTTGAGTCTGAGGATTATAGCGAGGACACCGACGGTATCGCCAGGGATACCTTTTCCCTAGTTGATTTCGAGGAAACAGCCACTTTATCGCCGCATCTCTCGGATAAGATATGGCATCCGGTCTACGACCCCAACGACGGCATTGATCTCGACAGCCAAGGTCCTGTGCGGTTGGCCATGACAATAGTGCCCTTCTCGGGGAACCACTTCACCGACCTCGCGACGCCCCGGTCAGTGGTTGAGTTTGCGGGAATCAGGGGTGCGGCGAGGCGAGCACACGATCTGCGTGTGCCCCTCAACATCAGTCAGTTCCGGCAGAACGCTCAGCAGTGGGATGGGGAAGACCTGCTGCGAGACATAAGTTTCCTGCGGTTCAACGAGGAAGATGTGGAGATGCTCGCCCTTGGCGAGACAGACACTGGTGTTGTTTGCCATCAGTAAGTGTCGTGATGCCACGTGTCTTCCTGGCATTGATCCTTCTTGATGTGCCTGGCACTAATATCTAATCACAGTGTGCTGGACAACGTGAACACGAACAGTGCTGAGGCCCCATGGGACATGGGGCTTGGAAAGAGGTGCAGCATGCTCCTCACCATTCCGGAGCTTCACCTTGTGATCATGGGTTCAATGTGCGGACGCGTTGCACTCCTCACGCTCACGAGGCCGAAGCCGCCGCAAGCGGAGAACGCGCCCGGGCGTGCGTTCCGCGTTGACGCCGTCTTACCTTTCCAGTACGAAGAGGAGACTTCTGAACGCCCGTACGTCTGCTTGTTAGGTATAGCAGTCTCGCCGATGCCTGAGCCCCGCTCGCGAGGACTCGAACTGAGGCGGCGGCGGCGAGTGGGGAAGGGAGGCACGCGTTCTATTGAACCAGAGCCGCCGAGGAGGTGGAGGCTGATCCTCAACTACCAAGACCATACAATCATGCAGTACGACATCGTAAAACGAGACGAGGGCGAGACGGCCCTATGGGACGACTTTGCTGGGTCGAGGGTGCATTCCCGCAAGAGGTACAAGGCCGAGGACAGTGATACGGACGACGACGACTCGGACTCATGGGCTGACACCGAGGAGGACGAGGACATCACCGTTGGCATGGACCAGGACCCGCACGAGCACCTGGTCGCAGAGGATGTCATGGGCGCGATGCTGGACGACCTCAACCAGGGGGAGCTCGCGGCAGTCTTTGTGGGCGTGGGAGATGACGGCGAGGAGATTGACTTTCCGGACATGCAAATCGCCTGAGAAGGCTGCTGGACGGCCGTTTTGGTTCTGGATATGGTGTCCTCCAGCGTGTAATATACCATAATTGATTCAGGCATTCCGAATTTGGCTGGGTCGGGGAATCTGCAGCGGAGAAAGCATTGCTAGGGCTCAAGCCTTGGGACTCGGAGTCTATGGGTAATTGGAAGTCCCTTGATGTCGAACACGGATCAAGTGCAGCGATTGCGTCCTCGACTCTCCTTGACCGTAGGCACAGCTTGAGAGCTACCCGTGGGTGGCCTCAGGAACAGCTGCGCAAACACGCTCGCGATGATGCCTTTCCAGTCTCAATGTGGCCTCTGTATGTTGCGAAATCATCGACGGGCTGTAGGTTTTCTCGGTCATGTCCCAGGAGGTCGCTTGGAAGTAGAGGATCCAGGGGAATTTCGCACGACGTACCAGGCGCTGTGCCTTGAGGGCATGAAGCGACATGGAAATGGGCCAGACGTGGCAGATGTGGAACCTGCCTTGGGCGATCACCGAGGCCAGGTTGGCATGCACTTTGTATGCCCTACTCGTTATGCACGCTGTATGCGTCGCTCACTGGATGTGCCTATCCAGCGTCGAGTATGAGCCATGATATGCTCGGATGCGGTCCACATACCGTCGCAGCGCTACTCACCCCTTACCCATCGGCACACCCGAGAGACCCCCCCCCCCCCCCAGCGGAACTCGTTTCCCTCGGAGACATCGGCGATTGATGTTTGCTCGGCCGTTGACCAGATGACCGTGGCACGATGGCTACCAGAGCAAATAAAACGACCCTTGTCTGGCTGGCCCCCCGGGTATGATCCACTGGAAACCGAGTTGGCGGCTTTCGAGAACCGGCACAACAAGGTCGGCTCCAGCCAGGAGCCACAAGGCGTGGGCCAGCTACCTGACCAGTTCGCCCTGTACTGGGTTTTTGAAGGACAAGACTCGCTGCCGTGCCTCCGCCCTTCCTCCCTTATCCACGATTGAGTTGATGGTTGTCGATCAGGCCTGACGCATAGAGGAAGGATCCGCGCACTCATCGTGCATGTCCCAGGTCAGACGACGAAACATTTCCCACCATTGAGGCCGCGAGGCAAGCCTGGAATTACAGGGGACACAATGTGCCTCCCCCACAAGATGACGAGATGGGCCGTGTCCTTCCCACGCGTGTGGCCGACGATCATGGCCCGGAATGGCGTCACATCCGGCCGAGGCTGGTGGGGCTCGGGGGACAGGCGGGGTCCCCTGAACGGGGATTACAGGCGCCGGCAGTGTCTCGGGACTCGAGCTTCGACGAGCTTGTTTTTTTGTGTCTCCCGGTTGCCCCATCAGCCCCTTGGGGATATGGTCCCTTTCTGAGGGGCCTTCATCTCGAATGGCTCGGGAACTGACCACAACTCGGGTGGTGGAGGATTTATTGGCTCCCGGAGCACAGGGGTGGCAGAACACACGAGAGGAGGCACTGCGCATGACGCTGGGCATTATTTTTATACTTTTCAGCTGGAGAGGCTCAGCCTTTTTTGGTCCCAAGAAGGGCGACGGCCTGGGGACTTAGTCAAGGCCGTTGTAGCTACACGGGGGGATCCTGTCTGCAAACAGCAACGGATGAACAGCCTGACTCGGTCTTGGCGTTTCTTGATCTCCCAAACAAAGAATCTGGAGAAACACAGCAATAGGAGAGACAGGCGATACTGGCGTCGCTCGGTACATAGTTGTAGGCCGGGACCCGGTGCAAAGCGGGCAGATTCAACAGCAAACGTGCACAAAGCAGGCATGTTCCTTTTCGGACGTCAGGTGCCATCAAGACGAAGCAGCCTCACGTAGAATGGGCTGCCATTTCCCATCAATCGGGGCATGCGGCTCCGACGCAGTGAGCGGATTGGTGGGCCTTGTTTAATTTGCGTTCGCTCTGCTTGAAACACGCCTTGGGTCCCCGTGTGGATGCCGTCGAGTCGGGTCCAGCCGAACCACACTCAGGGGCCGGCTGCGTGTGGGGATCCCGTCGAGAATATAACCTCTCGAGGGCGATCGCTGCGATGCTTTTCCCGTAGGTCCTGCTTCCTCTTCAGCCTTGTCTGTCTACTCATCCACAGTCTTTTCGTTTCTAAGCCCTGGTGCTGCTGACCTTCACTCGTTCGAATCCAAAGTCAATATTTGTACAAACAACCTCCACGACAAGCCAAAATGAAGTTCACCGCTGAAATCGCCTCCATCGTGCTGGCCGCGACCTCGGTCACGGCTGCCCCCTCGGTCAAGAGGGCGACCGAGATCTCCTGCGACTCCTTCGGCTCCAAGGAGGCCGGCCCGTACACCATCTACCACAACAACTGGGGCGCGGCCCAGGCCACCTCTGGAAAGCAGTGCACCTCGTTCGACAGCATCGACGGAACCACCGTCGCCTGGGAGACCAACTGGAACTGGGAGGGCGGTTCCACCTCGGTCAAGTCCTACTCCAACGCCGCTCTTGAGAACGTCGGCAAGCAGCTGAGCGCTGTCAAGTCCATTCCTTCCACCTGGAAGTGGACGTGAGTTCTCCCCCATCCTCGAAATGCAACCAAGGCATCGCGGACTAACAAGGGCCACAGCTACTCCAACACCGACATCGTCGCCGACGTGTCGTACGACCTGTGGCTGGCCCCTACCCAGGGCGGCACCAACTCGTACGAGATCATGGTGTGGCTGGCCGCGTACGGCGGCGCGGGCCCCATCTCGTCGACGGGCTCTGCCATCGCCACGCCGACCATCGGGTCCACCTCTTTCAAGCTGTACGAGGGCCCCAACGGCGACACGACCGTCTACTCGTTCGTGGCGGACTCGCCCGTCGAGGACTTCTCGGGCGACATGATGGAGTTCCTCACCTACCTTGTCCAGAACCAGGGCGTCGCCGACAGCAACTGGATCACCAGCCTGCAGGCCGGTACCGAGCCCTTCACCGGCGCCGAGACCGTCTTCAAGACCACCGCCTACTCCCTGACCGTCGCCTAAGTTTTGATGAGCGATGGGTGGGGGAGAGTGTGGGAAAAAAAAAAAAAAAAAAAAAAAAAAAGGCGCGTGGCATCCTTTTTTTAGATTTCGGTTGTAAATAGTGAGATCAAAGGGTGGAAATACAAATCCTGATCAAGAAACTTGAATGTCCGGATATGAACAACACAAGAGGCACCACAAAACATCTCGAAGAGCCATGCCAACGTTTCGGTATCACGATGGCCGTCGGAACTGCGGCTGAACGGGGGGAGACAGTAAACCCTTTAGTATGGTGAAGAGGTGAAGAAGTGATCATTGGTGAGTGTTGACAAAAGAAACCGTAACCAGAACAGGCCTGATGCAGTGGAGGTAGGTTGAATGTTACCCGTACGTAATTAAGCGGCTCAAAATCGTGGCTCGCTTGGCTGCCGCGAAGCAGTGCAACCTAGAGATGTGGGTCGGATTGCGTGCGGGCCAGACTTGACGCGGGAGCGCCTGACTGACCCGACATTGTACAAGCAGTGGTTGGGAAGTCTCGTGGGGTCTCAGATGATAATGAGGAAATGTTTCTTAGGAATGGCCCTATCTTGGTCGAGTTGTCTTGCCCGTCTGGCGTAGCTGGGATCCGCGCAACACTCACAGTCTAGAGTTTCTGGACCATAGCGTCTGCTTCTCGTCCTTTTGAGAGTGGATATTGTTGGCTGGTGAGGATGAGGCTGTCGACCAGTTGGGGCTGCTGCAAAGACGTCCAGTACTCAGCCTCAAAGCACACAGCGGGAGACGCTCCTGCCCGTCACCCCGTTCCCAGCACATTGAGGCAGTCTCGAGCACCTACAACACTGACTCCCGTGCACCTATGTTCGATAAAGACCACGCACAGCGTGCACCTTTCAGCCCGGGCCCAGAGATGGGGTCAGCACACAATGGCCGCCAAGCCGGGACCCCCACCCACACGATTTATTCTCCACGATGATCCAGATGGTGTTGCTCGAGAGGCGTGTGGTAGGAGAGGGGGTGGGCCACGAGATGTCAAGGGTGTGAATGCATCAACCCACGCGAACCAGCAAGCCTCGCCCAGCAAAAAAGGGTCGACGCATGCCGTCCCGGCTCCTCGGAACCGCGTCGTGTACAGACCCAACGAAAGACAAGGCGCAAAGAAATGGGGCTGCAGATATACGGCAGCACATGCACACACGCACGCACGGCTGGGCATGCACGCACGGTACGTGTCGTGCCGCGGCCCCCACCATCCTGTGAATATGCCTGTGATGAGTGAGGCTGACCCCCGGGCGGCGTGGGGATGGTGAGATGGTGAGCAGGCCCAGATCGGGGCCAACCACCACCAGGGAAGCGCCACGGAGATCCCATCCCATGTCTTTGGGGGGTTCCCGACAGCCGGGTGCAGGCCAGTTCATGCAGACGCACATGTGTGCGCTGAGGGCGGCAGCGTGGGAGAAGGGTTAGGCATTTATTAGGCTGCTTGCTCTCCCTTATCTCTGCCCGCCCAGGCGCGAGGGTGAAGGCTGAGGTGGGCTAGCTAGTGGCACCCGGCTAGTGCGAGTCCGGTAGATAAGGAGAGAAGCTCCAGGTGACGACGATGTGGGCGGTGGAGATTGCATCGCCAGTACCGGCGCTCTGGATTTCAGATGCACGTAGTTAGTTGATCCCTTGGGGCTCTGACAGACAGATAGATCCAAACTCTGTGAGTGTGGGGTGCTGCATGCCGGTACTCTTGTGCGTGCGTGCATGCTCGCCCCCATGGGGAATCGAGCGGGCCGTATCTCACTGGGTTGTGTGATGATGCTATCCCGATAATCAATCATCGCAGTCGAAACACAGCCTCTTCCCTTCAAACTCCTCCCTGTGCCCATCGTTCTATGGGGAGCTGAGGGCTGTCGCAGGAGGTAACAATAACAACACCGTGGTCTGCCACCGAGCCCGATGACGATCGGGTGCCCAGGAGCCAGCAATCAGAAGCCGCCCGACCGCCCGCGAATGCAGTCGTCGGCACTACTGTCAGCTACCGCGGAACTGGGTCCCCTGTTTTGTCCCTTGTTCTTGCAGGGTTGTCCTCCCGAGATAAGGAAGTGTTGGCTCCTTGGCATACCGTGATTGTCCAGTATAATCGGGCGGGTTCATATGGTCGGTGGCGCCGGCCTGTCTGTGAACTGTTCGATATCTGTGGGGGACGGGGGGTTCGACACGACATGGACTTGACTGGCTTGCGGTCTATTTGCTCGATTGAGGCCGATGATGGCGGTTTCGAAGTTGGCCTTGGTATGCGTCGTGTGCGACTGATACGTCCATGGATGTTAGTAGGGCCATCGAGAAGGGAAAACCGTAGTGTGTTGGGATCTGTCCGCTGGTGGCTAGCCGACAGCTCCCCCCCCCCCCTTTTTTTTTTTTTTTTTTTTTTTGCGGTCTCAAACAGGTGGCTCACCTCGTAACACGCCTCGGCAGAATTGGCTTCATAGGATACTGGTTCTCCATACTTTGATTCCATCTGGCAGACTAAACCGCAGTCACGAGTGCAGTTGGTATCAGTTGGTATCACGAGTCTTAGAAAAAAGGCCTCAACAGTAATAAGTGTAAAGTGGGTATATTTCAAGATAATCGAGACAAAAGGCCAATCTGAACCAGTAACGACGTCACAAGTGGTTGCCCGAGAATGGTCCACACGCTCGAGTTGTAAGTAGATGACACCAGCCTGAAAGCACAAGCACCACTCGAACTTTTTGTACCCCAGTCCAGACGAGTCCGTAAAAAAACAAAACCCCCACGCCAATGCCAGTAAATCCCATCCCGTAGTGCTCTCTATCCTCAAGCACGCTGCTCGAAACCGAGTGACCGACCAATCTTCAAATATCATCTTGTATTATTAAAGCCGGAGAGAAAAGTAAAACACGCGACGCGGCCTTCTCATTGTGGCCTGTCGTTGCTGGCCCGGTCGTTGTTGGACCGGTCGGACGACCCGACAGCCCGCTTCTCCGCCTCTTCGCTGCCCCGGGAGGCGGTGCCGTTCGCCAGTATTTGGTGTTCCTCGATGCCGTGCTGGGGAACCAGGCCGACGCCGTCGATGCGTTGCTCCTGTTGGGCAGGGGTCCAGGCCAGGAAGTCTCGGCGGACCTCGACGTAGTCGTAGGCTGTGGGCACAGGCGGGTTAGCATAAAGAACACAAAGAACACTAGGTATCAAAGAAGCCTTTGGTGGAAATGAGTACATACCGAACTCGCCGTGCTGGTCGTCGTCCATACCCAGCAACTCAGCCTCCTCGCTGGCCCGGAGCTTCAGCCCGGGGATGAGATCGATGATCTTCGCAATGATGGCGGACACGACAAAGGCGTAGCCCGAGCACGCACAAATGTACGCAATCTGGATGTACAGCTGCTTGTAGTTGTGATCGAGCCAGCCGCCAGTGATCACGCCGGTGTTGACACCGTCCAGGCCGATGATGTAGCCTGCGCCGAAGAGCGCATTGAAGACGAGGCCGACAATACCGCCGATGCCGTGCTCGGCAAACACATCGAGGGAGTCGTCAATGCCGACCAGGAACTTGATCTTGGTGCCAAAGTTGCAGCAGATACCGGTGACCACACCGAGAATGACAGATGCCCAGGGTGGGATGAAACCAGACGCTGGGGGTGGCGGCCACGAGACCGGAAATGGTGCCGGAGCACCAGCCGACGAGGGACCATTTCTTGGCCAGACGGAAATCGAGAAGGCACCAGGTCATGGCCGCAAACATGGCGGTCAGGCACGAGTTCCAGCAGGCCATGGTGGCGCGGAGGTTGGCGCCGAACGCGGAGCCTCCGTTGAAGCCGAGCCAGCCGAACCACAGGAGGATGGTGCCCAGGAGGATGAGGGATATGTTGTGCGGGCGGAAGTTGAGCATCATCTTCTCGTTGCGGCGCCCGAGGACCCACGAGTAGGCGAGTGCCGACATGCCCGAGCCGATCTCGACGGGCCCGCCGCCGGCGTAGTCGAGGACGCCGTAGTTGAAGGCCCAGCCGTTGATGTTCCAGACCCAGCAGGCGATGGGGCAGTAGACGAGGGTGGCCCAGAAGAAGGTGAAGACCATGGCGGGGAGGACACGGCCGCGCTCGGCGGTGGCGCCGACGACGAGGGCGCCAGTGACGGCGCAGAACTGCATCTGGTAGAAGGAGTACAGGAGCTCGGGGATCAGGGGCGAGCCCGGCGAGGGCACGGCGAGGGTGTTCATGAGGCCGAAGTGGTGCAGGTCGCCGATGAAGCCGTTGGTGGCGACGGAGCTGAAGGCGAGCGAGTAGCCCCAGAAGTACCATTGGAAGATGATGACAGAGAAGGACATCATGACGACCCAGATCATCGAGAGGGCGGATTTTCTTCGAGCGAGGCCCGAATAGAGGAAGGCGATGCCGGGCATCATGATCAACACCATACACGAGGCCACAATGATGAAGGCCTGGTCACCGGATGAATACCATTGGTTCAGGTTCTCGGTGGCTAGGGAAGACTGTCAGCTACCACCACCGACTCATGACAATGAACAGCAGCATTGTGCTGCGTCCTTTTGGAGAAAGCTCTGCTACGCACCAGAATCACCACCGGTCTCCGCGTTGGTGCCATTGAAGACGGCCGGTGCTCCGATCCATGAGTACGACATGGTGCCGGAGTGAATGGGGCGTTGTTGGTGAAGCTGACGGTATCACCACCTTGTCGTGAGGAGGTCGGAGGGGTGGGTGGTGGGTGAGAGGAGGGGAGGTGAGGAGCGATGTAAGCTTCCCCTTCTGGAGCGTGCGGGTGCCGCGACTCAAAGCTGTCGAGGTGTAACGGCGTACGGCAGGAGGCCACTCGATAAATTCAAGAAGCAGAGAGCAAAAGTCGAGGAGGCGCCAAGGGGGGTGGAACGCGGGATAAGAGTAGTAATATATGAAAGCTAACAAGATGGACCAGGCATGCGTTCTTGGTGATCTCGGTGGATAGCAGTGGGCCAGGAAGGAGAGATGCGTGGGCGACTAACACAGGGGGCCCTGGTCTCGATGTCGATGCAGGTCGTGAGGCTTGATCTAGAAAGGCGAGAGGAAGAAAAGTCCCCGGGTTCTTTTCTGGGGGCGCCACACAAGCCAGCCCCCCCCCCCCAGCCAGTCCCTTGAGATTAGCCAGGCAAGCCGGTTCTTGCAGCCCGTCTGGCCGACCAACAACTGGGCTGGCTTGACTGTCGTTCTGGGGCGAGTTTTCCGGGTCGGCGTGGGCGACTCAGACTCAGATCTGGGTTGTGCGAGAGGCTAGAGGTTTAGAGCCTTTTGCTATCCGGACCGTTTTGTGTGCAGACCACCCTACTGCGGACGGTTTGGGCGTTCGCGTCTTCTGCTTTCGATGGGCCCGCCTGCCCATAGGCTGACAGTCCTTTGTGCCCTGGCCAGTTTGCACAGATGGTTACTGCTACGGCTAGTGCCTGAGGGGGGCTGCAGAACAGAGCAGAGCAGAGCAAAAGAATTGCAATTGTCAAGGCGCTGGCGGTGGTGCCGGGAAGTGTCTCCCAGTCGGTCGGATCGCCCGCCAGATGCTTCCACTCGTGGGGTTTTGGCAAGGGCCCCAGGGACCCCAGGCAGAAGAACAGTGACCCTCCAGTGAGAGGCGTTAGCAGGACGCCATAGAGGGGATGTGGCTGAAGAGTGACGGGGAAAGGGGACGTTATCGAGGGTACCCCACGCCGTGTTCATCCCGCGGAAGGGTGGATTTGCTGAAGCCATCAGCTCATGGCTACCAGTGATACGACGCCCTCCAGTTGTCGTGTGCCAGCCAGCACTGCGAGCACTGCGAGCACCGCCAGGGCTCGCCGACAGCCGTCGATCTGCTAGCCAGGAGGCGGTTCTTCGGCATGTGGCTTCTGCATCCGTGCCTTCCTTCCAGGTGGTAGGTACTATGCTAGGGCTTACTACTGCCACAGTAACTTCCAAAGTTGTTCTTGCACAAGCGCGCACACGCACACGCACACACGCACACACACAAGGGGCCGTGCCCAAGCAGATCTGCCAGCCGACAGCTGGCAGGATACGGAGAGTCCAGCTACCTGGTGGCTCCGTTCCGTAGTCGGCGGCCCAGGCACATCTACAGAGGCTCCAACGTCCAGTGTCCGCGGGCATCTGATCGTGAGGTGAAGAGCCTGAAGACGGACAAGGGGAGGGGGTCTTCTGGAATACAGATGGCGAACCGTGGGGATACGATACTGTAAATGGCAAACGGCTTCACTGCGCAGCAATCCAGACCCCTGCAGACGTCAGGTCCCGGGTCTGCTTCTGCCCCCCTTTGACAGCTCTGCCTCTCGCCCATTCAGCCTGGAGGAGATGAGCAAAAGCAGGACAAGTGTCCATCATGCAACGTGTCTGCTCTATTTGAATCATTTCTGGGTCAACTGGGGGTTGACGTGCAGGAGGAGCAAAAAGAAGAAAAGACGCGGCATCGACAACACTCGGGGCCTGTGGGGGCTCGGCGACAGGGGTGTTGAGTGCCGGATCGGGCAAGGTGAATGAATGCGTGGGCGTGGGTGTGGACGCGGGCGAACTGCAGCGGCAGAGATCGGATGCCCATCGGCCAGGCGGCCAGGCTGGATCGGCCTCAGGGTTGTCGATGATTTGAGTTCTGGGGATGCCACGCATGCTCATGACTTGCGCCGGGTTTGCTGGAGTGGTAGAGTTGTTTATGGTGTAATTGTGCAGGTCAAGCTGCGCCCATGTGAAGGACTCTCGGAGGGGCTGTTGACAGACAACCGCCTGGGCATTTTTTTGCTTCCTGGGCAGCCTGCCACTGACCGCATTGGCAGTTTTGTATCTACTACGTCTCACGGCGCGGTGCTCAACGTCTCCGGATGGCTCCGACAGCGGTGACCAGCACTTCAGTCGGTCCATCGCTTACACTTCGGCAGCCATCACCAGCAACATCCCCATGTGCCATGCCGTCCATGCCATGTCATGCAGGAGAGCACCCATTTTCAAGGGTCCAGGCCAGGTCCCGTCCACATCCATTGACGTCTCGGTCTGCCCCGGGTCCTAAAACTGGGGGCAGGGCTGAATCCGTTAGCAAACCATTTGTCCTTGGTGTTAGCAAGACACTCTTGAGGCTCACTTGAGGCGTGCCCACTTGTTTATCATATCTCCTCCTGCACTCGTATCTAACAACAGAGCATCCCGAAATGGTCCGCCACAAGCCCATCACCAGTTATCTATCAGCCACCAGGCCACCCGAGCAGATCAATCAGTGAACGTCGGCCCCGGACTTCCATGTCAGACAATTCAGTCATGCAGCGCCGGGCGTTGCACCCGCACTCGCCTCCCATCTCCGATGCCCGGCATCTCCCCAGCAGCGCAAAATTGTAAATTTCTTCAGGTATCCATGCTGATTCGACCTGCCCCATCCCAAGACGCTCGCATGGTCAGGTCCAAGAGGCTTGGCAAACCATCTGAGAGTGTCAGGATAGGGCTCCGGAATCACCGCCGTGCAGCCTGCGCTGTTTTTATTTTTAAGGTTGCTGTTGGGCTTCATCTCAAGCACCCACACGCACCCAAGACGGGGCGGGTGGCCTGATCAGTGAACCCAGTCGGGGGGCCGGGGAACCGCAGTCCTGCCCTGCTGCCTTGTGCCCAGACCCGGGTCAGGGCTGAGCAAAAGCATGTCTTTTGCCTCATGCACCCCAGCTTTGCCGCTCACCCTCGCGATTTCAAATTCCGCCAGGCAGGCCGGGCAGGAGGGATAAAGAAACCTGGAGTCCCACTCGTGCTTGCCCACTAGACGCTGCCGGTGTACAGATATGGGAGCAGGCCCCGGTCAAGTCGAAACAAGCTCTCGGGCTAATTGCAGAGGCGGGCCTTTGCCAAGAGATAAGGAAGACAGCGGCCGAGTCCAATGAGATGCCGTCAGATTTCTCAATGCCGTCTGTCACTCGCTTCAGGGGCGCCGTCCGGATCTGGCTTGGGGCCATGGGACCCATGGGCATGGGCTGGCAGGCTGGACGGACAGGCAGACAGGACGGGCCAGACGGGGGACCGGCACACGTGATGACGACTGGGGATCCAGGACTCTTCCACCAACGTCACTCCCTCCGAACTTCCAAACTCACGCTCCCGCGCGCTGATCGCTGATCGCTGATCTCGACGGAACTCGCTCTCGGCTCGAGCCTGATCGAGAGGTCCATGTCCGTTGCTCGCTCTCCGATGTCCGTTTGTGTTACCGTAAGCTTGAATTCGGGTGTTGCGGAGGAGGAGCCGGTGGCAGCCGGTGGGCGGCCTCTCAGTAGAGGTTGAATTGGGGCAAGCCTCACCTGTGGGAAGCTAGATTGGGAGCAAAAAACTAAGTGCTCTCTGCTGTAGTACAGCTCTCCATTGTGGGACGCTGGCCAGATTAGAGTTTATGTTGACAGACTGGTTCTGGCTCTGATTCTTTCGTTGTCTGAGACCACCATAGCTCGGCTTCCAGCTTGTGAGCAGTTCTGGTGCATCGATGGTCGTCCTATGCTGTATGCGGTCCAGCAATCCTGAGGCGGTTCACTAGGGCTACGGGTGGGCGTGCACATAGCAAATGGCAGCCCCCAACCCCTTTTCTCTCTGCATATGCGTATGCTGCTTGGCCACGGGACGGAACTGCCCCTGAACAAATGTGCCTGTCTTGGATTCAAGAGTTGATGCGCCCTGGCGGCGCTGGCGACGTCAGGGACATACCGAGCCCGCATGAGGCAGGTCACATACTGCAGCTTACAGAATCACCACATTTGCTTGGCCGGCAGCTGTGATCTCCTGCGATGTTACTTCTCCGCAGCATCCAACTCACCGCCTTCCGTTCGTTGACAAAGCGTCTAAGACAATTCGCAGGCTCATTCCCACGAGTTTCTTTGGTTGGCGGTGCGGCATGTCGGGGTACTGTTACTACGCCCGCCCTCACCGGCTTAACTATGGGAGAGCGGACGGGATCCCGTGTATTCCAATGGGTATGGTCGTACGTGATGGAACAACAAAAATGGCTCTTATGAATGAAGTATCATGAAAGAGTAGCATCATTCACTCATATGGTAGCATCTTTCTTTGTTCAAAAACTCATCCAGTCTGCGCGTTCAATGCTGGAAGCCCTGAATCCCAGCAAGAAGGACAGTGAGCATACAGTACCAAGGTTTTTGCCGTGCCATCTGCCTCCCGTACTTCTCGTCAACACATCTCCAGCCAGACGATCTTCGAGGTCTGCCTAAGCTGCAGTACAAGACCGCAGCCACCGTCTGAGTGCCCTCCAGGAACCCGCTCAATCCTCACAATCTGTGACTCCAAGTCTGGCGAAGGTACTCCCTCCAACTGCTTTATCCAACCGTGTTCCAAACATCAAAAGCTCTCAGCTTCGAGACATGCTAGATATCAGCAAGTGAGACTGCTCGCTCGCCTTCACTCTCTTCATACGCTCCGCTCACACCTCTCAGAATCGCCTGGCACGTCTCGACACCTTGGCATACAACGTCCTCTGCAACCTCCCGCTCCCAGCACAAGAAACAGCACCACAAAATTGGCCGAGATACCGTGCTTGCAGACCTTGTCTGCAGGTCCGTCTCTGCAGGTCTGGCAAGTTGCTTTTTCGCCCCGCACGCCCGCCACACGAGTTGTGCTTCGTCTGGTTGTCAAACGGGTGGCCCGGCGGCCTGGACCTTGTGGGAGCACTGCATGGCGGTGAAACGGGTTTGTGAGCGACCTGGCCGTCCTTGACTGTGTGAGCCTGTACGCAAGGCGCACTTGCGCCTAGTTGCTGCAGCCGTCCGGAACACAACGCGTGGATAGCGCGAAATATCCCGTCCCGTCCCGTCCCGGTGCCGTGCCGTGAACGCCGTGCTATTTTCCAGGAAATACCTCTTTTATGTCCGTCGGTGTCAACTGCAGTCGAGGAATAATCTCAACGGGTCCAGTCGCAGAGACCGCAGTGGCAGACCAGTCTTGTTTGATCTTCTCATTCTGCACAAACCGTCAAGAACGGTCGTCACGAGGTCACCTAGAATGTGGACATCGCCGTCTATCGGAACCCGCTGCCTAAACAGCAATGGTGCCCAGACTCACTCCACACGCGTGCCTTTGGAAGAGGAGACTGGTCTGTCTCGGAAAGCGTTAGCATGCAGATGAAAATCCTACACATTCCTACCCACGATGTTGAAGGTTGAGTGGGGACCAACAGGGGCCGAAGTAAATATAGCAACTGGCGGCCCGTGCGCTCGGGAGCTCCCTCTGACACGTCCCCACCTGCGTCTCCAACTCGACGTGCCCTGTGTGTGTGTGACGACTGCCATGTGAGGGACCCGAGCTCTCACTGCAATTTGACCGCTCTATCCACAAGACGACGTTGACGATGGTGCCCGCACCCCTGAAGCTGAAGCCCAAGGAGGCACAGGGCTACCAGCTGGTCCAGGGCCGAGAAGACTATGGCGAGGACGGGCCAGAGACGCCCCTGGAGCAGCCCCCGGCATACCAACCTCGGCCTCCCAGCCGCCTGCGCAATGTCAACCTCAGGGCTATCCTCATCACCATCATCTCCTGCCTGCTGGTCTTTGTGGCATTGCACCTCGCAATCAACCCCGGCGCCTTCGGCTTCCGTCCCCGCCCGGGCTCGGGCTGTGGCTGCCAGCCGACCCCAAAGGTCCCTCAGTACTTCCAGACCTCCCCGGAGCTGTGGGCTGGGCCTACCGCGACCGGGGCGCCGGCCTTCCTGGCTCAGACGTGGACTCTGAACCCCACGGCGACCTATGTGCCGAACCAGCCTCTTCAGACGGCCATCCCCATCGAGGGCATGTCGTCCAAGAATGAGAGCATCTTCCAGATGATGGGCTTCCTCTCGCCCTACACGCCGTCCCCCGGCTTTGGCGTCGACGAGTACCCCCTGCCGGCAGGAGCAGACATCGTCCAGGTGCAGATGCTGTCGCGCCACGGCTCACGTTACCCAACCGGAGGCACGGGCTCCAACGTGGTCACCTTTGGCGAGCGGATAGCTGCGGCCAGGACGGCCGGGTCCGGCTTCAAGGCCTCCGGCCCGCTCGAGTTCCTCAACGACTGGAGCTACGCCCTCGGCGCCGAGATCCTGGTGCCCAAGGGCAGGCAGGAGCTGTTCGACTCGGGCATCTTGCACTCGTACATGTACTCGTCACTGTACAACCCCAACAGCAGAATCATTGTGCGGACTACCACACAGGACCGCATGCTGAAGTCAGCCGAGTATTTTGTCGCCGGGTTCTTTGGCCTAGAGTGGACGAGGAACGCCACCATCGAGGTCATCATCGAGGAGAAAGGGTTCAATAACTCGCTGGCGGGTTACAAGAACTGCCCGAATGGGGAGTTTGACCATGGTGGGAGAAATGCCACAGTCGAGTGGGTGCAGATCTACCTGCAAAAGGGTACGATTTTCCTTTGATCGAGCCCCATGAGCGCTGGTCTGAGGCTGACTTTTCCACAGCAACTGCCCGCATCAGCAGCATGATTCAAGGGTACGATTGGACCATAGAAGATACGTACGCGGCACAGAATATGTGCCCATACGAAACAGTAAGTTTGCTTGGGTCTGGCTCTTTGGTCTCCCGCCACCTAGCAGCACCTTCTCAACAGATGACACTGACACGGTACTGCCCAGGTGGCCTATGGCTTCAGTCGTTTCTGCGATCTCTTCACGTATGAAGAGTGGATCCATTTTAGCTACTCAGTCGGTGCGTACTTCTTGAGCAGGCGGCTGAATTTGAGGCTTGCCTCCACTCGACCAGCGTCCATTTGATTGCTGACTAAGGAAAGCAGACCTCTTCTTCTCAGGAGATAGTGGTTTCCAGTCAAAGACCGGGGTAAGTTGAAGCAAGACGAGCTCTCAAATCGGAAAGTCAACTAACGCACCCACGCAAAGCGAGCCGTCGGAATCGGATACCAGCAAGAAGTGATGGCCAGGCTGCGGAACCACACCCTGGGTTACTCGGGCTCACAGATCAACACAACCCTCGACAGCAGCACCGAGACATTTCCGCTTAACCAGTCCCTCTACCTGGACTTCAGCCACGATACAAACATTATTTCGGTGCTGACCGCAATGGGTTTGACGCAGTTCCAGGACAACCCGCCCCTGTCGCCCAATGCGTACCCGGGCCAGCACAACTTCACCGTGTCACACCTGACACCCTTCGGCGCGAGGCTGGACATGGAGGTCATCAGGGCGCCCAGGCCCGTGAAGGCGGACAGGACCGGCTACCGAGGACGAGGGCGCGGGCGAGACCAAGTACATCCACTTCATTCTAAACCAGCGGACGGTGCCGCTAGGATGGAGCTTCCCCGAGTGCGACGCCAGCAGGGTCGACGGGTGGTGTGAGCTGGAGACTTTCCTGAAGGTGCAGGACGAGATGCCCAAGCTGGCGAATTTCGAGGAGACGTGCTTTGGTGGGGCCGATGTGGCTGAGTGAGTGAGTGAGTGAGTGAAGATATGTGGTGTGTGGTGTGTGGTGTGTGGTGTGTGGTGTGTGGTGTGTGGTGTTTGTACACAATTGCACTCTCAAGCATTCAAGGCACGGTACGGCGTTTGACATCGGATTGGCGGTTTGTACGTTGCTTTCTGCATAACAAATTATAGATATAGGCAGGGTTTGTTCAGTATGCATCTGCATGTCAGTCAGGATAGAATAGGTTAATATCGCCTATTCCTCGTGAGGCATTGGTTGCTCATCCGCCTCGGGCTTCTAAGACGTGACTTGACAAACGCCCCTCCTGCAAGATACCACCTACCAAGCCTCGTGGGATGGAAACCCCGACGAGTACCTCGAGCTACCTGCCTTGTAGCTACAAGACGCATCTTCACGTTCCGGCCCCCAATAACTACCCCGCAATCAAAGTCAATTGGAGGCTGCTGATTAAGCTTGCCATCACATATAAGTTGAGGGAAGATGTTTCATAGTCTCTGAATTAGTTCCGGACTTTGACGACTGACCACTTCGCATACACAATCACAACACTTGTAGACTTACTCACCAAGCTATATCACCATCATGCCTTCCGGTCACGCCAAAGCCACCGTCGGCGACACCGTACTCGCGGAGACGGACACATGGGAGGAGGTGGATGGGAATGTGTACTTCCCACCGGCATCTGTCAAAACCGACTACTTGTCCAAGACGGATCACTCGACCCACTGCCCCTGGAAGGGGGATGCAAGCTATTACAGCATCCATGCAGACGGCAAGAAGCTGGAGAATGCGGCGTGGTACTACCCGCAGACCAAGGAGAAGGCCGAGCACATCCGGGACCACGTGGCTTTCTGTAAGTCTGGAATGTTTCTACTTTTCTACTGGCTGGACCATGGCCCTTTCTGGCGGGCGAGGAGGCTGGGGTTACAAGACATCACCCGTCTGTGTCAGGTGCGGGAAGAGCTCTGGAGACCGGCTGACACTCTGCATCAGACAAGAGCAGGGTGACGGTCACGAAGTCTTGATTTGGGCTGCGCTTCATGGGGGCCCTGCTAGGGCTGGTGGGGCGTGTTGGGAGCCTGACTGTCACGACTCCTTCGCGTGACAGGGATACGCGGTGCTGCGCCTGGCGGAGTGGAAAGGTTCTGACGGGGCCTATTCTTAAACTCAGACGTGCAAGACAAGGCTTCTATTCCAGCTTTCCCAAAGCAATCCTCTCGGGGTGGAGCCGCGACATGTGACGTGACGTGGTTGTGTGGGGTGTTGTGAATCACCGGAACGGCCCAGCCTGCGGTTCGATCGGTCTGGACTCGAGCACATCGGCATCGAGCCTCTCCATGACCTCCAGGATGAGCGACAGGCTGTCCATGAAAGAGTTGACTGAGACCCGCAGCATCCGGTTTGTGGTGGCCTTGTATAGCACCCTCATGACGTTCTGTCCCGTGACATCATCATCACCACCGTCGACACCGCCAGCGCCGCCGGACGCGGACGCGCCGTTGACGGTAGAGAATTCTCGGCGGACCAGGGGTGACAGCTCCTTGTCGACGGTTATGGCCTTGATTGCGATCGAGGACAGGCGAGCGGTCGGGAAGGGCACGTCGATCTGGCTGTGGGCACACACACACGAGACAGGCATCTCTCAGCGAAGGAGTCCTAGGTCTGACAGCAGAAAAAAAAAAGGGAGAGAGTCATGCCGACTTACAGCGAGCAGGGGAAGTCTGGGTCGGCGTGAGTGGCCATGATGCGTGGGGAAAAGTCGGGACAGTCAGATCTGGAACGAACTTTTGAGGATTGTCTGTTGGGAATGGCACAGGGGCTCTGCAGCGGGAGGATTCCAATTGAGTGGTCTTATGTGCGCGCCGCCGTCGATCTGGTGGGGGAGCTGCTGTTCGAGGCTGTGAGATTGATCGAGAGCTGTGCAGGTGCAGGTGCAGGTGCAGGTGCAGACCTCGGGCCCGATAAGATAAGAGACCGCCCACACGCTGCTGCCACGCTGCTGCTGCTGCAACAACGATGGGCGGAAGGTCGAGCTGGTCGGGTGGGCGGGCAGAGACGGTGTGGGGTCAGACGAAGCTTGGAAGGAGGCTCATGCTCAGGCATGGGACTCAGCTGGGCGGGTCCCGGGGGCTTGGAAAACGGGCCTGGCCTGAACGCCGCAGGCCTGCAGTGCTACCCGCAGTGTGCACCTTGCAGTGTGCCATTTGCAGTGCAGTGCCCAGGTGCGTTGGCCCTTTGGTCCCGTCCCGAGTCCGTTGGTTGCTTGGACGACAGCAAGCGACGCCTAAAAAAGGACCCCGGACGGGCCCCCCGGCACGACATGGGCCGCCATTGGCCTGCAGTCGAGGCAACGGGGCCCAGCTCCAGGCAATAACAAACCAGCTCTCTATTATCATGCAACAGACTCTCTGGCCATGACAACATGCAGTTCCGTTTCTCTCCCACCTGCACACACCGCTGGGAAAACTCATATTTACGTCGTTGCCCGGCTTCATCCTGAGGGTTGCTGTTCCTTTTTTTTTTTCCCTCAAGCATCAATTTGGAACTCCTCTCCTCCTCCACCCCAATTCCCATCCCGCTCTCAATCTCACTGAGCCTGCGACTCGACTCGTCTGTGCTTACTGCATAGCGTGCGCTTGCTCCTGGCTGCTTAGCTCCTCACCTCCTCACCTCTCCGTCTCACACCTTGACATCCCCAGCCTCACCTTTTTGGGCGTGGGAATTGGCCACTCACTTTGTGTGTTCTGCGACCCAATTCATACAATTATTGCCTCACGATTGAGCCGCACGCACATGTGCACTCTCGTGTCTTGATATCCTGAGTGCAGAACTGCACCCCGCCCGCGAGGCGCTGCACACTTGTATCCATACGAGCTCCCTGCACCGCTCCTTGGCCGCACACTGCACACGGCAGCTGCAGCCGGCTCCTTCCTCGAGCTCGACATCACAACAGTATAGACCAAGCCACAGAGCCAGAGACGGCGTCAACGGCCATGGGTCCTTCCAAGAGCTCCAACCTCGGGCAGATTATCGAGTACATCCCAGGTACGTCACGTTCTGTCGAGCAACGGCGCCGAGCTGCGGTCCCACGCCTCACCTGCACACACTGTTTCGCAATTCTGCACCTGTTCCCATATTCTCAACAACATCCCACCGGACGATGATGAGAGTTTCTCTTGCTCCCAGCGCTGTCAATGATGGCCCAGGGGCGCCAATTTCTGCAGTCCCACTCGACTACCTGCTCCAGCCTTTTCCAGTAAACTTACTAACATTCTCTGAAGACCGCCTGTATCTCGCCTCGTATATCCACCCGCCAAACGAGGATACTCTCTTCCCTTACCCAGATGGGCCAGTGAAATCGCCCACCAAGAGGTCGCAAAGGGCTGGCAACGGGCCCCAGGCAGTCCCCAAGTCCCCTTACAAGCAGCCATACTACTTCACCGTAGACGACACTCTGCTATACAACAACTTCCACCATGACTTTGGCCCGCTTCACATTGGCCACCTCTACAGGTTTGCCCTCCAGTTCCATGAGATCCTGGGCGCAAAGGAGAACAAGGATCGCCCCGTCGTGTTCTGGAGCAGAGCGGACCCGAGGAGTACGTATTCCCGGCCCCGAGCTTGGTCAACCGTCTTTCGTGCTAACTGTTGCCCCAGGCCGCGCCAATGCATCGGCCCTGCTAGCTTGCTACATGGTCCTGATCCAGTCCTGGCCGCCACACTTGGCCCTGGCACCCATTGCCCAGGTCGATCCTCCATTGATGCCCTTTCGCGACGCTGGATATAGCCAGGCCGACTACGGCATCACTGTTCAGGATGTCGTCTATGGAGTGTGGAAGGCAAAGGAGGAGGGCGTGTGTGCCCTCGAGGACTTTGACCTGGATGAGTACGAGAGGTTCGAGAGAGTAGAGCACGGCGACTTCAACTGGATTACCCCCAGCTTCCTGGCCTTCGCCTCGCCACAGCAGGAGCCGGTTGCGAGAATACCAGAGAACTCCGAGCTCTGGGCAACCGTGCCCAAGACTCTGGACGCCGTCGATGCACACCCAACACTGCCACAACCGTTCAAGAACGTCCTCTCCCACTTTTCTGAGCGCAACATTGGCTTGGTGGTGCGATTGAACTCGGCATTGTACTCCCCATCCTACTTCGAAGGCCTGGGTATCCAGCACCTGGACATGATATTCGAAGACGGTACCTGCCCAGCGATGGGCACGGTGCGGAAGTTCATCAGACTGGCCCATGAGATGATCACCGTCAGGAAGAAGGGCATTGCCGTTCACTGCAAGGCAGGACTCGGCCGGACAGGATGCCTCATTGGGGCCTACCTTATCTACAGGTACGGCTTCACCGCCAACGAGGTCATTGCATACATGCGATTCATGCGACCTGGAATGGTTGTAGGTCCGCAACAGCACTGGCTCCACCTTAACCAGGGTACCTTCCGGGAGTGGTGGGTCGAGGAGCGCATCGAGAGGAAGTTGCGCAAGGAGATGGCCGCCGCCAACCCCCAGCCGAGCACACCCATCCGTGCCATGCAAAAGGCCAACATCGGCCGCAGCCCTAGCAAGACCTCGACGCCTCCCAACCGCAGCCCCTCGAATAGGACACCGTTGGGCGAGGTGGACAATGAGAGGACAAATGCTCCAGCAGACCAGGAGAACTACCTGCCCGCTCCCACCCCAGGGCAACCTCGAAAGACCCGCCACCACCCGTATAGCAGCCGCGGTGGTGTGTACCGGTCCTCGATCGAGGAGGAGAATGGCGGCATCCAGCAGCAGACCGAGGTGGTCTCTGTCCAACGGCAGTCACCGGCCGAGTCCGACGAGGAGCTGCACCTGCGTATGCGAGCATCACGCAAGGTGTCCAACTCCCCCAACTCTGCCAAGTCGCGTTCTGTTAGTCACACGACCACGACAACCTCCATCTACACCTCGGTCATCGACGACGCTTCCAACGACGCCGAAAACATCGGTAGCTCACTGGGCCGGGTCAAATCGGTCCAGACCTCGCCCATGCGCGCTACTTCCGCGTCGGGCGTGCTGACCAAGGTCCGCGGTGGCAGCGGTGGCAAGCGAACCGGTGACAGTCTTCGAGGTTACCCCAGCGGCAAGGAGCCGGCGGGCGTGCGCAAGACGAGTGGCCGGGTCGGCAGTATCCACAACCACAGCCCAACAACTGCGGCGGCAAACACGGCGAGGAAGATCTCTGGAGCGCTGTGAGGTGACAACCCCAGCCGATGTTGTCGCGGGCGGCAATTGCACCGTGTGCCCTTGACTGGGTCATGCGGTGTAGGAGCAATATCTGGATGACGAATTACGAACATTACGACTTCTCTCTCGTCTTCTACTGCATACATGCGACGGCGTTTAATGATGGATACCCCGGGACAATCTAATCATCCAAAGGAGGCAGGGGTCAACCGGTCGGTGTCGGCGACTGAGGGTGGCTTCACACACACACACTGAGGAAAGCACGTTGAGTCTGGCCTGGTGGTACATTCCTGGATCGAAGACGTGTTGAAAAAAAGACGGCTTGGATATACATCTACTTGGCTCGCCAAGTGTTGGTAGTTTCCCTTCTTGCATTTCCAAACTCGCGTAGATTTTGAGATAATTGCATAGGTGAGAGACTCGTGGTCAGTATACGGCAGGAGACAGGAGACGGAACGGGGAGCAAGCATTGTTTATTGTTTAATCTTCTTGCGGGTTGCAAACAAGGGAACGGTGGTTCGGTTGGTTTGTGTGTGTATAGCCTGCGTGTTCATTTTCCGGAATACATTTAAGGTCCACTTCCTAAAGTTGCAGCCTTCGCAGTCTCTACCAGTGATCCATACTCGACTGATGAGTCGTATGCATTGGGCGATCTTTGACTTTGCTGCTACGTGAATTGGTTTGAGCCTGCCTAGATGCCTCGAGCAGCAACATCGTCTTCTGCAGGCCACTGACGTGCTATTGAACACAATCCCGCAGGATGAAAACGCCCTCGGGAAATGTAGATGAGCTATAGTAGAGACATCCTGAGAAGTGGCACTTGAACATTCCCTTGACTGGAGGCCTTCGAGAGATCGTATGTGGCCACGGATCCGAAAGTGAATTCCTAGGACTGAGCAGTTGCTATGGTATCTACGTTTATATTTCATGAAAAGAAAGATCTGAGGGTTTTGGACTTTGCTTCTTTTTATCTTCTATCAAGAAAAGGCGGGGCCGAGGTCTGGTACAGCAAGCACGGCTTGGACTTTTCTGTCGTAAGCAGATCAGTTGGAGCTGATCGGCCTACTCCAGGCTCTAACTATTCCTGTCTAGTACGTGTGTGGTGCGCCGGAGCCCGTTCACTAGTCAGCCCATTGTTCATTGAATCTGTTGCCTAATTCCAACTGCAAAGCTCAGAGAATATAATCTTTGGGGCAGCTGTCTTTGAAGTTGTTTAGCGAATATAATACTTCGATCAACTTGCCACAGCAGTCTCTATTTACTCTTTTCTATCAATACGTGTATCCCAGCAACCTCGGGTCATGTTGAATGCAGATTTCAAGTAGCATCTCGTAGCAAGTTTCCTTCCCTCATACAGGTCCACTGCGACGCGCGATCCTCACCCTGATTTTATCATTGTAGACCATCCAGCGCCTCCTCAGCTCCCACTCATGCGCCGGCTCCTCCAGCTCGATGTCGTAGCGACGGAACAGCATGGCCGTGACCTTGAACAGGCTGGTGGTCGCCAGGAACCGGCCCAGGCATGTGCGGTTGCCGCCGCCCCAGACGAACGTGTTGAGATCATCCATCCGCCGCAGCCGCGCCGCATACTCGGGCCCGCCCTCGGCGTACCGCGGGAGCCAGCGCTCCGGGCGGAAGACGTCGGCGTCCGGCCCGTAGACGTTGCGGTCACGCGTCATCACGGACGGGTTGAGGCCGACGTTCACGCCGGCGGGGATGAAGCGGCCGTCTGGGAGGGTCAGGCCCGGCTCGGGGACTGAGGCGTGGAGGATTGTCAGTGAGTACTTGTCTGGTTTTGGTAGTAAAGTCTGCGGGCTGGGTGTCACCTAACGCTCAACAAAGGCCTACAGTAGGGTGCATGCGCAGGCCCTCCTTGATAACGGCATCAAGGTAAGGAAGCTTTCTGCTGTCATGTGCCTCTTCGTACTTGGGTGGATGGGACAAATCGGCTGCGTCCAGCTCTGCCCGCAGCCTGTCGAGAACGGACGGGTTGCGGAGCAGGTGGTAGATGATGGCCTTTTGGACGGTTGCTCTGGCTCTGCCGTGTGAGTATCGAGCGATGTAACACGACAGATGCAAAGGAGACGAGAAGATGACAAACTTCCCTGAAGCTGCCCCTAGCATTGTAAATGATTGGAATCAAGGCTGGGTCGTTGAGGGCAACTAGGTTAGGGCCAAGTCGAACCGCCACCCCATGCTTTGCGTGCAGTTTCTTTTGTGTTCCCGGCGATGTCAGGTGGATGTAGTCATGTACGCGCCACAGGTTGGTGAATTTGGCAAGAGACGGGCCTGGGATGTCTTTCAAGGGTGAGGCGAGATAACAAATGGCATAGTATACTAGCACCACGGCCACGAGCACGCCCGCTATCTGTGTCGCCACGAGCAGAGGAACCAGCGGGAACGCAGGCATCGTGAAGCTTTCAAACACGTATGTCTTCAGAAGTATGACAGACGTATCTTCTGGGTATTTCCACCGTTGATGAGGCTGCCGAGATGTTCTTTCAACCCCGTTTTCTTTTTCTTTTTCCGAGAGCCATCTGGTGCTTAAGTAGGCGAGCATCCAGTCCCAGGCATTTACAGCTCACCCGAGCTCTCCGGACTAAACTCATCCACCCAAGACACGAGTCGTCCATAGAACTTGAATCCCGCCCAGCCTTTCCAATGCTGTTACCTAGCCAAGAAGCCAGACTAGAGATCCTTGGGGGCTGAGCCGGAGTCCTAGACAGTTGTCTAGTCTTTCAGTCCGACACTGCACGTGAATTCATTACGAGGCCACAACACCATGTCCAAGGATGAGAATAAGTGGCCCAACATGTGATCCACACTCACTGGATTTTGTATGCACGCGGATAAGCCGCGGCCGCCAACGGTAGTATTTTGAATCCTGTCAGCAACCGGGGGTTTTGAAAAAACGTGTCAAGGTGAGTAGTGTGTGGGGGCAAGTGTGTAGACCTGACACCTATCGAGCCAAGGGAGGAAGAGGAACAGGAGTGCTAGACAGCCAGCGTGCCAGCGTGTAGGTGATCCTACAAGAGGTGTGCACTTAGGGTCGCTAGTTAGCACTTGAGCGACTTGCGCCGGTAAGCTGATCCAGTCACGCAGGATCCGATTCTCCCGGCTGAGTGGGCACCTTGGTCGGATTACCATGTCCAATGAGATGCTCTTAGATTTTCAGTGAGTCCTTTTGGTCGAAGTAGATAACTTGAGCCACGAGTTCAACGTTGATTCAAGCATAGGCAGGATTTCCTTCACAGTGGCAGCTGAGGCATCACGTTCTCGACATCCAGAGAGAAGTAGTGAATAGTGAGAAGAGTAACGAGGGATAACGGAAAGCTTTCAATCATCTTCTAAGCGGAATGGCTCCTGTGTTCTTATATCTCGCGGTTTTGGTGGTGGTTCTTCATTTTCTGGGGAAGGTCATCACCCCAAAGGTAGACCACCATGAACCACCGATTTTTAAGCCCCGTCTGCCACTCATCGGGCATATACTTGGCCTCATGAAATATGAGGCAAACTACTTCTCGATCCTCCGGTAAGGCGTAACACTGCCCATTGCGAACTTCCTTCCACACCCCCAGTGGGACTTACATGACTGACTATTGCTGCCAGGACGAGGACGACCAAGCCGGTGATAACGATGCCGCTGTTAAACAAGAAGAACTATATAATCTTCTCGCCCCACTTGATCCAGCAAGCGATGCGCCATCGGGATCTCGACTTCAACCTTGTGGGCCTGGCTTTCGCCAGACAGGTGGCCGACCTCAGCCACCAGGCGCTTGGGGAGCGCGTCAAGAAAGGTCCCAACACCTACACGGCTGAGACGGTGGCAGGCATCAAGTCCGGGCTGATGGGCCACGGGGTGAAGCGCATGACTGCAGCGATGCTAGCCCACGTCGGCTCGCAGCTCAACCCCATCGACGCCGGCCAGGGCCTGCACGTCCCGAGCCTCTGGGTCTGGATGCGCGACATGATGACCATGGCCACTGTGGAGGTATTTTACGGGCATGCGAACCCCTTTCGAGCCGACCCGGCTGGCCTGGATGCGCTCTGGGACCTTGACGAGGCCCTCGACTCCATGCTGTTCCTCCCGCCTGCCATGGCCCGCGCTGGTGCCCGCCACCGCGATCGCATCGTCAGCACGCTTCGGCCGTATTTCGATGAGCGGATGGACCTGAACGAGGACGTCTCAGAGTTTGTTGCGCTGCGCACTGCGGCTCCGGTCAAGCGCAATGTGCTGGGCGATGACCTTTGCAAGGGCGAGGTTATCAACATCTGGGTATCAACGGCGAACTCGATCCCGGCACTTTCCTGGACTCTGATGTAAGCATGTCTGACTGACGGTCTTCCTTCCGAGTCATCTGGCTTCAATATGGATATTCCCGATATTCCGCCGAGTGCTGACCAGAGCAAATACAACACAGTAACATCTTGTCGCGGCCCGATCTCGCTGGCAAGATCTGCAACGAGGTCCTCCCCTTGGTCACTTACTCAATCAAGGATGGACTGAGAAAAGCGACACTTAATCTTCGTCTTGTTGAAAAACAGTGCCCTCTGCTGCTCAGCTGCCAACGCGAGACTATGCGTGCGATCAACCATGCTGTGGCAAGGCGGGCCGTTACAAAGGACACCCAGCTGACGGACGAGGATGGCACTACGGTACAAACAAATACTCCCCAGTAACAACTCAGCATTCAGACCATTACTAACCCAATATCCGTCGGCAGTATGTTCTCAAGAAGGGCAACGACGTAATGTGGTCTTCCAAGGTAGCACATGAGATGACCGAGGTCTGGGGCCCGGACGCCCTTAAGATCGACCCGGAGCGCTTCGTGGGCTCCGCCGGCTCCTACGGCTCCTACGCGGACAAGGATCTCGAGAGGAAGCGCAGGGCAGCGTCCCATCTCAGCCATTTGTGCTCATTCTTTCTCTTCCTATGCTCCGTATGGCCCTCCTCTTGCAAGAAGGAGTTTAGTCCTTTGTCCATGTTGCCTCGGCCATACTAAGGAAGCTGTCGGAAGGAACCATCGATAGCGCATTCATGGTTAATTCACGGTCACCACCGTGGGGAATGCCTGAGGCACCGAAATCCATGGTTAAAACCAGCCCCTGCAGCAACCTTAAATAAGTAAACAGAGAAAATAAAACATTATCATGTTAACCATTAAAATTACTAATATAACATAAGGGTTTAATTATATAAAAAGTAAAAAATTTAATATATATATAATAAATTAAGTAAATTAATATTTCATTAATTTATATTTAAAATTATATTAATTACAAGGTTAAATTACTTATTAATAAGTTAAATATTATATATTACTTATCTTTATTTACTTTATTAATATTTCTTTTTAATAAATTATTTATTTAAATTTTTATAAAAGCTTATTTTAATTAAGATAAATATTTTAAAAAACTTTAATAATATATTTTTAATATTTTTTATAATAAAATTATTTAACTTTAAAAATAAATTAATAAAATTATATTTAAAGTTTATTATAATAATAAGCTATATATATAAATAAATAAATAAATAAATAAAAATATATATATATATATATATTAATAACTTATATTAATTATTTATATATTTTATTTATAACTTATAATTAAATATAAAAGTTATAATTTATTATATTTTAATTAACTTATATATATTTAAATATATAACTTAATTAATATTAATTTATAATTAAAAAAATAATTATAAATAATTAAGCATTAAAAAATAATTAATTATTTTATTATTTTATAATATAATTATAATTTATAAAAAATAATTATAATAATATTAATTTATATATTAATTAAATATATAATTTAAAAAAACTTAATATTATTATAATATAATTTATTATTAAATAATAAATATTATTTTATAATAAATCTTTATTAAATTTATTAATTTTAATTAACTTTAATATTTATTAAATATAAAGGAATTAATTTAATTTAATATTAATTAATATTAATTATTTCAAATTACTTATTTTTAATTAATTTAATTAATTTAAAGGGGGTAATATAAATGTAATATTAATTTAAATTAATTAACTTTTAATAACAAATGGCCGCGTGGCGTATTAGTTATGCGTTTGGCTTTTCTCCATAAAGGGCGTAGATTTAAACCCTGCCGCGGCCATTAAAACCTTTTTTAGGAATTTTCCCCTTAACTATATAAGTGCGAATCGCGGCCTGCCCATTTATAACCCCTCTTGCCAAAAGGGTTATATATAAAGTGCCTTAAAAAACTTTATTAAAGCTAATAAATAATAAGCTATAAGCTAGTATGTTTTAACTTAAAAGCATTAAATACCTTATTATAAGGGATAAAAAGAGATAAATTAATAAATAAGGCTTTAATATAACTTTATTTAGCTTATAATAAGGCTTTATATTAATAAAAGCAGCTTTATAATATTATATTAAAGCTATTATGGCCCCTTAAAAAAGGAACTAATAAGTCTTTATTAAGTAATTATAAAGGATTTACTTTTAAGAAGCGGCCTTTATAAAGGAGGTATTTATAAGAAATGAGAATAATGGGGATAAAGTAAAAATTAGCTTATTATTTAATTAAGAATATAAAGAAAATAGCTTTAAAATAAAGGAATATATAATGCATTAGTTTTTACTTAGCTTTTTTAAGGTATAATTCTTTTAACGTGGGCTATAAGTAAAGGAACTATATATTATATAGTTTTCTAGCTTTGAAAATAGCTTAAAATAACATAAATAAATTTTTTTTCTTTTTCTTCTTTTTTTAATAAAAAATATATATTTAATATTAAATAATATTAATTATTTTATTAAAAATAAGGTTTATTATAAATTATTAAAATATATTTTAATATTAATAATATCTTAAATTTTTATATTAATTTTATTTTAATTTAATTATATAAATATTTATTATATTAAAAATTAATATTATATTATATATTTTTATTAAAAGAAAATAAAATCCTCTTAATTATTTAAATAATTTAAAAGCCTTAAAAAATTATATAAAACCCTTAAAAGTAATTAAAATTATAAAAATCTTTTATATTTTTAAAATTATATTATATTATAAAATAAATTAATAATATTTTTATAACAAATTATATATTAATAAATAAAAACTTAATTAAATTAAAAATAAATATTTATTTAATAATATTTATTATAAATTTTTAATATAAAAATATAATTAATTTATTATAAATATTATAAAATATTAAATTTATTAATAAATATTAAGCTTAATATTTTATAAATTTATAATTTAAAATAAAAATTAAATTAAATTATTTTTATAATTATTAAAAATTAATTTAAGTTATTTTAAAGTATAATAATTAAGTATAAGATTATAATAAATAATTTATATAACTTTAATAAAATTTATTTTATAATAAGCTTAATTATTATATTAATAATTATTATATATATTAATAAATATAATATAAAATAAATTAATTTAATTTAATAATTAAAAATAAATTATAATTATTAAGTATATTAATATAATAAATAAATATATTTTATTATTTATAATTATTTAAAGTATTTATTATTTTATAAGTTAAGTTATAAAATTAATTTTTTAAAAAATTAAATTATTAAATTTATTTTAAATAAATAAGTATATAATAAAATTAATTTAAAATTAATTTAAAATAAATTTAATATTTTAATAAATATATTAAATAATAAATAAAAAATATATATTAAATATTATATTTTTATTAAATTTAATTAATATTATAAAAATAATAAAATTATTTTTATTATTATAAGCTTACTTTATGCTTTTAAAGTTAAAAATGCTTAAATAAAGTTTATATTTAAAGTATAAAGAAAAAGGTTTATTCTTTATTTATATTTATATTAAAGCTTATTTTTATAAAGCTAAAGCTTATTAATTAATTATAATAAGTAAAGCTTAAATTATAATATATACTTTTTAAGTTTTTATAATAAGCTTTAAAAAATAATTATATAATAAAAAATAAAGAATATTATAATTTAATTATAAATTAAATATTATTCTTTATTTAATTATTTAATTATATTTTAATGCTTTTTAAATATATTAAAGGCTTAACTTATTTTTTATAATTAATATATTTTTAATTTTTATAATTTAATATATTAATTAAAGTAAGTTAATAAAAAATAATTATTTAAATATAAATTAATAATTAAATTAATAATAATTTTATAATTATTTAATTTAATCCGTTTATATAAGCTTTTTTATTTAAAATCTTAAGGTTATAAATTTATTATATAATTTATAATTAATTAATGCTTAATTATAAATAATTTATTTTATTAATAAAAGTTTTTAAATTTTAAGCATTTTATAATATTAAATTAATTAATATGTAATTAACTTGCTTTAAGCTTAAGTTAACATTAAGCTAATAATGCTTTAAGCCTTATTTTATAAAAAAAATTTATATTTTTTTAAATAAACTTTTTTTCCTTATTAATTTTAATTAATTAAAATTATATTTTTATTTCTTTTAATAATTAAAATAATTATACTTATAATAATTAAGCTAATTATATATAAAATACTTAATTTTATTTATTAAAATTATTATAATATTAATATTTATTACTTTATTATTTTAAGATTAAATATTATTTTTTTTATTATAATATTAAAAATACCTTTTTATTATTATAAGGTAAAATAAAAAGCCTTAAATATATTTAATTACTTTTTATAATTAAGTTAAGATTTTATTATAAAAATTAAGTTATTAATTATTAATAATATTTTATATTTATTTAATAAAAAAAAGCCGGTTTTACTTAAAATCCGCCCTACTGCCCACGCAATACCTTAAAACTATATTTTAATGGTAAAATCCATCTTAGTGCAATTAATTTAACTTTATTATAATAGCTATAAACTCTTATAGCAATAGCGTGAAAGCGATTTTAATAATAATAAATAAAGGCAATGCTAATTTAGTATAAAGCCGCCATTATAAACATTATAAAGAAGGAGCTTATAATGCTAAAGCAAATAATTAATAAAATAAAAATAAGATTAATATAAAGTATTAAGTAAGGAAAATAAAATATAATAAAGTCCTTAATAAGCTTATACTTAAAATCTTTAAAAAGGGAACTTAAGATAATTTTAATAAAAATTAAGTAAAAACTTTTTATTAAGTTTTCATAATTATAATAATATATTATAATAATTAAGCAAAAAATTATAAGATAAAATACCTTAATAAACTAATTATATAAGCTAACTTATAAAAAAAGGTTATTAAGGCTATTTAAGTAATTCTTATTAGCAATTAAATTAATAGCCTTAAATATATAATAACCTTAAAAAAAGGCCTTAATAGCCCGTTAACTACCCCTTTAGTAAGAATTATCTTAATTAAATATTAAAGGTAAATTATAATTAAGACTAAATATTAATTTATTAAACTTTAAAAATAAAGTTTATTAAAGATAATTTAAGCAATTAATATATATATAAAGCAAACTTATAAAGTAATTATAGTAAGGATATATAAGAATAATGCTTATTTATTAATATTTAAAATAAGTAAAGAAAAAGATTAATATTTATAAAATATAAAATAGCTATAAGCTATTAAAAAAGAAGCTAAAATATTTTAAAAAACTTATATAATTATTCTTAAGGAAATCCTTATAGCCCTTGTAAAAAGAAACTTAATTAAAGTCTTTAAAAGATATTTAAAATAGGTAAATAAAGTAGCGATAATAAAAGTTTATATTTTTTCTTAATATAATGCCGCCATGGCATAAACCTACTGTATAATTACTAAAATTAAGCAACTAAATAATATTAAGAAGCTATGCAACCTTAAGGCGTTATAAAAAAAAATATATTTAATTATAAGCCCTTTAAAGATAACGTTAAGCCATAGCAATGCTTTAATTACTATAAATAAAAATATAAAGCAAAGTTTTATAAGGCATTATTAAAATATAATCACTATGCTAAAAAGAAGTA